TTTCGCTTAAGGAGGAAGAGTTTCGTTTAGTTCCTTATTTAAGCATTTATATACAAACAAAAACAAAAACGAACGCCTAATAATAAAAGTCAAAGGCTGCTCTTGTCGTTGCATGAGTTTTATGTATGGAAATTGGAAAAAGAGCTGTATGTTTATTGTTCAAGAAGAGTGAGAGGATTATAATCCTTGTGAGCCCAAACAAGTTTTGATATTTCATACATCTCTAACGTTTAGAAAAATAAAAAAATCTTGGCAGTTTTGCACACCCATACAAATTGTGGCGGGTTTCCAACACATACGTTTCAATATATGTATATAGACATATAGTCCATGCATGGCCTGATTAGCAGGACGTTGAGATCAATATCTGTGATTAACATTGTATTATCAATCTATCATATTCATATCTAAATTTCATGCAAAAGATGTTATAGGACAAATGTCTCCATAATAAGTTCCGAGGGGGTTTATATTAATTTTCGTTACATGTACATAAAAGACATTGTAACGACTTATTATATATAGCTGAGATGCAATAACAGAAAATAAATTTCCAGCTTCATCTTCATCTTGATATATAGTACTACTTTTGCTGCGCCGATAGAGATCCCATCACCGGATTCAAATGCGTTAGAATTGAACACTATATTGGTTAAACAAAATCAAGTTTTCAATCATAATACCTGGATCCACGGAAATAGCCGATATGAGAGGACCGTAAACACCTTTGTCGGGAATATCTACAGTTCCGTTCCCCGCCCAGAACAACCGTATCTCCAACTTCCAGTCATCATAAACACCATACCAATATAAAATATTAATATTGTGATCGGAATATCGGATATAACAGCCAAAAATGTAACATGGTCTTACATAGAATCAAGTTTGGTCCAACTCCCAATGAATTCTGGAATAGTTCCTTCGAATCTCTTAGTCTAGCTGGTTTCTTTTTATCTATGATGTTTTTTTTACCCAAAATTTTTCAAAATATATTTACTTTATCCTTTGTTCTGTTTTCTCATTTATTTTGCTTATCTTTGATTTATTACCTTTTTTTTGAGCTTGCAAACGTACTTTGTGTGTCTGTCTGGTCGAATGGGTTTTGATATTAATCTTTATCATGTAAAACATCTGCTTACATGTTGACGAGTGGCAAAGCTCCCCATTCCAAAGGGATTGAACTGTTGAGATAGTTCCATGCAAAATTTCTGTATGGAAATTTGATCAGTTAATAACCATTACTTTGAAAAGGAAAAGAATTCACTAATTGGTATGCTTTGCTTACATCTCTTGCAGGTAGGGAAAACCTACAAGCTCCTTTCCGGAGAGACTCTTGAAGATCTTGGGTTTTCAAAAGTCTATGGAAAGTTAAAGGAGAATGGGCTTTAGAGACATATGTAAAACGCCTCTCTAACATGCTTGTAACATGGCATATTGTTCCGTTATGGTGTCTTCTGATCCGTCAATTGGGTTAGGGTTTCTCCATCCACATGCCTTCAATGTGAGGACCCATGGATTCACATTAAAATTCCAACTTGTCTTCTTTAGCGTGCTCGCTATGCTCCTCAAGGCCTCTACTGCAAAATGAACAAGCATAAAAATCATATAACACATACATATGAACATGAACAGTTATATAACCTAAACAAATAGATGCATAAGGTGCTTGTCTGAAGGACGAATAAGCAACCTAAAACTCTTACTAGCAACTGAAAGAAATCTAAGAAGAGTTAAATGAGTGAAGAAGTGCAAACATGGTTCAGTTTCTGATTGAAAAGAAAGTGATTTTTTGTTAACACGATGGTTCAGTAGTCAAATACAATAAAATTGAGATCTTCTCACGATGATAAATGAAATGAGACTCACGTGAGGAAGCATCAGTTTCAAAGACATGTCTACATGGCATTGGTAAATCATGGCATTGGTAAATCAGGCAGAATTTATCAAATTTATCAAATTGCATAACAAAACTGTTATTTCCTAATTCCAAATAAAAAAATATTCTACAACTTATTTTCTTTTCACCATATTACAAGTTTACAGTCTTGCCAATCCGAGACATATGAACATAAACAATTATATAACGTAAACAGATAAATACAAAAAAGAGTAGTTTGCGAGTTTTATTTTTTAGGTCATTACTACAAACAGAGAAATATTTGTGGCAGAAGAAAATAATCCTACATTCTTTTCAATCTTTTATTCTGTTCATATTTTATTTATCTTCCAACTCACACACAATTTATTAATGTCTACTGATTCATATTTACTCGTTATATTAAATTAACAAAAGATATTTTTCTATTATCTTCAAATAAAATGTGATTTAAATCTGTAAGAAACTGAATTCAACGGCAGTAATAAAGTATGATCACATAAACTAATTACTCGTTCCTTTTCTACTCTATGCAAGTTTTTACTTTTTACTAGAATCAAAGGGTTATCATGTGACATTGTAAATGTATGCCTACTAGAAATAGTGGTTTTTTTTTTCAAACACTTACGTTATTTCAATATGAATATTTTGTTGACAAAGATTAATAATATGAACTGTAGCAGAAACAATATATATAATTTTTTTTTCTGTAGAAAGTATGATATAAACTTTAGCGGAAACTTTTTTTTAACAACTATATCTACATATATATAAAAGCTTTTCTTACTTTTCATTTATTTGATGGAAAATGATTCTATATAAAAGCTTTTCTTACTTTTCATTTATTTGATGGAAAATGATTCTATCTTGAGTTTTGAAAAAAAATAGGAAAATGAGTTTGTTTGCTGCATAAAGTATAATAATTCTCTCGTTCAACAAAAATATCGTTCCCTTACTCAACAAACATATATTTTGTAGATGACCTTTTTCTTAGTTTTTGTTGAAGGAATGACATCACAAATAAGAATTCTATTCCAATTTCTCATCACTTGCTGTTTTTTAGTGTTTCTTTTTCATTGGTTTTGGATTGCCAGCAACTTTGCTCACCCAAAAAGATATTCATCTATCTCTGTATAGATTATAAACCTTGTTCATGTTCATATATGTGTTATATGATATGTACACATGTTGTTCATTTTGGAGTGTTGGTGGATGGAGAAAACTCAAAACCCTATTAAAGGATTTGAAGATGCCGCGAGTTGCAATTGTTTTTTCTTTAATGGAACTAAATGTCATGTTACAATCATGTAAGATTTTTCCCTTTTTCCTTTTTCTTTAATCTCATGAGCTTATTGGGTGTTTTACCTAGTTCTCATTTAGTCTATAGAATTTTGAAGTCTTAAGATTTTCAAAGATTTCTTCCGAAAGAGCTTGTAGATCTTCCTTACCTGTAAGATGAGTAAACAAAGCATATCAATTTTACACAAATTGTTACCATGATCTGCCAGTTAGTGCATTTTTTTTCAAAGTAATCGTTAACTCTCACGTTTCTTTATAGTAATCTTGCGAGGAACTATTTTAAGGGTTCAATCCCTCCCAAATAAAGAGATTTTCCACTAAATTCACCTGAAATATTTGCTATGATTAATATTTTTTCTATTTCAAATAAAGACTAATTTAGTATTGTCATAATATTTTGTAAACCTGATTTAAGTTTCAATCAATTGTTGAAAAAAAAAGGATTTGATTCGGTTAGTTATTTTAATTGTTTACATCAAAACAGTTTTCACTTTTCATGCAAGACGTTTTGTTATAATCTTTGCATATCATTTTATTACATTTTACTCAACTTTTACATATGTTTCACTCAACTTTTACATATGATTTACTCAACTTTTACATATGTTTTACTCAACTTGCAATCATGTAAGAACATGTTTTTATGATATAAGGCATTGTAACAATGTAACATAAAACACAAGGCATTGTAACAATGTAACATCAACAATTAGACATTCGGATAATTGATGTTTGATCTTGTTAATGCAGCACCTCTAGGGAAATCGCTTAATTGGTCCAATTCCCAAAGAGATCGGAAGCATCACTACTTTGGAAAGTCTGTGACTGCAGATTTGTCTATTTCAATTGATGTTATTGATGCTGGCATATGAAAGTTAGGTGAGGGTATTGGATGATTGATTTGAAGAGAATACAAAATAATTAGAAAAATAGTTGATTTTGAAGTAATTTAAAGTTTTTGTTGAGAATTTAAATGAATTCTATCAAAATACAGCAAAAGTAATAAGAATTGGTTCTTTACAAAATTTCATTATAATTCTATTAAATTTTTTTAAAATGACAATAGCATAAAAAGAGTACTAAAATTGAATAAAACCAACAGTTAGTGGAATTAGAAAATCACTACATTGAATAACACTAAATTTTAAAATAATTGAAAAGAATGACTTCAAATATTAAATTCAATAACACGTGAATTTAAAAGAATTTGTGAAATACAATATTGAATAACAATGGAATTTAATAGAAAGCATAATTCCTTCTAATTCAATTAAATTCCTTCCCAGTTAGAAATTCCTTCCCTTAGTAACTTATTAAACTTATTATCGAAACTCTACCGGCATACGAAAGTTAGAAAATTAATAGTATAGCTGACCCTTAACTTGTTAAAAATACTATAAACTGAATTGAACATTTATTAAACTGAATTCATTTATTAAAAATACTCAAATTCATTATTCAACACCCAAACCCAACTAACTAACTAAAGACTCATTGACATTTTTAATCATTCATCCTTAGTCAACTTTACTTTTTAGAAGTATCCAACAGCCACCAACTCATTTGTATTAATAGAAACAAAAGAATGCATCATTAGGGAAAAAATGAAGAACATAAGTCTATTTAAATTATTGGTGCTTAATTAATCCCATAACCACTACCTTTATACCCATATCCGCTGATTATCTACTAACAGTATCTATAATGGACCACGATTTTATTTTTATAAAAATATTTTATTTCAAACTAATATTTTTCTAATAAAAACATTTACAAATCAATCCCTCTAGTACTCAAAAAATCAAAAAAACAATACAAGTCAAAGTCATGCGGAGGCAAACACCAAATCATTAACGACTGAAGAAGAAATATTCTCCTGCATCGCGGACTGGTTGTGACGGTGCTCTCCTTCGTAGGTCACTATTAGCATCGCTGGATCATCCAAAGCTCGTTCCACGTGTTTCCTCGCGGGACACCCTCTAAACGTACTGCACTTGTAGTAACCACTGGATCATAACAATCAAACAAATAAACACCGTTAGATCTTCAGATCGCGAACCAATCAAACAAACAAATATCAACGGTGGATAATAAAAAGAGTGTACGATAGTTACCGTGGGTGTGGTGAGCCCTTGATCGGTTTTTGTCCGTACTTCCTCCACGAAAATTCGTCCGGTGGAATATCGGCGATCTTTGAACTTATCGCCGGTACCCTCACAGTTCTCTTCATCCGATTTTTTCTGCTTTAATTAAGAAAAGAAAGAAAAGGACACATTAATTAACGTAAACGTTTTAATTAAACAAGAACACAAAAATGGTTTTAACGTGCATTGTGGTTTTCAAAAGTCAACGTGCGGGTTTTTATAGAATTTTTCACCATCTCTAGTTGTGGTCGGCGTACCATTTACCAAAATATGACCGATATTTGAAGCAACCAGACCGATAATCGGGAAAGTATACTAAACCGGTATATATATCAACTAAATGAACTACTAATAATTAATTATCTAGCGACGGTAATAGTCAACTAAGCGTTGAAAGTTCGAAAATTAAATAAGGAAGTGCATGGGTACTGGGGTAGTTGTTAAATCGACAGGTGGGTGACGTAACAATACCTCTTTTTGCAATGGCACTTGCCGTTGCCGTAGCCAGAGCCGGAGATCTTGCCGGAGAAATCCTCGGAGTGCTCGTGCTCAAGGCATCTCTTCCTGTAAGGATGACCGGCCAACGGTGGCTTTCCGGAGGAGTTGACAGGATGCGACGGAGCCGACGCGAGGAAGATTGAGGATCCCTTGGAGACGCTGCCGTCGCCGGTTATCGCCGACGACATGTAGGAAGAGTTTAAAGAAACGCTGAAGTTTTCCTTGGCGAATTCGATCTCAGAGCTCTTGGATTTGGATCCGAAGATGCTGGGTTTAGTGAAATCGAGTGTCACGCTCGGCTGATTCGAATGAACGAAGCTAGACGGAGTCACAACAACCGATGGTGGAGGAACGATTTGAGCCAGATTCGCCGTGGTTCTCGTCGGCTGAGAAACAACCGGAGCCTCGGATTGAGCGACTTTAACGATCTGACTCTGTTGTTTCTGAGGAGATGCGGCGGAGGGAGCGGAAGAAGGAAACGAGTGAACCGGTCCGCGTCTGAACCGGGCGTGGCCGGTACGGTTAAGGAGAGAAATGACCGTTTTGAATTTGGAAACGGTGAAATCAGTGATCTCAGAGCAGTCAACGTTGTTGTGTTGTTCGGGGCGGTTGGAGAGGACACGGATCAGATGCTCCATACTCTGTAAACCTTGCGATGCGGCCTCCTGAATAGCCTTTTGATCATCCATCTTAGGGAAACGCATTAGATCGACGGCCATGATTGATCTCCCTGTATTTTTTTTTTTTTTTGTTCTTTTGCTGGTTTGAGGAAACAGAGGAACGTTGAAGAACAGAGAGAAATGGTGAATGAGAGAAGAGAGTAGGAAAGATGGCGTGATATATGGGGCAAAAGGAGGTGACCGGGTCAGGTTGTGGAGATTTTAGTCAAACCGGGAAGGTTTTGATCTAACGGCTGCGATTGAGTTGAGGATTTCCACGGAATAAAGCAATCAAAGTTTTGGTCTCCTCAAGTTCGAGGTAAGTGGGCCCCACCTGGCATCCGAATTTTATCGTTTCTTCAAATTCAAGATATTTTTCAAAAGAAGAAAATCTTTAATAATGGAAAAGAGAGGCAGATAAAAGTTAAAACAACACATTTGAAGAAAAAACCACTCAGATTTTCGTAATTATTTTTGAACTTGTTACAACATGACAGTTCAAATAAAAAACAAAACTTTTTGCTTAATCAAAAGGTATGGAAAGAAGTTTCTATAAACCTGAGCAAAATAGTACAAATTATAAATTCATTGATTAAAAATGTCAATGATTCATTCACACGATGGAGAAAGAGGACCAGCTGGATTTTTGTTGAGGCAGGAAGGGAAGATTTGTCAACGAGACAGGGAGGATTGATTAAAAAATAATAATTGTGATGTTTGACTTCTCAAGTTTTAATTATATTTTATGTTTGTTCCAATTTGAATCTTCTTTATTCTTTCAAATTCTACGGTCTCTATGTTTGTCAACTATAATTACAGTTAAACTAATTCGATTGGTTGCCTGTATAATTTGATGACCCTGTTAAGTGGTTTCCATAACAATAGTATAATTTGGTGGAAGACTTTTACTTCTTAACAACAAATATGTATTTCTTATTATACCAAAAACAAGAAGAATTTTTCATAGCATTCTAGAAACTGTCTTCACTTGACATTATAATAAGCGAAGTCCTTTATCAACTTTCAACTCACCTAATTAGTCATTACTACTTTTCATATATTGTGAAACAACTACTAGTAATAAAAGGTTGACTAAATACTTTAAAATTATACATGAACAGCGATTAATGAATACGACAAAGGCGGGTGAAAAGCTGACTATTTTTAAAATTAAAAGCATATCTCAGCTGATGATAGTAAAATAAAAATAAATTTAGTACTAAAGATTTCATTTATTGAACACGCAGTGCCATTGACCGCATTGGTAACCGGGTGGTCCCGTTAACTCCAAATACACCAATCGATTATCTAAAGGTTAATCCAACGGTCGATCTGTAAATGCTAGTGTTGACTATGTTTATGATTTTATGAACCTAGAAAAGTAGAAATCTCAAACCAGCTAGGCACCATGAGGTTATCCTCACGTGTCGACTTTGCAATGTCTCATTTAGTATTGATATCGTTAGCGAGCTGTCTCGTTTCTTACCCAAAAAACCCGAAGAAAAAGGTAACAATAAATTATGAAAAACGATTGAATACATCCGGAAATTTTCAAAATGGTAACATTAATCGCTGTTCTAGTAGAATTTTAAAATCTCTAGTCAAACCTTTATCTAACATTAAAATACATCTATATACTGCATTATTTCTTAGCAGAGAATACCATTATTTTTTACAATTATCTTTTGTTCTAATTATATGGAAACTCGAGTTTAGAAACATTTTGAAAATGAATTTTATCAGAAATGTATAAATGCATTTATAAAAAATGTATTCGTCAAAGTCTTAATTCATAGACAATACACCATTTGGATTTATATTGGAAACGTGATAAAACAAAACTTACATTTTTCATTTGTTATATAATAAGTAAGGTAGAGATATGTCTGATACATTTAAAAAAGATAGTGTGAAAACTATATGACATACCAATTATTAGTATGAAACACTTCAAACATTATTATTATATTTTGTATTAGAATTATGTTGTTTCGAACGTTTTAAAAAATTTGGTATGAATGTTTAATGTTTTAATTATTATTGAATATTTATCATTCAAGGCAATCTCGCTTTTGACATGTTTTGTTTTATTTTTATATTTATAGACAACAAATTGCTTGTGAATGCGTTTTTTCTTGGGAACTCCAAATTTTGGAGGTAATAGAATACTAATCCCTCTGTTTTATAAAGAATGTTGTTTTAGAGTTTTATTAAGTATTAAAATGACACTCTTTCTTAATCGTACCGGTTAAGAAAAACTATACCATAAGGTATAAGGTATGTGAATAGAACGTGTTGTGTGTGGTTATAACGTGTCATTGACGCAGAACAAAACCAATGGGTTGTTATTTAAAACACCTTTTTTTTTGTCAACGATTAAATTATAACATGGGGTAGTTGACCCGACCGAGTTGTAATATTATTGTCGTGCACGTCTATCACCCATGTAGTTAAATTGCAATGCAAGAAAATCCCACTGATGATCTTTTTCTTTTCTTTTCTTTTACATACATATGATAGATAGATGATTACATATCCAAACCCATGATGAAGTTAACTCAGTTCTTTCTTCTTCATTTTTTTATCAACAATTTCATAATTAATATTGATTTATATATAAGTGGAATATCTAAGTGTAAAAACTCCCATATTTGGGATTAGATATTCGTCTAAGCGATAAAAAATAAACAATCGAGTACTCAATTAAATTTTAAAAAAAAATTTGCTAACAAGGTTCAGTTCTTCCAAGTTCCAAGCTACAGTATATATATCTAGAAGATATTATGTTCCCATACCTTCTCTGCGATTGATCCTACAGCAAATAATAGTTCCCATAGTTTTTTTCTTTGCAATATTTAATTAAGTTTTTTTCTAACGAGCAGGTGAAAGAAACGTGTTCGTTGCATGTTGTTTGTATACAATATTACGTATTATTGTCACTCATATATGATTTGTTATTCGATCGAAGCTTCGTATTTCTAATATTGTCTACGTGTTAATATCATTATATAAATTATAAGTTATCGAACGGCCCATATTCTATTCTCAACAGAAGTTAGTGGGAGTTTGAAAGATTAAATCTCTCTTTATCAAAAAGAAGATAACATACTCGACCTGATCATGATTTACACTATAATTATTGTTATTAACTCGAAAGTCTCGAATGGAATCCGTCTTATCGAACCCACTGAGTACACAAGAAGGTTTGGGCCCACAGTTTTACCTTTATGAACAAGTCAAACGTATATTCTATAAACATTGACTGTCTACAGTACACATATGAACACACGGATTTAACACGCGTGATTCTTATCTTACCATTTACGTTTTGACTAAAATTATTCTCAATTTTTTTTGTTTATGCTAATCATATTATCACTGAATAATATTTCATTAGTTTTACCACAGGATGTATGGTTTTTCATTAATTTTCGAAATACAAATACTTTGATCACTAACTAAAGAGAGACTAGAGGTAAAAGGGAGAAATACGAGATAATAAACAAACAAATACAAAACCAAGTAGTTGTAAGGCCATTATGTTATTATATGCATTTTTTACATATTTGTAATTGTAACCAATCAATTTTGGACCGGAAACTAGAGGAGATTCAGTTGGTTTCTTCTTCGTCGCCAGTGTTCAAACTTGGGATTCTCCCAAAATTATCTTTTCGGGTGGCCATGTATTGTGGAGGTTGAGCTATCACACCGGATACGTTTGTATTATGTCTTACAAATCGGATGTGATTTTACTTTCCTACGTGCATAATCCACTTTGTATAATCGGATAAGTTTGTATTATGTCCACTTTCTTTCTTCTACAAATATCAATTGTCTACAATGGTATGCATGTTCGAAGCTAAGGTTCTTACAAATTTTGTTACCGTTATGATAAAATCAGTGACATAGACAATGAAAGAAAGCCGTAAGGAAGAATATGTAAAGAAATAAAAATGAAAGTGGAATCCAATGTGGACTTCAACTAGATGTTATATGATTCCTCATTTATTTTATATATATTTCTATATTATTTATTTTTAACTTATATATGGTCCATGTAATATGGATGTAACGTTGGGTGTCGAATATTTTGCTTTATAATGTTCACTTTATCGTTTAAACAATAAGCTGCACATGGTAGTCTCGGAAGATGAAATGTATAATATAACCCGTATTATTAAAAACGAAATAAATTATTAGCCCAAGAGGCCACGAAATAGAATCTGAAAAGTTTTATATTGCTCGTTTGACTTTGTGTTAAATATGTAATTATAAAAAGATAACCCACTTAAAATAAATATCCGTATCAACTAGACAGTTTATAAAGATTTGATTCTGGTTCAACAAATAGACGAAACATGCTCCATATGCTATCATATCCACCTATATAATAAACGAAGAAGCATACATATCGCAATCATGGCCGGTTCAACGAGATAAATAGTTTAATTTAGCTTGTCTTGATACTTATTATGATAGTTTGGTAATTTATGACCACATTTTCAAATGAATTGAAGTTAATTAGATGAAAGAGTTTTGATCTCATGCCATGTGATGCAGTATCTGCTTCTGGTTTGAATTCCCCCTGAGGCAGTCAGTATTCCCATTAGGCAGAATTATAAAATTCCAATCTATATGCGCATTGTGATAATAATGGTTTTGGGTTACTCTACTATTCTAAAGAATATATTTAGTATAAGTCTCTTGCACAAAAAAAAAGAGGATTTAGTCTAAATCATGGTTAAGCAAAACTTAACTTACGTTATCAAATTCCTAGACATACAATTAGTATAAGAACCAGCTTGGGTTTTTACTTCTTACCCGCAGTTTTAATCTACAACAAGTTTATTACGTTACGTATGTTATAGTTGGTACACTATCCAAACCCGGCCGGGCATAACCCGAAAACCCGATTATCCGATTATAGTCCATCGGATAAGTTTGGAGCCGGGTCGGGTTATTATCTCTGTTGTTTGTTTGCCTTTGCCAATCGTTTGGTTTCCAAAATCAACAGAGAAAAACCATGGCGAGACTCTTCGTCTCTATCCCTATGCAACCCAAACAAACTGCCTTCTCCGCGTTTTCTCAGCCGCTACTACCGCCGCCGGCGAACAATTTCCTCGACGGAGTAGGAGGAGCCGGGGGGTTATGTCTTACCCGGAGAATCAGAGACTGTTCCGTCGTGGCGCGAGCGGGGCCCAGCACGAGTAGCTACTTGTTTGCGTTCGCCATTCCGGCTACTCTTATCGCCGCCACCGTCTTCACTTCAATCAAAATCGCTGATAAGCTCGACGAAGATTTCCTTGAGGATGTAAGATCGCCGTTTCCACAAATTTTTTTTCTAATACATATATGTCAGTTCTAAACTCTCAGATTCGATTTTCGTCTTTGTTCAAATTGTGGGAAACAATGGTTTTAAGAAACTTTTCAGTAATGAATTTGGGTCCAGCTTGGTTCTACTTTTGTTAAAGTTCTTGAATTTATGTTTGATATGCTTATAATATGATGCAGAAATGCTCCATTTGCATCCTAGCAGAATTGTGTATCTCTGTGATAAATCACTTTTAACGAAAGTCTATGCTTTTCTCTCTTAGTAGTGTCAATAATAATCACTAATACATAATTAGCTCTTTCTGATTGATCCCTGTTTTTAAACAATGACTCATGTTACTGTATCCAGCCTGGTCTTAATCTATCCATATGATCTGTGAAACTAACATCAAATATGATTATTCTTCTGCAGATTGCGATGAACCAAGCGCTAAAAGCAGCAGAAGAAGGAGAGAATGCTGAAGGTGAAATCTCAATGGACGATTTGATAAAAGAACCCGTGATTCAACGAACGCGTAAACGGCCTAAACGTGAAGTTTAAACAAACACATATAAAGCTTCTTTTTCTTTCAACTCTTCAAAAATCCGATGACTGTGTTATATAATATGCCGTGTTTTGTATAAGAGTGTAAGCTTGTAGCCTCCTTCCTGGTCACATTTATAGCTGTAGTTACTGAAAATTACAATACGTTTTGATCATTTGTAAAAAAAAACACAGATGATGAATCAATTGCCTCATTACATATCCGTTCCATAGAGCTGAAACAATGGCATATTCTATTTCTATGCCGATTGCTGTGATCCGAGCTTTCTTTTGCGGTAATTTTATAGTTATGGAAGAAGTAGAAGGGTGTATTTGTTATTAGCTTTAAATGAATTACAAATTGGGCTTTTAGGCCCAGTTTGAGTCTTTTTTACGGGATGGTTTTGAAGTAACGAAGAATTTTTCTCTCGTCTTCAAATCGACGTCTGTGTGAGGTTGAATCGCGTCGCGTTTCATTCTACAGTTTTCATTTTTTTCCTTTCGTTTTCAAACGAACACAACACACCAGCTAAAGGCCATTTGCGTTAGATCTAAGGAGAGAGCGACGCATAGGTTTTCTAGCAAATTGTCTCTGGGCAAGGCGAATTAACGACGCGACGAGAAACTCGATTTCAGTCTCCCTTGGAGTCTTCTCTTCGACCGATCGAGGGTATGGTTTAGCTCAGTTTCGGAAATTCTGTAGCATATTATCGAATTTCTGTGTGAAATTTTGATCTCTTATTGCTGCTTTTAGATACCGGTATGGATTTAGCTTCTGTGTGTGTTTTAATGGGTGTGTGTAATTTCTATTGAATCTGGAGATTAGTTTCCGTTTAGTTGCCCCACGATCTGTTGTTGCTTTGGCAAGCCTTTTTATTTGGTTTTGATTCGTGTTGTTCAGAAAGAATATTCAAATTCTCTGCCACTATTGTGTCGGTGCTCTGTGATATCATACAAGTTTGTTGATTTTGCTCCGTTTTTGTTGTTGCATCCTGCGTCATCAGAAAGTAGGAACCATGGTGATCCAGATTTGGTGTTAATCCACGAAGAGTCATTGTGGGAACAACAACATAGAGAATCGAATGGACAAGAAAAAGAACCGTGCTGATCCACTCGCTGCTGGGCGCCAGAAGGTTAGTTTCGCTTTCCTTAAGCATACCTCTTCATAATTTGGGTAAATTTGCTCTAGACTACTATCACCAAATGTCAGTAGGAAGAGAGAGGACACTGTGTTTCATTTCCTTCTTGAAACCCATCAGACAAGTTGGAAAATGTTTCTGTCATGCTAGCTTATATCGTCTAAGTTTATATTATAGAAGGAACAAATTGATAGCCTTGTTTCTTGATAATGTGTTCTTTCTTTCTTCCAGTTACAAGAATTTGGAAAATATGTTGGTGCTATGTCTTGTGCAACTTGTCTCCACAGTCTATATTTGATTGCTTGTCTTGCCTTGTTTAATAGCCAAGTTTCTTAATTTCATTTCAGCTCCAACAATTTCGTCAAAAGAAGGCTGACAAAAGCACTGATCATAAAAAGGACGCCAAGGGCAGTACAAGCCAAGGAAAATCCTCTAAAAAGTCTGGTAAATCTGAGAAGCACGAGCGTAAACCTGACACAAGTTCTGTCAATGACGAAGCAGAAGCTCCGGCTAATGTTGCTGCATCTCATGTGAATATTGGTGAGGAGGTTGTTGATTCTCCACAAACTTCTGCAAATGCGTTAGCCCACGAGTATGTTTCAGTCCATGGTTCATCATCAGAGCCTGATACGCTTCAGCCAGGAAACACCCCAGAAACTTCTGATAATGGAGCTGAACTGAGAAAAGAAGTAGCGAATTCTGAAAATGACATCAGCATATCATTATCCCCCACTGAAGAAGAGAATATGAAGAGTATCGACAGTGGAGCGGCTGGCACAATTGATTCTTTAACATCTGACCCTGCACATTCTGGGAAGGGAGTTACCCATGACGATGCACCTATTAGTGTTGACGGAATCTTTGCTGCTTCTGGAAACCCAGCGGAGGGGGAAGGAGTTGAAGTTGCAAGTGGATCTGGGAATGTGGAAAACCCCCATCAGCCATCCCCTTTGCATGAATTTATTCCTGATGTTTCCTTGATTCGTCCAAGGGGAGATCAGATAACTGATGTAGGTTGTTCTCTCCTTCTCTTCATGCTTCTCTCTTCAATAATTTTCTTTATCTCTTTTTCTGTGATAGGGGTAAAGAGATTAGTTCAATTGCATGCGTCCTTAATTCAATTCTCATTTGGTTCTGGGTAGGGGAAATGCAGGAAGACGATGGTTCACACAAGGATGCAGATGTGGATAGGATTGCAACTGAAGAAGGGCAAACAAGCCATGCAGCCGTTGTGGATTCATCTGCTTCTCCTTCTCACGTTTCAGAGGGATCCTCAGTTACATTTGATTCAGTTGAACTAGAAGGAACAAATGGTAAAATTAGAAGCCAACAGACTAACGAAGCTGCCGTCCTTAATGAAGAGAAATTAGAGTCATCCATTGGTTTTCGTAATAACAGAGATCAAGTGCTTTCAGCTGAACCTGAGGAAAGCTCTGTTGCAGATGTGGCTAGTCAGTTGCAAGTGCCCGAGAGCGTTAGTAAAATGGACACATTAGATCCATCTGGAGAAGTTTCTGTTGCTCATGTTCATGAAGGCCCCTCAGTCAGCTTCTTACAGCTTATGGATATCGTACAGGGACTTGGACAAGATGAATTTCAAGTTTTGTGCAACGCAAGAGAGGCTGTTTCCAGTACTGTGCCAGGAACAAGTTCGTTGGAGCGATTAAGAGAAGAACTGTTTGTTTCGAGAACCATGGACGATATACGCCATGTGCAACTCACAGAACATTCTCTTCTACAAAACGAGTTTGATCACCAACATAACCAATTGGTAGCTGAAATATCACAGCTTCGTGCATCATATCATGCGGTGACAGAGAGGAATGATTCTCTTCTGGAGGAACTATCAGAGTGCCAGTCTAGTCTCTCTGCGGCTACCAGCTCAAATGAGAAGCTCGAAAATCAGCTTCTTGCTACAGAGGCACAAGTGGAGGATTTCACTGCTAAGATGAATGAGTTGCAGCTTAGTCTAGAAAAGTCCTTATTGGATCTATCTGAGGTGAAGGAAAAGTTCATCAATCTTCAGGTGGAGAATGATACGTTGGTTGCAATTATATCTTCTTGGAATGATGAGAAAAAGGAACTTCTTGAAGAGAAAGAATCCAAGAACTATGAGATTGAGCATCTCTCATCTGAGTTATGCAATTGCAAGAACTCGGAGGCCATACTTAAGGCAGAAGTTGAGCGATTGGAAAAAACTATTGGTCCGTTGACAGATGAGAAGATAAATCTTGTCGAGGAAAAATGTAATATGTTAGGTGAGGCAGAGAAGTTACAGGAAGAATTGGCAAACTGTAAGACTTTGCTCACCTTGCAAGAGGTGGAAAGTTCAAACATAAGGGAGACGCTTTCTTTACTGACAGGCCAGCAGACCAAGCTTGAAGAGGATAACCTACGAATCAGAGAAGAAAATGAGAAAGCACATTTAGAACTGAGTGCACATCTGATCTCGGAGACTTATTTATTGTCTGAGTATTCCAATCTGAAGGAAGGGTATTCTTTGCTGAATAATAAGATCTTGAAGTTTCAAGAGGAGAAGGAACATTTGGTTGAGGAAAATGATAAACTTACGCATGAGCTTCTTACTCTTCAAGAGCGTATGTCTACTGTACAAGAAGAGCGTACTCATCTAGCAGTTGAATTAGGAGAAGCAACAGCGCGCCTTGATAAACTGGCTGAAGAAAATACATCTCTGAGTAGCAGCATCGAGGTAAAAAAAGCTAGAATGGTAGACATTGGTAACGAGGATACTTCAGGATTGATCAATCAGGAGATATCTGAAACATTTGGTAGAAGTCTAGAAGTCGGTGTTACAAGTAAAGAGAATCCACCTTTTGTTGAAAATACCTGCCAAAGTCCCGGGATACAGCTTACAAATTTGGAGGAGGTAATGGACGATTCTTCTGCGTTTTCTGCCTTGAACAAGAATCTGGAGAGGGGGGAGAAAATGGTTCAGAACTTGGATGAGGCAATTAAGCAGATCCTCACCGATTCTTCATCGAGTAAGTCTAGCAATAAATCTGACACGCAAGCAGTATCAAAACTGATTCAGGCTTTTGAGTCAAAGCGACAACAGGAAGAACATGAATCTGAAAAAGCACAGTTAACAGGTGATCAGTCGGACGAATTTGGTTCTGTGAATGTGCAGATTAGAAATTTGAGAGGCTTGCTTGAACAGTTAGTGTTGAATGCTAAGAAAGCGGGTATACAATTCAATCAGTTAAATGATGTCAGGATAGCGACAAATCAACGACTCGAGGAGTTTAGTGTCGAATTTGCATCTCACCAGGACCACATTAATTTCCTGGAAGCAGATGCTATTGAGAATACAATTTCGTCTGAAGCTCTAAAGAATTACTCTTACGAGCTGCAACTCAAAAACCAGGAACTTGAATTTCTCTGCGAATCATTGAAGCTGAGAAATGATAGTATCGGTCTAGAAAACACGGAGCTCAACAAGAAGCTAAATTCTTGCTTATCGAGAATCTGTGAGCTTGAAATTCAGCTGGAAAGCTTGCAGGATAATTTAAGTAGCATGTTGTCCTCAATGGAAGAACAGTTGGTGGCCTTGCAGGATGAATCTGAGAAGGCAATGATGCTAGAACATAAATTGACATCATCAATGTCTGAATTTGGTGATGCAGTTGTGAGACTTGATGATTGTTTGCTCAGATTTGGCACTGCTGAAGCTCACGTCGTCGGCGTAGATATGACCAAGCGTATGTCTGGCTCTGTTGACATGGCTGTAAAGGTGATTGGCGACTTGGAGGAAAAACTAGCAGTTGCTTATGCGATGCAGGAGTCCTCCTCTAACAAATGTGAGGAGTTGAATCAGAGTCTCAACACTCTGCTTGAGAAAAATGAATTTGTAACGGCTTCAATGCATAAGTTCTATGCTGATCTGACGAAACTGATCACTGAACCATACGGGTCTGTGGAGGTGGCCAAACTAAAAGTTGAAAATCTAGCTGTCGCTGATCCTTTTAATGATGGTAATTGTGAGAATTTGATGGAGGCTGTGCGAAATATTATTTCTGAGAGGCGCGAACTTCAGCCTGTGATTGATAAGCTACAGTCGGACTTGTTGAGTAAAACAAACGATATGGAAGAACTTACGGTACGAAGCCTGGATCCCACTTCACTTCGAGAGTTACTTGAGAAAGTTGAGGGTGTTCTGGAACTTGAAAGTGGTGGAGATAGTTTTGAATCCCCTAGTTCATATGTGGAGTTTCTGGTTTCTCAACTTGTTCAGAGGTTTATAGAGGCTGAGGACTTGGCTAATCTCATCAGGAAACAGTTAGATGCCAAGGAGAATGAGCTGATGGAGATCCAGGAGAGTTTACTGCACCATAAAACTGAAATGGGTGGCCTCAGGGAAAATTTAAGACAGGCAGAAGAGTCCCTTGTGGCTGTACGATCTGAGTTACAAGAGAAATCTAATGAACTTGAACAATCAGAGCAGAGGTTATTATCGACTAGAGAGAAGCTTAGTATAGCTGTGGCAAAAGGAAAAGGTTTGATTGTTCAGCGTGACAATATCAAGCAATCGCTGGCCAAAACCTCTGCTGAACTGCAGAGGTGCTCGGAGGAATTGAGTTTGAAGGACACAAGGCTTCAGGAAGTAGAAGCGAAACTCAAGACCTATACAGAGGCAGGTGAACGTGTGGAGGCATTAGAATCTGAGCTTTCTTACATCCGAAACTCAGCTACTGCACTTCGAGAATCGTTTCTTCTCAAAGACTCTCTGCTTCACAGAATCGAAGAAATCTTGGAAGATTTGGATCTCCCAGAGCATTTTCATGCTCGGGATATACTCGACAAGGTGGAGTGGTTAGCAAGATCAACTAACGGCAACTCTTTGCGTCCCTCTGATTGGGATCAGAAGAGTTCTGATGGAGGTGCGGGATATATTGTCTCAGAACCCTGGAGAGAGGATGGTCAAACTGGCACAAATTCTGAGGATGACTTAAGGATCAAGTTCGAGGAGCTCCAGGGGAAGTTTTATGGGTTGGCTGAACAGAATGAAATGCTGGAGCAATCATTGATGCACAGGAATAATTTGGTTCAGAAATGGGAAGCACTCCTAGGGAATATTGATATGCCTCCACAGCTGAAGTCAATGGAAATGGAAAACAAGATTGAGTGGCTTGCAAGTACAATATCAGAGGCTATTAATGAAAAGCATACTCTCCAACAGAAGATTGATAACCTTGAAGTCGATTGTCAATCATTAAGTGCTGATTTGGAAGTCTCACAGAAGCAAGTAGATGATGTCGAGGCAAATCTTCAGTCGGTTGATAATGAGAGGGTGAGTCTTTCTAAAAGACTGGAAACTCTGAATGGTGATCACGAGAATCTTTCTGCTAGGGCCAATGACCTTGAAGTTGAGAATGAGAAACTGCAAAATCAAGTTAAAGATCTGCATGGAAAATTGGTGGTGAATCTTGGAAATGAAGAGCAACTTGAGACTATTGAAGGAGACCTTTTGAGATTGAGGTACACGATTAATGATGTTATACAGGAAGATGACTTGCAGGATTTGGCTTTAGCAAGTAATTCTGAGACCTTGGATGGACTTCTGAGAAAACTGATAGTCCATTATAAGAATTTGGTGAAATCGAGTTTGCCACCTGACATAGATGACAGCTTCGGTGAAACTCGTCCACCAAATGCTGATGTTAGAAGCAGAGAGTCATTGGGTACACATGAAGCAACTTCTCATGGGCACCATCCTGAATTGACTGATTCTAATGTAGTGGAAGCAACAAGTAGAGACATAGCAGTCGTAGAGACACCTGACGTAGCTTCCCTAACAAGAGATCTGGATGAGGCACTGCATGTCCAAAAGCTGACAAGGGAAGAAAGGGATTTGTATATGGAAAAACAGCAATCCTTGGTTGCTGAAAATGAGGCACTTGATAAGAAAATCATAGAATTGCAGGAGTTTCTTAAACAAGAAGAACAGAAGTCAGCCTCTGTAAGAGAGAAGTTAAACGTAGCTGTCCGGAAAGGGAAAGCTTTGGTCCAACAAAGGGATAGCCTGAAGCAAACTATTGAGGAGATGAACGCTGAGCACGGTCGCCTGAAATCAGAGATTATCAACCGAGACGAAATGCTCGTGGAAAATGAAAACAAATTTAGGGAGTTGGAATCTGACACTATGAGGGTAGAAGCCCTAGAGTCTGAGTACCAATCGTTGAAGTATCAATTGCAAGAAACTGAAAATATTTTGCAGGAAAGAAATGGTACATTGAGCATGACATTGAATGCGTTGAATAGCATCGATATTGGTGATGAAGGTGACAGATATGACCCAGTTCTGAAGCTTCAACGGATCTCACAACTGTTTCAGAATATGAGTACAGCTGTGTCTTCTGCTGAGCAGGAGTCCAGAAAATCTAGAAGAGCAGCTGAGTTGCTACTTGCAGAGTTGAACGAGGTTCAAGAGAGAAACGATAGTCTGCAGGAGGAGCTATCAAAGTTTACATATGAAATTCAGCAACTTTCCAGACAGAAGGATGCAGCGGAGGCTGCAAAAGTTGAAGCCATATCACATTGTGAAAATTTATCAGTGGTCAACAATGAAGAAAAGAAGAAGCTATATGCGCAACTACTGTCCTTTGGAACTAGTGTGAACACTCTGAGGAAAATACTCGCAGGTACCAACAGTTGCCTAGCTGATATTTTCACCATGGATATGGAGTTTCTGCATCATCTGAAGGCAAATATGGAATCATGTGCGAAGCAAACGGGTACTAATTTGTCTGGCTGGCCGCAACTAAATATTGTAGACAAGGTACTTTAGATCCTTCCCACAGCTCACTATGGTATACTTTCAATTTTTTTCTTCCACTGACTGCTTCTGAATATATTTTTTCCCCTTTCTTCTTAGGAAATCTTTTCACGCTTGAGTGCTGCCTTGTCTAATGACAACGTGCGTGAGATTTCGAGTGGTGGAAACATAACCGAATTTTGTGGTTCTCTATCACGAAACCTTGATCAAGTTGTGGCCGATGTTAGCCACCTTGAAGAGAATGTAAGCAAGCACTTGGCATCATGGCATGACCAGGTCAACATTGTATCCAACAGTATCGACACCTTTTTCAAGTCAATAGGAACGGGAACAGACTCAGAAATTGCCGCTTTGGGTGAAAGAACTGCGTTGCTTTATGGAGCATGTTCTAGCGCGTTGGCGGAAATTGAAAGCCGTAAGGCTGAACTGGTTGGAAACGATAATTTCAATCAAGTAGAAGAAGATTTTTCGTCCATTGAATCTGTCAGGTCCATGGTAAATAGGCTATCGTCCGCTGTTAAAGAGCTTGTTGTAGCAAATGCTGAGACTGTGGAGAGAAATGAAAAGGAGATGAAGGTAATCATCGCAAATTTGCAAAGGGAGTTGCACGAAAAGGACATTCAAAATGATAGGATGTGCAATGAACTTGTGGGTCAAGTTAAGGAAGCCCAGGCTGGTGCTAAAATCTTTGCTGAAGATCTTCAGTCTGCAAGCGCGCGGATGCGTGATATGCAAGACCAGCTGGGCATTTTGGTGCGGGAACGGGATTCTATGAAGGAGAGAGTAGAAGAGCTGCAAGAAGGGCAGGCCTCACACTCGGAATTACAGGAGAAGTTCACATCGCTTAGTAGTCTACTAGCTGCAAAAGACCAAGGTCAGTTTTGCAATCTTAACCTTTTCTTTTTCCACCGCCACACATATAGCTAATACATAATTACTTCATGCAGAAATCGAGGCATTAATGCAAGCGCTTGACGAGGAAGAGTCTCAGATGGAGGATCTGAAACACAGGGTTACGGAATTAGAACAACAAGTGCAACAGAAGAACCTAGATTTGCAGAAAGCTGAAACTTCTCGTGGGAAGATTTCCAAGAAGCTATCAGTTACTGTGGCTAAATTCGATGAGCTCCATCATCTCTCTGAAAATCTTCTAGCTGAAATCGAGAAACTTCAACAACAAGTGCAAGATCGGGATACCGAGGTATCTTTCTTAAGACAAGAAGTCACTAGGTGCACCAATGAGGCTCTTGTTGCTTCTCAAATGGACACTAAGAGAGATTCAGAAGAGATCCAAACTGTACTGTCTTGGTTCGACACAATAGCTTCACTACTAGGTCTAGAAGATTCACCTTCCAGTGATGCTCACAGTCACATAAACCGCTACATGGAGACACTTGAGAAAAGGATTGCGTCTATCCTATCTGAAGTAGAGGAATTACAGTTGGTCGGACAAAGCAAGGATTCGTTGCTGGAAGCTGAGAGGAGTAGAGTGGCTGAGCTCAGACAGAAAGAAGCAACTCTTGAGAAAATATTACATGAGAAGGAATCCCAACCAAACATGTCAACAAGCTCGACTTCAGAGATCGTTGAAGTGGAACCTCTGGTAAGATTAGAGCTTGTTGGATAATTTCAACATTCCAGATGGTGCGTCAAAATGATTACATTTTAAATTTTCTTCGGTATTGCAGATAAACAAGTGGACGGCGAGTGGAACATCGATCCCATCTCAAGTCAGGAGTTTGCGTAAGGGAAACAACGATCAAGTTGCCATTAGTATAGATGCAGATCACGCTGATCAAAGCCGTAGCTTAGAAGAAGATGATGATAAAGGTAACTAAACTAGTCCCTTAGTATTTTTTTACTTTAGTTAACCGGCTACACGTTCTCATTATAACATTTCCAATTTGTTTTTTTTGTTTCTCTTTAGCTCATGGTTTCAGATCACTCTCTACGTCAAGAATCGTTCCTAGATTCACAAGACCAGTGACTAACATGATCGATGGTTTATGGTTAGGCTCTCTTCATCCATCGATCTCGTTCGATCTGGAAACTCTTGATTGCGGTCTAATGAAAGCGATCCTTTTCTTTTCAGGGTCTCCTGTGACAGGACGCTCATGAGACAACCTGCCTTACGGTTAAGCATAATGATTTACTGGGCAATATTGCATACTCTTTTGGCTACTTTCGTGGTCTAACCAATACCTCCAATTTCGTAAGCTCATTACTAACTTTTTTTCTTTTCTTTATAAATCAAATAGTTTCAAACATCAGCTTAGTCATTTTCCAATCGTAATGCCTGTTTTTATTATTATTGTCTTTCGCAGCTGGTCTCTCGTTACGGCAATGGCTCCTCAAAGTCAAAGTGCGTGTTGTTTTCACTATAAGTTTTTGTCCTTTTATTCATTGTTTAGCTTTTATTAACCAAGCAAACTGTGATTTCACCATTTTTATTGATCCGAATCACAAACTGCTTGGCGTTACAACCGAATAAGAAAAAAAAGTTTATGTAGTAGCTGTTGAAAAAGATTAGCAGAGACACATAAGTTACTGTTTTTTCAATTATTTTATACGAAATTCACCGAGTAAGAACGAAGATGGTACTGATATCATCATCATTCGAAATTTGTTGCTATCGGTAAGAGTTAATTTAATTCCGTTTACCTCTTTCGCTGCGGTCTCAAAACTTGCATTCAACTGCTAGCATTATCGGCCTCAAAACGCCACTATCGAGCCCAACTAATAAGTTCGAACTGTAACCCAATTTATATATATCTGCTTAATTTGGGCTTTTACCTTCACCGTGTTAAGAAGTTTAACGCGCTTTACAAATTCGGAGGTGTATTTCTTTCAATTTCAGATTCAGAAACCCTAGTTTCCACCACGAGACGCGAAACAAAAACCGCCTTCTTTTTTTTTTTCTTTTGTCATCTCGTCTCGGAGCCGCTTGATTGCTTTCGGCTATTCTCATTAGGTAAGTGACGCCAAGTTTCTTCGTCTCTTCACGCTCTTCGTTTTGTTCTTTGATTCCTCTTTGTCCGATCTGTTTAGTTTGATTGGGCTCCTTCTGTGGATCTAGAGAACACTGTATACCTGGATCGAGAACTTTCTCTGTGTTTTGTTTTTCCTTCCTCACCTTTTTTGGTTTCAATATTGAACAATTCTCGATGAACTCTGATTTCAACGTTTTATAATTCTGCCTTATTGAAACTACTTTTGTTTGTGCCAATTGACACAGGTTATCGAACAAAATGTCACGTGTGTATGTGGGAAATTTGGACCCGCGAGTTACTGAGCGTGAACTCGAGGATGAGTTTCGTGTCTATGGAGTTATCAAGAGGTGAGAATCGCCCCAATCAATCAATTCGTTCTACTTTGGATGTTAAGTATCTATTTTTGCGTTTGTGTAATGTTTCATATTTTTATGTGCAGTGTTTGGGTTGCCCGTAGACCACCTGGCTACGCTTTTCTAGATTTCGAGGATCCTAGGGATGCTCGTGATGCCATCCGTGATTTAGATGGTAAATTCCTTCACATTCTACTCTCCAAGAACTTGACATTGGGTTTCGAATTACACTTGTGATCTATAAGTTAGAAATTGACATTGATGGATAGGCAAGAACGGTTGGAGGGTGGAACAGTCTCACAACCGAGGTGGAGGCGGCCGTGGTGGTGACCGTGGCGGCGACCGTGGAGGCGATCGCGGAGGCCGTGGTGGTCGTGGCGGTTCTGATTTGAAGTGCTATGAGTGTGGCGAGCCTGGTCATTTTGCACGTGAATGCCGTAACCGTGGTGGCACGGGAAGGCGTCGCAGCCGGAGCAGGAGTCGCAGTCCGAGATACAGGAGGAGCCCAAGCTATGGACGGAGGTCTGTTCTGCTGATTTTTGTTTACATTTTGGTCCCTTGTCTTCCTTATCTGCTTCTGGCTTCTCTGTACGGATGGGTTAATGTGTCTTTTTTTTTTAATGGCTCCAGGAGTTATAGCCCTCGCGCAAGATCTCCTCTTCCACCAAGGCGTCGCAGCCCTACTCCTCCTCCTGCTCGTGGTCGCAGCTACAGTAGATCACCACCTCCTTACAGAGGGCGTGAGGAATTGCCTTATGCTAATGGGTAAAACTTCTTTTGCCTTGGTCTCTTTATCTGTAATACACTGAGTTTATGGTTGATATGGAAATTGAATTTTTGGGTGTTCGATAAGTTTTCTTGAATAGGAATTTCAGCGTCTTCTTCACATGCTTCTTGATTCGTCCCGTTGCTTTGCTATGTCTTTCCAGTTGTGGATGTGGGTAATTCAAACTTTTGTTCTTGTTTCTGCAGAAATGGACTGAAAGATAGACGCAGAAGCCGGAGTTGAGAGTTTATGCTGGAATGATGAAGAAGTACTACTTAGCTTTGGAACGGAAGAGAACTTAAGGAAAATTGCTATCATCTATGAATTTTCAGTAAGAGAACATGTTTAAGGTGGTCGGGGTTGGATAAAAAGCTTGCTACGTTTGCATTTGGGATATGAAGCGTATGTAGTTGTGTGTGTCTGCGCATTAGGTAAAAAACATTCTAATTTGTACCCCTAGTTTCTTGAAAGACATAAATGTTTCGTTTGGAAAATCTGCTAAAATGCCTATGCGTTTCTTTTTGTTTCTTGTGTGTTTCACTGCGTCGAGGTTTCTTCTGGTCTACTACTACTACTAGTTGCTTCATTGCTTATCTGCTTGCTTCTCTACTCTTCTCCTATGAAGCATCATTTAGTTGCTCGGCCTGCTATGGGAAAGTTAAACCACGATTGTGGATCCCTTCTTGTCTTGCTTCTGCTTCTGCTTCGCTTCATCTTCGTCTTCATGGCTTATCTTTTCATCGCTTATCTTTTCGTGAACTTGAGCTGCATCACTTGGCAGGTACTATAAAATCTGCTCCATGAAAGATTCTCAACACGTTGTAGACCCCTCTAAGCACCTCTTTAGTGAATGTTGTGGACCCTTAGGAGCCTAGTTTTAGTTGGCTAATGGGTCTCAATTTGGTGTTATCGACTCAAAAGTTGTTAAACTGTTTGCCTTGTAAAGTTTTATTCTAATTTTGAAGTGTAAATTGCCTAAACTGAAGATTGATGTCATTGCTTTTATTGAAGTTAATGTGCATCCGTTTCCGCAACTAATTCATTCTCTTCTCCCCAACAAAAACCACTGGCCACGTTTCCATGTTAGTGAGTAGTAGGAGAAATAAATAAATTATTTTTAATAACAAAGTAAACGAAGACAGCGTTCTGCCATGTCCACAAATAATGAAGGCTAGAAAAGCAAAAGAGACAAGATCATGATCCTAGTTCGGTCCCAAATCATCAACAAACCCACCGAATTAAAAGAAGTTCGGTCCCATTCTTCACTTCCCCATCATGCAATTGATTGTTATATATGACGTAAACCTGTCTGTTTTTTCTGCAATACACTTTATATGCTTCGTCTCACTCCACTTTTCCCTGCCGACACTTTTTTTGCTCCACGTTTCTTCGCTTTTCACCGACACTAAGATGAGAAATTCCTAAGATCAATAAATGGTCTCTCTTTCTTGTTTCAATCTAGTCAGAACCTGGTTCTTGCTCGTTATTTACAGTTACAGTCTCGATTTTGGCTCACAGGTTGGGCTTTAAATTGCAAATTCTCTGCAGTTGATTTGACATGGATCTTCTTGTATTTTAGTTCAAGACAAAAGCTCTTTTTAACTGCCAACAACATGTTCCAACTTTACAGATATTGTATACATGTATGAATTTCTGGCTCACACTCTATCCTAAACAATGGACGAATCAAACAAACATGTAACAAACAAACAAACAAACCGTGATATAAAATTAATGCCTACCACTATGGTTCCAACAATCTCATTACAGAGGATACCATTGAACATAAGAGGAAACGGGTAATCAAACTCACTGATTTATTGACCCGAGTTACGGAATCTGTGAAGGGCTTCATTGGTTTTTTCTCAGCTCATCTGCTCGCCTATGAGGTCGAGACCCACGAGAAGAAAGGTGACACCTTGGAATAACAGGAAGTAGAAATGCACTCCCTGAGCCGCCAAGAGACTCCTAATCGCTGCAGTGAGCAAAAGAAAGGCTAGCGCGAGCTCTTTGTGGTATATCTTGTTTGTTTTCTTAACGGGTTTCTTTGAAACCGCTTGTCTCTGTTCTTCGAGTTGGCTCCGCTCCAAAAGCTCGCTGTCGGAGACCCCTCTAAGCAATTGGCTTTTCTTGTTTGGTGTTTCTTTCTCGGCGATAGATAAAAGATCTGACTCTGATGATCTCCCAGCTTTCTTTGTGACAATCCACTCGTAAGAGCTGCCCAATTGGAATAACCCGGATACCATCGCGTTGAACTTGGTGACTGACATTGTGTTCTCGAACAAGAGGTAAGGGACGATGAAAGGAAAAGATTTCGGAGATGGAAGAAGGTTGAGGAAAGACATGAAAACCGGTATGTAGCAGATGACCCAAACAGGGAGCTCAGCTTCTGGAACAAACATGGTGAGTGGAAGGATTATGCAGAACAACGTGAAGGAGTAGAAAGGAAGTATGAGTTTCCTGAGAAGGAAGAAGAGAAGTATCAGATTCGCCTTCTTCCATATCGCTATCTGCAAGAGAAGAAAGAATGAGAAACAGAAGAAGTGGAAGAAGAATTTCATTAAAATGATGATCAAAAACTTAAACTTCGCAGAAGAAAAGAGTTGTACACTACCTTAGAGGTCAAGATTGCACCAAGGCACAAGCGAAAGAGCTGCATAGGTCCCGAATGCCAACGATGTTGCTGCTTCTTATATGCTTCGTAGGACTCAGGAACTTCACAGAGGACCTGTATATTGTTTTCACTCCAGCGTCATATAATGGTTACTTGAATAGGGATTTTCTTAAGGAATGCTTGACAAATAGAAGTACCTTGACATCGTTGAGATAGATGAACTTCCATCCATGGAGATGTGCGCGGACTGCTATATCCATATCCTCAACGGTGGTTCTTTCAAGCCAGCCACCAGATTCCTCAAGGGCTTTGATTCTCCAAACTCCAGCTGTTCCATTGAAACCAAAGAAGTTCAAGTACACGCCGCTCACTTGCTGCTCAACCTCAAAGTGAAAACACAGATTGATGTTCTGAAGACGGGTCAACAAGTTCTCGTCTTTGTTCACAAATGTCCACCTAGCTTGAACCAGACCTAACTCTGGGTTATCCTGAAGATGTAATAATCACATTATCACCACCAAGTTAGAAACTTCTCCACTTGTTGTCAAAAAGATAAGATAACGATGCTAATACCGACCTTGAAATGTGGAACTGTTAGCTTAAGGAAATCTGGATTAGGTTGGAAATCAGCATCGAATATTGCTACAAACTCGTATGCTCCCACGTAATCACAGCTCATAGCGGACTTGAGGTTGCCAGCTTTATATCCGGTTCTAACCAAGCGATGCCTGTAGATTATGTTGACTCCCTTTTGGCTCCATTTGGCTACTTCAGCTTTGATTAACTGTTGGATGCTTTCATCGTTCGAGTCATCAAGAACCTGAACCAGGATTCGATCTTTTGGCCAGTCAAGTTGACACACAGCAGATATAGATTGTTCATACACCTGAACAACAAGAGCACCAAAGATCATTACACTGAGAGAGTAAAATGATGCTATAAAGCGGGAGAAAGATCGATACCAAAGGTCAAAGATTTCAGCTTTTTTGAATGAGCATACCTCTCTTTCATTGCACATTGGAATCTGAACAAGAACCATTGGATACGCAAATCCGGATCCCTCAGCATCATCATCACGGAAAGGTTCCTCATCAAATCTCGGCTTGATTTTCTTAAACTTGATCCAAAAACAGCCCAAGCAAAGAATCAAACGATCTACCGACTGTATAAGGAACAGCACAATGCAAAACTTGGAGAGAGCTTTGATTGGAGGAGCAATATAGTCAGCTCTAAGGCTTAACCAACCAACATACACAAGATGAAGCAGGCTCTGGATCTCAAGTGTGGTAGTGGGGATGTGAAGATCAGGGTTTTTGAAGTAATGCCATCCTCTGAAATAAGCAACAATCTCGAATCCGAGAAGTAGTAGGGAAACAGCTAAGAAGATCTTAATGGCCGAGAAAAGCCATCTGTCTCTGCCCAGTTTCTCAGAGCCAAGTGGGTGAGTGAAACTAAGCCGTTTCTTGATAGCACCAAGGAGAGACCAGAAGACAGTGGCGACCCAAGTGAGACATCCAACGGCTCTGTGAGCTTTGAGAAGCAAAACCCAAGTCACCTGCTTTGCGTTCTTCCCTCTGCTCTTCTCCACTGGTCTAAACGCTGAATCTGGACCTTCGATTTCAACCACTGAGTAATTTGGGTTCTCCATTTTCACTACAACTGGTGTCCCTTTCCTCGTATCTTTCGCCCACCAATCTGAAAAATCCAACCTTGGAGCCATCTTTTGCCTCCAACTTCCCTTGCCTCCTAATTCTCCCTGGCAAGTATGAGAGAAATCGAAAAGATGAAAGAGCAGAAAAAGTAATTGAATTTCTTAATGTGGTAAGGATCCCGAAAAACACCCAAATCTCAAAGTGGAAGATTAAGCAAAACCCATTTCAGGAAATTCCAAAATGGAGGGATTTTGAGTGTGGAAATCTTAAAGAAAGGAGCGAGCTTTCTACAGATAAGCAACACCCAGATCCCAGAAAATCAGAAATCTAGAGAACCCATTTTGATTTTTTATAAACCAGACAAACAAGCATCCACAGCTCAAGGCTCATTTATAGTGGACCTTTTTAAGAGAATGACAGAGAGAGAGATGGGTTGGTGAGAGAGTGAAGTGACTCAGAGAGAGAGAGAGAGAGAGAGATATTAATACTTGGGGTTAGAGAGAGAGAGAAGCAAAGCAGAGGAAGAAGAAAGGTATCTGTGAAGATTGTAAGATCTGTCTTACACTTTCATGTGTGTGTTACTTGTTCAGCTACTTCTTTGATGGCTTCAGCATGCAAATTCATCCCCTTTTTATCACTCTTCTGTAACTTTCGCCAGCACTTGTCATGTCATGGATCCTCCAAAAAATATAAAAAAGATTTACATTTTTGAGAAATGAATAAAAACAATTTAATTTAGGAAAATCCATTGATGGATGGACCATACCGATGTTTGGCAATTTGAAGTGAAGCCAAATTCAAATTTGTGAGAGAAACTACTTAAATTGGCACAAGTTTACAAGATACCAAATAAATTTCAAGTGAATCTCTCTACTGTTCTCACCGCTTCGCATTTGTGCTCCCCATGTCATTTTCCATGTGCTTTCATTATTTTTTTTTTTTTATAAATATTGTAAAAATCCCTTTCTAGTAGTCACCATTCAACTTATAATTTATTTTTGTACCAACAAGTGTCATCAACTTTAGAATTTTGACGGGAATGTTATGAAGACACTGAATACATACATTGCCATTGACTAAATAATCAGGATAACACATTTAAGCTTTTTATATATATATTTTTGTTTTTTTCACAGTGAACTGTTATTTGAAGAAAAACGGTGTATCATGAATATTGAATATATATATATATACTATAATAGAAGTAGTTTATAATTTACAGGTGTTAAGGATGGTAATTACTAATTGGTAGGGAGGTAATCATTTAGTTGATGACAAAGTACACGTCACTAACAAACAAAATAGAGGGTCGAGTGTTGACTAATTACAAGAAAACTCTTACAATATTGCCGCTAATTATGGGCATTTTGTAAAACATAACATAATTCAGCGGTGTGTTTTTGGTGGTGTGTATCGTTGACAAAAAGAAGTATAGGGTTCACCGATTCAGTAGAAGGATAACCACAATATTTTTCAATTTCAAAAATTCTAAAAGTTTCAACCAACTATTAGGTTACGCGAGTTACTTGTCGGTGGTGATATTCACACTTATAGAACTCTAGAAGATAAGAATATTCTTTGGCATTATTAAGATTTGTTTTACTATACAATACCTAACGTTTTACGATAGTAATATAAGAAAACTTTAGAGAAAAGTAAAGGCTAAAAGAGAGAAGATTTTATTATATATGTTTAAATGTAATTAGATTATTGATCTTAATGTATTTTTGGGGGACCATTTACGAATCCCTACAGAAACCACAGTCGTCACTCGTCATGGTTTATATTTCTAGTCGAAAATTCCTCATGTAGATTGAAATGAAGGTTCGAATCTTTTTTATACAATGTCAACTTTGGTTGGTCATTGTGAATATAATAAATGACAAAAAATGTTTTTTTCAATAAACTGCCGAACTAGTATGGATTTTTTTGTTTGATCATCAGACTTCAGCTATAATATATATATATATACATATATATACATTCATACACAATCCTCTTCTAAATTTCCAGTAATATTATGACAAATTTTAAGGCAGACAATAGTTCACAAATTATTGGATGTTATATATATATTTATATGGAGTGTTTAAAATGTATCCAGATCAGAACCGGTCCATTATTCATGTATATATGAGCGGTTATGTTTTGATGAATGATTATTAGTTAGCACTTTTTAATTATGCTAATTTTTTCTTTTATTATGCAATTATGATATTCTTTGAACTATGTTATTATTTCATCCCAGTGCTTTACACTCTCTACTTTATCTATATTTATTGGAAAAGTTGTAATTAGTGGATACAAGTACAACCATTCAATATTCATGATTTGATTTAAGTTTTTCTTTTGTTTATCATCTAGTCCAAAGTAGTTTAATCTACACAAAAACACATCCATATAATTCGAATCTTTTGAGCAAGATAAATTCTATGTTTGGTAATCAGTTTTCCAAAACATGTAGATTAGTATACACCCATTTTCTTCATCAACCTAAAAAAAAATGAATTAACAGGGAGATGTAAGAGACATACACACGATTTAAAAAAAAAAAATCTACACAAGATTTTTCAAACAAATTGATCCGGTTGAATTTGTATATATAAAAAGTTTCATATAATTTATCGTTTAGTTAAATATTTGGTCCATGGGTTATTTTTGCCAAAATTGAAACAGAATTTGAATTAGTAAATCTACTCTTTGGTTGACAAATTGTCATCCACAAGTAAAAAAAATGATGTCTCTTTGCTGCCAACGTCATTTTTTTTACCAAAATCTTGGAATAAATTAACGTGTTTAGCTTGTGAGTATTTATTTGGATTCCTTTATTTGAATTATCATGAAGTCCAACTAAATACATTTGCAATATAGAGTATATAATCACTGTGAATTTTATTATGTAGTGATATATTCATGGTTTTTTTTGTGTGTGGCTAATATCGCCGGTTTTGTCTAAGTTTTGGAACAGGAAAACCAATTATAAAGGTGTGATCCGCATGCAATAATTATGGAAACGTAACCTTTTGATGCAGTGTTAACTGTTAACATATGTACCAAAGACTCAAACATGTGGGTCGCTGTCATGACTTATGTGCTGTCCTTCTAGAGATTATGTTTTCTTTTTATGGTTTGGGGTTACATAATTGAAAAAAGGAAACACAGCCCAACGGGAATGTATTGGAACATTTCGGACAAGAACATATATAATGTGCAAACCGAATCGGACCGAAATTCTCATTTTTTGTGAGCTTCCAAATCAGACAATAGCTTAGCCGGTTTAGCCTTTTTCTGCCGGTACTTGGCGTACGAGTACCACACACCACCAGCTGTGTTGACCACTAAACCGGACACGTTCAAAGCATGTACTTCAACACCACCCAAGATGACAAAACCGAGCGTCTGAGAGATTAAAAAAACAGGACTCAAAGATCAGTAAGACTGAGAAAATGATTGCCTATGAAGAGACATTCATCTCGAAACAGAGCCAAATTAGATTATACTCACAGTGGAGCCAACGCCTTTGAGGACACCAACGATGGTTGTTGTTAGTGCAGAGTTCACAATGGTGCAAAGAAACATGGTGAAGTTGAGGACAATGCCCATAACCAGTGAAAGAACGAGAATCACCAAGAACGGCAAATAAGAACACTGTCGCAGAGAAAAATAAAGTTTGAACTTTTTAAGAGAATAGTTTCTGAGAAAAGCTGCAAGCTTGGAATAAAGAAAGTTTCTGACCTTTGCAAGCAATAGCGATATCGAGTTTGGGAATTCGCCGGTAACAATGATGAGGAAAGACAAAAATGGGAGGGAAAGGAAGCTGTTATAGAACATTATCTCGATTGAGGAAAGTCCGTCTTCTGCACCAGACTTCTCAACCAGCACGAGGTACATGGTCTGCAAGCGATGCAGAGGAAAATATATTTTGTCTTATCATATGGTTGATGGGATCATTGATACAAGTGAAGAACAAGAATAATGAAACCAACCTGGAAAAAGACAGATGTTAAAGCCAAACCATACCCGAAAAGATCAAAAGAAAAATCTCCAAGAGCTGCAATTACACAACCTGCAGCCGTCAGTAGTACAGATAGAGCAACCTGAAATTAGAACAAGAGATTCAGAGCTTGAAACATCACAAAGTTTTACAATCAAATAGATCGACCATGCTTCCAAAATACACCTGAGTTGTTGGTTTGCCTTTACCAAACAGATACCCGGCGATCAAAACAGCGAGTGGAGTGAGTCTCTTAATGGCGATGTACATTGGAATATTCACTCCTTTCAAGCTTGCAAGAGCAAATGCAACATTCGCATTGTAGAAGATGGAAACCGGGAGAAGCTTTTTCGCAGTGGCCATATCGATTCCTTTGGCTCTTGTGTATCCCATTCGTCTGCCAAAGTGTATAAGCAATGAAGTAGCCAATTGCTGATACAACCCAAAGAAAAAGCAAACGAGGCCAAATTCATAATTAGCACGTTGAGTAAGTGAGCAATCTCTGATTATAAAACCTTAACATCAAAATACTTAAGAAATAACGTAATTTGTATAGCTAAAACAGTACCTGTAGGGTAAGAACGGTCATTGAATGTGGATACTGCATAATCACAGCTTTGTTGATAAAAACCATTGCCATTGAAGCAATGCCATATGAAACAGCTGCGATTAAACTGCATCATAGAACACAAAGATAAGCCCCCCAGTAAGCAAGCTTACTTAAAATGTAAAACCAAATGCTCTCAATTTATAAATTTGTGATTCTCTGTCGAGATCTAGATCTACCCAGATGAAGAACCGCAATCGAAGTTTCCAAATTTCAAAACTTTAAGAAGAACTCGAATCATTAGACCGATAATTACGGTCCCTACGTCCTAAACCGATCAAATCCAATCCCAGAAGCTTCACTAATCGAATTGACGAAAACCCAGAAAATCAAAGGTAGTTCAAAATGCACAGATCATCAAATAAGAACGATCAGAGCACGAAAGAAGGAAGCGTACCTAATGGACGAGCTAGGCTCCATTTCTGCTTGAACCTCCATGGAAAAAAGAAGCGCGATTCGAGGTATATAAATCTATGGAAAACTGAAGTATTGGTATGCACAGAAATCAAAGAAACAAAAAATGAAGCCTGGAAACTGAAGAAAAATCGCGAAATGGTTATTCAGGTAACACGTTTCTTGGCGGTTTCAACGTGATTCGAACGCATTACGAGAAGAGAGTGCGATTAAAGTAATTGTTTAAAATGAAAAGCTTTTCATTTCGATTTTGTTGTTTCGTTCTCTCTTATTTTCCTTGGATTGAGGATCTTTAGGCGAGCTCGAGTGAAGTTGAAGGATTCCCAAAACTGGACGAAAGGATTAAAGTGAAATCTGGAGTGTGAGTCAACAGTAAAAAAAGTCAGTAACCTTCTGGCTGAGCAAGAAAGTTTAAAAAACGTTTCTGACCATATCTCAGGAAGTTGGGCTTCCATATCTCAGGAAGTTGGGCTTCCATATCTCAGGAAGTTGAGCCTCCATATCTCAGGAAGTTGGGCCTCCATATCTCAGGAAGTTGGGCCTAAAAAGGCCCAAATTGTAATGTGAGGTGTATAAAGCTTCGGCCGAACAACGAAAAACTATATACAGGGTGTACGCCGTACATCCCGTATAATCACTGTATATTGTGTATCCCGTATTTTAGAACACATAAAATTTGTTTTCTTCCCAGATTTTTTCTACCGGCCAAGATACTTTTCCTTTATTCTTGGGCCATAAATGACTGAGATATAGATCTCGTAGACCATCTTTATGGATTTATATAAGTACATTTTTCAAAACCTATTTTCTACTAGTTTCTAATGTAGAGTGTCGTGTCGTAGTCCTGTGTCAACTGTCATAGACTCATATAGGTGATGGGTAGAAAGGATGTACAACAGTACAACTGTACAAGTAACGATCTTGTAAAAAAAAGATGATGGGTTTACAAAAGTGAAAAATTCATATCAACTTTAGATTTTAATGAAGTTTTGATTTCTTTCTGTAACGTAATTATATAATTACTAAGAAAAAAAGTGTAACGTCATCATCGTTTAGAAGAAAAAAATTATTCTGATATAACAGTCTCCTTGCTATCTCTCTCTCCCCTGAACAATGGCGGATCCTCTTAATTTCTCTCTGTTCCACCACAAATTTCTTACCGGAGCTAAACCAAATCTTGTAACTGCATTCTCTTTTTATAATCTTTTGTTAATTTTTTTTTATCTTTCGTCATCGTTAAAAACTGTTTTGTCTTTTTTTTGGTTTTGTTACAGACGTTTGAAGATGAGTTCTTAAGGCGACACACAAAAGTGTTGCTAAGATCGGACGCGTCGGACAGAATTTGGGAAGTGAAGCTGGACGGCAACAGGCTCGCCGGTGGCTGGGAAAAGTTCGCCGCCGTACATAAATTCAGAGACGGTGACGTTTTGGTTTTCAGACACGAAGGAGACGAGAACTTTCATGTAGCTGTGTCCTCTCGTTCCAATTCCGGTGACATACAGAACGCATCTCATAGCTACGACGTTGACACTGACGTTACTGAGATTGATGATGACGATGTTGAATCTGATGATGGAGAAGGCGAAGATGATGATGATGAAGTAGGGGGTGAGGATGACGCAGGTAAGGTGTTTGATGTACATCACATAAGTGATATGTGTTTTAATTTTAGGGTTTAATAGGGTTTGCTTGTGAAATGTGTGTGAAAATTGTTGTGATGCAGTGGACATTTTGGTGAATAAGAATAAGAAACCAGAAGCAGATTCTTCATCAGGCGACTCTTCTTTCCTCAGCGTACGTGTCACACCTTATAGCCTCCTCAAAGATCGCTTGGTGACCACTTACTCAACTCCACTTTTACCTTTGTTGTCACATGAAAAGAGTACGATACTGTGATTGTTGTGTTTCACCATGGATTGTTGTTGATGATGTTTATTTTTTTTCAGGATCTTCCTAGAGATTTTACGTTTGTGTCTTTTGATAAGCACAACAAACCGGGTGAGATAGATTTAGCTAATGGTCAAGGAAGAAAATGGACACTGCTTCTTGCAAAAAACAGCTCAAGTGGTGTGTTCTACATCAGACGAGGCTGGGTTAACTTCTGCTCCGCTAATAAGCTACGTAAAGATGACTTGTGTGTGTTTAAAGTTTCCGAAAATGGAGAAAGGCCTGTGCTTCGGTTGTGTCCACAGGATTCTGGCAATGGCCATGAAAAAAAGAAGAGAAGTGTGGATGATGACGCTTCAAAGGGAAAGGAGAAGAATAGTCCTTCGTCATTTCTGACAGTAAAGTTGACATCCAGCCGTTTCAAGACAGGAATCCTAGTAAGTTCAAGAACTTTTAGTCTTATGGGGATATTGGGTGTGTACATCGCAGGGTCCACGACGTTGCTAATTGAATCTTGGTTTCAGTATATTTCATCGGTCTTCGTGACTGAGAGTGGCATTAAGAAGACTGGGGAAATAACTCTGCTGAACGAAGATGGAAGAAAGTGGTCATCTTATCTACAGATGACAGGACGATGCGGAAGTGAATGGTTTTATCTGAGAAATGGTTGGAGAGAGATGTGCCAAGCGAATGGAGTGAGAGTAAATGACTCGTTCGAGCTGGAATTGATATGGGAAAATGAAAATCCTATGTTTAAGTTCGTCTCAAAGGTAAACCACCAACACAACTTTGTGTATATACAAAGCTTAGTTAAATCTTAGAGCTAAACATTTCTGTTAAAGAAGCTAATTAACTTGAGTAACTTTTCAGATTGAGAACAGAGGAAAAGGAAACCGAGGAACTCGTAAGAAGAGAGCTTGTGAGACTCCTCTGCAGTTAAGGAGTGCGGAAAAGACTCCAAGTGTAGAAACAGAAGGACGGAGAGCAAGTAAGAAAGGACGCACTGGGGTTTCAAACAGAGCCAACACTAACTCAAGAAAATTGCGGCGCACGCAACCAAATTCTTGTTCAATCTCTGATCAAGTGACAAACGTGAAACAGAGCATCCTAGATACTCTGAACGCTGTAAGGCATTTCCGCGCAGGGCTGGAGATGAGGGAAACAAATCTGGAAGCTGCGCTATTGGAGATTGACGCATTAGGTGTGTTTCTGAGTGAATGATATATAATTGCTTTATTTTTGGATATCATCATTTTTGTTTTACTTAGGTTTATGACTTTTTTTTATGATGAAACAGGGGAGAAAATATTAGGAATCAGCCAAATTATCAACAGTAATCCAGTTTGAAGTAAACAAAAGACTGGAATCATTCAACGCTGGTACTGGTTACTCTTCTTCTTCTTCTTCCTCCTCCAAACTAAGTTAGGTTTCCTTATCAGTATTTCAGACTTGCAAGGTCTAGAGACTGCCAACTTTCTTGGTGCTTTCGTTCAGTTCAGTAGCTGAGAATGTATGTTTGTATATTTGAACGGTTCGTGACTTGCGTTCCTCAGTTGTATCAACAGTTGATCTACTTTGTTATGCGAGCTAAGCAACTCTTAATTTTTAGAATGCATTGTGAGTAGGAACTTTTGGCAAATTGTCTAGTTAAGTGCTTCAACTCTTTGGCACGAGAGATGCAAGAAAAATAACGCCTTTGAATTTTGGCATGTTCTATACAAAAAGAGTCGCTTTTGATTTTTGAGAAACCTAAAATTAGCTGTCACTGCTCCATATAATCTTCAGCTTTTACTTTAGATCTTACGACTGTTAAGGGTCTTGTTGAAATCCAATACTTTCTCTATGAGACGAAGAACCAAAATAGTATTAAATAAGAAACAAGTAATCATCAACGTTCATTCAAATCATACCTAAGACATCAATTTCCTCTAGCGAAGCTTCTAAATTTTGTTCCTTTTTCTCAAGTTCCGATTGAAAGCGTCTTACACCACTCAAAGTGTCCTTAATACACTGTTTCACTTTATTGATTTGATCAGAGATGGAGCAAGGTTTAAACGGTTCCTTGCGCTGCAAGGTTTTAAGATCAGAAGCCGAACTGTCTGATGCCAAACTGCGGCGAGAGGATCCTCCTTCAGAAACTCGAGCTCTCTTTAGGACCTGAGTTTCTGTTTCTTCTTAAGCCTCTTCTTCTTCATCCCGTGATGCTTGACCTGTCCCTCGGGGGCCATCAAATGGTACTTGTACTCTCTGCATACAATTATATTTGAAAACAAAAGTTGTCATCTTTATAGCATATTAAAACCTAAAAAATTGCATCACGAAGTATATTTGTTTACCTTGGCCTTAACTTTGGAGCAGAACTTGAGCATAGGAGTTGAGACTTTTCCTCGAACAAACTGCAACGTGAAGGACTCTCCCGTCTCCAATCTATTGGCTGCACAAAAACTTCTCCAACCTTTTGCAATGTAAAACCTTCCGATATCATCGGCAGGTTTTAAATACGATGGCCACTTTACTCCATATTTGTCCACTAGAGTTATCTCTCCTGCCTTCTTGATCCCGTTCTCTCGCGCAAAATTTCGTGTAAGACGCTACACATATTCCAACCATCCATAAAATTTAAAATAAACTAATAATTAGATTAAACATAAACCTAAGATGTTAAAAACTTACGAGTTGGCCTGATTTAAGCATGTAAGGCTTAAAGGTTATTGTCAGAAACTTGTTCACTGAAGCGCTCTCTGAGGCTGAGCAGCCACTGCTAGGTTTTTCCGAGAGATGATATCTTCCGCTTTGTTTGGAACAGTTTCCTTTGGGAATAGTGCCGGAACACAGTCGTATTAAAGGCCTTGTCCCGTTTCGGACAAATTTAAACCGGTAGACAGATCCAGCTTCTAGCCCATTCGTTAAACAGAAGTCTGTCCACCCTCTTCTGATACGAGCCTGATCAGTTGTTCTGATGTATCTCAGATCAAGAGTCCATGATTTTCCATGCTGATTCATTAGATCGATCTCACAGTGTCTCTCGATCAGGCCATTTGCTCTCGCAAAACCCTTTTGAAGAGACTGCAAAAGCGTAACACTAGTTTAATTTCAACTAGTGTGATGATACGATACTAAGCTTTCAAAAAATATAAAGAGGCGGGTAGAGAGTATTAACCAATGTATCTAGGCTTAGGTTTGAAGAAGTGACGTGCGCGTCAAGATAAGAGTTTCTCGAGAAAGACCCTGCTTCCGTTCTTGTACCTTTTGCAGTTCCTGATCTGTTTTTCGACGCAGTGTTCTTGGAATCTGAATCATCGTCCCATGCTTCACCATCATCATCGTCCCATGATTCACCATCTTGATCATCATCATCGTCATCTTCACTATCGCCAGAGCTAGAAGATATACACTGTATCTGAGAGAAACTGCGTCCGGAGGGTGTGACGTGGAAACGCATATCCCCGTCATTTCTGAAAACCAAAACGTCGTCATCTCGAAGACAGTGCGTGGCGGCGAAATATTCCCAACCGCCGGCGAATCTCCGGCCGTTCAATTTGACTTCCCATGTTCTAACGAAAGCGTCAGAAGTCAATTTCAATTTCGTTGACTCAATTTTACCTTCTAAATGAGTGGAAAAAAAAGATTCAGGAATTATCTGCATCAAAAATGATAAAACAAATTATTCTCTTGGTAAGTTGTAACAGTGAGAGAGAGTGAGAGAGAGAGAGAGAGTTTACAGGACTGGAGTTGTTGCCAGCAAGGAATGTGACGAAGAAAGGTGGGTTTGATTGATCTGCCATTGTTGAAGAGCTCAACTTCTGAGGGATCTCTTACTCTTTGCTTTTTTTTTTTTTTAATTTTTATAGCCAAATTTGTCTCTTCGTTTTCTACATGACTCTTAATTTTTACTCTTCAACCAAAGAAGTAGATAATTAATATCGTAACCAAATGGAGAAAATGAAAAGGCATTCTCTTTAATACAGTTTACATGCAACGGCACGCAAGCATCTCCTCGCCTCCTCGGAATCATTGAAAGAGTCATAATTAGTTAATTACATTAAGGCTTGTAATCAAATTCTAATTTTCTTTTTAATTGAATGAAAAATTTATTCAAACCAAAAAAAACTTTTGTACAATGAGTGCTTCAGTTTTTGAATGAGAGAAAGAAAGTTTTAAATGGAATTCTATGCAGAGTAATAGTTAGTCTTCACATACCATATTTCTTTCGGGGAATTTCTCTTTATAACCTAAAAGTTGATTTTTTCTAAACTTATTATTGAATGTTTGGCAAAACTAACCCAAATAGGTGGTGAAATTACAGCTCAGTCCTTTGTGACTAAACAAAAAACGTCTGCCACAGTTACGATTTTATCCTTCGAGAAGTCTATGTAAGAAGTCTACAATCGTTGTATGTAGACTTCAAAAGAAATTTATTATATAATTAGTTTTTTAAAAATGAATTAGAAAATATAAAATAAATAAATTTCTAAAAAATTGGTAAACATAAGTAAGACATATATATTTGACATGTATAGAATACAAAATTTCATACAAATGAATCAACTTAAATGCAGAAAGAAAATTAACTAGAAAATATATAACCCCTTAGAAGTCTACTAAAGAAGTCTACTACAGAAAACATACGTATGCAGTAGACTTCTCGGGTAGACTTTAAAAAAACATAGCGGGAAATCAAAATTATCTAACAAATTGGGCGGGAATCGGAACAAATTAGGCGGGAATCGAAATCTAAAAAATATACCGAAGTAGACTTTTCGAGTATATAAGGAGATTAACCTAATTAGGTTAAAAATAAAGTTTTTCTCTCCCTCTAAAAAACGCTTCTCTCTCCTCTACCTCCTCTCTGGCCATGAATCTCTTCTTCTTCCTCTCTTACCATCAAACCCATCTCTATCCTCCATCCTCTCTATCTCAATTATGGTGATGGTAAGCAAATCTGAGGTTTTGTGTTTTTGTTGTTGTTTGTTTTGTGTTCATATTGTAAATCTGGGTTTATTATTACATATTTGAGCTTCTTGTTGTAGATATGAGTTTATTCTTGCAAAAATACACTTCTTATGGTATAAATTTTGTAAAATTTGTTGCAGATCTGATTTTTTTGTTGTTGCAGATCTGATTTTTTTTTTGTAGATCTGAATTTTTAGTTGTTGCAGATCTGATTTTGTTTATTTTGTTGCAGATCTGAATTTTGTTTATTTTGTTGCAGATCTATAATTTTTTTGTTGCATAGCTGATTTTTTTTTTTCTTTTTTGCTGCAGATGTGATGTTTGTAAATATAACAGATTTTGTTGAAATATGAATTTTAAGATTTTTTTTTCTTATTGTGCAGACCTGAGCTTATTTATTTCTCTTTTGTTTTTGTTGGAAGCAGACTTCAGCTGCAGATTTCTCGAGTAGACTTCTCGAGCAGACTTTAGTCACATACATCTATTTCAGACATTTTGTTTTTATATGCTAATTTTAAGATTTACAATTAGTGATCTTTAAATGTTTGTTTGATTAGAAGGTCTACTTTATATGTAAAATTGGATTGCAATTAATGTTATTTTTATATATTTTTAAATTATATGTGTTTTATCATATTCAGATTTCATATGCAGACTTCTTTGTCAAACTTAGTCATCACCATCTTTGAACCTCTAATAACACAAGAAAATTAATTCAATTTAACTATATAAAAACATGTAAAACTCATAACAAAAAAAACATGTAAAACTACTTAGAAATACCACAACTAGTCTTTCTTCACACATTCTCAATAAACAGTGGGTATGTGAACCATTATCTGTAAGAAAACAAAATTCAAACCACATTAGAAATCATTTTCGAAAAAGTAGACTGCAAACGTAGTCTACTATGTAGACTTCAAATGAAGTCTGCGGACTATTAAGCTAAATACCAAATAAAAGAAGAAAATTAGTTAAAGCTAAACTGTAACAAAAAAAAAATTTAAACTCATACATAAGCAAGAACAATAAATATCATACACTTAAGAGTCAAATGATAAATTTTATTTGTTACAAATATCTGATCAATTAAATTTATAAAAAAAATTAATGTCGCAGACTGCAAACGAAGTCTACTATATAGACTTCAAGTGAAGTCTACGGACTAATAAGCTAAATACTAATTAGAACAAGAAAATTAATTAAAGCTAAACTATAACAAATAAACATGTCCAACACCTACATAAGTAAGAACAATAAATAATACACACTTAAGAGTCAAAGAATAAATTTTATTTGTTACAAATATCTGATCAATTAATTTTAAAAAAAAATTAATGTCGCAGACTGCAAACGAAGTCTACAGACTAATAAGCTAAATTCCAAATAAAACAAGAAACTTGATTTCACCAAATATATATAATATAAACATGTAAAACTGATACAAATGTAAGTACATTTACTAAAACAATCGTAAAACCAAAAAAATCTTAATAATTCGTTGTAAATTTGATAAAAACGCGTTTATAAAAAAAAGTGAAATAGTAGACTAACAATGAAGTTTACAAAAGTAGACTTGCAATGAAGTCTACAAATGTAGACTTCGTATGAAGTCTATATTTTAAGTTACTTTTGCAATTGCCAAAAGATGAGTAGACTTCTTCCAAGAAAACTACTCACCCCGAGAAGTCTACGTAAAAAAAGGTTAGTTTTGCAATTTACCAAACTTTGACTTTTTCGTAAGAAGTCTACTTGCAAAAGTAGACTTCTTCGGAGACATCTACTTTTAAAGTAGACTTCTTAGAGGTTAGTTTTGCAACTGACCAATGTTGACTTTTCAAAGTAGACTTCGTTTGAAGTCTACTTGGGTTAATTTTGGGGTTGACCAAACGTTGAATTTATTTTCGAGTAGACTTTTTTTGAAGTCTACTCAGAAAGTAGACTTCAAACGAAGTCTACTCGGAAAAGTAGACTTCAAGCGAAGTCTACTCGAAAAAGTTAACATTGGTCAATTGCAAAACTAACCTCTAAGAAGTCTACTTTGAAAGTAGACTTCTCCGAAGAAGTCTACTTTTGCGAGTAGACTTCTTATGAAAAAGTCAAACGTTGGTCAATTGCAAAACTAACCTTTTTTTACGTAGACTTCTTTTGAAGTTTACAATATTTTTTTTTTGTTATCAAAGGAAATAGCGCAGACTTCAACTGAAGTCTACTGTCAGAAATTGGTACACCCGGTCAATTGCAAAACTAATCTGTGTGTTGACCAGCAGACTTCTTAAGAAGTCTACTTTCGCGACACAGATCTGAAAACTCACGAAAATTGACTGAAAAATCACCTACCAGTGATATTTAACTTATTCAACCACCGATTTCTTTGATTCCAGCCACCACCAAACAAGCCCAAACGATTTGTCAGACCAAATCACCAAATATGACAATATATTAAAACATCAAGTTTCAAAAATTTAGATTAGAGAGTTTTTGTGCTGAAAATTGTGAAAAAATGGAAGAATAGAAGGTTAAGAGAAGAGGAAATGAGGTTACAAAGCTAAAAAATGGGTCTTTGAAGCAATAAAAGCTTCAAATTGGTTGAAAATGGTGATTGAATGAATTGATGGTGATGACATTTTCGTGAATAAGTGAGGAAGATGAGGATTGTTTGGTAAAATAGATTTCCGAAATAATAATAAAAAACAATAATCTAATGGCATTTTTGTAAATAAATAAAACTGATAAGGATATAAGTGAGATAAAGTGGTTAATTTCAAAAGTGATAAAATGAAAAGTTAGTTTAACAACTGACTTGAATTTATGAATCATTTTTGCAAGATTCTCTATTTCTTTTGAATAAATAAAAAAAAAAAAACATACCATGTTTCTTATTACAAAATTAGTCTTTGCAGATCAAGTTGTCACAAGGCAGATATCATTACATTGTATAGATGACACATTTTGGTGTATGATATTTAATAATTTATGAGAACCTTGATGAAAGACTTGAAATGCTGATAGTCTAATCTCCACAAGAACACATATATCCTTACAAAAATTAAACCGAGTCCCTTAAAGTAATCCCACGTCCAACAACTCGATACATATATCAGCTTAATTACCGGATGATAATCTTTCACATCCGTGTAAATAATCCAGTCAGCATCTCATTTACTAAAGCAAAAACATAACTTGGTTTGTAGGAAGAAGAAGACCAATGTTCTTCAGTGAATTTTACTTTGGTTTGCAAAAGTCCATGTTCCATTACCTGATCTCCAGTTCACATATAAATTGATGATCACTTGATGATTTTTTTGATCTCTAAAACTTTCTCTCCTGTTTATTTCCAACGTTAAAATGTTAGAAACAGAGAACCAAAAAAGTTATAGAAAACACGTGTTCATCAACGTTCCGATCATATACCTAACGCGTCGAGTTCCTGCAGTAAAGCTTCTAAAATTTTTTCCTTTATCTCAACCTCAGACCGGAACCGTCTTACATCAGTTAAAATGCCCGCAGTGCTCTGTTTCACTTTTGTCAGTTGATCAGAGAATGAGCAAGATTGAAGAGGTTGCTTGCACTGCAAGTTTTTCTGAGTAGCAGTTGATTTGTTTGGTGTCTGACTGCGGCGAGAGGGTCCTTCTTCTGAAGAAAGCCGAGCTCTCTTTTGGAACCGAGTCTCCGTTTCTTCTTCTTTACCTAGTGATGCTTGACCGGAGCTCTCTCTTGGTATCTGTACTATCTGAATACAATTCATTTCAACACAAAAGGTGAAACCTTTATAACTTAGCAAAAACAAGAACTTGTATCGCAAGGTATATTTGTTCACCTTGGCCTTGGCCTTGGAGTAGAACTTGAGCATAGGAGTTGTGCCTTCTTCTCGAACGAACTCCAACGTGAAGGTCTCTCCCGTCTTGATCCCGCTGCCTTCACAAAAATCTTTAAAACTTTTTGCCATATAGAAACTTCCTTGTCCAGTGGCATAAACTACATACGAAGGCCACTTTACTCCATCTTTGTCCACTAGAGTGATTTCTCCTGCCTTCTTGATCCCGTTCTCCCTCGCAAAATGTCTCGGAAGACGCTGCAAAAGTTTCAAACATCCATGAAGTATTACAATTATTAAAAAAACTGCTTAATCTAATCAACTACAAATCTAAGCCGTTGAAAAACTCACAAGATGTCTTGACTTGAGCATGTAAGGCTTCAAGGTTACTGTCAGAAACTTGTTCCGCTTCATTGAAGCACTCTTGCCTTCCCTGCTAGATTTTGTCGAAACTTTAGCTTTTCCCTTTGCCTTTGAACAGCTTCCTTGTGGAGTAATGTCGGAACATAACTGTAGCAGAGGCCTTTTCCCATTCCTGACAAGTTTAAACCGGTAGGAAATTCCGAGTTTTAGCTCATTTGCAAGGCAGAAACTTCTCCAGCCTCCACGGATGAAATCCTGTCCATTTTTTTTGTTGTGTCGCAGACCATGAACCCATGATTTTCCACTTTGATTCATGAGATCAATCACGCACCATCTCTTGTTCAGACCATTTGTCATCGTAAAATGTTTTGCAAGAGTCTGTCAAACAAATTAAAAAAAAAAAATCACACAATTTCAATGTTCAAATTTATATGACAAGCACTCTAAAAACAGTTTGGAGTCGAAGTGGTAACCACTCGATTATGGCGTAGATTGGAAGCCGTGGCGGCGAGAAGACAAGAGTTTTCCGATAAGGACGACTCTGCTTTTAATCTTGATTTCTTCTTTGACACGTTGTCCCATATCTCATCATCGTCATCTTCATCATCATCATCTTCACTATCTTCACTATCTTCACTATCATTATCATCGTCATCTTCAGTATCGTCAGAGCTAGAAGATATACACTGTATCTGAGAAAACCTTCGTCCGGAAGGTGTAACGTGGAAGATCATTTCCCCGTGGTGTTTGAAAATCAAAACGTCGTCGTGCCTAAGACTGTGGGCTGCGGAGAAATCCTCCCAGCCGTCGGCGAATCTCCGACCGTTCAGTTTCACTTCCCATGTTCTATCGAAAGCGTCAGAAGTCAGTTTCAGTTTCGAAAACTCATTTCTGTCCTCTAAATGAGTGGAGAAAAACTCATCAGGAATCATCTGCAAGAACAGAGTAATTCAACAAATTAATTTCTCTTGGTAAGTTATAACAGAGAGGGAGATAGAGACAGAGAGGAAGAGCTTACGGGATTGTAGTTATGGTCAGCAAGAAATGCAACAAAGAAAAATGGCTTGGGTTGAGGAGGAACTAATGGATCCGCCATTGTTGAAGAGCTCAAGTACTTTTTGTTTTTTCTTAGACTTTGTTTTTTCTTTTCAAAGATGTATGTGATGAAGAAAGAAAATTACCACTGGACATGTCGTGTTCTTTTAGGCAATCAAATCAGTAGGGTTTTGGGTCCAATCACTTGGATACGAATCCACTTTTTCCAGAGATATTTTTTACTGCTAGGTAATACTAATAGTTGGGTTTATGTCAACGTCATCTTTCCACCGCTAGGTTATAGTATCATAAAACGAATTATTATTAAAGAAAAAATAGGGGATGATCAAAAGTCTTATACATTAGTATAATAATAATCATAGGGTGAGGTTTATTTCCAAATTATTTGAAGATAATATCAAGTTCATAAAAACATAATCAATTAGATTCAAATCTTTGTTCTTACATATAAAATACTTATGGGCCCGATTATAACAAATGACAGAATTTTGAGCAATAATTAGAAAAATGTCATTCATTATTTTTGAACTGTAACTTACTAACTTGGTTTTGACGGAGACTTGAATAAAAACAAAATGCTATAAAAATATCAATAAAGTGGAAGAAAAGGGAAATGTTGTCTTGTGAAGTACTTAACTCCATCGTTGCAAAAGTCTCTCGTCCATAATCTGATAATCATTTCCGCTTTAGACTTGATTAATGTTGAAGAATTGGCTAATCCCCATTATCTTTTCCCCTGTTTGTTCCAACATCAAATTATCAACAAAAAAAAAAACACACAAATACAAATTTTTAAAAAGTGTTCATCAGTTACTCAAATACTTACCTAAAGTATCAATTTCGAGCAGCGAAGCTTCTAGATTTTGTTCCTTTATCTCGAGTTCCGACCGAAACCGTCTTACACCAGCTAAAGTGTCAACGACACTCTGTTTCACCTTTGACACTTGATCAGAGATTGAGCGAGGCTGAGGCGGTTGCTTGCGCTGCAAGTTTCCCGGATCAACACTTGATTTGTTTGATGCTCTAGTGCGTTGAGATGGTCCTCCTTCGGCAGAAACTCGACATCTCTTTTGGACTTGAGTCGCCGTCCCTTCTTCAGCATGTAATGCTTGAACCTTCCTTGGCGTTCTCATCTCCGGAATCTGATAGGCATCAAACGATGCCTCCTTTACCTGAACACAATTATTTTAACACAAAGATTTCTCAACAAGAAGAAAAAAAGCCAAGAACCTGGAAATGTAATTGATTTGGTGTTAACCTCGGAGCAGATCTTGAGAATAGGACTAGTTCCTCCTCGAACAACCTCGAATGTGAAGGAATCGCCAATTTTATTTATGCTATTGGCTATAAAGCAATCTTTTAAACCTCTAATGTAATACTGTTCGCGTCCCTTGACGTTAGCTAGATGCAACTTCCACTCCACACCGATTTTGTTCATTATAGTTATCTCTCCTACTTCCTTGATTCCATTCTCTCTTGCAAACGTTACAGGAAGTCGCTACACAGGTTTCAACCCACTTGAGCCAATGACCAAAAATAAAAAAAAAGACTTAAACAAAAGGTGTTGGCACTTACAAGTTGACCTGTCCTGAGCATGTAAGGTTTAAGTTCTAATGTCACTATCCTGTGATGATTCATTGAAGCAGTCGCAGTCTCTGATTCGATCCCACCACGATCAGTTTCAGAAACATTCCGTTTTTCCTTTGCTTTGGAAGAGTTTCCTTCTGGAATGCTAGAGGTGTTGGGACACAACTGTAGCACTGGTTTTGTTCCGCCTTGGACAAGTTCAAATCTGCAAAAGGAATCGGCATTGAGACCATTTCCTTTGCAAAAACTTGTCCAGCCTCCGGAGATAAATGGTTGACCAGTTGTTTTGTTGTGTCTAAGATCTAGAGTCCACGATTTTCCATCTTCATTCACTAGATCAATCTTGCACTGTCTGTTGTTCAGACCATTTGACCTTGCGAATTTGGTTGAAAGACACTGCAAAAAGAAATCGCAAGTTAATGATAGTATAGCAAAATAATAGTATAACAAAGTCAAGCAAAGTAGTAACCATATGATTTCGACGTAGGTTTGAAGGTGTGACGTGCGCAAGAAGATAAGATTTTTCTGATGAAGACTCTGTTTCTGTTCTTTCTCTCTTGGTGGACAAAGTTTTCATTGGATGAAGATCCTCTTTCAGATAGTCATCATCGTCGTCTCTAACATCGCCATTGTTGTCATCATCATAACAATCATCATCAAAGATATTGTGTTCATCATCGTCATCGTCGTCAAAATCATTATTTTCATCGTCCGAGGTAGAAGAGATGAACTGTTTCTGATGGGAGAAACTGCGTCCAAAGGGTGTGACGTGGAAGACCATGTCCCCGTCGTGCCTGAAACTCAGAACGTCGTCGTTTCGAACACTATGGTGGACAGAGAAACTTTTCCAGCCGCCGGCGAATCTGTTACCGTCCAATTCCACTTCCCAGACTCTGTCTGAACCGTCCGAAGTCAGTTTCAGCTTCGTAGACTGGGTTTTACCCTTTAAGTGATTCGAAATAAACGAATCTGGAATCATCTGTACCAACAAAAATAACAGAAGATAAAAAAAAAAGTTACAAAGTGATACATTTTGTAACAACAGAGATTGGAACAGAGAGAGGCAGAGGCGGTACAGGATTTGAGTTTTCTCCGGACAGATCTATGACGAAGATAGGTCTCTTGGTTGGGAAGGAAATGACTGGATCCACCATTGTTGAGCAACTCTATGGAATTGTTGCTCTGTATTTTGATTCTTCGAATTCTTCTTAGCTGGCGTTAATCCTCGTTATTCTTCTTTTTTTTTGAATTCAATCGAAACCCCGTTATTCATAATTAAATGACATTAATTATTAATTTAATGACAAAGATATTTTCGTAATCCTTCTTCAGCAAACGCCATGCAGTTCTTTTTAAAATCTTCTCCTCTATTTTGGGAATCAGAAACTTCATCAAGTAGTAATAACCAAGTTTAAAACTTACAAGTGAAACGGAAGATCATCCGGAGATTTTTGTAACCTATGTTTTGGCTTAAGGAGTTTTAGCTAGAAGGTCAAAAATAGATACTAGTAGTATTTGATTTGGTTATTACCTTTTTAAAGGAAAAGATAATTAAATGAGGCATTAAAATGGTAGATGGAGGGGTCATCATAAATAAGAGGAGTAAATGAAGAAGTAGGTTGACCATAAATAAAAAGAAGGTGGAGAGTCTGTCCAGAAATACGGAAAGGCACTTCTTCTTCTCTTCTCTTGGAAGCTCTCTTGTCCAACTTCAACAATGGCAAACTCAGTTCTTCATTCTCCGAGATACCCACATTTCTTCCAGCCTCTTCTTCCCGACTTCCACTCCCACCTCGTACGTAATCTCATTTGTAGCCTCTTAACATTTCTCTCTGTGTAGCTCTCAATGTCTTCTTCTTCTTCTTTACGGTGTGTCTGTTTGCACGCAGAGCATTCCTTTGAAGTTCTTCTCGGAACACATAGAAGGAAGATACGAGAAAAATACGGTGGAACTAGAGTCAGATGCATGTGAGAGTACTTGGAAAGTTAAGTTGGAAGGTCGAAGACTAACCGTCGGGTGGAAAGAGTTCACCGTCGCACATGATTTCCGAATCGGAGATATTATCATTTTCAGACATGAAGGAGACTTGGTGTTCCATGTCACTAGTTTTGGACCCAGTTGCTGTGAGATTCAATATGTAAAGGAGAGCATAGGTAAGTTGTGTTCCGTTTTCTTCCCATGACATTACCGTTTATGTAATGAAGATGATCAGAACATTGTTTACTCCTTGTATATCAGGAAACTTGTCGACAAAGAAGAATGTAAAAACAGAACCGGAGTCTCGTTCATCAGACCAGCCTTGTTTCGTTGCACGTGTAACAGATTCGAACCTGCGAGAGGATACAATGGTTGGTGCTTCAGATCCACTGTTGATTCCTTTTGAGAACCGTGACAGTTGTTCTTACTCTTGTTTTAATTTTGCAGTTTTTGCCAAGGAAGTTTGGTTGGCTCTTGGATGGTCTGAATAAAGGAAACAACAAGATTAGTCTAGCTAATGAAGGAGAAAGAATATGGACGCTTATTCTGAAGTTTAGGGAATCAAGTAGAACGTTTTACATGAGAGGTGGTTGGAGAAGTTTCTGCCATGAGAATGGACTTGAACCTGGAGATATTATCACGTTTAAAATAGGGAGTAACAGCAAGATAATGCCTCTTCTCCGTTTCTCCACTTTGGAACTTATGAAAGTTTCCACAAAACATAGCAGCAAAGGGAAGACAGGAGAAGCTGGTGAGAGTAGTCAAAGAGTGCCATCATCATCATCATCATCTTCACTAAAGGAAAGCAGATTTGTGACACTAACTGCCACACCAGCAAGTTTCAGAAAGTCTAGAATTGTAAGTTAATGCAGCTCTGTTGCAGGAGTTTGTTCCCTTGTTTTTATTTTTGTTTTTATTGAAGTGCACATTGTAGTAATAAGATTGTTATCTCCTTTCTGCGCAGTATCTTCCAATGAGGTTCATTAGGCGTAACAGAATGGAAAGTGCAGGAGGGAAGAAAACAACTCTGTTGGACAAGCATGGAGGAGAGTGGGCAGTGGCTCTATGGATGTTAGATAGAAGGATGTACTTGGGTTCAGGGTTAAAAAAATTCCTCAAGGCTATTGGCGTTGAGGCTAACGAATCTTTTGTGTTGGAGTTGGTTTGGGAAGACAAAGCATCTCCTCCTATGTTCAAGTTCTGCTCCAAGATTAAGACCCGACTCTATGAGTATGGCCTGTTTTAGTGAACTCATGCCTCATTTTATGTGGATCCAGTGTCTAGTTGTGAAAGCAAGAGTCTATGCGTCTCTTTATGTAACCAAAATATTGTATAATCTACATTATGATTCTGTCATATGAATGTCAAAATTATTTGGGAACTCACCAGTAAGAACATTGAAATTTTTATTTATAACCACCCTTTTGTATCATAAGTCACTGTAACATTTATCTGTATTACTACTACTGAAAGCTAGCAGCTCTGTTGATTCTCAGATGTTGTTGTAACTTGTAACATTCCACATCATTGAGCGTCGATCATCTCGACGTCCATTTCTCTCACCAGAGATTTGGGTTTTGTACAACCCGATGGGACTGAAGTTTTGGGGTCCAAACAAGAATCGAAATCCTGGTACTTTAACTCTGGATCTCTGTTCCCATTTGCTGCATGATCTGTTGTAGAGTCATCGACTGAAGGGTATGACTCTGAATCCATTGTATCAACTCTTTCGGACTCCATACAACATTCAGAGGTCACTACAGATGGTGATGAAGAAGATGATGGCGACAACGATGATAATGATGATGATGACGATGATGATGATTCTTGTTCGCTCTCAGGGTCTTCAATGGTCGCATGGCTGATGGTTCTGGTGTCAACTGCTCCTACCATTGAACTCTCGACTAACTCTTTTTGGCAAGATTTCGTGTCCATTGTGTTTGTTTCCTTCTCCTCTTGAGCTTCTGATCCGAGCCTCGCACACGATGATGATGGTCGAGCTTGAATCCTGCACGGCATCAGAAAAGAATCATTACAAAGCTCAAGAGCTCAATCAAAGGATGGTTAATATTTTAATCTTAATGGTATACTAAACAGCTCGACAACAGAACCAGAGGAGGAGAAAAGCTTAACCTGCTGTAGAGGAGCATATAAGCTCTTTGAGAAAGGACATCTTCTAATTCCACTCTCTCTATCTGTGAATATTTCCAATTAAGGTAACCAAAATCCCTTGAAAGTTATGGTTTCATCACATAATTTCAATGCTGGTTAATGAACAAGAAGAGCCAACCAGTAAATAACTGTTACCTCGGAATCATCTATGATGTACCAGTTCCCGCTAAAATCCTTAACGTAGCATATGTAATGGCCGAAGAACGATGCATTCAGCATGTCTAAATGGACAATCACAGCATAGAGTTTATATATATCTGATCCTTCTCCGCCTTCGCTCATGTAAGGATTAAGATTCAACGTCTCAGGAAAACTTATTCTTTTGTTCAGTTTTCCGTATCTTCCTCCCTGCACATAAAAAAAAATCACAGATGTATCAAAATACACAACCAATTCCAGAAGACTTTAGCAAAAGGGAAGGGGGATGCAACAAACACCTGAAATCTTTTTAAGGCAATAGTTAGAATGTTTGGAGCGCGCCGAATCGTAAGACGCTTACATGCCTTTACATAGTCACTACACCTGGACATGAGGTAAAAAGATTATCAGGTTTCAGAAACATAGTCATTGTCAACTAATCAACCAGCACTCTGAAAAACTTAAGGCTTTTGGATTTTAATATAAATACCTATCACACTTGTACATGTTATCTCCGTGAAGCCACTCTTTGGCAGTGAACTGATCAAGACATTCCTCCAGAGACACCGCATCCCCATGAATCTCAACGGTTAAATCCATTATATTATCATATTGTTCAGAAACATTATCGCAAACATTACACTGAACCTGGAAAGTTGAAAATGCAGCAAATCAGGGAAAAGGCTCAAGACAGAGAGGAACCATAGAAATACATATCAACATCTGATAACTGAGATCAAGAAATATCACCTGTGACTGGAGGAGACCGCCAAATATATACTGAACAAGTGTTGTTTCTTGAGAACGAGGAGGCACCATTTTTTCTCCACCAAACTCGTCGAGGCAAACAGACTGCATCATATCAATCGCATACCTGAAGTTTGTGGAATTCTAAATCCTTCAGCTGAGAGATTTTACAGACTACACCACTGATGAGTAAATAGATACTGACCTCATGAACTCATGAGCATCCTCTTGTCTCCCATACCCAAGAGTCCCACCAATATTCGTTAACCGGGAAATGATGTTCATTGGTGAAAAAGGGAGCCGACTTTGACTCGATCTCTCAACATGGGTCTGAAATTCACAGAAGAAACACCAATCGTTGCGCATACCTGTCGAACAAAACACAGAATCAAAGAAGTTAAAGCGCATAAAAAAAACCAAACGAAAGAGTTTGAACCAATAACTCCAAAAGAAGAAAAATTACATTCACTCTTGTGGCCTTTCTCTAGCAGGTACGCAACAAGAGGACGTGTCCAGGAGAGGCATTGTAGAATCACATTAGCAAAACAACTGAAAAATGATCAAACAGAATCTTATTGAATGGGGAAAAAAAAAACAACTTCAGCACATTCAAATTGATGCTTTAGAGCTACAACCAGACGAGCACAAACCTGTTTCCACAGTTCATGAGCCCACATGGAGCCAATTCTGGATTTTCCCAGTTAAAATATTTAACAAATTCGTCATACGGGAAAAGAACCTGCAGGAGATGCAAAACAGAAGTACAAGTAAGAATTTTCCACAATCACTCAATCAAAAGAGTGTGCAACAGGAAGACCAAGAAAAGAAACATCACATCTCTTGGCTTGAGGCTACTCTTGTTTTGGCCCCACTCTGGAATCAATGCAATCTTAGACGCAGAACTGTCACCGAACGGAGAAGCTCTGAACCTTAGGCCATTTCTTGCAGATGTTGAAGAAGTAGTAATCTCAGCATCCTTGCACTTCCTTTGATGACCCGAATCCCAATCTGACTTTTGGCACTCTGCCGAGCTGATAGCAAAGACACCATAGGTACAAATTTGATACTCAATTAACAAAGATGCAATAAGCCAACTTTAAAGCTGATACAGTATAACACACTACCAGATTCATTATAAGTTAGTTCAACGAGGTATCTAAGCAACAACTTCCAAACCCAGGATTCTTCTGTCGAAAAGCTCAAGACTTTAACTTTCAATTACGATAAACTCGAGGAAAACCAAGTAGAGAGATTTGAGGGCAATACCAGTATCGAACGGATTTGCAGCGGGAGCATTTCTTAGTGGAAACTTCCCCACAGACAGAGCAATCATACTCATCCGTATAGACCGCCGCGAAATCCCGGCGTCGGTCTCTGTCGAAACCTCCGGCGGCGGCGGCGCCGATGTCGAAGTACTTAGCGGCGGTGTTTCTGAGAAAGTAAAAGACACCGACGGCGAGGAAGAATAGAGTGGCTACAAAGCGCGTCAAGACAGAAAGATCCACCGGAAATACAACCTCATGCATTTAATTCGCAATGAGTCTCCCTTCTCGTAATCATCGATCACTTCTTCCTTCTAGTTTCTTCTCTATCTTTTTCCTTTTTTTTGTTGAAGGATCACTTTTTTTTTGTCTTTTCTTGTCTTACCGCCTCATTGATTTTGTTACTTAGTAGAGAAGACAGTAGTGTTCTATGTTGGATTGGGCCTCTCCAATGCAACTTCCTTTTCAATTAAAAGATTGGACCTTTATGCTCTTTTTTTGTTTGTTTATAGACTATACGCTTTCATTTCTTTTCTCGCAGTATTTATATTTTTGGCCGTCGATCTTATTTTCTTACAAAACTAACAAGTATGGATGTTGTCAAATTATGAACATACAGTATGAGACCTTTGTAGACGATTTTTCCATTTATACAAAAAGTTAACAATTGTTGTTCCTAAATCTTGTATTACTAAAAAAGAAATTATATACAATCGAAGACTATATAGGAGATGTTAGTACATTGGTTTTGATGAAATCAGTCAAGCAGTTTTAAATTTAACTCCACATACATAAAAGTAAATGTGTTATACTCCCTCTGTTTTTTTAAGTAAAATATTTTAGTTTTTTTATTTGTTTTTAAAAAATTAATGTTTTAGGTTTTAAATAATCTATTTAGTTTTATAAAAAGCTGTTAACCAATAAAAAAAAGAGAAGTAGTATTAATATATTATTAAAAAATAAAAAGTAGCTAAAAGTAAAATAAAAAAAAATTATTAAAATATGTTTTAATATATGTAAAGATGTTAAAACATACGTGTGAAGATGTTAAAACATCATATTTATAAAAACGGAGAGAGTATAATTTTATTTTCTTAACATAGATAATTGAGACACCAAAAGTGACATTGTCAAACCAGGCAAAAAAACTGCAAATAATTATCAATCACTAATGTTTTGTCTTGTAATTTTGAAAATAAATTTGTTCCAACGCTGAGGATTACACTCGTTTTTATAGTTTACACACTTTCGTATTACTTCTTTTTGTACACATTTTCAGTAGACAAATATTTATACACACTAGAGACTTGTACTTTGACCGGATCAGATTTCGAATCTAAGGGTTGCATGTATGTCCCTAAACTGATTGTAGCAAAGAAGAGGCATCCGATTTCGTCTGAGGAGGAAGATGACTTGTTGTTGCTATTTCTTGCTATGGAAGCTAACGGCAAGTTTGGACAAGCAAGCACACCTAAAACTACTTTCCCTTCCTCGAGCATAGATTATTTCCGACATTGATAAATATAATTTTTTGTTGTAACTTATTTAGAATTTTTTATTTATTTTCTAAATATTTATACACACTATTTGAGACAGAAGATAAACAGGCTATTCTTCTCCTCCTCTTTGTTGTTGTCATGTGATGTAATCTCCAAACTTAGTAAATAAACAATTTTACCTTAATATAATTATTTATTTTCTAAAGATCGTTGATTATAATAAACTGCCATATCATATGTTTTATAGTTCAATGATTATACTTAATTTACTATTGCGTCAAAAGATGTCTCCTTGCATCTTTCTCTGTAAAGAAAACACCGATAGTGCCAAGCACTAGCCCAAGACCGTAATACCCGAGAGATCCGAAAGAAACAAAGACCCTCTAAGTATGAATAATAAGATGAAAGAATACTTAGAGAAAACTTGAAGGAACTTTAGAGAGGATAAGAGAACTTATGAAGAACACTCTTTCTTTATTTGTTCAACTTCTCTCTTGTTTACAAATGATGGAGTAGTGGGCTATTTATAGGCTCCACTTATTACAAAATATCTTACAAACATTCTCCTAATCTCTAGAATTTTCTACAATAATATCTAGAATTTTAACTACAACATCTAGAATTATCTATAGAATTATCTAGATATTTAACTAATAGAATTCTCTAGAACATTTAAGAAAGATGATGATTTTTAGTGATGTTTCTAGAGATTCTAGAACTTGAGCTTAATTTTGGGCCTAATCTAATAACTAATAATTATTTTATAAACCCAAAATTAAGCTTAACCCAAAATCAAGTTTAACTTCAATACTCCCCTTTAAACTTGATTTTGTCAGTCATCCCGAGCTTCGAGCGAAGTAACTCGAACTGACCTTTTGGTAATGACTTGGTGAAGATATCCGCAACGTTGTCCTCGCTTCGAACTTCCAAAGCTTCAATTATCCCATCAAACACCTTCTCTTTTATGAAGTGATGCTCTAACTCAATGTGTTTAGTCCTCCCATGGAACACCGGATTATTGGCCAGCTTGATCGCACTTTGATTATCTCCATAAATTGCAATTGGCTTATTGATTGGCTCGAACAGATCTTCAAGGAGTCTCTGAAGCCAAATACACTCTTGAGCTGCTAGAGTTGACGCTTTATACTCTGCTTCAGTTGTAGATAACGACACCGTTGCTTGCTTCTTACTGCACCATGAGACACTTGTGTTCCCACATAGGAAAACATAGCCTGAAGTTGATTTCCGATCATCAAGATCTCCACCAAAGTCAGCATCCGTGAAGCCATAAAGAGAGACCTTGGCATTATACTTGTACACCAGACCCATGCCAAGAGTTGTCTTCACATACTTCAATATCTTCTTTGCCGCTTCTAGATGTGGCTTCCTTGGTGCCTGCATAAACCGACTTACAAGACCTACCGCGAAGGCAATGTCAGGTCTTGTAATGGTTAAGTATAAAAGACTTCCTACAAGAGAGCGATAAGGCCGAGGATCAGGTAGTAAGGACCCTTCATCGCGTTTAAGCTTTATGTTGACATCCATTGGAGTAGAGCGTGTCTTTCCTTCGTGTACTCCAAACTTCTCAACGATTCTTCTTGCATAGCTTTGTTGGCCGATGAATATTCCACCCTTTACCCTTTCCACCTCCAAACCGAGAAAGTTGTTGAGCTCTCCCAACTTCTTCATCTCAAACCTTATCGACATATCCTCTTGTAAACGAGTAATTTCTGCATCATTATTCCCGGTAATTATCATATCATCCACGTAAAGGAGAACTACCACGTGGACTCCTCCATTCTTCTTGAAGAATAGACTCGGATCAGAGTTTGATGCCACATAACCGCAGAACTGAAGAAACTGAGCAAGCTTTCCATACCAGGCTCGTGGAGCTTGTTTTAACCCATACAAGGCCTTCTTCAGCTTACACACATAATCAGGATGCTCTCGTGATATAAAACCAAGTGGCTGCTCCATCAGGATTTCCTTGTCAAGCTCTCCATATAGAAAAGCATTCTTCACGTCTAATTGCCATAACTTCCAACCAAAACTTGCAGCCAAAGATAAGAGAGAACGTACCGTAGTCATCTTGGCTACAGGGCTGAAGGTCTCATCATAGTCTTCTCCATACTTTTGAGAGAATCCCCGAGCAACCAACCTTGCTTTGAATCTATCAACGCTTCCATCTGTTTTGCGCTTGATCCGGTACACCCATTTACAAGAAACAGGTTGGGCATTCTTGGGTTTTGGAACCAAATCCCAAGTTTCGTTCTTCATGAGAGCATTCATCTCCTCCTTCATTGCGTTTTCCCACTCGTCAACACCTTTTGCTTCATCATAAGATGTTGGCTCATCTTCATCTAATGGAGCTGCAAAGTAGCACGAGAAGGTAGTAACAAACTTTGGATCTCTGAACCGAGCAGGTTTAATGATGTCCCTTTTAGGCCTTTGACTAGCCGTGGAACCATGATGTTCCTCCTCATCCTCCTCTTGATCAGTGCTCCCCCTTTCACCTTGCATCTCTTCTTCAGTGCCTTTTTCCTTACTCAGAGCTGGTTTATCACTCTTGGAGGAACTCCCACCTTCTTGCTCAACTAAAACTTGAGGTGGCCCATAGAATGAGGAAACTTCATCAAAAACAACATCTCGAGACACTACGTACCTGTGTGTCTCTGGATCCATACACCTCCACCCTTTTCTTTGTTCGTCATAGCCAACGAAGATGCACTTCTTCGCCTTTGCCTCCAACTTGGTTCTTTGAGAATCAAACACATGGACGTAGCAGACTGATCCAAATATCCTGAGATGTTTCACTGACGGCTTCTTCCCATGAATCATCTCATACGGAGACTTCATGTTATTTGGGCTGAGTGGCATCCGATTTATGACGTACACTGCGCATCTCATGCCTTCCGCCCACAAGGCTTTAGGCAGATCCTTCCCATATAGCCAGCTTCTGCACGTCTCAGTTAGATGTCGAATCTTCCTTTCCGCTACTCCATTTTGTTGAGGTGTATACGGACAAGTAAACTCTCTCTTTATTCCATGCTTTTGACAAAAAGAGAGAAACTCCTTGGACATGAACTCCCCTCCATTATCTGTCCTTAAGGTCTTGATTCTCCGACCCAGCTCCCCTTCCACGGTAACCTTGAATTCTTGAAATTTGGAGAATACTTCTGATTTTTCCTTCACAAAGTATACCCAAGTGTGCCGTGAGAAGTCATCAATGAACAGCAACATGTACCGAAACCCGGAATATGAGGGTGTTCTTGTAGGACCCATCAAATCACTATGGATCCTCTCCAACAGAGCACTGCACCGTGAAGTAGAATTGTAAATGGAAGTCTATGTGATTTTCCATATTGACAACCTTCACAAAGCTTTCCTTCATCTTGGATCTTCAGCTTCGGAAGCCCATTTACCAACTCCTTATTCACCATAACCTTTAGCTTAGTCATGTTTATATGACCAAGCCGAGCATGCCATATAGAGGCATTGTCGTTTGTACTCATCTTCTCCACGTATGAGTTGGACGCAGATAAGACATATAGATCCTTAACCCGCGATCCGGTGTGAACCACATCCGCCTTTAACTCTTTAATATTCTTCAAGAATTTGACGTCTCTTGGGCCAAATAAAACGTAGTTACCTGAGTCTACTGCATTCACCACAGAGAGAAGATTCTTCCTTACTCCAGGGACATGGTATACATTCTTGAGGGTGATAGGGCTTCCATCTTCTCCTTCAATGACAACAGTCCCTTCCTTCTCGACCCGGTGAACTGAATTATCCGCGGTAATTATGGCTTCTTTTCCATCATGGCGCTGAAGACTAGAAAATAGCTTCTCGTCTCCGGTAATATGGTGGCTACAACCCGAATCCACAATCCAATCATTTTCAAGATTTTTAGTTGTGGATATACCTGAAGATGCAGCCTCCACCGTGAAGCATTTCCTCCATTCTTCGTCTTCAATATGACCTTTTGATTCTGCCATATTTGTCTCCTTCAGCTTGACTCGACAATCCTTTTTGAAGTGCCCAAGCTTTCCACACCGGTAGCACTTGAATCGCTTCTTATCTCCAGTAGAAGATCCTTCCGGTCCATCGATGTTTTTTGCACCATCGTATTTGGATTTGGCTTTGAAGTTGTGTTGCTTCCGAGCTACAAAGGCGCTCCCCGAGTCATCATGGATTTTGACTCCTGCCATTTGCGTAGCTAATGACTCTTGCGAAGCTAGCAGGTTCTCGAACTCCTCCAAGGAAGGTTGTGTAGCCCATCCTTGAACCGAAGTCACAAACGGTGTATACTCAGGTCGTAGACCTCGAATAATATACCGTTTTAAACGTGCTTCGGAAATTGACTCCTCCGAATTTAGAGTATTAATCTCTGAGCGAAGATTCTTTACCTTGATGAAAAACTCTGAGATTGAAGACTCCCCCTGCTTTGCATTCGCCAACTCGTTTTCTAACAGTTGTAGCCGAGCTTCATTCTTCTTGTTGAACAACTGATCTAACGCCTGCCAAATGGAACTAGCGGATGTGCAACTTGAGACATGCTCAAAGACTCCCGAGGATATTGACCTCTTCAATGCAAACTCCGCCTTGGCATTCTTCCGTGTCCACTCCTTTGTCGCTTCCGCTGTCGCAGCAGCTCCCCTTGGTGGTGTTGTGCTACTGCCGCCGACGACATCCCATAAGTCCTCACTCACCAAGTATGACTCCATGCATGACTTCCATAACCGGTAATTGGATTGGTTTAGAATCTTCATTCCCAACCCAACAACGCGACCCATTGACTCCATACTTAGAGTAAATCTGAGATCTCAATTAATCCGATCTTGAAAAAGAACCAGATCAGAATGGCTCTGATACCATGTAAAGAAAACACCGATAGTGCCAAGCACTAGCCCAAGACCGTAATACCCGAGAGATCCGAAAGAAACAAAGACCCTCTAAGTATGAATAATAAGATGAAAGAATACTTAGAGAAAACTTGAAGGAACTTTAGAGAGGATAAGAGAACTTATGAAGAACACTCTTTCTTTATTTGTTCAACTTCTCTCTTGTTTACAAATGATGGAGTAGTGGGCTATTTATAGGCTCCACTTATTACAAAATATCTTACAAACATTCTCCTAATCTCTAGAATTTTCTACAATAATATCTAGAATTTTAACTACAACATCTAGAATTATCTATAGAATTATCTAGATATTTAACTAATAGAATTCTCTAGAACATTTAAGAAAGATGATAATTTTTAGTGATGTTTCTAGAGATTCTAGAACTTGAGCTTAATTTTGGGCCTAATCTAATAACTAATAATTATTTTATAAACCCAAAATTAAGCTTAACCCAAAATCAAGTTTAACTTCAATATTCTCATTTACTATTGTTTTATGAATCTGCTCTTTCCTGATATGTTACTGCCTGTTTCTGCAGACTTTCAATGGTAAAATATGGGAGAAATTCAGCAGTGGGAAAGTTGCTTCATTGGCATACGCAGAGATCCAAGGAAAGTCTGCTCTTGCTTCATACATGCAGAATCCAAGTCCTACGAAGGACGAAAAGCATTTGTTTCCAGAAGTCTCCCACCACCATGATGATTGATGATGGTCAAGACTCCGATGATCAGGTAGTCTATTAAATCAAGAATCTTGCTTGCCTTCCCAAATGCATATGAAGTCTCTTCAAATATCGCTTCCACCATTTTTCACCTTACGTTTATGGATCATACAGGAGCAACTCTTTTCAAGCATTTGGAACATAACCGCGCCTAATTCAGATTGGTCTTACACAATGGATCTTATGGAGAATCCGAGGGAGAACGATAACTCCAAGAACATAGCAGAAGAGTCCTCTTAAACCCCCAACTAAAAACCAGTAGCTGGGAACTCTAACCCACCATCAAAGGTAAGTGTACAGATCAGGCGCTGATATGGAAGAAGCATATGTACAGTATCGTCCAAGGCTTGTTTTTCCTCGGAACAGAGTAACCGTTTTTTAGGGATTACTTCACACGGAAAAGAAAAACAATCTAAAAACATCCCTTTTAGTAGTACATTACGTTAAATACTTTAATCAAAACTTCTCCTTATCTGTAATGTGTATATCCTCATGTCCATGTGAAAGACATGATCAGTGTTTAATTAGTTGTTTCATTACAACAGACTTGTTATAAGTCTCTGTCTCAATTAGTTACCACTAGGTCCATTACTATTACAAAACCGTTACACGTCTATCTCTGTGTAATACACATCTCTCCATGGCTTCAATGGCGGATCAGTCTCTTTTTCAACTTTTCCTAGCCAATCCCAACACAAATGGCTCAGCATCGCGATCCGATTCTTGTATTCTTTTACGGCTAATCTCCGTAATTATCGTCGGAGCTATCTCCTTGTGGGCAAACCACGAGGCATCAAAAGGTTTTTCCATAACTATCATCAATGAAGCTAAGGATTCTCCTTCCGGTAAAAGATTCGCCCTTTTCTTTGAATCGGATGATACCGCGGTGCGGGTCTTGCTCGATACGAGCTTCTTTGTGGAGAGATTTCTCTACGAGAGTGTTCCTCATCGTCTCCGGAAGCCTGTAAACCATGTGACCGTCAGATTCTATGGAAACAGCCGTGACGGAGTCGAGAAGATCTCGATAACTTCCGGTGCAAGTCATGGAGGTATGTGATATGATTAAGCTCATCACTAATGGAAAGAAGTGACTTTGGTAACGCCGTTAAATCAGCATTGCGACGTTCTATGGTTAGGATTTGGCTGTGGGGAGACAAGTCAGGAGCCTTGCCGGAGCTTGTCGCCGGCATGGTGGAGTATTTGACCGTGGAGCGAAGAGAACGACGTCGTCTTGATGAGTTGGGTGAGTATTGGAAGGATAAGGAGTCTGTGTCTGTGGTTAGGTTCTTGTGTTACTGTGAAAGACGTAGCGAGGGGTTCATCAGACGGTTGAACCATGGGATGAGATTTGGGTGGGATGATCGGACGGTGTATCTAGCTTCGAATGGTGCGTGTGATTCACGCAAGGTTGTGTTGCGTAAGCGAATCATCGACGACAATGGATTTGATAATTGAGAGACGAACATGATTGGTTATAGTGCTGTCGTATTGTAGCACACATGGCTCCACGTCATTATTCATGTACTATATTATTCAACACCTTTTTTGTGGAAATGATTTTTTTTGTTCTCTCAGATATTGTAATATAATGGATTTTATATGTTTGTTAGATTTGTTAATTATTGGAGTCTAATTTTGGTGGCTAGATACTTTTCGAAATTGGGCCAAGGCCTTGTTCAACACTAGTCAAGTCTTAATTTTAAATTGCAGTATAATCAATGTTTTAGGAGTATTACAAAAGCACTTGAATTGAATTTTTTTTTTTTTTTTGTTGCGTTTCACCATTTCGTTGGTCCACAATAAACTGCTTATAAAACAAAAGATTATATTTTACTAGAAAAATATGGTAGAATGAGAATCTATTAGCTAATTAAATTTCTTTTTTTTTCCAATGTATAACTAAATACATTTTTTGGCTAATTGCATTAGTTCATGCCGTTTAACAAAATTTTTTAATTGTTCTAAATTGATGTTCGGTATGGTTTAAACCAGTTAAACAAATTTTCTTCTAAGAACCTTATAGTATTTTACTTCTTTAACCTTTTGTATATAGTCGTCCACAACGGCTACATTATTAAATTAACCCAAGAGCTAAGAAAAGAATGGCGATTCAGGTGACCGTTGCTCCTTCGTCGGTTGCTCCTTCTTCCCACACAAAGGCACAAATTGTCATAAATTATGATTTCTCCGTTCTTGGTGGATCGTACGAGACTTTGACTCCGTCTTCATGCAGATCCGATCGCCGGAAATTCGCTACTTTAGCGTTCGTTCTTTTTCTTTCTGATCGGAGACGGAGGCATTTGACGGAGCTTTGCGACATTATAGCAGAGAATCCGAAGCAATTTTCGGAGAATTTGGCTTGGATATGCGGCCGTTGTCCGCAAACGGAATCGGCGAACCCAAAATCAACCGACAATCGTGCGATTTAGCCAAGGGAGTGGAGCCTCTAACCCAGCAAGCGGCTTATTTTGAGGAGGAATCCATCGAGAAGCAAGATATTGCCTTAAGATTGATTACTCATATTTTAGAGAAACTTAAAATTGATTCCAAACTTCAGCATCAGGTGAGATTTCTTGGTGAAGCAATGCGTTGGTACTGTAAATTGTTTTTCGCATGTTTTCACGAGGATTGGTATGATGGTGTTTACTTTGCGGTGGAGTATGGATTTCTTACAAGAGATGATGATTTTTATGTTCCTGTTTTACTTCGCTGGTCTTTGATGGTATGTTTTTTATTTCTTCTTCTCCAGGCTGTTTACTCTAGAGTTGTTTATAAATGTTGGTTGTTTAATCAGTCATAGTTTACTATTTCTCTTACTAGAGGCATTGGCTAACTTGTAGTGAAGCTGATTTATGATGTCTCAAGCTTTGTCCAACTGCACTCTGCTTAACTAGGATTCTTACTTGCTTTCAGGTTCCAAGAAACAGGTTTTAATTACTGCATCAAATTATAGAGAGCCTATTATCAGAAGGTTGCGTGAGGAATGACTTTGCAACTTGCGTGAGTGGTGCAGGAGGAGTTGGAGGCTCCTTTAAATGAATCTGGACATTTACGCAAAGGCTCTTGCTATCTGGCGTCTCTTTACGAAGACTCAGATGGTTTTACCAAAGTGTTTCTTAGGTTTTTACAGTATTGATGAACAATGGCTTAGTTGAAGTCTGAGATGACTAAAGCAATACAACAAGTATGCTTTGTGTTTAGGGTAACATATTTTTTTCTATGCATATATTCTCATGTCTCTAGTGTGCTGTACATCATTGTAGTTAAGAATGGGATTACAATAGTCTCTGCTCCATAATTGCTTGCAGTACTCGGATTTTATTGAATGACATTACTGTACAATGGTGGATAAGCACTAAACTTTTTTTATTGATGTAAGGGTATGTGTTTCTTAATCTTATTGCAGGTACCTCCAATGGTTGATTGAAGAAAGTAGGCCTGGGCATTCGGGTACCCATTCGGATTCGGGTCAGGTCTTTTCGGATATTGGTTACTTTGGTTTTAGACAATGAGCCCCATTCGGGTATTTTTAATTTTTCGGTTGGGTTCGGTTTGGTTCTTGTCGGGTTCGGATCGGTTTCGGGTACCCAATTTCTCTGAAATTTATTTAAAACTTTTTATATAAAATTAGATTTTAAAAATATATTGATATATTTGGTTAAGTTTTGCTAAAAATATTGAATTTTTGATATATATAACTTAAATAATTTGGATATTTTGATTATTTTAATCTAAATATAAAGAATATATTCGATTCATAATTATGATTTTGAGAAATTTGGTTATATTATATCTAAGTATAACTAATATTTATATATATATATATATCATTATATCTCAGATATTTCGGATATCCGTTCGGTTCTCGGTTCGGTTCGGGTACGGTACCGATTCTTCGGATATAAAGGTAAAGACTCCATTCGGATATTTACATCATTTCGGTTCGGTTCGATACCATAAAATTTGGGTTGGGTTCGGGTGGATTTTTCGGATCCGATTTTTATGCCCAGGCCTAGAAGAAATAGACTACAATGATCCGCAGCTGCAAACAACATATGCTCTCTCACTTGCCAAATCAAGCAAGTTGGCCTCGGCGGCTGCAAAACAAGCAAGAAGGCATGTGAAGAGCTGTTTGGCTCTCTGCTTTCTGGAATTGCCAAGATTGCAGTAGCTAGAGGAGGGCAGCCACTTGACGTGTTGCTCATCCGACTTAAACCACTGCGCGCAGGTAATTTTGTTTCGCTTTAACTCATACGAGCAACATGTTCTACTCTATTGATAGGTATTTTCATCGCGTCTTCTGGTCCATAGAATTATAAAACACATCATGTCATAAGTTTGGAGAGATTTTATACATCTTTTTGACTTTTAAAGTACTGAATGAAGTTTTTATATATATCTCTTCTCTGTTGGAACAGCCTAATACTTTGGGAGCAACCAGGGGGCTATGCTTGAGAGCTTATTCAAGACTAGTTGTGAGATTATTGAATCTGGCTGGGCCAAGGACCGAGCTCCAGTGGACACCTTCATTATGGGATTGGCTTCAAGTATTCGTGAAAGAAATGATTATGAAGAACAGGTAACACTAAAATTTCCCTTAACATAGACAAAATCGTTTTTAACTTGCTTATAGCATTGTAATATCAACATTCCAATAAGGCTCATCATTTGGTGTTCAGGCTGATAGAGGAATGCAAGCGCCTGCTGTACAGCTTAATGTGATACGTCTGCTTTTAAGCTATGTCATCTCAGGAAAAGGAAACTAAAAAAAATATATGTTTTCTAGTCTCTTTCTTTTATTTTTAGTTTTGTATTTATTTACATTAAAGCTTGAATTAGTTTAAAATTGATTAGATTTATATTAGTTGTAAAAATAACCGGACATAGTATCCAGCCACTTGAATTCATTTGGTCGTTAGAGATTACATATGTTCAATTTGTTTTCACAATTAATGTAAATCTATCAGTTTTTATTAGGAAAAAATGATAATAGTAATAATAATAGCAATACTAAATGAAATTTGAATTTAACCCAAACATGGTATTGTTTTTTTGTATTGTTTCAGGTTAAAACTTTTTTACAAAATGAAATTCATGAAGGAAGAGATGTCGAGAAAAGGAAACTAAAAAAAAAGATATGTATTCTATTCTTTCTCTTTTATTTCTTTTTGTATTTATTCACAATAAAACTTAGATTAATTTAAAATCGATTAGATCTACATTAGTTATGAAACTAACCGGACATGTTATCCAGCCATTTGAATTCATTTGGTCGTTAGAGATTATCTATGTTCAATTTGTTTTCATAACTAATGCAAATCAATCGGTTTTTTTATTAGGAAAAAAATGATAATTATAATAATAATAACATTAAATGAAACTTGAATCTAACTCAAACATTAAATCTGATTTTTTTGTATTGTTTCAGGTAAAACTTTTTCCATAAAATAAAACTCTGGAAGCAAGAGATATCGAGAAAAAGAAACTCAGGAAAAAAGATATGTTTTCTATTTTCTCTCATTTATTTTCTTTTTTTTTATTTATTTGTATTAAAATTTAGATTAGTTAAAAATCGATTAGATTTACATTAGCTATAAAACTGACCGGACATAGTATCCAGCCATTTGAATTCATTTGATCGTTAGAAATTACTTATGGTCAATTTGTTTTTATAAGTAATGCAAATCAATCGGTTTTTATTAGATAAATGATAATAATAATAATAGTAACAACACTAATAAGATTTAAATCTAACCCAATTTTTGTATTGTTTCAGGTCAAAACATTTCAACCGCAAAAAAAAATTACCATCATTCTTTTTAGAATTTTGTAATTGTATTTATTTTATTTATTTTATTTTTCTTTTAAATTATAATTTTTGTTTGCAGTTTTTTATTTTCTCTACATTCGAATTAAGAGAAATAAATTTTAATAAATTTTAAGACAGTAGATAAATTGTTTTATTATATTTGACAACAAAAGTCCCTAAGATAAACAGGCTATTCTTCTCCTCCTACTAGACAAATAGTGTGTATAAATATTTCATTTCGCAATATTTTATCTTAGGGTTTCTCAAATATTTCATGTTAAGCAAGGTTTATAAGCAAATGCACAGAACCAAGCTAATATTCCATGTTTCACCGTTAAGTAATGTTCTGGTGCCAATATTGGTAACATGATGAGCTTCTCGTTTTTTTTCTTTTCTTGATCTCTCTACCTTGAGAGGTTTATAAATCTCTCTTGCTTCCTCTCAAAACTTCTTCTTGCAGGATTCTTGTTGCTGCTTTGACAGTTTTCGAAAGAGTTGGTGATACTCTTATTTCGTGGTATGTTTGTTATTGATCTTTGGTGCTTACTTAATACTATGTATGTTGTATTCTTATTTCTTTTTTGTCTGTCATGATTTCTTCTTCAAAGGTTACCAATGTATAGCGAGGCGAAGTTGGCATTCTTCATTTATCTCTGGCTCCAAAATACCAAAGTAAGTCATATCTATATATATCCTTTGATCTTCTGAATTCATTTGCCTTGTATCTAATTCTGTTTTCCTCTGTGTGTTACCATTTTTCAGGGAACTACATATGTTTACGCCTCTTTCTTCAAGCCATATGTTTCAAAGCATGAAAATGAAATTGACCGTAACTTGGTTGAGCTAAAGACTAAAGCTGGAGGTATGGCAATGATTTATCTCCAGAAAGCAATCAACCATGGACACACAAGATTCTTTGAGATCTTACAGTATATTTCAGAACAATCAACACCTAAACCTCAGCCTAAGGTAAATTCATTACTTCACCTATATATCACATCTCAGTTTCTGTATGCATAATAGTTGATCTTTAGTGTCTTCTATTTATCAAACAACAGGAAAAGAAACAGACAACAACAGCTGAAGTTGATGATTCGAATCTTAAGGGAGACGCAAAGCAAAGCTAACTCTGATACATGAAGAAACGCTAAAAGGCTAACTCGTTGCATCATCTTCTTTCTCTTATTAGTCGTTTGGAATAAATTTATTATATGGGTGGTGACAGTTTCATATTATGTAAATGACTTTATAGGCTTTGAAAATAAATAAATTAGCTTTTGATGTTGTTTTGACTAGGGAGAAACAGAATGAAATTGATTTATTTTATAGGCCGAAACCCAAATATTTTTCCACATATTTAATATTGGCCCAATTTCCGTCGGTCCATGACTCCCAAGGTGAATCTTCTTATATTAGATCTCAAAGAAATTTATTTTTGGTCAATTATAGCACCCATGCAGGCTACTTGTACCTCATTTTGTGCTTAGATCGCGCGCTGGAGTCCTTCACGTGCAAGTGGTCGCTGCCCCGTGCTGGGGTGGGTGTTTCACCGAAGATTGGACGCTTGGCTCCGGATCCGGTGATGCCCAATGGTATGTGGATGGCTCTGGGAGTGCCGGTCTCGGTGAAGTCTTCTGGTGGTGGAGATTCGGGTCGGGACTTTCGTAGTGTCTCTAGGTACGCGACCTGCTGAGCTTTGAGAGCCCCGATCTGGTCGTTCAGCTTGTTGTCCATCTGTGCCATGAACGATTGTAGGATGGTGGTGATGTCCGTTGGTGCGGGTGGAGGCGGAGGGGGCGGGAGTGTGCCCGTCGTGTTGAGGGAGCTCCAGGCTAGCGGAAGGTTGGTCTCATCTACCGTCTCGTGCTGTTGGACGTTTGAACTGCTCTAGAGGGCGGTGCCCAGTCAGGTCTGCGGTATCCTGGGGTTGTTCCCGGCCTGATTTAGGGCGGGTGGTGGGATGATTGTATCGTCGGTGGTACTGTCGGTGGATCGCTTCTCCGTAGACATCTTCGAGTTCCGGCGTAAGTGGACGAACTTGTATCTTTTTTTTCTCCCCACAGACGGTGCCAATTGTAAGATCTAGATATCTCCTATAAAGAAAATATAAAGATTTGTGGGGGAAAAAGATAAAGTTGTTTGTTATTAGCCGGAGCTCGAGGTATACAAGGGATTTAGGTCGTCGGAAAAGAACGCCGACCTAAAGTTTGAGAGTAAAGAACTGAGATCTAAAGCTGAAAGCAGTAAGCCATTGTTTGCTCTAGGTCTCAAGTCCGAAGTTGTGAATGAATGATCTTCGAGGGAGGGGGCTTTTCTTATATAGCCTTCGTAGACCGCCTTGAGAATAATCATTCTCCTTCGGGATTAGGATAGTTTCCTTTCTTCTTGGGGTCTTCTTTCCTTTTCTTCCGCGATACAAATATATCTTTGGATATTTCCATATTTGAGCGCTGACCTAGACTCAGAAGCGGAGGTAAAGCTTCAAATGGGCATTGTCTCAATTTATGAAGGGTTTTTAACAAGGGGTGCTAAACCCATCACTAACAACCAACAATCTGATGTCAAAAAAAAAGAATGAAAAGATATAAATCACTCTACAAAGCAATTTAGAAAACAATGAAAGTACTTAAAAGTAAAAAATAACAATAGGACCACACGGTTACAAGTTGTGACATATCATCATTGTGTAGGTAAAACATATCAATATTTACAAAACGATAATAGACTATTATATTGTTCGTACAAGCAACCAAATTAACGGGTGTGGTACATCATCATACATGTAAAAGGAAGACCAAAAACAAAATTAAAAAAAAAAAATCATAAATTAATGAGTTGTCGAAATACCAATAATTGAACAAGGATGTAAACGAATGATAGATGAATCCACTATAAAAGTTAGGGACCATTTTTGGGTTGAATGATAGGTGTTGTATATCTATCTATCTACTCAATCAATTGCATTAATTGATAAGAAGGTTATATAGTATAGACCAGTGTGAAACTAAAAGAGTGTCAGCAAGAACCTCTTCTCTTTTCACCACTTTGTTTTATTCTCTCCGAGCTAACATGATGCGATTTCCCCAATTTGGACTTTCCTTCTACGCAAGTATGGATGTTGTCAACTTATGAACATAGTATGAGACCTTTTTTGGACGATTTTTCTATTTATATAAAAAAGGTTAACAATTGCTTGCTCCTAAACCTAATATTAAAAAAAAAAAGTTATATACTATCGAAGACTATATAGGACTAGGAGATGTTAGTACACTGGTTTCGATGAAATCGGTTTATATTTAACTAAGGGACATACATAAAAGTAACCGAAAATGTGTTATCTAAATTATTTTGGTTTTGAATGTTAACAGAGGATAAACCATGTTTGGTCTACCATAAACGATTTACTATTTAAATTGCATGAGAAAAAATGTGGTTTACCATAAACTTTAAACTAGTTGCAGTTGATGATGAATTTTATGGAAAACAAATATATAAGTCCGCTTGTCCGCGCTAACAAAAGAACGTCAACCATCAACGGATCAACCTGTTACGTCCGAACGAAAGTGAAACAAAAAAAATTAACCTCCATCTTGCAAAAAAGTTATAAAATAATATTAAACATTCAGTTCCACATTTAAACTTGATTAGTACTTGAGGATGTTGCTTTATTCAACTTTGTCTTCTCCTCTCTGGCTCTCTGTCTCCAAACATGGAACTGTTAGAAAATAGAGTAGAGCTAAAATTAGAACGAAAGATAAATATAAGAACATGCTCCTACCATGAATCTTCTAGATTCAGTTTACACATCATACCTAAGTTGTTGATTTCCTGCCATGAATCTTCTAGTTTCTGTTCCATAATCTCTAGCTCCTCGCGAAACCGTCTGATACTAGTTAAAGTAGCTACAACACACCGTTTCACCTTAGCAACCTGTTCTGAGAGAGAGCAAGTTTCCGTGTTCTGCAAGTTCCCTTGATTATCATTGGTTTTGTTAGGTGCCCTAGTGCTGCGACGAGAGGGTTCTCCTGTTTCATATGTCTTCTCCCTTGTCTCAAGCTTCGGTCTAGTCTCGTGACTACATTTTTGAACTCGCGCTCGCTTGTATGCCCGAGACTCTGCTATAAATGATGGCCGTTGCTCCATCTGAGAATACAAATCATTTGTTCAATCTCTTCAAAATTAGCAAAACCTAAAAGTGAACTCCAAGTTATTTGACATTCTTTACTAACATTCGAGCAAAACTGAAGCAAAGGGCTTACGCCTCCCCGGATTAACTCCAAAATTAGAGACTCCCCAGCGCCTACATCATTCGCTGCACAGAAACTTTTCCAACCACTACCACTCATAATATACATCATTTCACTACTCTTCTCTTTACTAAGCTTCATCGACCACTCGGCTCCGTCTTTGTCCACCAGAACTATAATCCCGGGATTGATGAGTTTGTTCGCTCTCGTGAATATAACCGGAAGATGCTGCAAAAAATTCTGAATTACAAAAAGCAATACGTCCAAGAGAACCGAGATAAAAAGAGGTTTCCAAAAATTCACCTGTTTACCGAGCTCAAGGCTCTTAGTTGTAGGAGTTAACTTCAAAAACCGGATTTCTCCGGTTTTATCATCACCGGTGTTTTCTTCCACGGCCGGAATCTTCTTCTTTTGCTCCTCCTTTGAGCGGCTGCAGAGCTGAAACACAGGCTTTTCCGGGCCTTGGAGCAGTGTGAAAGTGCAAGAATCTCCAACTTGTAATTTATTTGCGGTGCAAAACCTCGTCCAACCTCGAACTATGAAAACCCGACCAGACACCACGCACTTTGTTTCTGAAGGCCATGACCTTCCTTGTTCGTTCATCAGAACAATATCTTGACTTTCTTTGTTCAAACTGTTTCGCTTCGCGAAAGCTGCCGGCAAACCCTGCATCAGTCATCAAATTATACAACCACTCACACATACTAAACCTATAAAAAAACAGATTTACATAACAGACAAAGAACCGCTAAGCTAACTAACCACTGTATCTCTTGATATGTTTGAAGCTGTCACAGACTGACGAAAACAATTGAGATCAGAGGAAGACTGATTAGATTCTGCGGTCAGATTCTCCTCAACTTCCTTCTCAGAACTTGAAGATGTTTCTGAATCAGAATATATGAAACGTTTCAAGAACAGAAAGAGTCTCAATGAAACGTAAATGCAAATTGGAATTTATGATTCAATTATATACCAATTTTTACTTCGTCTTCTTCTTCGTCGCGGCTACCAGACGGTGCGTATTGGATTCCACAGCAGCTGGGTCCAAATGCAGTGACATGGAACAAAACGTCTCCTTCGTGTCTGAAGATGACAAAGTCACCCATTCGAAGATTATGTGCCTCGACGAACTCTTTCCAGCCTCGGGTGAGTCTTTTGCCTTCAATCTTCACTTCCCAAGATTTCTCCGACGCATCTGATCTCAACTTTAGAGTCTTGTTCTCGTGTTTACCCTCTATGTGCTCCGAGAAGAACTTCACAGGAATATTCTTCAACAAACAAAACACAGAACCATATAAGACTATATATGTTCATAGATGTTAAGAAAGAGAGAGAGGGAGGGAGATTACGTACGAGGTGGCTCTGGAAACCGGGAACAAGGGGCTGGAAGAAGTGTGGGTTGATCGGTGAGTACAGTGATGCATTCGCCATTTCCGATCACTTCAACAAACCCAAGAGGTTTTTTTTGGCGATTCAGTGAGAATTACAAACTACAAAGAGAGCGAGATCGTTTTCGCTTCAGAACCCTTCTCAGCTTCCTCACTCCAGTTACTCTTCTATTTTCGCAGTAAATGTACTGAGGAATGACTTAAATTTCTTACAAAGATTCCTTAATTGGACCGGCTAAATGTCGCCACGTGGTAACTCTTGGACTTGCATGCCATATTTTTTCCAAAGCTTATCCAGGAAGCTTTCTCTATTTCCCAGATTAATTTTGTTATTTATATAATTACGTAACAACAACAAAATAAAACAAAGATGGGGTGAGAGAGGCTCGAACTCTCGACCTCAGGATCACTCAATAGCTATGAGACCTACGCGCTAGCCAACTGCGCCACCACCCCACTGATGACTGGGCCTCTAGTCTTCAACCTATAACCAGATTTTACCCAGAAAGAGATATTATCATGTTAAGGAATTTGAAACAAGTGAAGAATGAAGCTAATTTCGAACGATATAAGCAACGAAAGCACAGCGAGTTCTCTATAGTATATTCCTTTCCCTAGTTCTCTCAGTTCCAAAGGGTCCAGAAACAACAGCTTGCCCAAACATAAATTTCACGTTCTCATCCACATTTCTAGTGCCTTAGTGTGTTTACAGCACTCTGTTATGTTTCTTGAAAGATAAACCACCAATACGTATCTACTAATGATGGCTTAAAATCATAAAGGGATAAAGAGAAACAAAAAGAGTTTAAAAATGGTCTTTTTAACTAAAAGAGCATAAATCAAGAAACACAAGTCCAAAGTGGTGGTTTACTGTCATGGATGGAACAACTGGAAAAAATGAAAATGAAACTAACGTTTTTGAATGCCGAAAAAGCAAAAAAAAACAAAACAAAACTAGAAATGTGATTCTCAAGCAGAAGCGGCGGGCTTGGCAGCAGCAGAAGAGAGTCTCGATCTCTTCTTAGCCAAACTCTCACTCCTCCTGTCACGCTGTTCCTTCAACCTCGAGGCAAGAAGCTTCTGGTATTCAGCAGCATCAGAGTTGGCCTTAGCAATCCTCTTCTTCTTGTCAGCAATTCTTGCTCTCTTCCTCTGAAGAGTCAAAGGAGTCACAAGCCTCTGGATCTTAGGGGCTTTGCTCACTTCCTTGCCTGTTACCAAACCCCAAAAAAGAAGAAACAAGTTTCAGACACCATTTTAATACTATTCAAGTTAGATTTGAGGTTACATTGATTTTTTCTCTCACCTTTCTTGTTTGTGAATTTGCGGCGGTAAGTGTTGACGTACTTCCTCACATCATCTTCCTTGGTGAGGTTAAACAGCTTACGGATCTTGGAGGCTCTCTTGGGTCCTCTCATCCTTGGCTTCTCGGTGTCGGTAAGCCCGGGGAGATCATTGTCACCCTTCTTCACAATGACAAGGTTAAGAACAGAGAGGTCATGGCTCACAATGCAACCACGAACAGACTTTCTCCTCCTCTCTCCAGTCCTCCTTCCATGTCCTCTGAAGCAAGGAGTTCCTGCTCTCAGGCGTTACAAAAAGTAAGTAAATCTCCATTCAAAACACAAACCAAAGTAGATGTAGTAAATGTGTAAAGAAAGCAAGTTGGGATCAATAACCTCGGTGAAGCAAAAGGCGAACACGGCCTGGAGTTAGAACTCCCTGCTTCATTGGGAAACCTTGCTTATCGCACCCACCCATGATCTTGAAAACGTATCCCTTGAACTCCTGCAGTAACAGTTCATAAACACAATTCTCAATCATTTGGTTTCGAAAATAATGAGATGATTAATTAAGATTAAGACGAAACTTCACCTCGCCCAAAGCATCTCCACTGACTTCTTGGGAGAGTCTCTTATCATAAAACGCACGGCTGCATCAACAAATGTCAAAAGCTCAATAACTATCTCTATCAATAGAGATCATCAAAATTATTAACATTTCGAAAATTAACGAAGGCAAATGTTGAACAAATTAGGGACAATTTCTCTTTCACTAAGACCTAGAATTTCCAGAGTGATAATGGACAAACATCAATCAGAAGAGCAATAGTTTCTGAAACCTATCACGATATCTACCACACACACAGAAAAAAAAGTAATGAAAATGAAGCAGAAAGAAAAAAGGTCTTACAGTTTCTGCTCATCGTCGATCTCGAGCTTCTTCTGGCAACCCGTAGTCGGGTTGGCGACGTTAAGCTGAAACACGGAAACATGAACAAAATGAGCAAATGAAAAATCAACGAAAATCAAAGAGAACCTAGACACTACTCTCCGCCGCTGTGTACCTTCATCTTCTCAGGTCGACTAACGAGAGGAAAACGGCTCTGGCAATCGACGGCTTAGGGTTTTCTAGACTGGCAAAGCCAGCAAATTTATACGAGTACATAAGGTTTATTCGGTTCGTATTCTAATGGGCCGTTTGGCCCACTTAGAATTTCTTTGTATTTCATGAAAATAAAAGGTCTATCAGGAATCCAAAACAAAGTGAATAACCCATCGGCAAGTTTTTATGGATTAAAATAGTCTTCTCATCTCGAATGCACAATTGGTTACGAGATATACGATTCTGGGCATACCGTTTTGAAGATATCAAATTTGAATGGACTCGAAGAGAAGCAAATAGTGTCGCGGATACACTTTCAAAGCATCAAATACCGAATCAACAAAGCTTTTATTTCTATAATTCGGTTCCGTCATGTATTTATACTTCTCTTGCAAGAGATCATGTAAACTCAATTACTTAAGTGTTTCAAGATGAAAAAAGAAAAAATATAGTCTTCTCATCCTTAAAACGAAAAAGTAGTAATTAATGTACGTTCCCTCTCATGTTATCACATGTTTGAAGATTATTACATGTTACAACACTCTGAATATTATGGTTATTCTTTTAATTTTGGGTCAAAATATGGTTATTAATTGCAATTTCCCAAAATATAATAAGACTAGCAAAAGATGATGCGTTTGCACTTTGCATTCGCCAATACGTTTCTTGGTTTATACTGCAATAAACGTCTGACTTGCTGCCGCAAGCAAGTTGCTGGTTTCGGGAATCGAATCGAACTATGGGTAGATTTTCTTCTGTGAAATGCTCTTTCCTTGCGGGTTTTTATTTTATTTTAGCGATTGTAATAACGGAGCACAATTTAGAACCTTATATATCATTGTAGACAATGATCACCAAGATCCCAGGAAATGAATCTTTTTGTTTGGAATTTCAGACAATTCCTGCAAACAAACATATGATTATTATTGGAAGGAAAGGGAAAGGAAAATAAATTATGTGCTAACTTTGACTGCCATTGCTTGATGTGTGTGCTTCTTCTTGCTTATTCTCTGGCATGTCTTCGCCTGACGAGCATTCAGGTTTCGTCACTTTATTTATGTATGAATTTTGATCTGGCTGAAGGAACCTTTCCCACAATTCTTGCAGGTTTCTTTGATCTGGGTTCTCCTTCAAGAAATAAAACGCAAATTTCCCCAGTGCTAGAGCACAAACTATGGCGGCAGCAAGAAACAAAACCCAAAAACTATCGATGCCAAGTTGGCGGAAAGATACAGAGGAATTTGGGTCGGGGTTGGTGTGTGGATCTGGGCAACTTTCATCTATATTCTTGAACCATGCGTTCTCGAGTTGGATTGCCTTGTTCGACTCTTCCACTTTTAGAATGGCTCTTGAAACATCAGCTACTAGAGGGGATCCAAGGGGAAAGACCTGCAGGAGAAACTTATGGTCTTAGCATTAGGTGCAAAGATGACTGCAAGAAAGAGTTCGATGCAAAACTTACGAAGCCTAATCCATCGACCTTGAATGGTGTTTGAACCATTTTATACTTGTTACAGTATTGTCCCAGAAAGAGTCTCACGTACGGTACTTCCATGAAAGCTGCAGAAATACCACCCTTTTCGGGTCCGTTGCTTAGTAGCTCGTCACACTGTTCTGCACCTCCAAAGGGTATAAGACTGGCCTCTGAAAAACCTGATTCATTGAGTCTTCGTGACATGAAGGAACTTCTTTGGTATCCCACAGGTTCTCTTTTTGCCAGCAAGCTATTCATGTTGGTTACTGTTGGATGAAGCTGTTGTGATGTAAGAAGGGAAGACAAACTAGCAGTGTAACTCTGAGTCAACACAAGTACTAAGAAGTACCAAATGATAACCACGAGCCTTGCCCAGAAACTAAGCACTCTCTCTCCTGTAAATGCATGGAGATGTAATAAGTAAGATAATGTTGTAATTAAAGTCTTTATGTGAAAAATGAGCATTGAGAGAGTGAGCATACTCGGCGCAAAGACCATAATGGAGAAAGCAAACCAGAAGATAGTGCTGATTTGATACTTGCCAGGTCCATCAAAGTCTGGGTTTACCCTATGTTCAAGAACCCATACGACAAGGCCAACAATCAAAAAGGACACAAGGCTGATAAGCCAAAGTTCCAATGTCAAAGGCATCAAGAAGATGAAACTGCCTCTTTTAACACTGTCTTTAACAGGGACGACCAGACCTATGCCTGATGGTGTGTATGGCAGTGAGAAGTCAACATACATTGACCTATTTGCCGATATTGTTGTATCTGCCACTATGGCGTCATATTTCTGCTCCAAACATAGATAACACGGGCGTTATTTACACAACCTAGCTAGTGAAGGTTATACATGAAAAAGAAGAAATGGTCGGTATGCTTCACCCCGAGATACACTTGGTAGACTAAAGTATCATAACTGATATCTTCTACAGGAATCAAGTCATAGGAAACATCATAGGGCATCGCATGAATTACAGCCTCAAAATAGTCGATGCAGAATCCGCTGAAAACTGTTGAATTGGTGATAGGATCCCTTGTAGCTTTTACAAATTGCTCGAAAGTGTCCTTAACTGGGACTCCAATTTGCAGCCTTTTCCCATTTGTAGGGATCTCCCATCCTTTGGGTACAGAAGTAGTGTCTCCAGGCCATATAATTGGTCTGAGTCGATCTTGCCAAGTAGAGTAAGTGGTCGTGGTTGCTGGATTTTGGTCAACGTTCTTCAAGAGGCCATGTTCCTTCATCCAGAATCCTATGGTTCTTCCTCCATTCCCATTCACGTTAACAATCTCAAACACTGACGGCTGCAGTTCTCCATTGATAAAGTGGAAATCACCAGCAAGACCTTTGAACCGAACTCTAGAGAGTGTCTGGATAAGCTTCGGACCGTATTGAGATACACCTAGACCTTGAAGTTCAGACACGTTCCTCATGGCATCTGGTTTTAAAAACGTCATATTTGATGTTCCAGCTTCTTCGATGGCCAATGCCAGTGCAGTGGTTGCATCATAAGCCCACAATCCATAGACGCTCAGGTCAGAAATTGGGAATCTCTTCTTCCATCGAGATCTAAATGTTTCAAGCGCTTCGGATCTCGGGACATAAGTCTTTACACCCAAAACCCCTTGCATTGTTTCAATCGCTGTCTCGTTCATGATGCTCAGAACATCGGTAATTGCGTTGGTTAGGATCCAAACATATCCTTGTTTCATCAAACCAATTTCCTTAGCTTTGGCAAAAAGCCTTGAGGCAAGCAATTCAACAATGTGGACAACAAATACTCTAGTTGGTAGAGTCATCATCCTGAGAAGTTCCACGGAGATTTCATCATCCGTGGCATTGGGAGAGATCACCGTCCTATAAGGTATACGAACGTTAATCTCTTGTAAAGCATCGGTAAGACGGGGCATTATACCTTCTCCAAAGTTGTTGTCAACATACACAGGTGCAACCTCTCTCCACCCGAAAATTTTGATGATTGCTTTTATGGCGTGCACTTGAGATGAATCATCATATGTAGCCCGAAAGAAGTATGGACTACGGATGGAAGCAAGGGACGGACTCGTTGCAGAGTATGAAACAATCGGGACCTGAGATTTTTGCCCTAGCTCGATCATGAATTGAGCCTGCATCGATGTCCATGGCCCTAGAATCGCTTTCACTTCATTGTTTGTTATCAGATCAAGAGCTGTGACAAAGTCAATGCCAAGGAATGTTATTTTATGGAAATAAAACATCGGAAGAGACGGCATATAGATGTAGACAAAAAGTGTGCATATGAAACGATGATTGATGAACCATATATCTAGCTCGGTGCATGCAATATATAGAATGAAAATGGGAATCTGTGTACCTGCCGCTGCAGTGATAACAACATCTTTTTTGGAGTCAACAATGATAGTTACGAGCCTTGTCCGGGTTTTTGGATGTGAAGAGTAGAAATCAGATAGTGACATGTTGATACCGAGCAAGGTCATGTTGGAGTATGCCATTCCGACATCGTTCACGATTCCCACTTTAACATCAGTTGCCGTATTCTGTCCTTCTCCGACTATCATCAAGAAGACAATGACAAAGAAGCGTAAGATTATGTTGTCACTCTTCATTTTTTTGCTTCTTTCTTGTTAGAATTTTCCGAGATTGAATGAAACTTAGTGGTCTATATGGTATGCTCTCTTGTTGCAGAATGAGATGCTTTGGGAATTTGGGTAGTGGAGAAGTCATGATATTCTAGTTAAATGATGTTAAACCCCAACAAGGATATATTTAATCAAGGGACCGAACTTGTTTACTAATATTCTGGTCTAGTTAAAGGTTAAGGTCAACTGTTGCGAAGGAGGAGACTTCGTCCAATGCACTTAAACATACGCAACACAGCTAATCTCAGTTTACTCTTATTCTCACATTCTCTTTCCAGAGGAACAGTGTTTTTTGGCATTTCTGAGAAACGATATTGGGGACGAAATTGATGACATTTTAGCTGTTGCCATATTGTAGGTAGTCATAGCGGTTCTCGCATAATTTGACAAAAGATGCCTTAAAATTACGTCCCGGTTTTCCTAACTGTGAAATCATTTGTCTTAGCGTTTTGCTTTTACACATTCTGTTATCGAATTTACAAATAGAGTCAGAAGTTTACAAAAATAAGCCAGTAATTGGTTCTGTGTGTGAAAATTATTAACTAAAAAGTCTTCAACTGTTTGTAATATAGGTTTGGTATATTGGTTTGTTTTTCATTCAAGATTGTTTGTACCGGTTGGTTGTTTTTCTTTCAAGAGTGTGTTTATTGTCTAGTGCTACGAATATGTAATAATAATTCTGATCAATGTAAAAGATGTGTTTTGCATTAAGGTTGTAACTGAGACATTGTACTATATGCTATAATATAATTGGTGGAAATGGAATACTAAAGACATATGAAAAGCTTTGAACTTGCCTTACTGTTGCTTACTAATGAATCATTGGCTTCCCCATTGAGTTTACAAGTGTACTACAAAAAAAGGGAAATCAAATAGATTCATACAAAGCAGACATAGAAGAGTGAACAAGTGAACCAAGCTTACATGTTTAAGACAACAGTCTCAGACACATCTTACTTTGGTGTAGAACTTTAGCACAGGACGTGCATCTTTCTCCCGAATGAGTTCCAACACAAAGGAATCTCCAATCTTTACGCCATGAACTTCACAGAATCCTTTCCAGTCTCTTCCTAATCTCATTCTTCCGCGACTATTTTCTTGCGCAAGATGCACCATCCAGCTAACTCCATCTTGTCCCATCAGCATTATCGTCCCTGCTTTGTTGATGCCATTCACTTTCGTGAAATGTAGTGGAAGCTTCTGCGCAAAACATTTGATTGACGCAAAGTGACTGAGCAGAACACATCTAAAAAACCTATATATGGACTAATAGGCAACCTCGAGACTTACCATTTTATTGCTTTTAATAGAGTACGGAGTGATAGTTAACGTCACAAATCGGTTTTGACTTGATGAAAATGAAGCTCCCGCTCTCGACCAATACTTCCACTTTTCTACATTCAAACTTTCCCTTAAGCTGCTTTTGTCTTCGATGCTCTCCTCTTCACTTTCGTCATTTACACTGATGTCGTCTCTGCTTGTATCTTCACTTTCCTCTGTTTCGCTAGTCTCTTCTCCGCTGCTAGAACTCGTGGAGAGGGAATGTACATCGGTACCTTCAGAACAGTCTACTTGCCTTCTTGTGTCACGGTTGGTTTCTGCAGGGCACAAACGAAGAACAGGCTTATCTCCTGTTCCAACTAGTTTAAACCTGAAGGGATCTCTAGCTTTTATCCCGTTTACTTGGCAGAAACGTCTCCAGCCTCCTGAGATAACCGTAGTGTTGTTTGCTTTGTTGTGTCTCAAAACTAACTCCCATGTTCCACCATTTTCATTCTTCAGAACCATCTCACATCTTTCTTTCAGACCATTTGAGTTCACAAAATCCCTTGGAAGATTCTGCAACATCAGATATTAAACACACTTTAGTTCCTCTTTCTGTAAGGGATTCATAAAACCGAAAGTTTTACTAACTCACCAGCGTATCATCCCGTAGGCTTGAAGGCGTGAGAGATCCCACGAGATAAGAATGCAGATCGACCTCATATCTATGTTCTGCTTGGTACAAACGGATTATAGGCGTTTCCGAGTTTTGGACCAGTTTGAATGTAAAGCGACCTCCTTTTATCCCATTGTCACTGCAGAATCTTCTCCAGCCGTATCTGATATAACTGTTAGCCCCGCTTTTGTAGTGACCCAAAGTTAAGTTCCATGATCTTCCCGTCTCGTTAAGAAGAACAATCTTACCGTATGTTTTGCTCAAACCGTTTGACCTCACAAAACTAACCGGAATATACTGCAGCCCCATCACAAAATTGGCAAAACATGAGTCTAAATCAATCTAACTAACATGAGGCTACCAATTTTTAAACTGTGAGGTTTTTGCTCAATTAGGGATCTAACCAGTTTATCTTGGCGCAGGCTTGAGACTGAGACATTTGCAACAAAACAAGAATTGTCTGATGAAGAATCTTCTTCTTTTATCCTTGTATTCTTCTTCGCTCTCTCCTTCATTGGTCTGATTTCCGGAGCTGAAACAATCGAAATTCCATAGGGAACCATCAAATTTGCTTATTTTTCCCAGAATTTTCGAGTGCATTTCCAATAGAAAAAGACAGAAAATTTACCAGTGTTGTCCTTGTCCTGATGATCATCGCTATCATCATCAATGTTGTGGGAAGATGTATACTCAATCTCACAGCAACTGGGTCCCAATGCAGTGACATGAAACACCAAATCTCCTTCTTTTCTGAAAACAACGACATCGCCGATACGAAGATCATGCGCTGTGGCGAATTCCGTCCAGCCTCCGGTGAGTCTCCGGCCATCGAATTTCACTTCCCAAGTCGTATCTGAAGCGTCCGATCTCAGTTTCGCAGACTTGTACTCGTTTCTTCCTTCGATATGCTTTGAAAAGAATGCTACAGGAATGTTCTGCAACAACATGCAACAAGAGTTTAAAAAGAAAACGAAACCATCTCTCTTCAATTAGTTATACTCGTTGAGAAGAGAGACAGAGATAGATTGTAGTAGTACTAAGTGGGAGTGGAAGCCGGGAAGTAGAGGCTGAAAGAAATGTGGGTTTGTCGGAGATTGAAGAACTGGTTTCGCCATTGTCGTCGACCACCTCCAAGGAGAAGAAAAAAAAAAAACCAAAAACCATATAATTTATCTCCAAATAACTGATTTTTGCATTCTTAATCCACCATTGATCAAAACCCTTTAAAAAAAAAGTTGTTTAGGGGGGAAATTGAAAGGAAAGAAACCCTAATTCTTTTGCTACAGTAAAATTTTAGCTTTGTCGGAAACGTTCACATCACAAGACTACTTTTTTTTTTGTCAGTGACCTCGTGAACCTCGTTCAGTACACTTTTACTGTTCACTCTGACCATCATTGAAACTGAGAAGGTAAACTCGAGAATCCAACTAATTTAAACAAACCCCTTTAACCGCAGTTTAATCGAATTTTAGACAAAACAGTCACAAACCATAAGAATTTGATAATAATCTTCAGACACAGATTGTTTCGATCTTTTTAAAAAACTTAAGAACGGGAGTTGCATCTTCCCAAATCAACTCTAACACGAAACGCTGGCCAATCTCTATGTCATTAGCTTCACAGAAAACTTTCCATCCTTTTCCCAGTCCTCTCTTTCCATATTTGGATCCATCCTTCACAAAACTCGTTACCAGCTTCTCACCATGTTTATCCATCAGAATTATCTTATCGTGCTTGTAAATCCCGTTGATCATCGTGAAGCCTAAGGGTAGAACCTGCGCAGCCAGAAAAAAAATACAGATAAATCAGAAACAGAGAAAAAAAACAAACCATAAATCAGAACCTTACAAGTTTCGAGCTTCTGAAATTGTAATCTGTGAGACTGATCGTGACGAATCTGTTTTTCCTTGAAGATGATGAAGCTTCCCATCTAGGAAGCCTCTTTATCTTCTTCTTCCCTCTCTCTCCGCTCATGTATTTGCTCATTAGTTCCGAACACTCTTCTTCAGGACAGATACAGAGCATTGGACTAGATCTCCCGTCTCCGACCAGATTAAACGGGATTAGATCTCCTATTTTCCTCTTGTTCTCACGGCAGAATATTTTCCAGCCTCCTCCGATGTAATAACTTCTGTCTGATTCTTTAAAACTCAAATCGAAATTCCACGACTTTCCCTCTTCGTTCACTACAATCATCTTGTGACATCCCCTGTTCACAGCTTTCGAGCTCGCAGCTATCATTGGAAGACGCTGCAACACCCAATCCCCAATTGTACATCATGAACATGGCTTCTACGTGTAGAATAGAAAAAAGAAAAAAAGAATGAAGCAAGTACTCTCACAAGTTTGTCCGATTGTAGATTTGCAGCAGTGACTTCTGCTACAAAACAGTAGTCGAATGATAAAGAAGACTTTGGCTCTGTTTTGAGTTTTAGTTTCTTCTTCCTCATAACATTTCCTGAAACATTAGAAACAGTTTACTTTTCAGATCAACAAGATTTCAACAAACGCCATCCTCTTCCGGTGATCTTTGATTCAAGCTATAAATAACACAGAAAAGTTAAACTTACTAATATTGTGCTGATTCTCGTTGCCAATGTCGTCCTCTTCCTTGATGGTGTGAGATTGTGCATACTGAATCTCACAACAGCTAGGACCGAAAGGAGTGACATTGAACACCATGTCTCCTTCGTGTTTGAAAATAATGATGTCGCCGATTCGAAGGTCATGTGCTGTGGCGAAGTATTTCCAGCCTTGGGTGAATCTCCGGCCGTCTACTTTCACTTCCCAAATTTGTTCTGACACGTCCGATCTCAGTATCGCCGTCTTCTGCTCAAATTTTCCTTCTATGTGCTTTGAGAAGAAGGCAACAGGTATTGTCTGCAACCAACAATAGGGAAAATTTTAAAAACCAGAAACAGAGAGAGATACGGATACTGAGACAGAGAGAGAGAGTACAAGGTGAGTGTCGAAACCGGGAAGAAGTGGCTGGAAAAAATGTGGATTGGTCGGAGACTGAAGTGATGGATTCGCCATCTCAAACACTTCAGGAGAAGAAAAAAAAACTAGAGAGATCTTTGAAACTAAATCAAATTCTTAGAGAAGTAGAATCCATCTAAGTAGCTCTCTGGATATGTTTGCTTGAATGTTGGTAGTGACTTCCTTCTTCTTTCCTGGCAGGAAGAAAAGACCAGACTTTGTTCTTTTCTGAAACATAATATGGTTCAAAGGTGTTTACTTTATAGTACAAAGGTTCTCAGACTTTTTTGTTTTTGTCATTGATGGATTTCGAGAAGGTAACGTGAGTGATAGTAAAAAACTGTCGAGTTTTGGTGCTTTCTTTGAATCTTTTGGGTAAAGTTAAAAAAATAATAATAATAAAGACGAAGAAAATATCTTGGTGTTAATTCCAAAGTCATCATCTATTTTGAATTCCAAGTAAATGACCCATCAAGATCCTGTGGTGGTTACAAAGAAAGATCATCTATAAGGGATTTATTTTTCAGAAAACGTAATGTGGCATTGGAATAATCAATAGACAATAGAATGTTTCAGGCTACGCTGCAAAACGCTCCGTTTTATTATCACGACTTAAGACTTGCAAGAATGAAACATCAGAGTGTTGTAGGAAACCCAACAACACCAGAGACACAAGTCAATGAATATACATGTAAATGATGACTAGAAGAGAAGTGTGTTTTGTTTCAACTGAAATACAACAGAGAACCAGGGATCTCACGAACACGATCATCCTTACTAGGGAGAGAGATGATGAAGACTTCCTGGTTTCTACTCATCCCTTGTCGCAGGATCCATTCCGGTCGAGGGACTATCAGCAAAATATTCTGGATGCTTCACGTTCACACCATACTGCCAACCCGAGATTAATCACTGGTTAGCTTTCCACAAGTAGCTACGATGAAATGGAAAAACTTTACATATCTGCCTACACTACTACAACCCACAATATCAGAACTACTTAGGCATGCTTCTAAACTTTTTATGTTGATTCTGAGATACTGAATAAGTCTAATGCCTTTTAAATGAAGAGTATCGGTCAAAACCACATTTGTAGCTTAACTAAAATCAAGAAGATCTACATTTTCTTCGCATACTTTAGACGTCTGTGGGTCAAAAGCCACCATGGGAAGCATGTGATTAAAAAAAGAAGAACTACTTTTACCTCACGCAAAGCTTTTGAAAGGTCTTCCATTGTCAAAATCAAACGCTTATCCTGTTTCAAAAAAATTAATATTCATGACATAATCTAAAATATAAACACATTTCATAACTGCCGCACAAACCAAAAACGAAAAGGGGGCAAGAGGTTACCTTTTGCTGTTTTTTGTCTTTCACAACTGGTGCTGGTCTAGCCTTGCAGTGCCTGTATACAAATTTACAATTTGGATTACTTGGGAGCTTATGTCAATAACTTTTATCGTAGACACCTTTTCATCTCATTTACTCAGAATCGGCTGCTTCTCTTAGTCCAAGTCAACGATAAAAAGGGTACGAAAGTTTATGGAGACGGGAATGCAAACTTACTGAAGAGCGTCGCTGGCAACATCTGCAACAAACTTTTGTGTAGCCACAGCAACTAGCCTTATTCTGTCAAACCAGTAGACAGATCATCAGCACAACAAACTGGCAAGAATACGCACGCATATAGATTATGCAAGAGGATAAAACGCAACAACTACAAATCCCGATGCTAAGCACTCGAGCCGAAAGAAACAGATGAACTCCCTCATTGATCCGTGCATACAATCTGACGTCCACATATAATCAAACTAACCTACAGGAGTGCTGAACCTAGTAATGTATTAACATATGAGAAACTTATGAAATCTGAACTGATTCTAACCAGGACATCTGCTTTCACTGCAGGTAAACCATTTTTAAACCCAAACAATGATTCTGATTATAGCAACTAGTCTGGCTCTTTCATTATTAAGTAATGAGTACCAAATAAAACTGAACGGAAATACCTACAATCGTACGTCGGGGCACTGAAACCCACTCTTAGCCAAGTAGTGCTCCACTAGATCATCAGGAATCTGAAGGAACACAACAAATCCAGAACTCAATCAATACACATGTTCAATCATTGGAGAGCAGGAAAAAAAAGTTTTAAATAGTACGAAGGGAAGTCTACAGTGGGAGTGTAATCCATCAGAGAAGCAAGGAACTCTGTAAGAGCAGCATCATCTTCATGCTTTGCCTCGCCAGATTGTTGACCGTGATTCATCTCTCAAGTGAAGGTCCTGGCCAACACCTTTAACTAAAAAAGATTTTCGAAACCAGAAACATTAATAGAGAAGTAAGTTCTGAATTTACTCAATGACCAGATTCGGATATGGGAAATCAAATCAACATCACTAGTCTAGAACTAGTATCAACCCCCAAATCAAAAAACTTACACGAAACCTCAAACACAAGAACTTGTATTTTAAGTTGACAAGAAATTTCTACTACAGAAAATCTCCATTTCAAATTACGTGATGAAGTGTCTGAATTTTCTATTCCAGATTTCTTCTTCTTTACTGGAATTATAATCGGTAAGATACGAACTATTCCTGATCGCTGAGTAGCAAAAAAAAATCATTACCAAGTTTGAACGACGTGAAGCATAGCAATAAGAGGGACTCTGTTTTCAAAATTACCTCGACAACAGATAATCTATTCCTGACCAAAATTCGATACCGCCCAACACAAATTCGATAATGAGCTGAATTTCGAAACTAGAAAACTCGACAAAGTGAGCGAGATTGCGAACCTAAACGACGCCGTAACGTGAAGAAAAGCAGGGAATTGAGTTGAGAGGAGGCGATGAATGCTAAGGAAGAGAAGTTTCGACGGATTTTTGGCCGGGAGAAGAAGGGATCGGAGAGTCGACTACTGGGTCCCCGTCGAAACCCTAAATCTCCGACTGGTCCAACTCGAAGCCATCTCCACCGGTTGGATTTAACAGTTGAGAAGACTCTTCAAATGGGCTAATAGGCCTACTCGGTTAAATTAGGCCCAATTGACCTCTGCTGATCCTTTATACTTGCATGATTAGGCCCAATTGACCTCTGCTAATCCTTTATACTTGCATGATTTTATTTCCCGGAGGAAGAACAAAAATTAACAAAAATATTTTTATCTCCCGAAGAAATCGACAATTTCCAAAAAAAAATATATATATATTTAAGAATATCCAAAAGAAATTGTCAATCAATAAAAATCTCAGATCGTGACTTAGTAGTGTTCTTCAATTTGCATAATGATCTTTTTTTTTGGTTGGGAGACAAAGAATATGACAATGAAAGCACTCCAATCCACCATCTAGACCGAATATATAATGACTACAAATCCTACAAAAGCACTTTTGTTGTCTCTATTGTCAACTCATAGTCTTATTAGATTGAAAAAAAAAAAACAGAGAAAGTATTTTAGAAAAAGAAAAAAACCTTATGTAAGTAAGAGTAGTTCAATTTTACGAGAGGCGGGTAAATTCAATAAAGGAGTAGATTAATTATCTCACCCCTAAAAAGAGAGAGACATCATTATCCGACTATATGAGGGTAAGCAATTACATCGTTTTCAGAATACTTCGTAACTTACACAAAACTGTGTCTATGTAGTTTGACAATGTCTCATACAGTTTTGTCTTCAACGTACGTTCAAAATGTTTTTTTATACACAGTACTTAGTGTTTCGTTATTCTTGTAATCAAGCTATAATGACGATAACAAAAACTCGTAAAGAGAATAGTTGCTTCTTCTCGTAAAAGACGAACTATGGTGGCCTATCCAATAAAAATTTACTTTGGGCATTGCGAATCTAAAAAAAGGATTGTTTAAATAATAATTAAATATCAAATCAAATCAGGAGAGGCAAAACATGGTGACCTATCAAATCTGTTATTTCAGACGAGGCGAATGAACGAAGCAATGTTCATATGATCTAAATGGAATATCCACTATATTGTGATGATCGTGATCAAAATCTAAAGATCATCTTTGTATTCTTCACGTTAGTTTTTTTTTTCCTTTATCAATATTTACCACCAATAACGTGCAAAATAAATTAAAAACCGACCAGAAGAAAAAGATTTGAATCTTTTTTTTTTTGTTAAAGGATTTAAAAGATTTGAATCTAAAACTAGTACTTAAAGATAAATTTTGTACGTAGGTCTTTTGCATGTAAAATTGAATTAAAAAAAAACAGTCAAATCGGGTTAATTCCTCCCAATTAATTTGTATACATAAATAATATAATATATCATAGACTAATGAAAAAAACTAAGTATATAACTGAATTTTGTAAAAATTAGGTTAGTCAGATGTTCGCAGCTAACCTGGTTGACAGATTTGTTTTTGATAAAATGGTATTTAGATCGATTTTTAATTTCAAACATTACACTAAGATAAAATCAAGTAACCTTTGTATAATAGTAATAGCTATTTAAAAAGTCGTGACTCATGTGTTGTTGTAGGGTTACTACTTTAGACTTCCGGTTTCTAACCCTTGTTTAGAAAAGTTGTAGTGCATAGTTTAGAAAATTTGTAGTGCATAGTTCCTTATCTAGAAGAATAGAAGTTCGTACGTCACCAAACACCACTAAAACTCAAGTTGGGAATATGTTCATTAGCTTATTTATATATTAATTATGTTTTCCCTTCCAGTTTGATGCTATATTTTTGCCCCTAATCCTCAATTAACTAGCTTATAACAAAGTTGGAAATATTAACAGCAATATGCTGTATAGTAATTATATGTTTATGTGGATGTAATCTGACATGAGCTTTCTTTGGTGATTGGTTACCTCTCGCCAACAATTTCTATCATCGTTGAAATATACTAAAATAATTAAAAAAAGGAATGAGAGCAATCAATAAGAAAAAAATGGCTGTTCAAGTACAAAAGTGGAATCCGATTATCCACTAATTTACAATTAAATATTGGAGATTTGTTTTAGGGAAAAAAAGTTGGCATGCTATATTTTATATAAAAAAAAAAAACTTGTGGAGTATTTCGAATCCAAGTGGCCTTGCCTCATACGAAACTTGCATCTTTAGTAAAGCAAAACACGAACTGGATATTGCTTAAATATATTTAACACAGTTACGTGTTTCATACTTTTTTTACGTCTTATTTCTAATAACCACCCGCTTAACGATATCACTAGATTTACTTTTGATTAGTAAATTAATTAACAACTCGTAAGTTTGATATGAGAAAACACAACATCAAATGGTTCGTAACACCTCAATGTTCGTTCATTTCGTCCGGCGGCCAATTCATCAGTTTATAATTAAAGAAATAAAAAACTGCAAAGCTTGTTAAGTGGCTTAGTAGTTAGTAATATTTGTTACAAATATCCTGAGATTGATCGAAGCTATATTGCTGTTAATGTTCAAAACCAATTGTTGATACATAATATTTGTTTCCACACCGAACGTTAATGGAATTTGAAATAGGTACAAATAAAGTAAATCAATTAGATGTTCTTCTAATGTTCGGCTAGTGTCTAACAATTATTTGAACTATCCGTTCATGTCAATCAGATTTTTCAAGTTCATGTTATTCATGTGAAGATAAGTACTAAACGATGAGCGGTGATTGTCCGTGCAGAAATAAATGTGTACTCTCTACTGCGAAAAGGAGCAAGTGGAAGCTGACGAAACGTGGGACACAAAGAAATAATACAATAATATTTTCTCATTTTAAAATGATGATTAATGGAATGCCAATGAAGCAATATGGCCCCTCTCATATTATTTAGTGTTTTCTTTTGTTTTCTATTACTTTTGAATTCAGTAAGAAACTTGGGAACTGTTTTAAAAAGGAGGTTAAATTACAACTTAACATAACTTCACTTAATTTAGAAAGGAGGTTAAATTATTAATTTTGAATCACTCACATATATCAAAAAATATTTTATCTAGTTTATGTTTTTTTTAGTTTTCCTTTCTAGATTTTATTTTAATATTATAGATGAAAGTTACTTAAAAGCCAAACAAACATAACAGAGAAAAGCATAAAAGAGGGAAACGTACATTTTTAAAAAGAAGAAAAGTTTGTGGCGGAACAAAAACTGAAGTGGAGAGAAGCTTGGACTTGTGATTAATAAAAAATTAGTAAAAGACTAAATATTAGTTAAAGAAAAACCAAGGAGGAACAAAAAGTCACGGTATTAGTTTTAACCGTGGATTGGATTATTCTGCAGTATAATTTTTACTGTTTTAAATCAGAGCTATAGATATGGCACCAAATTACACATATCATATATATGTATGGTGTTTCACCACATACACAGCATACATTAAGATTTCTAATGATCTTATCCATGTCTCATAATGCAAAGAATAGAATCATCACATAGCCTGGCTAGAGAGCGAGAAAAGAGAAGAGAGAATAATATATATATGTCAAATCAAAATATCATCAAAGCCAAATGAATTTTGGAAATGAGGAAGAAGAACAAAATGAGATTGTTGGCACTTTAACCCACAATCTCTCTCTCTCTCTCTCAAATCATCTTCGTCGCTCTTATTATCGTGCTAACATTGTCATATTCCACTATACCCCAAATCTAATATGCTCTTTCACTATGTCTTGTTAAATTTCATTACAATATTAAAATGTCAATGTGAGCAGATGGATAATATACATCGATTTCAAAATATGCCTATATCTGTACGGACTATGTATATCTCAACTCTCAGATCATTGTATTTTATACACACACACAAAAAAAAAATGAAAAAGAAAAAGTGGCTAAGTGTCAAGTTATATGCTGATGCTTGAAATGAAACAAGGAATCATAACACTGTGTCCCTTTTATATTTGTCACTATTAAATATAAATTAAAAAGTTCCAAAGAGAGTTTTAGAGTGGATATCGCCCCAACACACGTCCCGCATAAACTTTTGTTTAATTTGTTAACCAAATTTCGATTTAAACATCTTGTTACTAATCAAAATCATATGCTTGCGATCGTCTAATTTTTCTTATCACATGCTTGAATCTAGATAGTGATATAACCACAAACGAGACTAGTATACATGTTATGGTCGAAGGTTTTTTTTCACAGTATAAAATTACTTTACTGCACCGGTTAAAATAAGATTATCAATTAGGTAACAAGACTTTTTTTTTTGGGCAAACCATAAGCCATAAGGTAACAAGACTTTAAAATAATCTTGGACGTCTTAAATATTGTCACCCTCCGCAAATTACCATGTAATTTTTTTTAAAAATAGGCGTTAAAGGTAAAAAAAGAGAGTTGGTTTCACTAAATTCTGTTAATTAATAGTAATCGTCACTTTCTTTGTCCCCAAGTTGCTTATACCTATAAATACCTCTTGTTACCTTCTCCGTTGTCCCATACTCAACCTCCCTTTTCCACATTAAGTGAGAGAAATACTATAAAGGAGAATTTTTCTAGAAATTTGATCTCCAACAAATCAGAGATATACAAAAGAGATTGCAAAAAGAAAAAAAGAAGGTATGAGACCATTGAGCGTTCAGTCGAGGTTGGCGATACACGCCGCGTCACCATCCTCATCAGCCTCCGTGAATCACCGAGTAGCGCCGCAATCGCCGTGGCACTCGCCGGTTCCTTACCTCTTTGGCGGTTTAGCGGCGATGCTTGGACTCATCGCTTTTGCTCTTCTCATCCTCGCATGTTCATACTGGCGCGCGTCTTCCTCCGGCGAAGAAGATGGCAGGAACGGAGGAGGAGTCGACGAAGAGAAAGAAAGCCGGTCTGGGGAAAAGGCGGCGAACGGATCGTACGAGGAGAAGTTTCTGGTCATAATGGCCGGAGATGACTTGCCGAGATTTCTTGCGACGCCTGCTATGAAAAAGTGTACTTGTGGTAGCCACGAGGGAAAAATGGTGATTTTTCAGGAGGATAGTGTTGCCGAAGAGGAGAAGAAGGTGAGAGAAGTTGAGGAGAAAGTGAAAGATACAGGAGAAGAGCCAACAACTAGTCACTGAGCTTTTTTTTTTTCGTTTCTTTAATTAATGTCTTTTTTTCTACTTCTTTTTTGAGATTTCTCTGGGGGATTCGTCCTGCTTATGATTCCCAGGAATGTAAATTTTACTAGAGAGCAAATTTTGGATTTCACTTGTTCTGTAATGTATTTTTGTTTTGTTTTGCTATACTAAATATTTGATCACTTCACACTCAAAAGGGATTGTGCGGTTTCAACCTAAATTTGGGTTTAATATCTTTTCCAGAAATCAAACAAACTACTTACATTAATTTAAAAGAATTTTAGAAAATATTTGTGCAAAGTGAAAGCGGTCGGAACTAAACAATTAAACGTAAGTCAAAACAAACACAAATACATAATCTTAACCTTAATTTTTATTTTTTGATGTCTTAAGTTGGGGCTCGGTTTTTTTTTTTTCCTTGTATTGGCAAATGTAATATGTTCTCGCCTCGTATGGAAAATATTTATTTATTACCTTTCTTTTAATATTTTAAGTGAAAATACCAGCTGATTTCGAAAATTTTCATTTGGTGGATGAATACAAAGTCACCTGTTGTATTCATCAGAAATTTATTTTCAGTACGGATCAACATGGTAAAACGATCTCACCAACCATTAATTTGTGATTTAAGAATGTTTTTTAATTTTAAATATTTGAAGTAATGGTATGGCATGGCATTATAATAAGTATAGTCTCGTCTATGTCACAAACAAAGCTACTTTAACTCTTTAAGATCAAATTTCTACATTTCATTTCCCTTTTTTAAAAATAATAGTATAAACTAATAAGAGTTATAAATACTGTATGGACAGCAAACTTCAAAACGATCTATTTCTTTTTTTTTTGAAAAAATATTCTCTAATCAGAACAATAAGCTGATTAACAAAGATAATTAAATGAGCAAATCATTTTGTGTGCCAAAGAGTTAGTGCATTGCGACACGTGTTACATAGTGGATATTATAGTAGCAAAAAGAATAGATTCGGTTTTGACATTTTTGACATCGTTGAGCTGTTCTTCGAGGGCGTCGAGTAGCCGCGTCCTAAAGAAAGTTCCAAACAAATTCTCTTCCACTTGGATTTCTTTCTCTCTCATTTACTGCTTTTATTTTAATTAATTTTCTTTTTGGAGACCATATTAACTCCACACATATCTCTAAATTTAATTTCCGTACGTTTAAATACATCACGATGCAGAAACGCTTTAGGTATAATTAAGAAGGTTTCGATTTGAAAACAAGTGCAGTAAATTAAGGCTCTAAATAAAACGGCGTGGTTGGACGGAAAAGTATCAAAACCGTCCACACCATCTCTATTCGAAACCTAAAATTATGTTTTATGAACGATATAGACTGTTTAGATTTTAGAATATAGAGTTTAATATATATATTTTTATCTTAAAATTTGAAAGCTGTTGGTGATTACAAGTGATGTGTAACATGAACTAATATAGTCATATAGACATGAGTTGTGTGTTATTGTATTATTATTATATAATGTATTATTCCGATAAAATTAGAGGAGCTGGGGAATTTATGTTAGGATAACAAAATCAAATAACTCATGATATATTATTATGTGGTCTACATTTTAGGTGAAAGTACTAAAACCCATATCCTTAGACTGGGCCCAACTGATCATTAGTAGCCCATATGTGTTCCACTACCTGATTCAGAGGGTTTAACAGAAACTCAGAAATGGCTAAATCTTCAATTTAATCCTCGTCTTAGCGAAGAGAGCTCAATGGTCCAAGAGACGACGAATCTCTCTTAGATCTTATGATCTGATCCGATCAGAAGAAGAGGAAGATGGGAATCGTGTTCACGAGTTTGTTTTCTTCCGTGTTTGGTAGCAAGGAAGCTCGCATCCTCGTCCTCGGACTCGACAATGCCGGAAAAACCACTATCCTCTGTAATCAATTGCCTTCATCTCTCTCTCCTTTTCACTTCTGATTATATAGATGATTGAGTGTTTTAAAGCTTCCGATTCGACGTTTATGTGTTGCGTTGCATTTGCCTTTGGGTTTATGTGTTTCCAGATCGGCTTCAAATGGGAGAGGTGGTCTCCACGATTCCGAGTATGTATTTCTCTCGATTTTATCGCCAATTCTGGTTGATTTCGTTAAATTTCTGCGTCGGATCTTCGAGCTGGTCGTAGGCAGCTGGTTTGAATTTATGATTTCCAATTCTTGTTTTGTTCCGATCTGCAGCTATTGGATTTAACGTCGAGACTGTGCAGTACAACAATATCAAGTTCCAAGTCTGGGATTTAGGTGAGTTTCCATTGGTGATGAATATGCTCTATGCATTAAGCTTCGAATTCTGAGTTGCTCGAACAGTCTTTGCTATACAGAAAAAGGGGAGATACGTTGTAGCATTATATTATGATCTTAGATCAATGCTTGCCCTTATGGATCCTGTTAGTCTTCTTTAAGGTTGATTTATAGATTTCAAGGTAAATTGATTGTATAAGCCCATGATAGATAGCAGATCTCACTCCATTGACAATTGAGAAACTAGAAAGTAAGCATTTTTTATCCTCTATATATGATGTCTTTCATATCCATGAGCCATGAAATAGTATGAATAAGACTCAGTTTCTTTTGAAAATTGCTGAGAAAGGGTTTCCGGATATATTTGAAAGGCAATAACTCAACGTATCTGCGTGTTTTCAGCTAATTGTATGTAGTCATTTGCTTTAACATACTTAAGTAGATTTGGTAGAGAACGATTAACAACAATTTTCTTGTCGCAGGTGGACAAACGAGCATCAGGTAGCTTACTAATACCTTTTCCACTCCCTCTGTTTTCCTTTTGCCACAGACGATGGTAACTGCATTTTACTCAATTTTTGTTGGTGATTTATTACAGGCCGTATTGGAGATGCTATTTCCCAAATACACAAGCAGTGATTTATGTTGTTGATTCGAGTGATACAGGTAGAATTGGGGTGGCGAAAGAGGAGTTCCATGCAATCTTGGAGGTAAAATACTGCTAAGGTTTCATCTTCATACGTAACTGGTTTATTACTCTCTGAACTACTCTTGTGGAAATGTTGTTTTCTTTTTGGCTTTAGAGAGTCCCTCTGTCACTATGCCAGCTTATTCGTCCTTGGTTTTATTGAAACTTTTATTCAGGAAGAGGAACTGAAAGGCGCGATGGTTCTTATATTTGCAAACAAGCAGGTTAGTATTATTTACGTCAACTTGTCAAGTTGTTTACCTTCCCACAAAGTTCTGATAGATTCACCCGTCTATTGTTAATCATGAAGCTAATTCAGAATCCATACAACATTAGTTTGGTTTGTGAATGTATATTGTATGATGACGATGCCGTAATGAAATGAGCAGGATCTACCAGGTGCACTTGACGATGCGGCCGTGACAGAGGCCTTGGAGTTGCACAAGATAAAGAGTCGGCAATGGGCAATCTTCAAAACTTGTGCTGTGAAAGGCGAAGGGCTTTTTGAAGGCCTAGACTGGTAAGCACATGAAATACTCCCGGAAAGTTTAGGTTCTGCGAAACTCTCTTAATACATTCTTCTTCTCCTTCAGGTTGAGTAATACCCTCAAATCAGGGACCGGCTAACTTCATCTCTCACCTCAAAGCAGCAGTGTGTATCATCTTCTCTACTGTTAGCTTTGTATTCTTTCGTGAGTTGTTGTGACACATACTATTATAACAATTTTAACATGAAACTAACCCATAAAGATTACCAATTTTACTTGCGTTCTCTCTTCGAATTCCATGTACAAGAGCCTATTGCAAAATTGGAATATTTTGATCGTCTGTTAAATAGAGGCAAGCTTGGCCAAAGGTAGAATAAATCAGAACTTGTACCATTCGGGGATGAAACTCAAATCCACAGATCTGTTCTATGTTTCTTTACATGCCCAAGTAATCAAAGTATAACGACAACAAAAGTGGCACGAGACTGCAAAAGACGTTCGTGTAAAAGAGTTTCCTGAGTTTTGTCTATATATTCTTGATTCGACGACCTCCTTTTAAACAATATATAATCTCCCAGCTTCATTTGTATTTTTTTGGGAGTGAAATATGAAATCACGAAATCCAAAGATGTTAGAATTAGGTTGATATGTCACCGGAGCTTCTTTCCGGTATGATACCATGATCGATTGGGATACTGTTGCTGCTTGAACCTACTCCTCCTGTTTGGTCGGAAAAGAAACGTACGACGACACAAGTTATGTTATCTGCACTCCCTCTTTGGTAAGCTTCCATCATCAGTCTTTTTGCACCTTCCTCGGGATCTTCTATTGCCTTGATCATGCCTACCGCTTCCTGAGGATAAGATAAGATTTACACAAAGATTGGTTCTCAAGTCCGAGGATTGGGAATGCTTAAAAGGGAAGTCCAGAAATCAAAGGATACTTCTTCCTACCTCGTTAGATACAACGTCCCAGAGACCATCACTTGCAAGAATGAGAAACTCGAGAGAGCTATCAACTTTTACCTCCTGAAGTTTCCATATATGTTCGTGAGTGAACCAAGACAGAATTGGTGAAGTCACTATAGATAATAGTCTACAATGTGGGTATGATGCAAAGCCAATACCTGTATCTCCGGATCAGCAACAACATACTGCTTCAATAACCTATCGCCAAATGCACGAGAAACAGCAAGAACTCCTCCAACTCTCCATGTTCCTTTTATCATAATACCAATTCAGTAAATAATATAAGCACATATAAAGGGGAAAGGTTTCAACTAAACGTCGTCTTACCAGCCCACATGACAAATCCTCCCGCATCTTCAATTCGTTGGCGCTCGTCACTTTGATCCGGCTTGTGATCTCTGGATACAGCAATAGCTATGACAGAAGAATTATATTAGCACAAGAGAAGACAACTAGACCAACATTCACAACTTACTCCTAACACCCTTAAGATATGTTGATTACGACAGATTGCAATATTCGTGTACAGGAGTAAAATTGAACAAGTATTACCATTGCCACCTCTGCATACAACAGCTCTAGAGTCCCCTACATTCGCAACCAGTAACCGGTCACCAACTAAGATGGCTGTTGACGCAGTAGAACCAGCATCCCTGTTCTGACTGTTTTCCGATTTAAGAAACTCCGAGTCTGTTTGGTTGTATGCATCAGCTGAAATGAGAAGCAAGCAAATGAAAAAAAAATCAGAACGATAAATTAGGCAACTTGCTGGGTCTATATAATAAAACCTCTGGCTAGCAAGATTGAAAGTGAAAACAACCTATTGCAGCTGTAGTGTCAGAGATGAACTTTGGATGCCTGATCAGGTTACTGAATAGATTTTGCTTCACATATTCAGCTGCACGTGCACCTCCATGTCCTGGATATAAACATAAGCTACATCACTATATTGCAGTAAGTAAAGATGATAAAATGCTACTAATTCGAATTGTTCACAGATCATATACACGAAAGGCTATTAATTTGATCAGTAGAATCAACGAATTATGGTTCTTATGATATCCAATTCTGCATAATGCCATAATCTGAAAATAACACTGGAAACTGTTACACGCAAGATATAGTCACCAACTCATTTGTTCCTGTATATTAGAGAGAGACGTGTATACCGTCAAAGACTCCAAATAGGCCAACTATTTCGCCTTCAACACCATCGATTCTAGTCTCATAGAAGTCCTCCATTGAAGATCTTTTCCCGGGAGAGCTCGCATATCCATAGCTGAACTTCCCGTTCTGACTGTACATAATTAAGTAAAATGCAAGTAGTCTCGTTACAATCTTTATCTAAAGTGATAGCAACAGTAGCAGCATCTACAGTCATAGCTCTTTTGTGTAGAAGAGTAAAGCCAACATAAGAGAGATGTAAGACACTATCCACCTATTCGCTCCAACCTATATATATCAATCTAGATCAGTAATTAATCTATGCTGCTTTCTCAATCCTAGAGCTTATACACTGAAAAATCACAGAAATGATTGAAGCTGGGCAAAAGAGAAAAAACGGACCTGAGGCCGCCGCCGCTAACAGGTCCATCGTCGGCGTGAACCTGGCTCGAAGATGACAATACGGAATTCAGATATCCCATACCTCCGCAGAACAGTCTTGCCTTGAATCGGAGCAAAATCAAAAGATCGAATTCAATTTCGTAGCTGATCGAGCTCCCTTTTTCCGCCAATCAAACCCTAATACGACGTCGAAAGCATACGTCAGTGATATGTTATACACGAATAAGCAACGGATCAGCGGTGCGCGAAATCGATCAGATCGAAAAATTAGACAAAACGAGGAGAAAGAGTAGCTATGCGTACTAGGAGGAGGAGAAGGAGAAGAAGAAGAAGAAACAGATGGATATTTCAGATTTGACGATAATCACAGCCAGATTTGGGGATTCAAAGCTCGATAAGAGATCTTAGGGATCCTCCAATGGCTCTGGTCTTCGTTTTTGACAAACTGGCAAAAAGGAAGAAATAAATGACCAAGAAACAGGTAGCTTTTGAAATCTGCCATCAAAAAAAAATATCAGTGTCTTATTTGGTCGGTAACAATGATTAAATTAAATATTTAACGATAATCTCTTTAATTAGGGGTGGGCGCGGATCGGATATCTCGAAATTTTTTAGTATTTGTGGTTTGCTCCGTTTTTAACGGATATTTAATTTTATGATTTGATTTGCTTCGGAAATATACGGATATTTGGATTTTCGGATATCCAGAAAATTTACAAGTATTTGCTGATATTTGCGGATATTTACGGATATTTATGAATATTTAGTTTGATCCGTTTAATATACACAAAACTGAAAGTACATCAATTTTTATTATAAAAAAAAATATTTTTTATCTAAACTATTAAGTGAAAATAACTAAAAGAAAATATTTTAATTTATAAAAAAATCTATAAAAAATAAACCTACAAAATTAAGATGAAAAAATGATATTTTATATTTAAAAATAATATTATCTATTTGAAATTTTAATATTAAACTTTACTAATATAAAATAAAATATTATTTATTAACATATTTTAAGTTTAAACATATTATTTATTTTTTATAATTGGTTATTTAGTCATTTATTTTATATAATCAAAAGAACAATTTAAAATTTAGGAAGAAAATTGAGAATATATTAATAAAAATTTATAATATAATTGATATATACATCATAATATATAATAAATTTATAAAGATACGGATCGGATCGGATATCCGGTGTTATCTAAAAACATATTTGTGATTTACTCCATTTTATACGGATATTATATTTTGCTATTTGCTTTGCTCCGAAGCTTTACGGATATCCGGATTTTTCGAATCGGATTGAAACAATATCGGTTCGAAGCGGATATAACGGATATTTTGTCCACTCCATATCTAATACGAGAAATAAAGAAGATATTTACTTACATCCATAGCATAAGCAAAGGAGAAATCTCGTGGGCCTATATATGTGCCTAAAAAAGATGATTATTATTCCTTTTTATTGGCTGTTTGGCTTTTCGGGTTATCAATCTTTTTCGGTGAAACCAAGTTAATCAAACGGCCGTCTCACTAGGATTATGACACGCGGCGGCCATGCAGATGAGTGTGAATGTCTACCGTTGATTTATCTCACGTCATTCGTCGATTGTACATTACCTTTACACAAAGCCAAAAGTCACTTACATAATTTAGTTTTTTCACTTACACTTCAGTTTTTAGGGAAAATAAAAAGGCTTAGCTAAATTGTTGGTTATTTTGCTGTAAACAACTAAATTTCTCTTCAGATTTAAAAGAAGACAATCCAAAAAAGATCTGAAGAAAACACTACAAGACAAAAATTAAACATTTTGTTCTTGCTCATAGGGAACGACTTCCTCAGAGACATTGATCAACTCCTCCATGGTCTCATAAGAATACTCTTCTTTCTCTTCGTCGTCACCAATAAGATGATTCTCCCTCTGAGTTTGATCTTCCTCGTCAAACATCTTCCACTTGTTCAACCACATCTCCCATTCCTCTCTCATCATTCTCCTCTTCTCCTTCCCTTGTTTGCTCAACGACATTGACACGTCATCGTCCTCTCGTACTTGTCGCTGTACTTCTTCAGATTCTTGGCCACCTCTTCTTCCTTTTCGTCCGACAACAATGACGGTGGCCTTGGACGCCAAGCAAACTGAAGACCCAATACACAAAATCAATATATATATATATATATATATATCATTATTATTAACTTGTTTGCCCTGTGTTTTTGAATTATACCTGAGAGAATTGTTCCTTTAGTGTTTGGTAAAGCAACTTCCCACTAAATGACCAAATGGAAAACCCATTCTCCATCTCGTGGACTGATGATGTTACTGCGGTTCCCACATACCTTTACATAACATAGAGCACTTATATATAACACAATTCTTTCAGAAGTGAAAACAGAGAAGCAAAGCAAATGAATAAAGAACACAATGGAGTAATGTACAAGGTACCTTCCACTTGGATCCCACTCGATATATGTGGCCATAAAGTTGTCAACTGTTGCCATAGTCACAAACTCGTCCACATTGTAAAACTCAAGCTTACCATTGAATCCACTTAACCCATCAGCTAGGACTACGTGTTTGCCAGTGGGAGACCAGAAGAGGACATTGGCTTGCTTGGCCTTGAGGGTAACGAGCTTTGAAACTCTTCCACCGTGTTGTACGGTTTTCATCGAGTAGAAACTGACATCCGGCCTCGGTAAGTCGCCGTGGATCACGGCGAACCTGTGACCGTTGGGCTCCCACGAGAAATCAATGATCTTATCGTTCTTGCTGTCAAGCTCAAGAACCTCTACCGGAATATCTTTCTCCTTGATTCGGAAAAGCTCGAACCCTGAATGTGTGCTCTTCTTTGATTTTGATCCGTATCGATCCACCTTGACAGCGAGATAGTCCCCATTGCTCTGCCAGTACATCTTGCAACCACTCACATTTAAAAGATACTTCTGCCTTATCTCCACCTTGCTAGGGAGTTGAACAAGAGCGACCTAAATATAAAACAGAGAGATCAAACATGTAAGATATATATACGGACAAGAGCAGAGATGTCGAAACAAAGACAGCTCGGGTTTTGTAACATACCCTGGCAGTGGCAGGTTGGTTGCCATCACCTTGTTCAGGAACAAACAGTGCAAGAATGGAATCAGTAGGAGACCAACTCATGTCCAAAACATTATCAACCTTGATTGATGTCTTATCAATTAAGCTGAAAGTCGCAGTCTCGTAGACAGAGATAGTGTCCTTTCTAAGTCTGGCAAAGTATTTATCATCTCTTCCACCAGCCCATCTGCAGAAAATTTGATTTTACAAATGAGTTGAGAGCAGAGGATAACATAGACAAATCTTGAACACAAGTTTTTTCTGGTTTGGAAAATTACTTGAAGACAGGCCACGAGAGGCTGTCTCCTCCAGCTGAAAACTCATCAGCACTTCCTTTGAAACCTCTCATTACTCTACCGCTTCTCATATCAAAGATTTTGATCTCAACTTGCTGCAAAGTAGGACATATACATCAGTTACTCTCTGTCCATATGATAATAGAGATAGAAGCAAAAGGGTGCACTCACACTTGCATCTTGCGGGTTGTCTGGTTTCTGACTATGGTAGGTTACCAAGTAATTCTCACCCGGAGAAACATCAACTAGTGTTACCTTCAAACAGAATGAACATGCAAAGTCAAAACTTCGCGCCATCAAGAGAAAAATGAAATAACTTAGTAACAATCAAATGAACAAAAGCAAACCATGGGGTGCCTATAATGCATGAGAGGTTCAAAAGTAGTAGCGCCACCGTAAACAGCTACACCTGGATTGAGAAGTGTCACTAGGTATGTGCCTAAAGGAGACCATTGCACAAAACTCCCCGTCCAGTTCTGCGTGAGTGAATATATCATATAAGATCAAATCATAATAGCATTTTACATGTGATCCCTATAAAGCACATCTTATGACAAAACTAACTTACTTGAAGCTTATGAACAGATTCAGACTTGGAATGCCTTGTATCGTTCCACAAAACTTGAGTATCAGAGCCACATCTTATGACAAACTGATCCCGGGCTGTTTCATCAGTAAGCCACTTTTGCAGATTTTCCTAAAAATAAATGTACATATCGCATAATAAGCAACACAAGAGATACGGATCGATTCAAAGTCCTCTGAATAAAAAAAAAACAAGATATATATACATTGAATGCATAAGGCTTCACATCCATCAATCTTTCAATATCATCAAACATATAAACGGCCAAGCTTTTCTTGGACCTGCCAAGCTTGTAGCCATGAGTCTTGTCTCTGGCTGTTTCAGCTTCCTGCACAATTCATGGTAACAATCATCATCAAAACACTCTACTAGTTTCCTTTTATTCACCATCTAATAAGGTAAGGAGGAGGATTAGTTATCTTATTTATACCAAACCTGAGGGGTATTGAACTCAATAAAACAATATCCAACGGTCCTGTTGGTATCTTTATCAACGGGCATCGAAAATCCATCTTCCTTGATTACTCCTAATTGATTATATTTGTTGCGAAGGACACCTTCGAGTCTCTCAAACTTGTCCATAACAACAACTGGGAGTTGATCAACCACGATGATATTACCAAACTCAGTCTCAAATTCAGCAAGACGATCAACATCTTCGTCGTCACTATACCAATACAGCAACCAAATTACACATCATAAACCAAACAGGGAATATTAATGCAGAGACCGTATATATGTTATAGAGATAATCACACCTCTCAATTCCAAACTTCTCCCCAGGAGGAAGGACAATGGAATCTAAATCGATCTGAGACAAATCGATCCCTAACATAGCCGCTTGGGCATCTAAATCCATGACCGTCATCAAGAACAGAAACTGCTTAGCTCTGGGAAGAGATTGGCTTAGGGATTTGATGACAGCTGATGGCTCGATAAATCACAAGTCAGAACTAGTAACCTATTTGTAATATATATGCACCGCAAAAGCTTGGGGGTCACGTCTCAGCTAGTCAAGAAGAAAAACGGCAATATTTATATATTCCTTTTTGCCTTCAAAAAAGAAAATTACAATGCTACAATAATCATTAATCTACTCTTATATACACACATATTTATATAACCTTTACACTAAATCTCAACCACCGGTCCTCCAGCCTTTCCCACCAAAAACAGAGCACATTTATTAGGATAACCGATTTACCGTCGGTTTAATGTATTTTCCCATCCGGTTATCTTTGGTTTTAGATAAGCTGTTAGTCTCTTGAGAAGATTGTAAGAAGTGGAATTATGTTTAGAGCTCTAGGATCAACTCTCCTAGATTAGAGCAAGAATCGAAGTGTTATATTTCATAGATTAAAAAGAAGAAAAGCGAACATACTTAACAACTAAACAAAGACATTTACATGATCATTAGAAAAAACTAAGGGAGAGCAGAGCAACCAAAAAATGGTTAATTTAAAAACCAGAGAATGTGTTTAATTAACGGAAGAACAAGAGCGCCTTACTTCACCATCTTCACCAAATTTGACACCAACCATACTCAGCTTCACAAACGACTCCCTCCATCTCTCGAAAAAGCTTTCCTCATCACTCGCCAGATCCTCCACCATCTTCCTCGTCCGATCATCCTCCATCAGTGCAGAATCCGTCTGGAACAAGCCCTTGTGCGCCTCTAGATTCCTATAGTACTGATTATCGAATCTCGACGATGTCTCTGGATCGTTGCTCACCGTCAATGACGACGATGATGAGCACTGGTTCATCAATGTCTCTGCGTAGGAGTTGTCCAGGGACGCGTCAATTAGCTGCAGATTTCCTTTCGAGTCTCGTTTAAACCTTCCATCGAATGCGTTACAGTGCGAAGCCCCGATCGTGTGTGCTCCTGATGGAAAAGTTTAAAGTTTATCCAAAACGTTGCGGTGAAATTGATTAGAGAAATTTCAAGAAACATTGATACCAGAGAGCACGACGAGATCTTGAATCGACAAGCCTTTAGAGGAGAAGGCATCGATCATTTTATCAAGACTGAAATCTGTGTCAATTATGTTCGGTCTGACGTCTGCAGCCACCGATACTTTCCCGTCTCTCCTCCCGGTCGGAATCTCAACTACCGGTCCTCCAGCCTTTCCCACCAAAAACAGAGCAAGACATTCACATTTATCTAAATAACCGGTTTACCGTCGGTTTAATGTATTTTCCAATCCGGTTATCTTTAAGCCGTTAGTCTGTTAAGAAGATTGTAAGAAGGGGAATTGTACATTGGATCAAATACATAACACAAGTCCAATCCGATTTTCAATTTGAACTTTTGTCGATTCCGTTTTAAAATAATTTGTTTCTTCCTTGTTCAGTTGGGATTGGTTAAAACCGGTTAGAGCAATAGAAAGAAGTGAAGTGAAAGTGGTGAGAGTGTTGTTACAGCTTCGACGGCGTCTCTAGCAGCAAGTGCGACGATGTCAGCGCATGAAACAGTAGCGGGACAGAAAACCTCGATGGCATTCTTCGCTCTCTCTATGACTGAGAATCCTCCAAGAGAAGCGTTTCCGGGATCGCTTCTCTCCGTGCCATTCCCTTGTATCAACACTGACGCATCACAACCCTTGCAAGTTGCAACCAACATCACAAGCCTCAGCCCAAACTGTTTTGAATCTTTTCCTGTAATTCGTAATGTGCGTTCGTGTTATACCTGGACGAAACAGTCGTGAAAGAGGAGACGAAGGAGTTTTCCGGGGATAGTTGGATCGGAGGAGGAAGCAGATCTAACAGTGTTTCTGACGAGAAACTCTGCTACAGGACAAGAACCGGCGTAGAAGTTAAAAGAGAGGTCGGAGGAGGCAGTGAGAAGGCTAGATAGAAACAGAAGTAGATTAACAAGAGAGGTATAGTTTATTCGGTAAGAGGCAACCGTTGACGCCATACTCTTGTGTCTCAGTGTTTGGCTCAAGAAGGAAATGGTGGTACAAGAGAGAGAGAGTGTGTGTGAAGGATATTGGTGGTTGTAGTGATAAAGTATGACTGTTCATTGTATTTGATGTTCGTGTCAGAGTGAGATAGAGAAAAATGGTTGAGGTGGTGAAATTGAGTCAACGCATTAATGAAGAAGCGTTGATACTCGTGCTAAGTTGAAATCCACTACTATACATCATCAATCCATGGCGATCATCAATCTTATAAAACATCAAAAGGTTTTAACTATGAATCCGACATATTGTCGGAGAGTAGTAGCCAAGCCAATGCATGCCAGAGTACTTCAGGAAGAAAACTGCTCGACTTTCTTGGAAAATGGGTGAACATTTATTTCCAACACGTTAATGATTCATTTTTTTTTTTAATATCACAAACAAAACTTATGCTGATAACAAAATTTAGAAAGAAAAAACTCATTTTCTAGATTACAAAACCCCTACGAATGTGGTTGTTTTTTCCAGCTTAACGATCAACAAAGACTCCGACCACTAGAATAGAGAGATTTGTACCTCAGTCTCTCGTAGGGTTATCCGCTTTTGCTTCCTCTATCTCTTCTATTTCATCAATGTCATCAATTGGGATTTCTTCGCTATCATATGTCGGCAAATCTGCAATACACAAACAAGACAATGTTTGAGTCTTGGCATTGCACAATACATCTCCGCCATTGGTGCTTGGTGCAGTTCTATAAACATCTCTGATTCTCTCAAACCAAGTCAGCATTTACCAAGACAGCCATGGGCATACCTGATGGAGCCGGTGAAGCGGGGATCCCGGTTCTTTCTCCGGTTACTGGTGATGAATCAAGGAGATATGGGAGACCAAGGAGCTCTAACAAAGACAGTGTCTGAGGATTCTGCGGGATCTCTACATAATTCCACAGGAGAAAAACATTTTAAAACCAATCATCTGTATACTTTACACATCCTAATAGATCTCATCTGGTTATTCATCAACTTTACATAATCCTCTGTATCAAGTACATTAGCTTACCAGGTATGGAGTCGAAGTTATGTTGTGAAGGGTTATATGCAGGGACTGTCCTCGCAAACTCAAAAGGTTTAAATTGACTTTCCTCTAGCTTCTTCCTCACCCACTCTCGGCACTCTTGCATATTCATTGCAGCAGAGCTAGATTCTCAAAACAATAATACATAAGTGGGTAGAAAAACGAATGGGAGAATATAAATAGTAAGTAACTTGCTCAGGATTAGTATACCTGAAATTTGCCCATCTCTTTGTTAGCGGGAAGACAGAATTGAACTTTCTGGTTATTGCTAGCCACTCTTCATCGTACAGGACCTCAAAAGGTCCAGGCTCTGATTCGATTTCAATAATCTAATGAACATCATCCTAAGAAATTATAAGATATCCTTTATTTCTAAAGAAAAGCAAAACCAAGAGGTAGTCAGGAAGGAAGAATGAACCTGTAGAAACTTTCTCCCCGGAAGGCATTTATCGAGGGCAAGAAACTTGGTCACTGAGCCATCGTTCCCATGTTGAACAGCAGCAGCAAATTTGCAGTGTAAATGTGCTGAAAACCAATACCGAGGCTTCAGTTTTTCTAGCAGTAGAGCCGCTGGTTTACTTCCAAGAGTTCTCTGCGCAATCTGTAACAAACTTGGTCCAGTTAATTCCAATCATCTCAAAAACCAAAAATGAAGAAGTAGAAGAAACAGCTTCCCAAAACTGATCACTTTTTACCTCTTCACGGAAGTAAGGTTTTTGCTGAATAAGAGCTCTTGAGTCTCCACAGTCAGTGATTCCAACAGGCCAATCGTGTGAGAGAAATATATCAAGCGGCTCTTCAAGTTGCATCAGCTTCTGGACATCAAACTCACGAACGTGATAGACCGATCTGATGGTTCTCTCATTGTATGGAGGCCGCTCAAAATGTCCTACTCACACACAAAAAAAGAGAGACTGATTTCTCTTTATTAAAAAAACGACAACAAGACAAAACAAAATCTTTAATCCAAGCTCTTCTTCGTCAGAGAGTTTACGAACAACAACAAACCTGAGCGGTAATCCTGCATCTTGTAAATACCGGAAAGACCTCCAATTCGCACATTACCGAACTTCACAACTCCGGCATAGCCCAGAAAGTATATATTGGTGGCAGCCCAACCCCCATAATACCTAGAGAAGCAAGCAACAACCATCAAGGACACATTTTTGAGAAGCAAGCAACAACCATCAAGAACACATTTTTTTTTTGAGGGCACAAGTAATAGTAGTGAGAAAACTTACAATTCCCACATGTAGTTCGAAGCCTCGTGATTCCCTCCAATGAAAATTGTGGGAATCGGGGCAACTTCTTGGCCTGAGTAGTACTTCCAGAAGGATTTCATCTCTTTGTATTTTATAGGTACGTTAAGGCTATCCATGTCCTTCTCGTTTCTCACAGCCTGATTTTTTTCAACCAAGACGAGATTTTTAACACCAAAGAAGCAGCATCGAATGGAACCTTTACTTCCCCTGGAGAACTAGTATCCATACGGTTTACCTGAAAATCGCCGCAGCAGAGGAGGAGGTCGACTTTGGTGTTGTGAAGCTGTTCATGATGTTTAATCGTCTTGTACACATTGTCAAGGTCTCCGTGCATACACCCTTCAATAGCAATCTTCATCCCTCTGTGGATCCTAAGTGATGCAATGTATATGAGTGAAAAAGACTAAATTCGAGTGAACAAACAAAAAGCGCAGCTCATCTAATCCCTCCAGGGCAAACAAAAACAGACTGTAGCAACTGGATTTTAAGAAGATAATCAAAGCTTTAATCATCTATGAGCCCAAACCAAGAGGAATTTCACCACCTAAACTGTAAACTTCATGAATATCAGAAGTCTCAGATACCCAAAACAGTTGTGCATTTAAAAGGTTAGAGCTTTATTGAAAAATCATGAGCTATCTTGAAACCCAGGAAAAGGAAACATGAAAACGCTTCTGAAATCGAGTGAAACAATGGAGTAGTCAAAATCCGTAAGAGAAAGCTCCGACTTGGGAGAATGTTCAATAGAGAGAGAGAAAAGCACTAACTGTTTAGTAGTATCAGGATCCGAAGGCAAGGAACGTAAGCCTGAAGTCTGAAACCTGAATCGTACCCAGGTTCCGAAAAGTAATACCCAGAAACAATTTGCGAAACCAATTAAAAGATTTAAGGGTTGGTTCTTCAGTGTCCCGGAATCGATCGGGAGAGAGTATGCAAACGACGCCGTTCCATGTAAGTAGGAAACGAGGTCGTTTTACGTTCCTTTGACTTTTGTGCTTTTCTAATTTCAACTTTTTAAATAGTAACTCTCTGTTATGATTGAGTATCTCCTCTATAATAATAATCGTTGGAAGCATGAAACACATGTGAAACGAGCAGCAGGAAGCCAACGTTGAAATCAATAACTCGTCTAAGTGGGATTTTAACTTTTTTTTTGTTGAACACAACAAGAATCGTTGTTTTATACTTTTATCTATTAAAAAAATCGTTGTTTAGTGTATGGATTGGTCGAGCTTTTCGAGTTAAAAATTTAAACGTACATATCTAGTAGACAATGTATCTTCAAAAAACAAAACAAAATTAAGGTTACCAAATAGTTATGGGCTTTGGACCTTGTCTTCTTGGACTAGTGTAACTGAACTAAGAAAAATGATGGTATATAATTTAGACGATATTTTTAATATGCACACGATATTTACATTTCCATAAATTAGTTGATTGGTCACTTGAATTTTGGTAGAATTGCCTGCCCATAGAATATTCGGATAAGTTTCGGTTTAGCGAAAGCATTCTTCATCTTCTTCTTCTTCTCGTTATATATATAGAGAACAAAAAAACAGCAAACTCCATCTTCATTCTCCTAAATCCATCCACTCTGCTCCAAAAATCCCACCTTGTGTGGCTGCAAATCTCTCCTTCTCCCTCCGTTGAGCGATGCGCTCGATCATTCGTGGCGCCAAATTACTCCGCTAATTGAATCCCTCTCCCTATCTGTAACAGGCACATTCTTTCTATCAATCAACTATGCAAAACCCTTCAACAGTAACCCAGGAATCAGCATCATCCGCCTTTGATTTCTTCACGCGGCTGAGCGTTTTAGCCTCCAGAAATCGATCTCCATTTTCGAATTCGGATGGGTATTATCCCCTCTCGACCTCCAATGCATTGTTCTTCAATGGTTCCCGGACTCTCCTACACGCCCAGAGGACGCGCAAAGCCGTAGCTTCCCTGAGCTTGAACACTAGTAACAGCGTCGGCTCTAGCCTGCGTAGGTTTATCAGCGATTTCAATAGCTTTATTAGGTTTCACTGCGAGAAGGTGGTCCCAGAGTCCTTCGCCTCCGTCGGAGGAGTTGGGGTTTCGAGCGACGAGAACGGGGTTAGCGAAGGTGGGACCGGCGGGGTTTTGGGCGAGGAGGGTTTGCCATTGAATGTCGTCGAAGCTGATCGGCCGAAGAAAGTTTTGATTTTGATGAGTGATACTGGTGGTGGTCACAGAGCCTCTGCGGAAGCCATTAAAGCTGCATTCCACCAGGAGTTTGGGGATGAGTACCAGGTTCGTTTTTGAAATCTCCTCACGATTGATTGATTACATGTGGCTCAAGTTCACTACAGATTCTCAGTTTCATTGTAGTCAGATTTTGGAGTTTTTTTCTTTCTTGAATTAGAGAATATAGATCTGATGGAAAGGTTTTTAGCTGTTTGAATCACGTAAGAAGACATTGTGTTACATTCACTTGTTTGCTTTATAAAGTCTCAGGCAGCTGAAGAGTGTGGAACTGACTTTTAATTTAAATTATCAACCAAGTACAGTACATTGAAAGTCTGAATCTTGTAATACATTATGTAGTGTGGGTTGTTGTTGATTCTCTTCCCGTACATTAAGAGTGCTTGCGCAGGTGTTTATTACGGATTTGTGGACGGATCATACGCCCTGGCCGTTCAACCAGCTTCCCAGGAGCTATAACTTTCTGGTGAAACATGGAACTCTCTGGAAAATGACTTACTATGGTACGGCTCCACGCGTTATTCACCAATCCAATTTTGCAGCAACTTCGACTTTTATCGCCAGGTGAGGCCTAAGTTCTATGTTTTTGTGACTCCTTCAAACTGATTAATTTGTCTGTTACAACTTTAACTATCACAAGATTCTAATTAAGAGTTTTTGGTGGCCTTTGCTTCTCTTATGGATTTTTTTCTCATGTGTTTTCTTGTCGATTCTGATACCGTTGTCTCGAACTTTACAGGGAAATTGCACAAGGGTTGATGAAATATCAACCAGACATTATAATCAGTGTTCATCCGTTGATGCAACATGTCCCACTTCGTGTCCTAAGATCAAAAGGGTTGCTTAAGAAAATCGTCTTCACCACGGTTATTACAGACTTGAGCACTTGCCATCCCACATGGTTGGTTTATTTACCTAATCCTTCATGCGTAGAGAGATTCTATGGCTATTTTGTTAAAGATCAAATGTAAGATGATGCTTGTTCTGATGTTTAGGTTTCATAAGCTTGTGACAAGATGTTACTGCCCATCAACAGAAGTGGCTAAAAGGGCTCAAAAGGCCGGACTTGAAACATCGCAAATCAAAGTTTACGGGCTTCCTGTTCGACCTTCCTTTGTGAAACCAGTTCGCCCAAAGGTCGGGTCTTTGTCCTCTTTCTTGGCTGTTTCTTGTTGTTTCAAACATATCCAAAATTCAATAGTATGTATTCGATAAAATCACAGGTTGAATTAAGAAGGGAGCTAGGGATGGATGAGAATCTTCCAGCTGTATTGTTAATGGGTGGAGGAGAAGGAATGGGACCCATCGAGGCAACAGCAAGAGCACTAGGAGATGCTTTGTATGATGAGAGTCTAGGTGAAGCCGTTGGTCAGGTTCTTATAATATGTGGACGGAACAAGAAACTCCAAAACAGATTAAGTTCCTTAGATTGGAAAATCCCAGTCCAGGTACTCTATACTTCCTTTCCCTTCAAACCAAATCAGCAATTCTTAAGCATTCGATCAACAGAGGTGTTCTTTTTGTCACAGGTTAAAGGGTTTATAACGAAAATGGAGGAATGCATGGGTGCCTGTGACTGCATCATAACAAAGGTAAACCGAACAGAAGAACCAACAAGAACCATTGTAGTCTAAAACAAACAAAAAATGTGACTTTAAGAATGATTGTTTCTTTACTCTTGGTTTTGTCATTTGGGCTTGTGCAGGCTGGTCCGGGAACAATAGCTGAAGCTATGATAAGAGGGCTACCGATAATCTTAAACGGCTACATCGCTGGTCAAGTAAGTTGAGCTATAAAAAAACCTCCCATTTTAAGTTTTTATTCGGTTTCAGGCTTTCAATTTTGTGGCTGTTTGGTTTTGAGAGCAGGAGGCAGGGAATGTGCCGTACGTGGTGGAGAACGGATGTGGGAAATTTTCGAAATCGCCAAAAGAAATATCGAAGATTGTAGCGGAATGGTTTGGACCTGGATCGAAACAGCTGGAGATAATGTCACAGAATGCATTGAGGCTGGCTAGACCAGAAGCGGTGTTCAAGATAGTGCAAGACATGCACGAGCTTGTCCGACAGAAAAATTGTCTTCCTCAGCTCTCTTGCACTGCCTAGTACTTACTATGTTGTTACTCTTATCTATTCATACATCCTCTTTCTTTTAGTTCTAGACAAGAGTGTAACAATCATATATAACTGTATTTTTTTTTGCCCTTAATGCGAATGCTTAAGGCATATTTACTCACTTTTGAATAATCATAATTTACACTAAATTTCCAATAAATTAATTTTTGATTCTGTCAACATAATGACTAGAGAGAAAAAAAAAAACAACATTAAACTCAAAACGATGTAGTTTGAATTGAAATAAAATATTAGAAAGCAAGAAGAAAAGGGTTTTGAGTTTTGACCTTCTTCTTCTCTTTACCCAATCGGCCGCTCGCTGGGGTTTATCGACTGAGTCCCCTGATTTTCGGATTTTCAACGTATTTCATCAGGTAACTTCCGATTTCAACTTCTCTTTTTCTCTCTCTCTGGTATTAATCGATTTAACGAAGTGAGGCGTTTGATACTGTAATTATATGGACTCGTTGATATTCTTCGATTTTCTCCTCAGCTCAATTGTTTTGATTCTGTTAGGATTTTCGTTTCCTTAGATCTAGTTCATTAAAAGTCAGCAGCTTTTAATATGTAGCTGATATATTTCTCAATTATATGTGGCAATCTGATTGAGTGATTGATTCATATTTTAAGGTTAAGGCAGAAGGAAAGCAGAGATGTTGTACATTATAGGGTTAGGTTTAGGAGATGAAAGGGACATAACACTGAGAGGACTCGAAGCCGTGAAGAAATCTCAGAAAGTATACATGGAAGCTTACACTTCTCTTTTGTCCTTCGGTCTCTCTCCTAATGGTCTTTCCAATCTTGTAAGACTCTCTCAAAGCTCCGTGATTTTAGATTCACCAGCTTCCGCGTTTTTCTGTTCTAATCTTTATTTCTGGGATTTGTCTCAGGAAAAGTTTTATGGGAAACCAATTATACTTGCTGATAGAGAAATGGTGGAAGAAAAAGCAGGCGATATGATTGAAGAAGCCATTCATAGCGATGTCGCTTTTCTCGTTGTTGGTGATCCTTTCGGGTATGGTGCATTCGAGCTTTAACAATGTCTTCTTGATATTCAACTTATAGCAAATAAACTTAGTTAGATATACGATACAATTTAGAATTGGGATTTATGTGTCTTTGTGTTGGAAATGGATTCTGCAGAGCTACAACGCACAGTGATCTTGTTGTTCGAGCTAAGAAACTCGGTGTAAATGTAGAGGTTGTGCACAACGCATCTGTGATGAATGCTGTTGGGATCTGTGGTCTGCAGCTTTACCATTACGGAGAGACTGTTTCAATCCCGTTCTTCACCGAGACTTGGAGACCAGACAGCTTTTACGAGAAGATCAAGAAGAACCGTGATCTTGGACTCCACACTCTCTGTTTGCTGGATATCCGAGTGAAAGAGCCCACTTTCGAATCTCTCTGCAGAGGAGGGAAGAAGCAGTATGAGCCTCCCAGATACATGACTGTTAATACAGCGATCGAGCAGCTTCTGGAAGTTGAGCAGAAGCATGGAGATTCTGTTTACGGTGAAGACACAGAGTGTGTGGGGTTTGCACGGCTTGGCTCTGAGGACCAGACGATTGTTGCAGGGACGATGAAGCAGCTCGAGAGTGTTGACTTTGGAGCACCGTTGCACTGCCTTGTGATTGTAGGCAAGACTCATCCCGTGGAAGAAGAGATGTTAGAGTTTTACAGATACAAAACTGCAAATTAAAGACCACAGGACCGAAGCAGGCTCTTATCTTCTGAGGAATTGATGGAAAGTAGGTGAAACAGTTTTGGTCATTTCTATCTATTTTTTGTGGGTTTTGATGTTACATAAGCATAACTACGATGTGTCTTCGAATATGAGATATTCATTTGGCTATAGTTTGAGGCGCACTTTGTATTGTATTCGAGCATTTTTTTTTTTTGTCGAAGAGAATTTTTAGTTTGAGATATATTTGGTTTGAGGAACTAACACCAAAGGAGAAATCGTTTCGGTTTGTTTTTGCTCGGTCTGGCTCTTGAGACTCTGTTCTGAATATTGTGTGACTTTAGTATTGGATTGGCTCTCTCCTCCAAAGATTGTATGTTTGTTTTACCTTTTAAAACTGATGAAAAAAGTATATATTGTTTTTAAAAAAAAAAGGAAACTCTGGGGTTTGAACTTTGGTTCTAATTGACGAGACCACAATTTTAAAGAGCATGACTTTTCGACGATATCACTCCAAAGTCATTTTAAAGTATGACAAAAGGATTAGTGCGTGTGCCTACGTGATGCACGAACGATGACGTAAGGTTACTTGCGTAATGCATCACCACTATTCACATAGAATATTATGTCTGGCAAAAAGTCTCTATAGTTGTACTTACTAGTTAACATAAGACCAAAACAAAACATTCAAAATTTTGGTCTTTAGTTATACTTTGCAAACACATCGCTTAATGATTCTATTCTCTATACTTTTTTTTGGGATGAAATCCGCAATGATATTTCGAGAAATCTCCAACAAATACATTAATGTATTTGGTTCCAACGTTAATTACTAGCTTGACTCATCATCAGCTTGAGTCTTTCTCAAAGATAGTATATACTATATCTCTAAAGATATTATATTAATCTCTGATGGTTGTTACGATGTGAAAATTTTCTAATCAAGCAATTGCTTCTTTCGTACACACTAATAGCATCTTTTCTTGTCATGACGATTTTTATTTTTTATATTGTTTTTTTCCAGGGTGAAAGCCCTTTATTCAAATTCACGTAAACATTATTCCTAAAATCTGTCATAACAACTCTTAAGAATAGTCTAAAATAACTGACAAAAGTAAAGTTAATTGGTAATTTAGTCGGTTAACTGAATAATATACGAGTTCAATCCAAACTTGAAGGAGAAAAAAATGATAATTGCCCTGCAGGTAAAACAATTTGAGTAGTCTACGATAGTGCAAATGCAAAATACTCATAATTTTAAAACTTAAGTTCTGAAATTATGGTTTCAGGAGGTGTGAAATCATTCAAATTTTCCTTCTCTCTTGTCGACATTTTGTTTTTTAGTTTGTTGAACATTTCGGGAGCGCAGATTAATAGAAACAAAAGACAAAGCGAAACCGTAAGGCTATTGCATCATGCTTATAGATGAAGATTAATGACGTCATCAAGTTGACGTCGTTATGAGGATATCCGAGAGAAGTTTTAGACGATGACTTAAAAGATTGGTCTTATATTATAACTTTATTAGGTCTCATCGCTCCACCTAGGATACAATTATCTGAATTTTCCAACCATGAAAGACTTGTTTTATAACTTTTCCATGAGCCCTAACTATATTCTTCATCGACAACAATATTATAAGTGATCATGGATCGTACGTTAGCAATATACTGGCAGCGACATATAGCTTTTTCTAAGATCAACTAACAATATAGTATAAAAAGACTGAGAAATTTGGGATCAAATTAACCATAGACGAATGTTTTTGTCTTGTTGAAGATTCATCATGCAAAGGAATGAATCCTTTCAAACGTGGATCATCTCACCGCTTCGCCCGATTACCCATTGACGCTTTAGTAAGAATAGTTTAAAATATTTAACCAAAAAAAAAAAAAAAAAAATCGATGAACTTTGGAGATTAATATACATTTTGGCCTAATCCCGGTTGTTTTGGAATCAAAGTGCCGATAACGAATTCCTAGTGATGAGTGAACAAATAATTATATATATGAATCCTCATTGTTAATTTTTCATAGCCACTATATATACATAATCTATGTGGTAAGAAATCTGGTTTTTACAGATGACAGAGAATTTGGTTGTTGCCATTTTTCTTCTCAGAGATCCACCATTAGTAATTTGTAATACTATTCTCTACTTATTTTATTAGTTGAATTTTTTTTTTTCTTTCAAAACGACCTTAATCCGCAAAATTTATGCTAAGACTATACAAACTCGTACTGTCAGCATCAAATTACACAAACCTATAAAATTAGTTATTTGACCGATTCAATATGACTTTAATTAACGGTTGAATTTGTTTTTTCTGCCGTTTTTGATGAATCTCCACCATATATCGATAATGGTTTAGCTAACTTTGTAAATTTAGACATCAAACTTCTGTTCTCCCATCATTGTGTTATTCAGCAATTTATTTATCAATAACCTGTGGAAATACAATACTAAAACCAATCATTTGTTGTGTACCAAAATAATCATAACTGTCCTTAGTCAAAGATTATATATATCTCACTAGTAGATTCCATCTCCAAGAATAAGTAAGATTAAAACAATATAAAACACGTGGGTTTTGCAATCTAAATTTGAAATTTTTTGTTAAAAAATGAAACACGCGCGATTGATCTTTAAATTTGATTCAATTCATCAAGATCGCATAAAGTTTCTTCACTGACGTGCATGCTGCATGGAGTTTATATATGTGGTGAAGTGAAAATAGCATATCTTAGAAATATATAACCTGAAAAACAATAACAAACATACATAATAAACTTAATTAAAACAACTTGGTACCGGTAGCTCAACCGGGTGAGTCGGGCCATATCATGAGTCCGAACATCAATTCCGAAATAACTAGTGAGAAGAAAAAAAAAAGTCGAATATTTACGAATCTTTATGCTATAGTGGTTGTATTTTGTTTTATATATCCTTGTGTTTTGAAAGAAATGGAATAGTTAAGATGACGCTAAATAATTAAATAATAGGATGTGACAGTAAATTATTAACTTTGAAGAAACAAAAAAAAGGTGGGATATAAAGGACAAGAAAAAGAGAGGTCGGTGTCGGAGCCGCCCAAGGTGGCAACTTGTTCACACCATAAGGCCTCTCAAGTTGGAAGTCACGGTCGAGTCCGGTCAAGATTTTGTTGCCCTTTTCCCGTGTGGGCCCTCCTCTTCATTGTCTTTTCTCCCAAAAATTTCCACGTTTTTGTATCATCCTCCAATTTATTTTATTCTATATATACATATATTATTATTATTTTGTCGACTATGGTATTTGCATTTTGTATTGTCTCTTTTATTATTTTTTGGTACAAAGTTAATTGGAGAATTATGGACTAAAAAGTTCATACAACTATTTGTCTATAGAAGCAATAGTTGTCCTGTTCAATTTGACATGCACTGTTCGATAACTGTTTTACTTAAATACAACTATGAATTATTTTAGTAAACCTTTTGATCAAAAGAAAACTATGAATTATTTTTAAATCAAATACCATCGTTTAAACTGGATTTTGCTTTTGCTTTGCTGTATCAACTAGGACAAACAACTATCACAATAAATACAGCTTAGGAGATTTTTCTTGATTTGTTTATTTCTGTCTATAATATAATAAAAAAAGAATTGCCGACCTCCGAATCAGGTCAATGGGTCAAGCAAGTCAAGGGAAAGTTCGTAACTGTTATGGCATTATGGATCTCGACGAACATTATTATTTTTTTAAATAAATTTTTATCAAAATGAACGAGAACACGGATCCGACCATATTGAAATTTATGTATGACGTACAAAAATTTCTTCAGCATGGGACACTTGGCGCCGATATTATTGATTTTTTCTGTCTTTCTTTTAATTGCTTCTTTTATAAAATAAATACATAACTAATTTTCCTATCATTTATTTTAGATGGTTTGGACTAAGACTTCAAAGTTTCTATCTAACTTTCAAGTCTTTGGACGGTTTATTTGAGTTGTCTTATGAGCTTATGTAATTCGGTTATCATAACTTATAATACATCATCAACTATACATCATATTTCCTGGTGGAAAGTCTTATTTTGGGGGTCAATGTGGAAATCTTTATGCTTTTTACTAATAGGTTATTTTTTGAGTTCTAAATCCCATACTGATCTAATAAATTAATCCATAAATAACGAACTAGTTCGTAACATACTAACCCTATATACTATAATTTAAAAACTACTACTATAAATCACTCAAATCACAATGGTTTTTTTTGTTGTTGTATAACTATAAACCCATTGATTTAGCGAAACAACTGTAAATCCATAGACAAATGAGCTTTTATTATGTCTTTGTTTGGCTTTCTCTTTTCTTTATTTTCCGAAAGTCTTTAATGTCTTCCCAGACTTTATCGAAGACAGCTTTTTAGATATATCGTCACTTTCCAACGACTTTCCTTCCTACGACTTTCCTTCCTAACAAATCCAAAACTTTTAATTATTTTTTTTTTAATTTATGCACACAAACACTCTTTTCCTTTCTATTTTTGTTTATATAAAGAAACCATTTTGCTCATCAGAAGTACTCAATCACTCGGACCACCAACTTGCGGCCGAAGAAAACAAATCGAGACTTGGTCTCTAAGCACCAACAACCACTCCTTTGGTCTGTGTGTCTTTTAACATAATTAGATTTTTAATGGATTGTTCTTCGTTTCTAGACATATCTCTCGATCTCAACATCAACCCTTTCGATCGTAATTTCCCCGATAAAATTCCGGTTAGTCCCGGATTCCGTTATTGATGTTGGGTTCCTTTCAATTTTCTGTGGCAGTTGTAATTAATCATGAAATTTTTCACATTTCAGAAGAAGGAGGTCAAGGTTTCGCCTTCTGCTGCTTTGGATAGGAAATGGTTGGTCAAAGACGAGGTTAGTTCTTCCGTCGAACACTTGGTCTGCTATACCTTCAACTTCACTCACTTTAGCTTGATGAATCAGTATGATGATGACGATGAGTAAAAAACTGTTTAAACAAGTTTTCAGCTTCCATAGTCATTTAAAATGGATCTGAATTTGAATCATGTTTCTTGAACCGGAATAATCAATTGCAATAAATTAGAAGAGTTCTTGTTGGTAATGGTGAATTTTTATCTTAATGGTAATGAAACAGAGCGCAAACGAGTTAAGAGAGGAGCTAAACAGAGTTAACTCGGAGAACAAGAAGCTAACAGAGATGCTAGCAACAGTCTGTGAGAACTATCACGCACTGCATCACCATTTGGAGAAGCTGCAGAGTCGAAAGAGCCCTGAAATCGATCAGATCGAGCCACCGACAAAGAAAAGAAAGCAGGATCCGGATGAGTTCTTAGGCTTTCCTGCTGGACTCAGTAGTGGGAAAACTGAGAACAGCTCCAGCAACGAAGATCACCATCAGCAGCAACACGAGCAGAAAAATCAGCTTCTTTCATGCAAAAGACCAGTCACTGATACCTTCAACAAGGCAAAGGTTTCAACAGTCTTCGTGCCTGCTGATTCTTCCGACACAAGCTTGGTAAGCGTTTTGTCTAAAATAATTTGCAAAGGAATCAAATTTGATGTATGTTTGTCTAGAGACATGAGGGCATAAGATTTAAACAGAGTGTTATTTTGTGGAACGTTTTTTGCAGACAGTAAAAGATGGATATCAATGGAGGAAATACGGACAAAAGGTTACAAGAGATAACCCGTCGCCTAGAGCTTACTTTAGATGCTCGTTTGCGCCGTCTTGTCCAGTTAAAAAGAAGGTACTTTACACAACTTGAGTTTGATCAATATCTTTAGCTTCATTTGCAATCGGTTTCCTCTGCTTCTTCAGCTGTATAATGATCTGTGACCTTGTCGTTGTTCAGGTGCAACGCAGCGCAGAGGATCCGTCCTTACTGGTAGCTACATATGAAGGGACGCATAATCACTTGGGTCCTAACGCTTCTGAAGGAGATGCTACAAGTCATGTTGGGTCAAGCACAATGACGTTGGATCTTGTTCATGGTGGTCATAGATTAGCTTTGGAGAAGAATGAAAGGGGAACGATGCAAGACGTTCTGGTTCAACAAATGGCGTCTTCGTTAACGAAAGATTCAAAGTTCACAGCTGCTCTTGCTGCAGCTATATCTGGGAGGTTGATGGAGCAGTCTAGAACATGAAGGTTTCAGTGAATGTTTTTGTTTTGTTTTCTCATCCCTGGAAAAAGAATGGGTTTTTTAGAAGAAAAAAAAATTGTATCTTTTGATTAGGAGATTAGAGATGGAGAACTTTAGTGTATATAAAAAATTATAAGTACATGTGAAATCATAAGCATTCGAGAAAACTTTGAATTTGAGTGGGTAACACAACGAAGACTCTAAATACAAATTTTTGCGCTACACATATGTTTTTGTCAGCATTATGTTTTGAATCTTGGTGTTGACACAAAGACGACACTATAACAAAACCAATAGATTACATTTGCGTTACATATGTTGGTCCATAGAAATAAATAAGTAAACGTAAATGTTGTTAGTTGAGTTGTTTTTTTCTTCATTTTTTTTTGAACATACGTTTAAATGTGTTAGAAATTCAAATCATTCATGTTGGTCAAATGCATGAATGTCTGAATTGATTTTAAATTTGTCTTTACATTGATGTGTAATAAAGATTTATTTTCAAACTACCTTTTTCTTTATCTTGAACTATACGGAATTGCGTCTAGTGAATGGGTTGTTGCGTGCTTGACATGTTAAATAAGGTATCAATTTCTTATGCACGGCCTTATCATCTGAAATTCTCCAACTTTTGTAGTATTATTGTTCTGTTTCTAAAATAGTTTGAAATTTGACAAATGATTTTATGAAACCTTTGAATTCATGAAAGTACCTTTAAAATTCATGTTAAACCTTTGAATTCATAAGTTTCGCAAAATCTATAGAAACCTTTGAATTCATGAAAGTAATTTAAAATTCATGTTAAATCTTTCAAACATATAAAATTATTTTGTACAAAGGAGGATAAGAAGCAATGATTGGAGAAGTTTCCCAACAAAAACATTCAAATCACAAGAATCAAAGTTTCCCTCCTTATTTTCTCTCTCTTTGCTCTGCTCTGCAACTCTCGTGATTCTCATTTATTTCCTCTCCACATCTGTTCATCGGTCTCTGTTACGACTCCGTCCCACCATTATCAATGTCAACCCGATCTCGGTCCCTCCTACTACCAAACCTTCTTCCTTTTTAAATCTCCTCTCCTTAACCCCCAAAAACCCATGATTCGTTTCAATGGAAGGCCATGGTCACTCACGGCGGAGGAAGATAGATGGTTGCACAGTCGTGGAGTGTTATACGCCTCGGAGGGTCGTCACTCGGTGGCTTTCCGGCCTGAGAAGTTCCAAGGGGAAGAGAGAAGCGGGAGAGGATCATGATGAAGAAGTTTCGGGAAGGTACCATCTGGCGCCCATAAGGTGTTCGACGAAACGCCTGAACGAGAGTAGGCCGTTGGATCAAAAGCCGGAGACTCATAGATTTGGTGAGAAGTTTGTATCTTTTCTTCTTCTTTTCCTACGGGTTTTCTTTCTCTGGAAATGGTCTCATGGCTTGTACTAATTAACAAGAACATTGAACGGTAGGAATAGGATTGTCTCTAGAGCTTGAAAATGATTTGATTTTCCATGAGAGCTTGTTTTTAGTGGGTTATGCTATACAATTATGCTTGGTTACGTTCTAATTTATAAAAATTTTATCTTTGTGCAGAATCACAAAGCAGAGAAGCACCTTTCGAGATGGGGATTGGCTCTTTCTTGCTGTATCTTGTTGTTGCGAGTAAAACCGAGCTTGATAAAATGGCAGACCTGCGAATACAAATGGAGATGCTTCTTCTGAATGCAAAACAAGAATTGCAGAAGAAAGAATTACAGGGAAGCCCACCTTTGTCTTCGAACGATGCATATGCAAAAGAACCAAGCGGGAACCAGTTTTCTCCTCAAGTCATTTCGAATTTGGCATCATCCATATTCGAAGAGTCATCAATGAGTGTTCTTGAAGAGGAGAACTCAGAATGCGAGGTCTCAAAAACAGAGGATTACCATCGAGGAACAGACCGCAATTCCAAATTCCAGGCTGAGGTAGTTAGTTTACCTCTGGATGAAAAAGCAGACGATGGACATACAAAGCATCAAATTCAAAGGCAACTCAAACTTAAAGTATCTCACAAACCACCTTTTTATCTTTTTACATTGGCTGTTTAAGAAACTATGAAGCTCACACTGTGATTCTTTGGGTGTTTGTAGGACAAGGAGGGCACGAAGAATCATATACCAGAGATGGTGACAGATGAAAGATACGGAGTTTGTCCGTACGAACTAGAGAAAAAGCTGCACGAACTACTAGAGACAAGGCAACAAGAAGAGTTACTGAAGCTTGAGGCTGCTCTGAGTCGTGTTGAACGTAGACTACAGGAGAAAGAAACCGAGGTTTCATGGTGGAAAGACGCAGCCCGCCTGCTTGCTCAGCGTGTTCCTGAATCTTCTCGAGCTGGATTAGAATGGTGCTACCAAGAATCGTCCATAACATGTTCGGAACAGTGTTCCGAGATCTTTTGAAGCATGTCCAGAACACCGCATCAGTTTCTCTGGGTGAATGTTATAAGGAAAGTGTTTAGCTTTACTTTTACAGCATTTGTCTGATGAGTTCTTTTACATCTGTGTGAAGTTTGCGCTTAGTTAGACTAGTTGCATGGCATACATATCATATGAAAGTCTCTATCCAAGGTAGGAATTGCAATATATATATGTATCCAATCAAGCTCCTTTTTATATGTAGCCATTTTTTCATAATAATTTATTACAATAAATTTACTGATACAAAATACTTACAAACTTGTCGCCCATTTACTGATACAAAATACTTACAAACTTGTCGCCCCTAATTGAGCCCCAGTAATAAAGCGCCCCAGTGACAAAAAAAAAAAAAGAACGAAAGAAAAACCAGAGTTTGATAGCAAAAGGTTGTCAAATGAATCATCAGGATCTGTCTTATGATACAGATACAGTAATATCCCTAAATTGATAGTGATTTATAACAATTATATATTTGTTTGGAAACTGATAACCAATTCAAACAGATTTTGTTTACGTTTCTTTGAAAAATAATATCTTATATTAGTTTAATTAAATTATTTGAATAAAATCCTTTTTATGTGTTTTATTTTTTTATTTTTAATTAAATATGTTAGAATACATAAATTTCATATTTTTTGAAAATCATTATAGATCTCACAAATTTGAGGGATACCATCAGTATGTCTTCAAGACGGTCACTAATCATATCTTTGGTTACTATAGATTTAAATTTCCTTTTTATTTATGAGGTTTCATAATCAAAATTCAAAAGTAGTGCAATTAAACCTTTTTTTTTTGAGAATTCTACCATAACGTTCACAATCAACAAATCATAATCAAAGAAATGAAATATAATAACAAATTCATAACATTTTAATAATTTCCACTCGTATCTAAAAACTTTGGTTATCAAATCAGCAACAATGGTCTAAGCTATACTGTTCTAGATATGAAACCTTGAAAATGGAAAGAAGTGACTAACAAGCTCGAAAATATATGCAATGAGTGGTGCTTCAGCCCAACAAATGACAAGTGAAAGTTCATTTGTGTTGATTGTTGTCACCGTCACAATGTTTTGGTTCCATCTACTAATGTAGTTCACTCTTGTCCAGAAACTGTGGTCATTGAGTCTTGTCTCTACATCATAGGATGATGTAGCTTTGATATGTCAATCTTTATGTTCGTCTCTAATTCATTTCTCTTTTTGATTTGACTCAAGAATTTTTTTCTTGACTTGGCTTTCTTTGCTTTTCAAACTCACAAACATGAGTTGTGACATCAACACTCTGAAGAAAGGATGCCACTACATAAACATCTCATAGCCTCCAAGGTGTCTAAGGACCTTCACGGTTACATCAAAGACAGGGAGATTTATCACGCCAGGATAAGGATGCCTCATGGTGAGACTATGATACATGTGGAGTTACAATCACCCAACTCTTTACTCATTCTTGACTGGTATGCTCTATATAAGAAAATTTGTTTTGCGTCCAATTCCTCAATTTCATGTCATAGCTCGGCTTAGCCATTCTATGGTTGCCTCTTGTTCGAAAATCTTTGCCGTGGGTGGCGCTTCAGTGGCAAAAAGAATAAGAGGTCTTTGTGTAAATTGTTGTGACTATAAAAAAGTTGTGTTCCATCTACTAATGCAGTTCATACATGTCCAGAAACTGTAGTGATAAAGACATGTCTCTACATCATGAGGATGTAAACTTGATTAGTCCATGTTCTTTCTAGAAGCCCTAAGACACAACAACTCAAAAAAAGATATAAAATGGGAAGTTATCAATTTTCTACCTCAAGAACTAGTCAACATTCCTTCTTACTCCCACAAGCTAGTGATGAATAACAAGATCTACTTCATGAGCGACAATGGTCTAAGGTCTACTATTCTAGATCCTAAAGCCTTTACTATGGAAATGAACGACCAAGAAGCAGGGTCGGTCCAGAAAGTAGGCGGGTTAATCCAGCGCTTAGGACCATCAATATTTTTGAAAAAATTAGGCTAAAAAATGGATCATAAATTTTGAAAAAATCTAAAAAATAGGCCACAAATTTAAAATAATCAAATAAAGTTTATATTTTCTTTTTTTATAACTTTGGGCTACTATTTTAATTGGACCGAGCCTGCCAAGAAGCCATGGGAAAACAGTGTTATGAAGGTTACTGTGTAATCAAAAATCGCCTATACTGTTCTGGAAGAGGAAACCTGATCAAAGTTCACGTTCATGGCACCATCTGGACTCGTGTGAAATGTTTGGATACGCTGCCTGACTTTACCCAACTTCTATCATCCATACTCTAGAGGTTGAGCTGTGACTTGGGTATAAAAAAACAGATTTTTCTTTAAATTCTGTTATAATTTTTCTTGTGTCTAGCATTATTGGACACATTTTGCTATTAAGTCAAAAGTATCACACAAGCCCCTTTTTTATAAATTGCATTTTGTTCAGAACTATGATTCCCACGGAAGATGAATAAACACAGTAAAACAGTTACAAACTTGTCAAGATCGTTTTTTCCGACCCAATATTAAAAAGTAGAAGACAAAAAAAACGGAGTTTGACAGCAAAGGGTGGTCACTGCAGGGTTCTCTGGTGGAATACTTTATTGCAGGCAATGAGTATCACTAGTTTCCTCAGAAGTATGGCTCTCGTTGAGCTGTTGGAAGCTTCAGCTCAGAGTCTGAATCATCGGGACCTGTGGCTGGCGAGAAGTAGGAGTCCACCATGTCTTTGCTCACATCTTCTAGTCGCGGAGGATCCCACTGCAAATTTTGAGGGAAACAAACCACAAATTTTCATAAAATAAGCATGCAACATCTATAACAAAAACGAGTTGTAAATGTATTATTTAAAGGCTGATATGTTTGTTAATGGTTTACCTTTGGAGCAAAGTCTTTATCCACCAAACGGGCTCGAATACCCTATCAACAGCAACAAAACTATTCAATACATGAAGAAAAATGATGATGCTTTGATTGAGAAATTGGTGATTGACTATACCTCGCAGAAGTCACCAGATACCGTTTTTGAGACCCCACAAAGCGATATACGGTACTCACGTGTGAGACACTGATCAAGAGTTTGGAATCTACCTTCTCGTATCTAAGAAGAGAAGAAACCGCTAGAGTCAAGAAAAATGAAATTTTTTTTTTGACAAAGGGAAAGAAGAAACAAAATGTACTCACGGATTGTAGAGTTATCTTTAAGCTCAGAGGAGAAGCTTCCTTGAATTGTTTGAGAGTTTTCTTGCACCATTCATTGCAAGAATTAGCAACCTCATTTTCCTGAAGCGGCGAGTAGATGTTAAAGCTTAGAACTTGACAAAATGCTCAAGTCAAATCGATCAAGAGGCCTCAAGTTGAAATATATCACGTCAATGCTAGGCAAAGTTCTCTCACCATAGCCTCAATGATTTCTTCAACCGTATCAAGCCCAAAATATTTATCAATCGCCTCAATCCTGAGGAAAGAATTTTCTGCTTACACCCTCCTGGGAATATAGTTCAAAGAAAGATATGGAGACAAGGTAAAAAAATTACTTGTGAAGTACACTGCTGTTGTCAGGATAAACTAGATCACCATACTGAGCAAGAGAATCTTCAATGACAGTAGGATCATCGCTCAACAGTTTACCAATCCTCTCTTCGATCAAACCAAGTCTCTGCCACAACAACTAATATAAGGAATGCGCTTAAGAGGAAAGAACGAAACATGGGACAAGGTAAGAAAAATGCATTCAAACCGAGTGTAAGCAATAGTGGGTAGCAAGGCCACATGCTATCATTTCGACACCATCAAGTTTCTGCCCCGTGAGAGCCAAGTATTCCCCTGAACAAGAAAGCACAAAACCCACTTCAGAACCAAAACATTGCAGTTGAAAGTATTTGTACGTCAATCAGATTCATATATACTATTTTAACCACCATTTTAATTTACAGATACGCAGAGAATGTGAATGTAGTGGAAGAGATCAGCCAAAAGTGAAGTTCACCTAAATAACCAGGAAGCCGTGAAAGGTAATAGGAAGCTCCAGCATCAGGATGAAAACCAATTTGAACCTCTGGATGGGCCAACACCTGCATTCGCAAGGTTGGTCAGAACACCTTAACTACCAAAACTTCCAAGGTACAATAAAAAAGAGAAACACTACTGATAAATGACTAAGACAGTATGAAAAATACAGAGAAAAATGGCATGAAACACCAACTAAAACATACAGAAACTGTAGGACCTTATATAACCACTCAATGGGATTTAATTTTCGTTTGTTACAGCGTCCACTCAAAGTAGAAAACAAGTGATTCATAATAGAAAGAGCAGCCACATACAGTTTTGTCAGTTGCCACGCGAAACATCCCTGGAATTGAAATTCCACCACCACAACCCATGGTTACACCATCCATAATAGCTATCTGCAGTAAGATAATAGAGTTTAAATTAATTCAACACTTGCATATTATCCACAAAATCAGCTTCATTTATTATTGAGTGGAAGCAAATAAGCAGGTTAAGCTCTTTTTAGTCACTTGTGGTCATACGAACCACTCCCATCTGGTATTAACACATAAGCATCGAGGGAATCTCTAGGAGTCTCACATTAGGTTTCAAATACGTTCCTTGGAGGTAGACAAACTTGTACAAATTCTCGAAAAAGTGTTTGCATTCTTCAGTATTCCCTGTGCAAAAGGAAAGTGGCAATACATCAGCAAATCCTCTCAGTACCTTCACCAGAGTTAAAGCAACTTCAAGCTATGGAATGGCTTGTGCTGAACCTCACAAAACCTTTCCAAGAATTTAACAATGGAAAGTAATACAAGAGATGGACCTTCGTTAATCGAGTGATAAAGAGGCAAGACATCCGCACCAGAACAGAACGTTTTGCCGCTACCCTTCAGGAAATAAATTGAATAGCTTAATCCAGTGATATTGTAACTAGGCATCAAAAGGACACATGATATAACGAGGAGCAGAAACGAGTCTCGTAAATGAAGCTAGAGAGTACCATACCTTCATCAAAACAAACGAAATAGCTGGATTCTCTTCCCAGGATTCGTATAGCCTCTTTAGTCGACCTACCTAGAAAGACCAAAAATTTGAAGCAGACTTAGAACCTAAACGAGCATCAGAAACCGGAGTTTAAGTCCAAGATGATTTTACAATGCTACAGACAATACCATAGGCGCAGAAAGAGCATTGAGAGAAGAGGGTCTATCGAGAATGGCAGCTCTTGATTTAGCTTTCCCTTCCACCAGAACCTTCAAGTACAGCAAAATACAGATTAACACATATACATTTTAGTGACAAGGAAGTAAATTTCATTTAAGAGAGAATCATAAACTTTCAACCGAGCACATAGTATCAGATCAATTACATATTGTACCTAAACTTAGAACTCAATTAAGTATTTCACTAAATCATCAACAACATTTCCTGAAAATATGATTTCCATTTGTGATCAATTAAATTAAAATCGCGAAAGAGTTCAACAAAACAATATCAAATCAAGCACATTTGGAGAAGATCCCAAAACTAAGAAGAAGATGAGAAAACCTGGTTTTCGATATCGGCATCTGAAGCGGAATAGTTTGGAAGAGCAGAGAAGCTTCTTCCATGAGAAACAGACCGAACCCATTTTAAGGGTTCAGTCACTCTCCTCAAAGCTTTCACTGTTTGCATCTCTCTCTCTCTCCGTCGGGAAGACGCCTCTGATTTACGAGGCGGAGGGTTTTGGGTTTTGGCTCTGAAGACTGAAGACTGAAGTTATGGCCGACGGCGATTCCTAGCCGGTCAGATCATTCGACACTCGATAATTGCAACTCTAAAACATAGGACCACTAATGGCCCTCGATTGAGCCCATTTGAGGCCCAATAGATCATAAAACGAAATTAAAGAGATTGATATTTGTTTATTATTAACGAAAGCCCATTTAAGATAAGTGATGTTTTTAGACTCAATAATCTTCAGTATTTGAACTCAAACTCCTTTCCTTTGGTCCGATTATTATTCAAAACATGCGTAGGATAGATCATTTGCATTTCAGAAATTAATTCGCTAATTTGATTAAGCTTCTACACTTAAGAAATAACCGTTCGGAAATCCAAAGTTCAGTAGAAGATTATAAAATAAAATAGGCTTATGTAATAAACGTGTAGTGACTGTAATAAAAACAATTAAGCTCTTCCATCTTCAACCCATCCATAGCTTGAGACATTGATCTTTACCACCGGAGACTACTTTCTCACCATCTGGACTCCAGTCCACTGCATAAACCTAACGTGGCACACACGAAACACAGTTATGCGGTTGGCATTTAGGGTTTCAAATACAAAAGAGTCATAAGTAAGTATGTACCGCATCCGCATGACCAGGAAGATCTTGCTTTAACTTTCTCCCTCCAATATCCCATACCTGTGCAAGTGAGATAGGTTTAGAAATCCACAAGAGTAGCTCCAGATTTATGACAAACGAGATTATATTATTACCTTAAGAGTAGAGTCTTTACTAGCACTTAAAAGCATCCTACTGTCCGCGGACCAACTGTGGTTTTGCCAAAAAAACGAATAATATTTAGCAAACTACACTACAAAAGTGGAAACATGGAAGTAGTAGTAATGCTCAAGAAATCTACCAAACCTGATCTGAAAAACAGGTCCAACATGACCGAACAAACTTGTAACAAATTCTCCCGTGATACCATCCCATATCTTGACAGAGTTATCAAACGACGCACTTGCAATCCACTGGCCATTAGGTGAGAAACAGACATGGTTTACAGTCTCACGATGACCGAACAAATGCTTTTTAGGTTGGTCGCTAACAGACTGTTGCCACATAATCAATCTAAAGTCATCAGAACCTGACACTAATCTTTCACCATACTTTCCTTTTGCTTGGTCGTATCTTTTGAGCGCTGCCTATAAGCAAGCAAACAGAAAAAAAAAAGGGTTGGTTAATGGACAAAACTGAAGGAATAAGAGGGAGGGATCTCACTAACCTCTTTAACTTCTTCAGGTTGTTTTCCAGTGTGGTCAAAGGCTCCTGTCCGGAGAACATAGTCCGTGCTCAATGCAAGAGAGTTCACCCAATGTCCATGCCCCTATAGTAACGGAACATGAGGAAACGCATAAGCCATTCAGCTCCTGGCTCGTAACACAGTTTGTATGGAATCAAAAACTTGCTTCTACCTTCAATTGTGCCTTCAAACATAGAGCCCCATCCTGAGTAAAGCCCCACATCTTTACTGTACAATCTTGAGAACTGCCAAACCACAAGATACAAATATTTGAATGGCAAAGCAATAAGTGATCCAGTTTGACATTGATTCCGAGTACAAATCGGATATCAGAAACATACCCTGTATAAATAAACCCCTCTCCTCCCCATTTGACACAAGTCACGCCACGTGTATGTCCACTGAGACAAGCCACAGATCTCTTCAGTGTAATGTCCCATATCCTTGCATCCCCATCTTTGCTACAGGTTACGAACCGACGGCATGGGTAGTTAAGGTGCCCTGGTTCCCACGAGATACTAGTAATCCAGCTCTTGTGCCCCTGGGGACAAGTTTATCGATCAACAAGTTGAGATTCCCACAACATATCAATAAAGACTCTTTACCTTAAGGGGACTGCCATCTAGCACTCCGGTTTCTGGTACCCAACAACAGACTTCACCAGATTTACTACCACTAACAAGGTGCTTACCATCCGGAGACCATGCAACCGCCAAAACCGACATACTGTGACCTGAAAGAGGAATATGAATATACACATATTAGAAAACAGAGCATAACCCAAAAAAAAACTAGAAAGCAAATGGGAGAGGAGTAGGATTATCGAACCTCTGCATGTAAACATTGGGGTCTGAGTGTTGAGATCCCACAGCCGGACAGTAGTATCACCGGATCCACTTGCTAACTGCTTACCGTCAGGACTGAATGAGACACACAGAACAGGGCCCTGATGACCTAATAATATTGTAAGACAAACCAGTCGAAAGGTATATCAAAAGGTAGCTAATCTATGAAACTAGCCAGTAGCTGAAACCGCCGAGAAAGAGCAACGCTTTTGACATACCAGCAATACTAGCAGAAATACGGTTAACCGGGCGAGTTCGGAAAACAGCTTGTTCTCGATACACTATCGTCAGAATCTGCTCCACAGACACTGAATTCACACAATTTCCCAACAGACATCTTATTATTATCATATCATGTTATTAGATACAATCAACTGATATGTTATTGTATTTCAGGGAGTATCTCCTCTTTTCTCTATGTAAGTTCCGACTGACACAAGAAGTTCCTCGCCTGATACATAGAAAGTGTAGGGCAACTTCTCCTCCTGAAAACAAACAATACCAAAATTACATGAAACCTTATCAATTTCGACTCAGAATTTCGGATAGCAAACATGGTCAATCAAAATTTGGCAGCTTATAGCACCTAGTAGGAGCAGCCACACAAAGCATCAATATTTCAAGCAAACAAAAAACAGAAAAAAAAAATCACTCCTAAATCTTTTTAACCAAATAGGCAAGACAGAAAAGTTCTTTACATTGTTGAGAAATCGGTTGGCTAGCTCGGTAAGCTGCAAAGGCCCTGCTTGCTGAGGGATATACATAGGGTTACCTAAAGGAATCCCTTCGGTATCTATGAACCGACACATCACGGTCTTCCCCATCTCCGCCATCTCTGTTTCTATGGTATTTCGGGAATACACTCAATCCTCTTGAGTCTTGACCTTAAAGAGAGAAAATTAGAAAAAGAAAAATGTTGTTTTCTAAACCTTTTGAGGCAAGTGTGGGAAACAAAGAAGTCACGTACCCTAAACCCTAAAACCCTTGCCTCACTTGGCTCTGAAGTTAGAGCATGTCCATCGGTAAAAGATTTAAAAGCCGTATCTAAAAAAAAATATATTAATATTTTAATGAAATTTAAAAGTAGATAAGTTTTAAATTTTTTAAACCACTTGTATGTATACATATGTCATTAGCGTTCTTTAAAATCTCTTTAAAACATATTTAAAATTGTTTAAACAAGATAGGATTATTTCTCTCTCTCCAATTTTTTTTTTTTTTAATAATTTTTTCTTACTTAGATACTGGATAAAAACTCCCGATGGAGGTGACGATTCCTAGCCGTCAGATAATTCGACACTCGAAATGAAACTCTAAAGCGTAGGACCACTAATGGCCCTCGATAATGAGCCCATATGAGGCCCAATAAATCACTAATCTCTCTCGATAATGAGCCCATATGAAGCCCAATAATTTACTAATCTCTCTCGATAATGAACCCATATGAGGCCCAATAAGTCACTAATCTCCCTCGATAATGAGCCCATTTGAGGCCGAATAAGCCACTAATCTCTCTCGATAATGAGGCCGAATAAGCCACTAATCTCTCTCGATAATGAGGCCGAATTAAACCACTAATCTCTCTCGATAATGAGGCCCAATAAGTTACTAATCTCTCACGAATGTGCATTACGGATGATTACAGATGTCTTTCACATTGATTCTCACATGATCTTCAATTGTAAGCCTAGAGAGTACAGAGAGTCTCTAACGTAAATTTCTCCAACAATGACGAAAGTAGAGAGATTGGTATTCGTTAATGTTTTCATCTGTTTTAGATAAATGATTTACCTGAAATTTACCTCCATTAAGTATTTTTCTAAATACACGTACCATCCTAAAAACGTCCCTTGAATCATTACTTGGACTCTTATTTGTATTTGAATTTAAATTTCTACAACTTAACCACTAAACAACCCCCTATCTTTGGCGCGATTAAATATATTGGTGCTCTAAACATTTGTTTGCTTTTGCTTTTCAGAAAATTAATTCGCTAATTCGATTATGCTTACGGGTGACTACTAGCTACAATGTTATTTACTTATTTGGTCAGGCAGCTACAAGATTATAAAATATAAAGTCTTAAATGAAAGTGTGAACGAATCTTTACGACTAGATTTCACATTATGGAAAAAGAAAGAAAGAAACACAGAACACAAACTTCATCAGTTCTTAAGTAACTACCACAAATCCTAAAACCACTTATAAAGATATGACCATAATAATAATAATACCTTAACTCTTTACAGATTTGCTCTCCCAGCGTTTCAACATAGACCCTTCACGAAATGGAATGTCTCCGGCGACGGGACGACGAGCTCGACGACTTTGCCGGCGGACTCTGCGAGCTACCAGACGAAACCTCAGAGCTCTTGTTACTACTCTCAGCTTTCCCTGGCCATATCTTCTCAAAGATCCTCCTTGACCTCGACGGCATCAGCTGGGCTCCACCACCACTCCTCGTGCTCTTGCTTCCTCTGCTTTTCTTGCTCAGCCCCACCTTCTTCGTCGTTTCTTCTTCTTCTTCTCCGACAACGACTTTGTTCTCCTCCGTTTTCTTCACCGGCGGCAGTGGCGAGTGCGACGAAGCTGCAACAGACCCGACGGGGCTGTGATTTGCTGCTCTGAGCTGCTCAAAGTAGAGAACTTGCACCACCACTCGTAACGGAAGTCGCTCGTTCTGTGCTGCGTGCGTCGATGCCTCGCTCGTCAGTTTCCTCACATCCATTAACCCGCAGAGTCTCTTCTTTTCCGATTTCGTTAGTTCCGGATGTTCCTACAAAAACCCAAATTTCAGAAAATTCAGGTTTACAAAATTAAAGCCAAGAATGTCCGAAGATGCTAACTATATATTACCTTCAAGAAAGTGTCAATGGCTTTGTATAGACCGTCGTGAACCGGCCTAGCTGATTCTGGGATAAGCTCAGACAACTCGATGAAGCTAGCGAGTGTAAGATCAGAGCTATGTGCGAGATACGCATCTATCAATCTTCCTACGCTCAACAAGATCCCGTTTCCTAGAACAAACTCCTTGTACCGATCATCTTCCGAGACACGTTTCTCATCCGCCATGAACTGATCAACGATCCGATGAACCAACTCCACTTCATGGATCAGCAGATCCTTGACCGAGGCCTCGTGCAGCTTCAAGCTCACGTTCTCGACCAAATCTTCTTTCACGGCCTCGTCTGCTCCAACCACGATCGAAACTTTAAGGAGCTTCAGCAAGAAGCTGCAAGTAGAGTAGCTCATCGCTCTGTTTACTCTCGGCAGCAAGAAAACAACCGTCTCAACGAGATGTTTGTTTGAAGAAGCTTCTGATGTCAAAGACTCCATAGATTCCGGTAACCACCTTGCAACATAGTACCTAAGAGCTTCCCCAATCACGCCATTGTTCATCCTTCCACTCGATTTCACAGCGCTCATAACACGCTTGAACATATCAATCTCAAGCTCACATACATCTTCGACCCACCAATCTTTTGGAATTACATTCTCTTCTCTCTTCTCCCGATGATAGTCGACAATCTTATCTGGTCCAGATAACTTCCTGTTGTGTGTATAAGACCAAGTGATGGTCTCCGGGTTCACCAAAATCTTAGCTGAAACAGAATCAATGCATCTACCAACAAGCTTCAGATCTTCAGACCATGGAAGAAGAGATTTGGTAGTCTGAAGCACAATGATGGAGTCTTTCCAGCTTCTGAATATGCCCGAGTTGAGGAAAACCTCGATCTTGTATATGAGGTTACCACGATCAACATCTTCAGTCATTTCAAGATACTCAGCTGCACATCGCACAGCTGTTATGTTGTATGCATTTAGCGTCACCGTCATCCCATAGCAAAACTTAGCACAGATCTCAAACGCTTTGTGTCCTCCCGGGATGTCGAATATAGTGATCTCGTCGGTGTTTTCCTCACTCGCCTGAAAGACCAGTCTCTGCATCCGATTGCTCTTCGATAGCAGCGGGAACTGAAAACATAACATTGCAGGGATCAATAAGACATCCTTCATTACAATTGTAACACTTAAGAATCCATCAGTAACTACTTCTGTTGTAAGCATGACAGGAATGTACCTTATGGAGGTAAAATGTAACCTCTCCAACGTTAACAGTAACATCGCTGTCAAGATCCGAAACTGCATGCCTGCAAAAGAAGAAATAGATGGTCAGATGAAGCATCGAGACCAAGAACACAATCAGCTAAAAGGAGAATTCTATAAACTGATTAGTCAAAACTTATTTACAATACATTTTCAGGTATTATGTCACATTAAAAACCATAAGCAAAGGCACATTTCTCATGTTTAAGCCTCAACAACCTAACAAAAGTCAGAATCTTGCATAAAATAAAAATATTTCTTTTTTCTTACAGAACAAAACAAAACAAAGGAAACAAGATTCTTAGCCAAGTTTAGAATATCCAGATGTCAAAAATTGGAAGAGATGTCCCAGATATATTTACAGAAACAAAGCATAAGTAACAAAAGAAAAGAGAGATTCTTCACTTTCTGAATTTGTAGAAAACTCATAATCACCATTCCCTTTTTCTTTCCACTCTCTGCTCTTACAAATCAGGACCACAACACAACACATAAACAAAGACAGATCATCTAATGGATGGCCCACTCCTGAAACTCATATACCCCATTTCGGCTACTTTTTTCTTTGTGGTATTTCCCGCAAAAAAGTTTGATGAGTGAAACCAATCACAATGATGATGATCAAAACTAATCCTGGTTTTCTATCTCTAAAATCAAAACCAGAGTATGTTTTACTGTTCAGCCACAGAGAAAATAAGTTTCACTTTTATCAGGGAAGTCGCTTAATCCGAAGCTGTTCAAAAAAATTAGAAACCGAGAGAATTTGGACGGAAGAGAGGGGACATATGTTACTAAAAATCCTTACAGAACCAGACAGAGGGAAAAACATGTGGAGAAAAAAAATGAATAGAAAACAGAACAGAACAGAACAAAAATCAGACAAAAACATAGAGAACAAACAGTAAGGGTTCTATTTGACCAATCAATTTAAAAATAAGAGAAGAAGAAAAAAAACTAAAAAATTTCCTTACTTGTGGAATTTGCCATCAGATTCAAATGTATCAGGTTTAGACCCTAACTTCATGAACTTCATATTTCTTCGTCTTCTTTACAAAACAAAACACGAGTTTGTTTGACTCTGAAGCAGCTTAATACTAACAAAAAGCTCTCAAAGCCTTGCTCTCTCTTTGTAAGCAGATCAAATCAAAACAGAACACCAGAAGAATAGAGAAAAGGCAAAAAAAGTTGGTTCTTTTAAGTTGAGCTCTGTTGTTGTAAGAGGGAGAGACCATTAATGGGAATGGATGTTTGAAGAGAGACAAGAGAAACCAAACCCATGTTTTGCCTCACTATCCTTTTGCAAGAACCCAACTCCTCGGACTACGCGATTTTTTTTTTATTTTCTCCCACCTCAACTAACCATTACAAACGCACATTTATTGTCTCTCTGTGAGAACAAAGGAACCATAAAGTTCAAAGCTAATTTCCTTTTTTTATTTTATTTTTCTTTTCTCAACTTTCCAGGAAAATAAAAAGCCTCAGAAAGATAATCCCATCATCATAATCACACACACAGAAAAGCAAAACCTAAATTGCGTAAGAGAGAGATAGAGAGAGAGGAAAGGGCTTTGTGTAGCGAGTAAAAGAGAGAGAGAGAGAGAGGGGAATTAAAGGAGGAAGAAGAGAGAGATGAAATCAAGTCGCCGCCAATGCTTTTAATGGGACTGATCCGCTGGAGATCTTCTCGTTCCCTCTCTTCTATTCTTCTTCTTCTTCTTCTTCTTCTTCTCTCTCTATGGCTCAATTCTCAATAAAAGTTTTAGTATTTTATTAGTAGTAATGAATATAGATCTCTCTTTCTTCACTTTGAGCTCGGGAAGGGATGAGGAATGATGATGATTTATTTTCGGTCTGACGAAGTTGTCTCTCCTACAATCCTACTCGGAGAAAGTAATTTTATAAAAAAGAATGGCGAAATTGAAAAGAACAAGAGAAAAGGGAAAAAGAGAGTGGGAATCTAGCTGCAAATATTCTAAATTAGCCAGCTAAGTTTGTTTGAATGTTTGATTAACAACTGGTTTATCATTTTTCCCATTGTTTAATCACTTTCAATTTTTATCATTTCTTACGTCTTTTAAAGTTTATGCGCGTTTAGACAACGAATAGAGAGGTTTGTGTGTGTATGTGTATTTAATTTTTTTTTTTTCATGTGTATTTAATTACCAGTCCTCCAAACGAACTCGTGGAATTTATCATCATCCTACACAATAAACTAATAGAGTAATGGTACATCAATATATATATAAAAAAAAAGTGTTCTTTTTTTGCTGGTTGAAAAGTGAAAATTATGAGATTTTAAGAAATGTGGCAAAAAAAAGTGATGCTTTTACAAGATTTTCTTATTTTTTAATTTGAATTACAAAATAATTATCGGATGATAATCCTCTTTTTTTTTTAAATAATCTCTCGCAACCTTCCTCTCTTTGACTCGTACGTACCCATTCTCTCTTTTGCTTCTTCCCGACGCGCGCGAGTCGTACTCTCCGCTTCTCTTACATCATCGAATCATAAATAGACACGTGTTACTTGTGTCCCCTAATTTTCCTTCTTTTTTAGTTGGTGCGCGGGACCGAGACGGCGTGTAATCGACGCGCCATACACACTGGTCAGTCCGACCCAACGGAACCGAACCCTCTTGCCGAGAGAGAGACACTTTGACTTTTGTATTTCCGTTATTCTAGATGCTCACGAAGCCGGTCAGGTCAGACTTTCATTTCCTACCATTATTTGACTTTCCATGCAAAAAGCTTTCTAATACACAAATATTTCTTTTTACACTCAAAAATTCGTTATAAATTTGACTCCTTCTAGATCTGAGACTATAAGAGAGTGTATCCAAAGAGTCAATAATTGTAGCTACATTTAAGAATCAGTTAGTAGAGCCTTAGAAGTGTGATTGCTAAAGAAAACAGACGGAATTAAGTCGGCTCGCTCGACAAACCAATAATTAATAAAATACAAATTATTCCAGATCTAGGCAAAAACCTGATCCTGGCCAACTTTGCTCATCTAACTTCTCAATGGCCGGATTGATTTGAAGAGATAATGGATAATTGGTGTACACGTTTTTTCTTTATATATATATACATTGCACTTCACTTCTTTATCAGATAGACGATTAAAAAATCTTGTAATGATTTATTATTTAGATAAGAATATACATTTATATGTCTATCTTTTAAACGTCTAAGTGATGTTTTCTTTCACGCAGCTTTTCAATTGTAGTCGTATCGTTACATTAAAAATGAAATAGTTATATGCAATATACGGCGCTTCTTCCTTTTTTTAACTGCAAATTTAGTTTTAACTTACTTATTTTCACCATAATTATGTATAGTGTGAATGAGATGACTCTCCTGATTACTATATTAGTCTTGCTTTTTAAAGCAAATTTCTTAATCTTGTCTGAAAGGAAGCTTCATGTAAAGTTAATCCTTTAGATGTCACTACTTGTTTTTCTATTCATATTTTTCATACCCATGAATACATCGTGCCTCTTAATTAAAATCCCAAATATAAATAATCAAACATAGTTTTCACATTTTGGAAACATTATATTTGATTGTCCAAACATATGTAGTCATAATAGTTACTACTAGTTATTATCGACCATACGGTCGGAATAATGTAAACAGTATATATGTGTGATTGTCGATACATATAGTTATTAATTATAAATCATGTTAATTATAATTCCATTTTGATTTATGCAAACTGACAAATCAACAAAACATTTGTGTTAATTTTTATGTTTTGTTTTTCCTCTTAAGAGATGGTAAAGTGATCTGTTACTTGTGGTGCCAATTTTCTCAAGACAATAACAAGAATGGCATAGTCAAGATCTAAATTGGACCCGTTTTGGTTTAAAAGGTATTAATGTTTTTGGCCATTTTATTGGAGTATGTAATTTGGTGGGGTCTGCATGTCAATTTTCTTTACGTGCCGTAGCTGTTTCCACGTGATTAATAGCTCAATTATATACTACTATATATGAACGTAAAACACGTATCGTAACAGTCGCGACGTAGTTATGGAGATGTATATATATGGTCCCAAAGCTAAGTAGACTAAGTAGTAAATGAAGGTTGACATGCAGGGCTTGCTCGATCTAGCTAGTGGCTTAGTTATATATCAATGTTGATTAAATGTCTGCATCTTCGCTAAAAGGACAAGCACATATATTTGACTTATCCTTTTATTTGATGCCGGTCATGCATGTAACGCTTTATATACTGTATTCTGTATATGCTCCGTTATCTCCGTTCGTTTTAAAAAGTCTTCGAGTTGGATAATGTAAGAATATATATTTCTGAGCAAAGATCAACTAACGAATATTTTTGTTTTGTTTCACTATTCGTCATGTTACCTATCTTATTCCGAAATCTGAAATATCCAACTCTATATAAATATGATTCGGAAGAATTAATGTTAGTCTCGAGTCAAAATCTTGAATGTAATATATCCCCTAAATACAAAAATACTTTAATGCACATGACCCTGGCCACCCTAACACCAAAAATATTCGATTTAATATACAAAACAATAAACAAAGAAACATCCGAAACAATGCTATACATATATCTAGACATGAAAACGAATTATAACCCCTTTTTTGGTCCAGGCCAAACACCAAAATATACCGGGGGTACCCGGTTAGGGTTGATAACTAGAAGATTTATAAAATTAGAATGTGAGGTCTAGGCTCTGGCGCGCTGGTTCGACATGTATTTAACGGCTATAAAATTTATCCTTTTTTTGTTAAAACTTTAATATCGTTGAAGTTACACACACACACACAAAAAAAAAAAACTTTAAAATCTTTGATTTGGAAAAGTTACAGCTGTAAAGGTTTTGTGTTTTAGATTGAGTTAACCCTTGAAACCCTGATTGGATGAAAAATACGTACATTTGAAAGGATTCAGTAGACTCTATAAACTTTGCAAAGCCCGTATGGCCATATCAAACATACCCCAATTTTGTTTCAAACATAGAGCATAATATGTAAGTAAATGCTCCAAAATATGAAACTTTAATTATTTTCTTAACTTATAACGACAGTTGTTGTTGATCAAGCCATATTTTTACCAAAAACTTCCGGTTTTTTATTCAGCCAATATAGTTTAAACCCTATCTTTGAATCTAGAACCACATGAAATTAATTACTCCTCCCGCTACAAGAGTCATCCTCTGTCTGGTCGATGTTAGCGTCTTAATTAGCGGTGGATCTTATCAGATTTATATGCGTGGTTTGGTTATACAGGGTTCAGCAATTGCTAAGAACTCGTAACTCCGTAAGATTCAAATTTTCGTATATATGGATGATTATCGCAAAAGAAATTAGCGTCCACGTCATCCACGTAGCCAAAAGAGTTGCACGTACGGACGTTATCATATGGGGTCTAAGAGGTACATTATTAGAAGTGTAATTAAACATACTTCCTAAATGGATGAAATAATAATATATAGATGCATAGGTGAGACGTTGAAAGCACAGAAGGAAAAGCAGTGGCATGTGGTTTATGAGAAAAGACTAGACGTAGCCTCCATTATTATCGTTGCATTATATTTATACAGTATCCTACCTCTTTTACATTACATACACTGCATCCATATTCAATGCACTCCCCCATATTATTATTATCCTTTCAGTTCCTATGGGATTTTATTTTCTTAGCAAACTTCTCTTATATCGAGCTTTGTATAAAAACGGCAAGATATGAACAGAGATACACTCAAGAGTAGTGGGTTTGAACCTCGTGTTTATGGGTTGTGTGGGTGAGTGGAAAATCCTTTATTACTAAATCAGAAATTTTTGATTATTTTTTCGACGTTGATTATATACCTGGTTTCATTGGTATTAGGGTTATAACACAACCTTCCTATGTCTTCATACATGCTTAGTTCTATCACATATGATCACATCCCTTGAGGTTTGAATCAGTGATGTGCAAATCAATGCTGATTATACTAATGAACAACAACAACGACGGAATCGTGGAAAATAACAAATATATCAAATAAAACAAGATTTTTTTCAAGTAAACAATATATACGACTAGAAGGCTGGAAAATGAGAGAACTCGATAAGTAAAATGCAGTACTATCAAATGAATATTGGAACAGTAAACAGTGAAGTGATAGAAGATAGAGTTTGATCGATCAAGTTTATCTAAGATTACCGCGGGGTGCTTAAAATGTGGTTTACTAGGTGAGTGTGGTACACGCGAATGTATGTAAAAAAAAAAAAAAAAAAATCTCAAAAATGTAAGAACATTACAACTAAATAAATGTCATAAAAATAAGAATCGTGGAAATGATATATACAAATCTGAAATTCCACAAAAAAATGAGTGATTGATATAATTTGTTTTGCAAACTCTTATAATCATTTGATAGTTCCGTTGTTTCGCATGTGATCATTGATAATCAACAATCAAATATTTATCAACATATTTATATTGTTCACCATAAGAACGATAAAACGATAAATCTTTCGATTTCTATATAAATGATCGATGTGGACTGATTCGTATGAAAAGATTGAACAACATTACACGATATACTTGATCGATAATTCCTCTGAACGACTTGATATTGTAGTAATTAAGAATCAAAAGACATTGACATCTCCATATTCGGAGCATGATGTTATCTATATTGTTTTGTTTACAATAAAATTGACGTATCAACTTACAATTTATTGGCTATAATCCAGTTAAATCGACAATACAATAGATTCTAAAAATTGATAGTTCAAATTTAATACTTATGCGGGAGTTTATGTCGGCGTATGCAATGATATAATCCGCATAACATTTTTTTTGATAAAATAATACATAATATTCATATCCAAAATACTGCAATATTGCTATGCGTTTTTGCGTTATAATAAATATAAATTGTCATGGCGTATATATACACAAACAAATATTACTCTTGCTAAATGGTTTTAAACGATTTTCGGGGTTTGAGAAACCTCACGTTCAATTGTACCGTTAAGAATATATTCATAAAAGCAAATCCAAACGTTGAGATTATACGCGAAACGACTAATAGTAAAGGTTTACTGTTGACAAATACTAATAATAAAAAGTTAATTCAAGACAGGCGTGAGCATAAGGCATCATAAACAAATGATGGTGAACACTGACTATGGGGTCCAAACCTTCATAATTGCAACCTTGTGCTTCTTTCTCTTCCTTTTTTTCTCCCTTTTTCATAAATTTGTTTATAGTTTCCTCTGATTTTACCTCTTTTCCCCCTCGTTTCAGTAATCTAATTTTTTTTCCGTTGACAAGTTTCCCCACTTTATTTTCTGTGTGTAACTTAGTTGAGTTATTTAGGAAAGTAGTAGTCCTTAGAATAACTTTGGTCGGTGAAAAATAAAAGATAGTAACTTTGGTCGTTTTCTTCTTGAATATCGTAAACTACCAAAAAAAAAAAATGAAGAAGACTCCAAGAAAATGGACTATAGACTAATTTGGATGTTTTGTAATAATGGTGTGAGTTTAGTAATAGTCGTCGGTCCTATTATCCAAAAAAACATAAAAAATTGAAAATCCGTGTATTGTAATGACGTTACATGCTAAACATACGCGAATCTCATTTAAATCATTGCATTCCATCTTTCTTCTTATAGCAAAAAGGATATTGAATTTTTTTATCGATTACAGAACATCAATAGTTTAGTCATAAGTTAATTATAGCATGAATGATAATATTCTTTTTTGCTCAGAAGAAAATCCAATGTAGATCTCTATACAAAGAAGTAGAATTACTTAATTTGCTGCAAAGTTAAAAACTTAATGTACCTGAACCTATTACACAATGGCCAACTTAATTTAACGACGAAATTGTTGATTAACAAATAAAATGTGTGCAGTTGGTGAAGAGAAAGAAGAGATTGTCGTCCAGGTTTTATGCTCATAAAAGCAACACATGAGTGTTTCTACCTAACAGCCTATTTATATACACTTACTTTTGGGCCATTAAGTGGATTCACCTAATTTTCACATTTTCTAACGTTGAGATCTTAATTTATGCTAATCCCCATTTTCTTTTTCTTTTTTAAGAAACATGCGAATCACCACCAATTATCGTATTGATTCAACATGCCATAATTTTGTAGTTGACTAATATAATCACAATATAAGTGATTTGTTAATTTTGTTTATCGCAACAAGTTGTTTGAAACTATATTAAAAAGTTAATTACTAGGTTGAGTACTACTTTATCTTTTTATTTGGTACATAGATTAAAAAATATAGTTTTTACCTACAATAATTATGTGAGAGTAAGTAAGAGATGATGCCCACATAACTTAAAAAGCCGATTCAGAAGATAATTGTTTCTTCATCAATAAAATACAAGTGAACACAAAATTTTGAAATATTTTCAAACTATACATGTATTCACTTTTTTAGAGTTTTTAAATTTGAGGCCAAACTAAATCAACACCAAACTGAATAATTCATTTATAACAACTGGATTCGTCTTTTTTTTTTTTTTTTTTTTACAGGAGTAGGAAAAATAAAAACCCAACCAAAGATCGAAAAACCAGAATGGAAAATCCCTGAAAGTCATTCATAATGTTGCTTTACACATGTCCAAGTATAAGGCCCAAGATATTAATACGCAACTCATGCCCACAAACACGAGCCTAGTTTAAAACTGTCTTCGGTTATGTGAATTATGTGAATAAGGATCACATTTTAACATCAGAAGTCTTAGTCTAAATCCACGCAGAGAGTTTAAACGACCACAATTAAAAAGAAAAAACTAAATAATTGTCTTCCTAAATCAGAAACTAGTCTTTCACGTTACTTTTAAAACAAGTACAAATCGTAAATCATGTCTTCTCTCACTAGACTTGAGTTAGCACTGTCATAATAACTCACTAGAATAATAGCCAACACAATTTCTGTTCTATCTCTCTCGTTTTATTTCTGTTGGCTCAAGCAGCTGATAGACTCCTTTCGTTGAACTCGTCATGTTATTACATTACAAGAAAATAAAGAGTGTTCCGTCAAGAACGTTGAGCAGAAGCAAATACAAAAAAAAAAAAACAGAAACTTTTTCTTTCTTTTTATTTGGGGTTTTATTTTCTTGGATGTGTATCTTCCGGTTTAGCCGTCCCTGTGGCCGCCTTAGCTACATCAGTGGCACTGGCCTCCGGTTTCTTCTTAGCATACATAACAGCGTACATGACTGCACCGGAGATAGCTAATCCGGCGATACCCATGGTGGTGTAGCTGTATGGCAAGTTACGGCGTTGATGGAGAACACCGCCAGGATTATTCCCGGGAGGCCTCTTAGATGCATCAACCCCGGCGGCTTTCACTCCCTCCGGACTCATTTTCGTGGTATCCGCCGTTTTCCTCCAGTCATTTTCTCCAGCCATTTGTGTCCTCTCTTCAATTTCTACTTAAATTTCACTTAGGGATATGCTAACCAAAAAGGAAACCGCTGTGTTTAGCTATGAGAGCTTTGGAGATAGTACGTGACTAAGAGTCATCAAGACACGTAGTGTCTTTGAGTTTGATAATGTGTCTCAATAAAGGACACCTAGCTGATTCTGTTTGTTTATCTGTAATAAACATATTAGGCACAGCCGCACAGGTGTCATGCGTTAGAATTGTACTATTAGCCAAGAGCCAGTTTGGTTTTCTTTTTCTTTCTTTCTTATTTAATATTGAAGAAACCAAATTAAATTGGAGGAGACGTGATTTTTAAATTACAGTTTCAAGTTAGGTTAACAAATTTGATGACTTGAATATCACGGTTTACAAAAATAATTTTATGGAAGGTTTTTTTTTTTTTTAATTTTTTTATCTTGTGCTTCTTCTTATGGGCTTTTGGGCCATATGTATTTCATCCTTTCTCAGCTTCTAGGCCCAACGTTATGGAAGCCCATAGTTTTCCACTAGCAAACAAAAGAATGAGTGCAAAACAGAAACAGCTAGCTTGACCAGTCTCCCTAGAAGACCGTGAAATCACTTTCTTAACAGGTTTTGTCTCTTCCCTAGCCGTTACGTTTACCTTTATTATCTTCTCAACGGCTACATCAACATTTTACATTTTTCCTTTAATTTTCTTTGTCCGAAACTTTAACGGCTAGTTTTAAAATCTCTCTAGCTCTATAAAAGCTACACAAAGATCCTTCCTCACCCATTCAAACACACACACACACACAGTACATTTGAGGTGTTATATTCAGTACAAAAGTAGTTTAATTTTGTTACCAATGGCTTCTTCTTCTCTTCCAATCACCATCTTCCTCTGCATCTCTTTCTTCTTCTACTTGTCCTCTGTTGATGCGAACGAGGTTACCGTCGGCGGACATTCCGGTGATTGGAAGATCCCTCCTTCCTCCTCTTACTCTTTCAACGAGTGGGCTCAAAAAGCTCGCTTCAAAGTCGGCGACTTTCTAGGTATATCTTCAATTTCTTTTCACTTTCTCTAATCCTTAAAAAAAACACAAACCCATTTCCGTCACATTCGAGTGTATTGTTCTCAATCAGACATTTTTTTGTGTAATCTTCGATATACTCTGTTTTCTGACATTGTCACATGTTTATTTCAGTTTTCAGGTACGAAGCCGGTAAAGACTCGGTACTGCAAGTGACAAGAGAGGCTTACGAGAAATGTAACACCACGAGCCCGAAAGCCAGCTACACGGACGGGAACACCAAGGTGAAGCTAGAAAAAGCCGGTCCGGTCTACTTCATCAGTGGAACAGAGGGTCACTGTCAAAAGGGTCAGAAGCTACGCCTAGTCGTCATCACTCCTCGTAGCTCTGCTTTCTCCCCTGCTCCTTCGCCATCCGACGGTCCCGCCGTAGCTCCTACTAGTGGTGCTGCTAAGCTCTCCGGCGTATTCGGCGTCGTTGGCCTTGTTCTTGGATTCTGGGCCTTCTTCTGAGCGAAGCTTTTTATTATTATTTTTTAAACTTCATCCTGAATTCTATTCTATTTATTAATTTTCAAACATGAAGCAGAAATCTTTCTTCTCTCGTTGTTACTAATTTAGTTTCATGAGATTAAGTAGTTTTATTTATTTAATCGAAATACTCCTTGCACTTATTTATGGACAAATTGCTGGATCTATCAACAGTTTAACGACAAAGAGAAAAAAAATAACAAAGACTTTTGACAATAACAAAAAAATAACAACACGAATTGCAAAACAAAGAAACACCTCTTAATTTTAATAATTCAAGGTAATGAAAACGGGCTATATCGTTTAAGGCCTATACAAATGGGCCACTATTGGGTCTCAAGATATTTTGGGAGGGAAGAAAAAAACGGCGAGGAGAGCTAGTGGAGCGAGCGAGTCACTAAGATTTTATCCTCTCGGCCAATTTTATCCTTTTTTATTCACTTTTAATTTTGCTTCCAAAGTTTTATCATCGGAAAATCTCCGGTTCACCGAAATCAGCTCGAGTGGTTTAACGGAGACGTATCCAAATCTTCATGACCATTCAGTATGTGTATGTCATCGTGTTTTGTTAGTCACAGCTTCGCCGCTTGAAATGTGATGAACCATCATTAATCTCTGTTTCGCTTCAATTTTTTTTTTTTTTCCTGGGAATTGCTTTTTGCTTGGCTTGTTTTTGAAAATGGCAGCATTACTCTGCTCGACGAGTCTGTGCGGTGATGTTACGGTCAGTGATGCTTTTCCGGTTAGTAATCTCAAAGGAAAACGCCGTAATTTGGTTACTGGCGGATTAAAGTTCCACGCTTTGAAGGTTGGGTCTGTGTCAAATCGGAGGAAACAATGGAGAAAGACCATGAGATGTACCGTAGTCTCCATGAAAAGTTCTGATTTTTCGGTTTCTATGATAAACAAGTCACTGAATTCTAATTCGTCATCGGGTGAAGTCACGAAGGTTTTGATGTCGCTTCCTGATACCGATTCTGCGTTTTCGTATTTCAAATCAGTGGCTGAGAATTCGAATGTAGTTCACACCACTGAGACTTGTAACCACATGCTTGAAGCTCTGAGGGTTGATGGTAAAATTGAGGAAATGGCTTATGTGTTTGATTTGATGCAGAAAAGGATCATAAAGAGGGATGCTAATACTTTCTTGACTATATTCAAGTGTCTTTCTGTTAAGGGTGGATTGCGTCAAGCACCTTATGCACTTGGGAAGATGAGAGAGTGTGGTTTTCAGTTGAATGCGTATTCATACAATGGATTGATCCATCTTCTGCTTAAGTCTAGGTTCTGCACAGAGGCTATGGAGGTTTATAGAAGAATGATCTTGGAAGGCTTTAGGCCTAGCTTGCAGACTTACTCTTCGCTTATGGTGGGATTGGGGAAAAGAAGGGACATTGAAGCTGTGATGGCTTTGCTTAAAGAGATGGAGACTTTGGGGTTGAAGCCGAATGTCTACACGTTTACGATATGTATTCGGGTGCTTGGTAGGGCGGGAAAGATCAATGAAGCATATGGGATACTGAAGCGAATGGATGATGAAGGATGTGGACCTGACGTGGTTACTTACACTGTTCTTATTGATGCTCTTTGCACTGCTAGGAAGCTCGATTGTGCTAAGGAGGTCTTCGCGAAGATGAAGACAGGGAGACACAAACCGGATCGTGTAACTTACATTACTCTGCTGGATAGGTTCAGTGATAACAGAGATTTAGATTCGGTGAGGCAGTTTTGGAGTGAGATGGAGAAGGATGGTCATGTACCTGACGTTGTAACCTTTACCATTCTCGTGGACGCTCTGTGTAAAGCTGGGAATTTTGGTGAAGCGTTTGATACATTGGATGTGATGAGGGAGCAAGGCGTCTCACCGAACCTACATACATACAACACGTTGATTTGCGGTCTCCTAAGAGTTCACAGGTTGGATGATGCACTTGAACTTTTTGATAATATGGAGTCTTTGGGGGTTAAGCCTACTGCCTATACGTACATCGTTTTTATTGATTATTATGGAAAGTCTGGAGATTCAGTCAGTGCACTTGAGACCTTTGAGAAGATGAAAACCAAAGGAATAGCTCCAAACATTGTAGCATGTAATGCGTCTCTCTACAGTCTAGCTAAAGCGGGGAGGGACCGAGAAGCGAAACAAATCTTTTACGGTTTGAAAGACATAGGGCTAGCTCCTGATTCAGTAACCTATAACATGATGATGAAGTGCTATAGTAAGGTTGGGGAAATAGACGAAGCCATCAAGCTGCTTTCTGAGATGGTGGAGAACGATTGTGAACCTGATGTGATCGTTGTTAATTCTTTGATCAATACGCTTTTCAAAGCTGATAGAGTTGATGAGGCGTGGAAGATGTTTATGAGAATGAAGGAAATGAAGCTCAAGCCTACAGTCGTCACTTACAACACATTGCTCGCAGGTTTAGGCAAAAAAGGAAAAATCCAGGAGGCGGTTGAGTTGTTCGAGGGGATGGTGAAGAAAGGTTGTCCACCTAACACAGTAACTTTCAACACTCTCTTTGATTGTCTTTGCAAAAACGACGAGGTGATTCTAGCCTTGAAGATGCTGTTCAAGATGATGGACATGGGTTGTGTACCAGACGTTTTTACTTACAATACCATTATCTATGGTCTGATGAAGAATGGTCAAGTCAAAGAGGCGATGTCTTTCTTCCACCAGATGAAGAAACTGGTCTACCCTGATTTTGTTACCCTCTGCACTCTTCTTCCAGGTGTTGTCAAGGCCGGTTTAATCGAAGATGCTTACAAAATCATCGCAAACTTTCTTCACAACTGTGCGGACCAACCGGCAAATCTTTTCTGGGAAGACTTGATGGGATCTGTTCTGGCTGAAGCTGGAATAGACAATGCCGTTTCATTTTCTGAGAGATTGGTCACTAATGGGATTTGCCAAGATGGTGAATCGATCCTGGTGCCAGTAATCAGATATTCTTTCAAACATGGTAATCCCTCGGGTGCTCGAACTTTGTTTGAGAAATTTACAAAAGATCTTGGTGTCCCACCGAAACTGCCTACCTATAATCTGCTGATCGGTGGGCTTCTTGAAGCTGATATGATTGAAACAGCACAGGAGTTGTTCCTAGAGATGAAGATCACTGGTTGCAACCCAGATGTTTCTACTTACAACTTCTTGCTTGACGCATATGGAAAATCAGGAAAAATCGACGAACTCTTTGACCTGTACAAAGAGATGTCTTTCCATGAGTGCAAACCAAACACGATAACTCACAACGTTGTCATGTCCGGGCTCGTGAAGGCGGGTTATGTGGACGAGGCTCTTGATTTATACTATGACCTTATCAGTGATGGTGACTTCTCACCAACCGCTTGCACATATGGTCCCCTTATCGACGGTCTCTCTAAGTCGGGAAGATTATACGAAGCAAAGGAACTCTTTGAAGGAATGTTGGACTATGGCTGCAGGCCAAACTGTGCTATCTACAACATTCTCATTAACGGGTTTGGGAAAGCGGGTAAGGCTGATGCAGCGTGCAAGTTGTTCAAAAGAATGGTTAAAGAAGGAGTAAGACCAGATCTCAAAACTTACTCGGTTCTTGTGGATTGTCTTTGTATGGCCGGAAGAGTGGATGAAGGCTTGCATTACTTCAGGGAGCTGAAGGAATCCGGCCTTAGTCCTGATGTAGTGTGTTACAATCTCATAATCAATGGACTCGGGAAATCTCAGAGACTTGAAGATGCTCTTCAGCTTTACAATGAGATGAAGAACAGCAGAGTAATCTCCCCTGATCTATACACTTACAACTCCTTGATACTAAACCTGGGTATCGCAGGAATGGTGGAAGAAGCTGGGAAGATTTACGATGAGATACAAAGAGCGGGTCTTGAGCCAAACGTTTTTACATTTAACGCACTGATCCGTGGATACAGTTTGTCTGGAAAACCGGAGCACGCGTACGCTGTGTACCAGACAATGGTGACAGGAGGTTTCAGCCCCAACACAGGGACATACGAGCAGCTCCCCAATAGAGCTTGACTTTTTACACAGCTAATACAATTAGAGCTATACACTTAAGTGAAAGCATCTGCTGAACAGTTTGTGTCATGTAAAGTGTACAAAACATAACGTTGTTTAAATGTCATATTGTTTTGTTTGTTGTTTACAATGATAATATGTCAAAATCATTCCTACTGCATTATTAGAGCTCGTGGGACTAAAGTCTTGACGCAGAGAAACTGGAATACAGAAATCTCCAGATACGTCACATTTGTGATATTAATAAGTCTTTCAAAAGAATTTACAATGTGAACCAAAAGACTGATGCCATCTTCCGTGACTCTGAGGGTGGGGCTAGTTTGACGAACTCGGCTCATCGTGGCTCGCTTCAGGTTGGCTAGGTTCTGGTTTCGGTTCGGTATCTGATGGAGTAGGTTCCGTGGACTGAAGAGGCTTTTTGAATTGAACCAAGATCATGGTCATGTTATCACAGCCTTCACCACCTGCGGTGTTTGGAGCCAAACATCTATCGAGAACTTTTTCACATACCACCGAGAGTTTGGTTTCCTGAACGTTCCCAATCAAAAGAGAGAAACTATAGAATCCAGAAGAGGAAAGACATGAAAGAAATACTGTAATACAAAAACGAAGACAAATCAAATTGGCTTACCGAATTCATCTGTTCATGTATAAAATCAACGAGTTGTTGGCTTGTCATGCAATCCCTGCAGATATGAGATGAACCAAGACAGGTGTATTAATATCACTACCAAGAAATGAACTTGTGTGGAGAACAAGATCAACAAAAACTTTTTCAATTTGATCTTACCAAATTCCATCGCAGGCAAGAACAAGGAAATCATCATCATCACAGAGTTCAACCTGAACGATAAAAACTTAAAATTGTTATAGAAGCTGTTTCAGGAGAGACAGAGAGAGAACCGTCACTAGACCCACTTACAGTGTTTATATCTGGACTGGCCGTAACGATTTGCTTTTCAGTTGGCAAAAATTTATTCTGCTTAAATTCCATGTCACCTGTAAAGAGAACAAAGAGTAGCTCCAATCAGAGATTGCATGTAAACAAGTTGCACTGTGTGAAGAAGAATGGTTACCTATTGCTCTTGCTAGATTCAAGCTTCCATTAACACGACCAGCGTGAATAAAGCCACCAGCTTTCAGTATCCTTTCTTTCTCAGCTTCAAGATCTGGTTTGTGATCTCTAGAAAGATTGTAAGCCTGTAGACACACACACACACACACACACTAAAAAATCAAAGACGCCAAAAAGTCTTGATCAAAACATTTCAAAATGCCCAACAAAACGGTGTTTTACCTGACCCTTTCTGGATATGACACAACGTGAGTCACCAGCATTGGCAACAACTAGCTGCTTGTGTCTAATAACAGCCACACAAGCTGTGCTCCCAGAATTTGGTCCAGGAAAATCAGAATGAGGACCCTGTTTTGTCAACAAATTCACAAAATCTTACTTTTGCTTAGTGATGATATTCCAAGTGAGACTGAAAAATAACAGAGCAGTCTGAAGCTAGGGGATATTTACTTCCTCAAAAGCCCAAGCATCAGGTTTGTTAGCGCTATCCCCACTTCTTGGTGACCAGATGAACCCTTCAATCATTCCACTGAACTTATTGATCTTGTCACCGAGTACTGATAATTCTCTCCATCCTCTCTGTCCTTGCATCATCTCATCCATTCTACAATAACCACAGCAGCAAGAGCAAAACACTTGATGACCAACTTCAAACAAAACAAGACTCTTGTAATCCTAAAGCTATAAAGAGTCAGAAACGTTTTAGAAATGTCACCTGAAAAACGCTTTTTGAAGAGAAGTCCCTACGTCTCCAGCTGCGTACGCTTCATTGCTAAGAACCTGCTGGTGAAGATACTTGGCGCAGAACTTTGAAACAACTTTACCTACAACACTAGCCAAAACCATTTGAGATTCCATGTACAAAAAAGGAAGCTTTTACAATAACAAACCATAAAAAAAAAAACGATATCAATCTTCTTTACCTCCATGGCCATCATAGACACCCAAGAAGGAAGTGTTATCATCCAGATTAAGAATCGCAGCATGCTACCAAAGTTAAATTGAATTAGTAAATAACAAAACAAAAATCTACAAAAGAATAAAAAGGCTTCAACTTTTGATTTTTTCACTCACAGCATCTTCCATGGAGGCACGCCAACCTTGCATAGAGGATAAACCATATCTAAGTTTATCATTCTCTCCATCTTCTGAAAACTTATCTGTTTTCGGAGAACTAAGGTATATACCCATCTCTTTCTGCAAAAATCAAAATTGGAACATTTCTGATTTCTTCATGGTACATGAAACGATTCTCGTTCGATAATAAAATCCAAGAGACGAAAATTTGAGAAATTTGAAGAGGATTCGCAATGAACGTCACCTGAAAATCAGCTCAGGGACCTGTTGTGATCTTAATCTTTATGAGCTATTTACAGAAATCAATCTACAAAACCGAAAACACAGAGGTTCGAATCGATTAGAGCTAAACACTAGCATTAACAGAGCCAGATTTGGATATCAGCAATTCAATGGATCAAAACAAGTACGTGATGAAGAAGTTGTGCGAGAAGCTTGGTTTCTCACAATGGCGGGAGAGAAAATCGATCGGAATGAATAGAGGGAGCAGCAAGATGAAACTTTTGATGACGGACGGCGATGATTTGTTTCTTGGGATCAAACTGTACTCCGAGAAAATGAGAAAAAGTCTTTTTAAGTTTTGTTTTCCTGAAAAGCGACGAAAGTTCCTCAGTTTGTTTTCTTCCCCTTACTCGCCACCACAACACACTCCACGAGTATTTTTTACTTCACGCTTATACAAATTAATTTTGTATTAGTATTGTTTAAGAATTAGGAAGAACATGAAAAATATGTGTGACAGTTAATAACATTCTCAACACTTAATTAAAAGTTTAGAAACTAGAATATGACAAAGTGTTATATTTTGCCGGAATTATTTATATAATAGTGAGAAATAACTAGAAATAATAGAAAAGGTTTTATGAACAAAATTTCTATAATAATTTGTATTAGTAATTGCTGTTGTATCATTCATTCAGATTTAGGGAGAATATGCATGCTATTTTTCTAATTAATTGAGCTTCACATCATGGTTATGTTTGAAGAGACTACATATTAGGAGTAAAAATTATTTCTGCGTAATCTGAAGTAATCAACAAACAAACAATTACGTTGCATGTTAAACTTAATCTGGTTATCATGGTTAGGTTTCAAAGAGACTACACATTAGTACTAGCATTATTTCTGCCTAATCTGGATTCTGGAGACTGATCAACAAAATGATATACCTTTGACTAGTCTTCATCAAATCCATAGCTTTTGCACCGCTCGGCTTTTCCATTTTATATGTTTATATATTTTATTTCTTGTCGAAAGTCGAAAATGTGACTATGATATCGACCACGTGTTTTTATCAGGGCCGCAATTTCTTAACAATTTCAATGGCCAATATTTGTGTTTGCAGTAATGAATTTTAAAATATATTTTCCTTTTAACAAAAAATTAAAATTAAAATCTCATTTGAAGCATCATACAAATTATGCTGCTACGCGTTTAGTTTAGTATTACTTTGAACGTGTAATACTAAACTTTAATATAAAGTGAAAACTCTGTTCTAGTACATTGTGGTTCTACTTCTACAATGGCTTCCTCTTACGCACCATTCTCTGCGGTCTTCAGTGGTTTCGCTGCAACCAAACCCAACCCATCTCCAAATTCCTCTATTTTCCTCGTCCCTTCATTGAGAACATTAAATCCGAGAGAAAAAGTTTCCCTTAAATCTTCGAGTAACCATGGGTTTCATTTCAACTCTAGAAATCTCAGTGTTTATGCAAGAGCTGCTTCAGAGAAAACTGTCCACGATTTCACCGTAAAGGTCCGATTCTATTTGTGCTTCTGGTTATGAAAGAATCTAGGTTTTTGTTCCTTCTTTAGCTTCTTTCTAATTGGAAAGAAAACCTCAAATCTATTAAAAATATAAAGTTATGCTTTCTCCATAACCTTAATGAATCCTGGAGTGTATATATACACTCGAGAGCTTGATTAGACATGAATTAATTGTTCTGTTTCTTTTTCTTGAACAGGATATAGATGGGAAAGATGTTTCTCTAGACAAATTCAAAGGAAAACCTCTGTTGATCGTTAACGTTGCTTCAAGATGGTGATTCTTCAAACTGTGCTACAACTTCGATCTTTATTTGATAATTAGATATTTTTTCATGTAAAGGTTTTGTTGAATTCTAAAAGTTTTTTTTGTTTTTTCATATGTCACAGTGGCTTGACGTCATCAAACTACTCAGAGCTTTCACAACTGTACGAGAAATACAAGAACCAAGGTGAGCTGCTTTTATTCATCCCGTTGGATATGTAACACACTTGTGTGACCTTTCTCTCATTTCTTGTTACTTCTCATTATAAGGATTTGAGATTCTAGCTTTCCCTTGCAACCAATTTGGAGGTCAAGAACCGGAATCAAATCCAGATATCAAGCGATTCGTGTGTACCCGATTTAAAGCGGAGTTCCCTATATTCGACAAGGTATGTAAGAAAAATCTCATTGAGTGAGAGAGGCCCTTGAATCTTGATAAGTTGTGTTCTTCAGGTTGATGTCAATGGACCAAGCACAGCTCCTATCTACCAGTTCTTGAAATCAAAGTCTGGTGGGTTCTTGGGTGATTTCATCAAATGGAACTTTGAGAAATTCTTGGTTGACAAAAAGGGCAATGTCGTCGAGAGATACCCTCCCACCACTTCGCCTTTCCAAATCGAGGTAACCCAATCTGGATCTCGGTCCAGTGTTTACGGTTTGGTCCTGAACCAAACTACTTTGCCTACCAACTGTCTTTAAGTTTTAGATCATTCAAGAATGACTTCGACATCTAATGAATTAAAATAGTTCCAAGAAAGCTTGTGTACATAGAGAATCTGTGAACTCATAACATTCCTAAGTACTATATATGATGGCAATTGTTAATGCTAACAAAGCTTTTCGTTTCGTGATGTTGTAGAAGGACATCCAGAAGTTGCTTGCGGCTTAAATATACTGTTCACATGTGTGTATAGTACAGAGAAGCGTTTGGTGATTGATCCAATAACCGGCAAGTGGTACACAAATTTCCCGGTTTATTTTTTTGGTAAACCAGAAATTCAGATAAACATTTTCCTCTTCTTCCCGTTAATATACGATCGAGAAATCAAATAAACTTCTTTTATTATGTACACACGCCAGTGCCATTAATTAGGCTTCTGAAACATCCGATTATTGTGATATTTACACACACGCGCACACAACCATGATCATGGATAAAATCCGAAAGCAAATAGCTTAGTTATATAATTACAAGATTAACGTTGGCGTCGAGAAGAAAAGTCTTTACGTGACTGTGGTAGAAATCTATGGCGGAGATAAACTGGTGGAGAAACCTGTGAGAATCGACGAGATACTCGAGGAGGAGGATCTCGTCTCCGTCGAGCCTTACCAAGAGCCGGCCGTGGCCGTTGACCTTCTTCTTCTTCTTCTTCTTCGGGGAGGACGACGAAGTCTGAGTATCTGATTGGTGTAAACCAGAGGAAGGTCTCTGGTTCGACCACCGTCGATATCTCTCTGACTCTGATTTGGTTAAAGGTTCTGTTCCCAAAAAAATACTCGTTGAGATCCACCCTCATGCGGTCATATATCGCCGTTGCTTGTGTGGTGGATCGGATTGCCACGTCATCGACCGTCGTTATCTCTGTGCTTCCGTTACACGGAAACTCTGTGATCTCGTGTTGCCCTAACCGGACATGCCTCACGCTCGACTCCTCCATCTTCTTCTGATATTTCTGACACAGAGAGTACTTTATATATATACTACAAGGGTTTATTTCTTTCTTACATAATACTGCATTTACCTTTATTTGGAAAGACACACTACAAGCCACAATAGTTTTTTTTTTTTTTTTTTTCTATTATAAATCTTACCATTATGGTCGGAGGAAACTTTCTTTGGTTAAGTTTTAGAGGGTAATATTTTGACTTCTGTGTTATATACTATAATTTAATTAATATGACTTTGCATAAGATATAGTTTTAATTATTTTGAAATGACCGAGTAGGTTACTACTAGTTTAATTTTCTTTCTCATATCTTCTAATTCATATAAAAACCAAAATATTATACGATATCATCTAATTGATTAGAAGAAGGAAACAATTTTGTCCCACCAAAGTAGAATATATTGAAAAATTCAAAGAGAACTTTTGAAATGCTCTTCACAAGAAAATGATTTTGAGAGGCATACCAAGACCAGTCTATTGGTTGGATTTGTTTCCTCCTTTGACGTTTCTAATTAACTTTCTATTGGTAATACTTCAATTCCTTGAAATGACTTATAATAATACATTAAAAATTGGACAATTTCTGGATTCAGACTTCAATTCCAACGACAGGTAACCAATTAATCAGTATTGTTTAATGGACTCGCACAACAATAGTCATATTCAGATCCAAGTCACTTTATATCTATTAGTCAAACAATCTTTAATCCCCGACTCGTTCTTCGATTAATATGTAGAACAAAGCACAAAATCTCTAAAATCTACATCCAAAAGACTGAAAAGCCTTTGTTCAATTAACTTTTTATTTAAATCCTAAAAGATTTACAAATAGGTCATGGCAAACACTGCACGATCTCTGTGACTTCCCATGAACCATTTGAATCAGGCAGCAACAAATAATTCGACATAAATAATCCAAGCCTGAAACAGAATGAACAAACATATCAGAAGGTCGATCAGTAGCACAACCTCGTAAAATTAGATAGTCCTCTCATCAAAGACACAAGATTGATGCACGATATTAAAATCTGGAAATCTCGTAGCTTGTTCACACAAGAGCGCCGTTGATGACACCTTGCAGCAGTTGTGTGTAAGGCTCTTTGATTTTGTCTTCCTAGCTCACCCAAAAGTGCACCATGTGACTAATTATCCCATATGGATGAATGAAAACAAAAGTTTCGGTGACAACTTGTAACATTATTGTAATGAAATACATAAGTACTCTGCAAACGACATTCAATTTCAATGATTTCGTTACTATCATAAGACATCATCCATCAGACTCTTATCTATAACAAATTGAGAAGCTGGACCTTATACATCCCTCCTATATATAGACATGCAACTGAGGATTAAAACACATTTCACAGGGATCAAGAAAGCTCTATATTTCTCTTTACGAAATTAAAACCTATTTGTGTGGTAAAAAAGGAGAAAACTCGACAGAAAGCAAGTTAATTCAGTGAGTAAAAAAAAATCAGATTTTATTTTACTTAAAATGTAGTCATGAAAAAGCATAAATGAAAACATTCATAAAGCACGTCAAAGTACTGTAGATTTCTTGATCACGATACCGAATTGGTCCTTCTTAGCAAATGCATCTAGAAAATCGCTTCTGGAACCTGAAATTACTTGCTAGGTTCAAAATTACTTGAAGAATTGGAAAAAACACACAAATTACAAAGTGTCTATATGGTCATTTAAGGATTTGATGCAAATAACATATTCTTAAATGAAGAAATAAACCCAAATAACATGTTCTTAGATCAATCAAGAAACAAACCCTTAAGAATATTCCCGCAAGATTCACAACGTGATCACATGGAATCAATAATATCTAAATTAGACACCATCTACATCACACATTAAGCTAATATTACAGATCAAATTAGAAACGTGATTTTATATCTTAGGGAATCAAAATCTACAAGCATACAATATAAATAATTTAGAAAACCAACAACTGGAGATCATGAACAGTACTCTTCCAAAGTCGATGATTGAACACATATGTGATCATATGAAGCAAATAATGGATGTTCACATATTTATGAATCAAGAGACTAAATCACGGAATAAAAGACTAAAGAGAAACGAAATAAGAAAGAGATAGAAAACCATATATAATAATATAGCTAGCTTGGATCGAGTAAATTAAGGATTCAAAAGAGTTAGGACCAGCCTAAGAAAAACTAGGTTAACGTTAATGGTCCCATATTAATCTCGCTTAACCAAGCCTTAAACACAGAGATTAAAGCTTTTTCGATACTAATGATCTCATAAAATATAAAGTTCAACAAAGGAGACAAAGCAAACTCGCATGCAATTAGAAACCAAATCTATGGTAGAATATATAAGAGCAAGTTAATATAGATATTAGATCGTAGCTAATTACCTTTGGAGAGATGAAGAACGCAAGAGAGAGAAAGTGAGGGAGTGAGATGAGAACACAATTAAAGAAGAAAACGTGAACGGACCGAAAAGAACCGGCGCCGGAATCTGACAGATAGAGCAGTGAGCACGCAAGAAAAGCAAATGCATCGAACATGCAAAGTGCCTTTGTGTGCTCACTCTCTTCTGTCAGTTTCGATGCGTTTTCTCTAAAATTTGTCCCACAACTCACTCGTGACTTCTGAGATTAGAGATCGAACAGGAGAAATGGGTTTCTTGATAGGAGGAGACTTTGAGGCTATAGAGTTAGATCTGAGGCTTAGGGTAAGCAAAACCCAGAGGAATATATTTATAATCGAAGGAAAAGAGGAAAGTTATTCATTTTTAGATACCCTTTAGGAAAACAAATCTAGGGTTTTGACCAAATCCAGAGAGGGGCAAATAAAATTACCAAAAAAGAAAGAACAAAGAGATATTCGGGGAGAATGGAATTAGATTTAGAGGAGGGGAGAGGAGAAGAAAGGAGAGAAAGAATATGTTAAAGAAGAAAACAAAAAACCTTATCTCTCTGTCGCTCACTCTCTTCAAGAGTCTTATCTCTGTTTTTTCTTGGTTTTTTTGTCTCTTTCTTCTCTCTCCCTCTTACATGCACTGGGACAAATGTATGGAGAGAGAGACACTTGAGTGTAATGGATTGGATTGAACAGTACATTGCAGTTTATAGTGGTCAATCCTCATAACCTATAAACGGCAACGACAAGCCTATTAAAGATCTTGAATTTTGCGAATGAAATTTTGGGTCTTTCACGATGGAAAACATTACTACTTTTTTGGGGGAATCAGCTCTTCTTTTTATTATAATAGTCATTTCGCGTTCAACTTTTTAGTTTTCTATTGTATTTTTTTTAATACAAAGGCTTCTCTACTAGCGAAAAAATGAGAAAAATCGAAGGCTTCTACAAATGACAGCCAATAAACAGGCGGAAAAAAGCAACACGACATGACTAGAAATATCATATGAATAGAAAACAAATGAATTTAGAGTACAAAGAAATATGAGTATTTAAAGAGGTATATAGCATTATACAAAAAGGTTCAAATAAATGTTGAATATTGCCGAGCTTACATCGTTCCATCCATTTATGGTGATACTTTAGTGTCATGATTTCGTTTTTGCTAAAGAATTTAGTTTCAGGATTTACGTTCATAATATTATTATCAACCAGAAATATAGAGCAGAATTCACTGATTTGATTGTTTTGTTTTACCTTTGATATCCAAACTCATGAACATATATGCACTATAGTAGTTTTTTAGATAGTCAGGAAATGCACCCGTTAAAGTACTAACATGAGATTAATCTCAAAATTTACTATTCGTGTTATAAGTTATTTATTAATCTTGTACTCCTGAATACTGATGAAAATTTAATTTTTAAACGAAACCAGTTGAACTAACTCGTAGTGGTATTACTATATGTAACCAAGAATTAACAGCTCCCAGACAACGAAGTATATTAAAAAAAAATGTTAAATCAAAATAAACGAGAAGAAAACCCTCGGGTTTAAATTTCCAGTCACGATTTCTTGGGGAGACATAAGTCATCCACAAACCGTAATTCCAATACTGTGCTTAATTGTTTGCCTTCTCATGCTTAAAATAATGATACTTTTATTGTGTGTGTTAAGTTCTAAAAATTTATTCTCTTAGACACGTGTTGATGTAACAAGAAGTTAATTAAACAATCCAATTATTTCTATTCTCTTCTAAGATACCGAATTTTTTTATTGGTGCGAAATACTGAGAATTGAGAATAAATGCAAAATATATGGAATATGCTGAATTTTTATTGAATATAATCATATAGTATCAGCCACCCACAAAGCAAAGGTAGATCTCCCAAACACATACAAAACAGTTGGTTCTAAGTAAATGGTGCCTTACGCTGATTTCGTAAGACCACGATTGTGAACTGTCTGTGTAATGTAATCCATTGAGGGGTCTGCTTTCTAGTTTTGTGTTATTCGTTTGTGTTGCATAAATAAAATAGTTATTTTTCTAATTCTTTTTGATAATTAACTACTTCTAGGGGGATTGACCAAAACAAAAAAAAACTACTTCTAGGGGGGGAAATCCGTTTTGATCTGGTTTTCTTGTATAATCAATCATACCTGATTTTACAAAATACGTATAGTTGTTAATGTCAAAGATATTTCACCAGTCTTATTGTTCTATGTATTTTTGATAAACAGTCGACTTTTTGAAATATATGTATTATATATATGTCGTTTAATTCTCATAAATATACTGCCAAGGGGAAAACAATTTTTTTTTTTTAAAAAAAGGGAGCGTGAAAGGTGAAAAACTGATAAAGGGTGAGAACTTTGTATTTGACCTAAGAATATATTCAAAGACTGTCTAGATTCATACTTCCCGATGATAGAGAACATAACTACGACTCTTTCCTGAGTAATAAATAAATAATGGAGTAAGATATTGTTGTCTGAATAACCCTGACTTTTTCTCCACACAGACAAAAAAAAACTAATAATGAAAACTTTTTCAAAATTGAATGTTTTAAAACGATATATTTTGTGAACTATATAGTATTCGTCAAAGTTGTTATCTTTTAATCGAAGATTAATTGCGAGTTTTTGCCTCATCTCATGGTGCTGAGTTAGACCTCAGGGTCGTCTCTTTGCAGACTTTCTCATGTTCGTAATGTGCACATCCTTCTCGCCTTCTCGGACTATCCGTTGTTAGTCGGCTATTGGTCCTATCGTGCCACGTGGTTCATCAAGATTCGTTTATATAAGTTATGTATACAAAATAAAATACCTAAATAATATGGAAAAAGAAAGTAAACCCATTTTTCCTCTCAGCCTATGAAACGGGGGAAATGAGAATATGGGATCATGGACCACATGTATCCCATTCACCAATGACCCTCCATCTATTACAATACTTATTTATATCTGACTTTTAAACGCATAGTTTTCTTTTTTCGTTTGTTAATGTCTAGATCTTACTTGTTTAAATTACTACTAGTTTGTTTATTCTTCATTTCCTGCATAAAAAAGAAGAAGAATATATATAACTTGCAATTTTATGTGCAAAACAGTAATAAAAAACCGGCTGAAAACCTCAGATCCTTATTGCAAGGCTGTTGTTGATAGATTAAAGTTATTAAATCCTTGATAGATGTGTGCATCTATTATAAAATACATGTAAATGGAATATCCCTTATATATGGGAGGCAAACATTGGGTTTAGGAATCTCCAAGCATCTCGTAAACCATTAATATGGATGATATAATTTTATGAAGTCTTTTGGTCAACTTAGAAACAAATCCTTTTAAATTATAACTCGGGAGATTAGATGAATATCCTACAAAAACTCGCTATATGGCCTAAATTAGTTGTTGAACCAGTTGTGTATCGTGAACTCTCAAACACATCCAAAATGGTTTGATTGGAGAACACTTTACTCAGCACAATTTTTTTTTTTTTAAATTAAAAACCAGCTCCCTAACTTTAAAAAATATTGTTTATGAGCCGATTATGAAATATCGATTATAATTTTTTTTTAAAAAATATATGATATATAGCACAAAGAAAAATAAGTTTAAAATCCTCCCTCGAAACTATGAAATAAACCAAAAAATGAAAACTAAAGTTGAGTTTAAGGATGTTCAGCCCAAAGTTTATGTTGAGATTGGGCTAAGGTTCTTGGGTATTAGTAAAACAGTAACAAACAAATTGCATTTATTGTCACTCAGTATGTATATAGTTCTTCGATTTAATTTTTAGTCAAATATAGTTTCTTAGATTTAAAATGTTGGCTCAACTCGTATCCGATTTTTTGGTTTACGACTGTTCAAAAGGTAAAAAGCCTTGCGACCAACCCATTGTATTCATCTAAATTGAAAAGTCCGATTTGACGGATGACCAAAAAGGTTTTAGTAAAGATTTTCCTACAGTGTCAAGAATTATAAATACTGTATAGTTGAAACGATTTTATTGGCTAATGCCAACTCCTAAGCCATGATTAAGAATAGCAATAAAACATAACTCAACCTAAATAAATCCAAAAATTTAATAATGGTTCAAGAAGATTAGTCGGAAAGTGAACTTTTTATCTACCCAAATATTCTCTCCAAACCACAATCGAGAGATGAAAGAAACGAGATCAAAATAATAGAATAAAATAAAATTAAAATAAAGAAAGCCTCCTTATGTGTAAACTCAACCTTAACGCTACATGAAAGCTTAAAATCAAACCTAAGTGATAAAAGGAAGCAACACCACCAACTACGCTTCTTGTCTTAGAAACAATTCTCTACACTTGTAATGCCCAGACGACGTCAAGTCCTCACCATTTCACGGCCATGGCAACCACCACACCGTTACGCTTAGCTTCTCCACCTTTAAATTACATAACAATATTTCAGAGGACCTATAAGATCCAAGAGACTCATCGCTTCCTCTTCTTAACGGACTTGGCCTGCGACTTGCCTGAACCGACTGATGATTTCCCTTTTGTTGCTGCTTCTGGTGACTTCGGTGTCTCTTCAGACTCTGACTCTGCATCGCTCTCCTTGCCCTTGGAGGAAGGTGTAGATTTTGCTTTGCCTTTTGCTGCTTTGCCCTTGCCTGATGAACTCTTTGCAGGTCCTGCTGACTTGGATTTTGAAGTCGCCGGTGTTGTAGTCTTGGACGGCTCTTCCTTCTTCTTGGATGAAGCTTTGGATGTGCCAGAGTCTTTCTTCGACTTGCTGCTTCCTGATTTTGCACCGGCTGATTTCTCAACGGTCTTGGGGTTTTCCTCTTCCTCGCTCATCTCCTCAGAGCTATCCTCTTCTTCTCTGTCAGCTTCCTTTGACTCCTTTGATTTGCTCTCTGTTTTGTCAGCCTGAGACTTCTTGCCGGACTTGGAAGCAGGAGTAGCTTTAGACTTGCTGGAGCCAGCTCCACCACCCCTGATTCAGAAGCAAAATGACTTATTAGTATCTATAAGTTTTTAAGGGATCCAACAACTTTTAACTATTGGTTTTCTGTTTCATTTACTTTTTCCCTGATGATTGCTTCACTGTCTTGGCTTTCTTCCTCTGGGGCCTGTTTGAAGAATTACAAAGCTTGGTCATCACAAGAATAGCAAAATTCCTCTCATAACAACTAGCTTATGACTTGCAGTGCCAAGTAACACTTACGCTGTGGAGGCTTCTTCTTCATCATGACCCGTCTGATCAGCAGCTTCTTCACCCTGCTGACAGAAGATTGTAAGTTACAGCAAAGGGAAGAATGAAAAATAAAAAAACAGCGATGAATGAAATATAATGCCCAACCTCTGATTCTGATTCGTCCAGAAAATGCCACTTCTGTTTCTTTAAATTCAAAATTTCTTGATCTCCATCATCATAGCAAACCTGATAACGAAGATAGCAACAAATAAAACATACAATAAAGTGCCCTGAATCAATTGAAAAAGATATACCGCATAGAAGAATATGCAATAGGCTAATGGAAACGAGACGACCAAAAATACTAGTTATCACTTATCAGAGGAGACCAATTAAATTGGGCTTACCAGATGTTTCTTCTTAGCAGAATCATATGAATTGACCACACCTGTATAATACCTGCGACAAAAATCCAATATTCAGTTACAAGCGTGGACAACAAAAATGCAACTATCCAAGGTGTCAGTGCTATTTAAAGAGAAATACATAGAATAGCGAATTGCGTTTGTGTAAATCAAATATAATTCCTAAGAATAAAATAAAAAATGCTTACGCTTTATCCATAGGCCACCAGACTCTGACCTTCGACCCAACTATATTTTCATCATGGCTTTGGAGATCAGATGCCTGCCAATGAATTGAGTCAGTATGAACAAGTCTACCCAAAATAGATATTGAATAGAACACATGAAACCAGCACGTATAAAGGATTAAACAAGAGAATACAAGAGCTCCACAAAAGGGAACGGACAGATGTTTAAGAGAAAATTATATCCCACATGATGAGAATAAGAATCTGTAACCATGCACAGTTACTACGGCAAATGGCATATTAAAAGATGGTTTTTTTCGCACATTCCTTTCTATGAGCAACAATCATGATGGGTGAAATTACGAAAAACATACCTTGCCTAGACTTCGTTTTCTCTTTGCGCTAGGATTAGGACTCTCTTCTGTCGTTTGCTTCACTTCTTTCTTTGACTTTGAGGCTGACTTTCCAGAGGAAACAGCTGGCTGAAAGACAATTATAGGATATCGGTAATAGTAAAAGGAAAAGGAAGGCAGATATGTACCGAAGTCAGGTAAAAACTTACTTTCTCATTATCACCTGACGAAGTATGTAATGAGTCCTCATCCACGGCTTTCCCACGTCCTACCTTTTTCTTTTCCTCTTTCGCCTTTGAGGATTCTTGAACATTATCATCAGCCCCTACTGCCTTTTTCTCTGACTGCTTTGTTGCTTTTGTCTCAGAGGTACTTTTCTTTGAAGGAGGAACAGTAGACTTGGCTTTACTTGAAGAAGCGACCTTCTTTACAGGCTTTTTTGTCACTTTAGCTTCAGAAGTGTTTGGTTCTTCGGAAGCTTCTTCGGTAGCACTAGAAACAGATGGTTTGGCCTCCTTGGTCGAGCTCTCCTTTTTCTTCTGGTTTGCAGTCTTCTTAGGACGGCTTTCCTCAACAAGATCCTCAGCTCTAGATAGAGGGCTGACATTGGCAGTTTCATCAGCATCAGTCTTAGACGGCAAAGCCTGCACATCTGCTTTCTTCTCATTTTCAGAAGAAGTGCCTGCGTTAACAGATGAATCATCAGGAGGCGAAGTTAACACATCCTTGCTGTCTAGGGGTGCTCCAGTTTCAATCTCCTCCTTGATATCTGAAGCTTCTGATGAATCCACCTGTTTGACAGAGCTGGGTTCCTTCTCCTTAATCTGATGTTCAACGTCAGGCTTCACTTCAGAAGTATTATCCACGTCAGTGTTGCTAGCATTAACAAGTTGCTGAGGCTCATCTTTAGCATTCGTATCATCTTGCTTCTTTGTAGACTCAGTATCAACAGGCGAATCATTCTGTTGCGCAATGCCATTGCTGACTCCTGACTTACCAGATTCATCCTTCGGTGCATCATTTCGCTCGGGTGTAGAAATTTTTTCTGCCTTATGTTTATCCTGTTGATTGGAAAATAAAACCAATAAACAATCTACTTGAGCAAAATGAAGAGAGACATCTATCCTTTTTCTACAAATCAACTAATTTTCAGGAGTTCAATGCTGATTTAAGAAAGAAAGAAACATGCCTCTACTTCTGCTTCCTTTGTTAAATGACCTTGACTATCCTGCAGGATGAAAAAATTGGGAGAACGGTGTAAAAACATGTAATGTGACTGGACAACCAGGATAATCACCAAAAACTGAGGCAATTCAATAGAAAAAACAGTTGAGATAAAAACTGGCTGGGTAGAGAAACAGATGGGAAGGCTTACCTCTTCTTCATTCGCAACAAGCTGGTCCTGCTGCAAAACACTGAATGTCCCTTCACATATCGAACCCACTATCTTACTATACTTATCTAAAGAAACACCCGACGATTTCACCGCTTCAGTCAGATACGTTTTGAGTTTGCTAGCACAGTTACTCAGAACTTGTTCCGCCAACCTCCGTGATACTTGGGGAGTCTGAGGACAAATTGAAAGAGTTAACAAAGGAGCATTCTGAAACATAATTAGCAAGACCATCAATGAATCACCTCATCATCCTTTCTAACATAATGTAGAATTGGTGAAAGCATCTCTGGAGGTATGTCCTCGCTTTCTTCTAAAACAAGGGTCATAATGTTCTCCATGGATGAAAATACGTTTCCTGAATGATGGTCCCTGAAAAGGAAAATGAGTCAATCATCAGACAGACATGATACCGAGTGAGAAGCTTGAAGATGCACGGAGGAAAGTAGAACCAAGTTTCTGTGAAAGAAAAGTTATCAGAATGATATGGCTGCTTCGAACATTAACAGTCACCAAATAAGTTATCCGATGTGCTGAATGGTAACAGCAGAATCCATAAATCAAACATGGCATAAGAGATCTAAGGGAAAAAACAATTCAGGATGATAAGCAAGGTACACAATTCCATGTATGTCATATATTTCCTCGAATTTATGGAAAAACTTGCATCAATCATATAACTCTTTTAAGTTCAACCATGATACTCTCAGAATGGATTTATCAGCTTGTACCTTATAGCCTTCAGGAAATTCTGGAACATCTCAATAAGAAGTGCATCACACTCGAGATCCAACATCACAACACATGATCTGACCTTAGCCACAGTTTCCAGGATCGAGGTTCTTTTGGAATAGGAGCGACTAGCATTATCAACTAAATTTTCAAATGATGATACAATTAACTTAAATACTTCCTGCAGATGAATAGAAGAAAAGAGTCAGCGACCAATCACTTTTCTGCCCATTTCCTCAAGAAAAATTACTGAACAATAGCATACCTTCATCTGTTCATCATCATAAGGAGCATCTGGAGCAGTTATTCTTGTAATCTCACTAATGCAGGCAGCGACTGCAACTCTCACATCGACATCTGAATGCTTGAAGAGTTTTCCAGCGACTAATGCTTTCATCAATGGAGAGAGTGCATTCTGCATTGAGTCGGGAGGTGACTGTTCAACCTCTGACAGACAGATGAAGAGTTTCTGCAGCAAAATACCAAAGGAACATCAAACTCAAGAGTTCCAAAATCGCAGCATCCCGACCACACAAATTACGGATATACTTATACTTCATCATACTTATAGTACACGCTGATTAGCACAAAAATCAATTAGTGAAATCATGGGATGAATGTCATTCTTCAAAGCTGTTCTAAAGATTTAGAAAGTAGATTCTTTTACCAGTCATCACACACCAAAGGTGTCCCTACAATGTTTAAAGCTGCAATTTTATGTATATATGTACGCATTGGAGTCAAGACAGTGTGCCATTCCTTTACGCACTTTCTTACCATCTAACCGATAAACTGTTCAATGTCAACAATCAGAGATCCGTAAATCAAACTTAACAACACCAGACAAACTAATCCCCCCAGACTCATATTCAGCCCCCACATTCTTCAAAAAAGAAAGAACATTCCGAAGCCAATTCAATATCATATATATAACGAAAGTGCTTTTGCAAGAGCGAAACAGTTCAGGCAGCCTCTGTAAACCAGAAGTTAATAACAGTTCCATCCATCATTAAACAGATGAATGCTTAATCAAAGATAGTTAAGGAGGATTATCGAGGATAATCTATTCGGAACAGAGAAATCACACTAAGCAGGATCTCAACTGCATTGCGTAGATTCGCAGATCCTAATGATGATAACAACAGAGAACAATATGCAGAGCAACAGTTAAAACCCATTTCTAGGAATCCACACTAAACACATGCACATTGCACAAGGCCAAAGAAGAACACCCAGAGAAAACAAAACACAGAAATAAGGAAATGGTCAGGGAGCTCACGTCAAGGAGAGAAAGTAGCCCATCGACTGAAGAAGGTGGGTCAATAAGCTTTTCCCCTGCTTCCAGAATCTGATTCTCGACCTCTTTATCAGAATCCGACATGACTCCCTCTTCTTCTCTTCTCTCTCTCTCTCGTTCGCTCTTCGTGCGTATCTACAATTAGATCTCTACAAACCCTAGATTCGGAAACACAGACTTCTCAGCTCGAAAAACCTAAATCCTCCTTCGATTCCAGAAATGGAAATAGATGGGAAGCCGGATTAAGCGAAGAAACGAGGAGAAATTCCCCCAAAGTCACTGAAGAACACGCTAGGGTTTTCTCCCCTCTCCTTTTTTTTTTGTTTTTCTCTCAATCTTAACAGTTTACTGAAAACAAAAAAAATAGAAAAGTAAGAATTTTTCTCAGATGCGAGAGAGAGAGCTCTCAGCGCCGTTAAAAAGATATATATTATCTTTCTTTTTTTTAAATGAGAAGTATTTAATTTTGGTGTACGGCGATTTATTAACTGGTCGTCTTTTTGACGAGATGTGTTTCTTCTTTTATTTTATTTTTCTTTCTTTTTTTGAGCTTTTTTAAAAGGGAATCCAAAAATCAAGGGAATCCAGTATTGGGATTTTTTTTTCCCTTTCTCTGGATTTCACATAAGATTTACTAACTTAGATTAACTAATATAATTGGCGTTCAAGTCCGCTTTTGAAATATTTTCCGACTATATTTGGAGAAAATTGTGGCGTTCATTTTCGTTACTAAATATAAAATAAAGGATTAATATGATTTTATCTTCTATATTTTATCACTAATTTAAAAACTATATCAACTTTTTTGAAAATTTAATATATTTTTACAAAATAACAGTTTAGTTCTTCTATAAAATATTTAATTAAAAAAAACAGGTTTAATTATTTTCTTTCTATAAATATTATTTTCTTTGTTCTTTTTAAACCATTTTTAAATATAATTTCTTTGTTTTTATATAAATTTTTATTTCATAAATGTGTATTTTAATATATATATATATTTACATAAAACATAATTTAATAAATAGCTAAAAGAACTTAATAAATTAAGTCAACAGTTATAATAAGTATATAAAAAAAGTATATAATTATTAACCCCCGCCCCTCTTGGGCCGGGTTTCTTTCATCCAGCCGATAGTAAGTCCAGAAACCATTTGAAAACGCATGATCACAAATAATTAATGGGCCAATATTAAGGTCGGCCCAAATATGAACCACTCGAATCGCTGGAAGCCTGGAATACCATTACTACAAGCCTACACATGTCGTATCAAATGAAGCGTAACGAAACAAAGCAACAAACAACAACAAAACGAATATTAACCAAACTAATAAATTATAAAATGAGAATTTTGTTTCTATAAAACCGGGAAAAAAAAACACAAACCATAACAATCGAACCAAAACTAAGATTGTCAACCCCTATAATAAAGGATAGTAAGACATGAGTCCAAATATTTTATAGGACAGTGGATTTCCGGTCTGAAATGATAACCACGAATCGGATGATGAACTCTTCCTGAAAATAGAAAACAAGGGTTCGAGTCATCTCATCACATATTCTTGCGATTAGTTTGGACTTTAAATAATAATGTCCAATGATAAAATATTCATAAACATTGGTGGTGGGACTTACGGCCATATTTTTTCTTGGTGAAGTCTTGGGGAATTTCTCGAGTTCACATTCCCTCGGAAAAAGACAACGACAATTTATGCTGTTTGAGACTTGTTCCGTCATTTTTTCTGAAGTGCTGTTTCACAGAGAACCACTCTCTTATAGTGTCAGTGTGAATGCATTCATATCAAAAGGATGTAATTAATAATTTGATGTGTCGCCAACACACTTAGCGCCTCTCTATAACAGTTCATATATTTACTCATCAGTTGTCAAGGATTATAACTAGGTTTGAAGTAGAAATAAGACAAAAAAAAGTATAAACCAGCGATAAGACGTGGGATGTGGCTAATTGATTCTATGATTTTGCAGATTTTTGCGGAATTGTGATTAACATGTATCGAAACACTATCCTACAACGACCAAACTACAATTCATGACATTCCGTAAATTTTCAGTTATTTGAATTCTTTCTTCCTTATTATTATTCGTTGGGAAATTGATCCTCATTACATTAACAATATACCCATTATAATAGAATAATAATTATTGGGAAATGAAATGGTAGTAGATAAGTATAGTGTCCATATACATAAGACAGGTAGTGCAGCTTTAGTAGCCAAAGAAGAGTGTTTTCCATAACATAAAATCATATCAAAACCAAATAAAATAGACTGTCTTTAATGAAAGCAGTCACACTCCCACATGCCTCCCCCACCTTTCATTTATGTTCTTAGTTATTAAGATGTGTACCTTTTCAAATTAGGACCATCCTAGATAACTACAGGTTTTTTACGGAGTGCACACCGATGATTTCTAGTAACATAAGCATATTTTTTCTATCAAAAAGCCAAAAAAAAAGTATATAAAAACATACTCGGAATTGTAAGGATATTAAACCAGAAAAAGGATATTTACACCATATAATAAGAGTGAAAAAGGTGATAAAATTGGTAGAAGTAAAAGCTAACAAAGTCCATAACTTAATAACATGCCTAGTAGACCAAGTGGTCGCTTTTTTCTTTTGTTTACTTTCAACAAAACCATTACCCAAACAAGAAAAAGGCAACTCCACATGAACAATACAACGACACATCGTACGTCGAGTACACTACGAATTATATTAGATTGTGTCTGTGGTCTTTTGTCGCATACCTCAGAAGCTGATTCGATCTGTCGAAGCAACACTCTTCTTCTTTGTTTTTATTTCCTCTTTGTTTCATACATTTTTTCTATTCTTTTTCTTCCCACGGTCTTTTGTAGAATTGCTTCGTGATGAGTGATGATGACACCTGCAAGACGTGATGCTTGATTATTCCATATTTATTTAAAAATAATCACAACAAAATAAACACAAGAAAAAACAAATGTAGCTAGATCCACAGATCCAATTTCTCCACGCCGCCATATTGTTTATGACTTTATTCAGGCAATCTCTATCTATAGTATTTTAAATTCAGAAAACAACTGTACACCCATAAACTATTGTCTAATAAGATTCCAAAACTCCATTTAGAAAGAAAAGAAAAATAGAAACGAAACATATTATTTTACAGAGGAAAAAAAAATACACACAAATCAAGTACAAACAATAAAAGCAAAGGGAAGAGTGGACCAAGCCATACTTTAGAAAAAAGTATACGACCGACACAATAGTTATAAAGGAGATGGGCGATTTGGTAAATTCAGCTTCAGGCTATGTGGGGTGGGGTCTCGAGGAGGTCTAAAAGAACTGGTGAAGTGCATGTGAGAGACTAAGTCAATGCCCCTCCTAATATTTCCCGAATTTACATTTGATGCCATTGTCAGTCAGTGAGAGACAGTGCATCAAATCAAAGCCTTGAGGAGAAAGTTAACTAAACTTATCAATGTCACAATCTACTTAGTTTAATTTAATTTAGCAATTATGACTAATGATGAAAGACTTACGTTTTCAAAAGGGGAGGCTCTTTGAAGTGGAGCTCATAGAGAGTGACTTAAAATGCTCTGAAGGAACAAAGTCTTGTGGCAAATTAGCTCTCTTCACGATTCTCTTCATGTTGCTCTGTAAACTCTGTTGCACTAGCTGCTTCACAGCTTTCCTCTCTTCGCTCATCATCAAATCGCTCTCCTCGTGGTTCAAACCGTTGTCTCTAGTCCCATAGATTGGTGCGGATAAGGCTCCGCATGATCCGGTACTATCCAAAACTTGCTTCCCTTTGTCTACTCTAAGACACTCTAATATCCTCGAGGCTCTCTTCTGAGCCAACGCACTTCCCAAAAGAGTTAACTCAAGCAACGATGACTCGATCCCCGCCTCAATCATTGCTTGTCGATCTCCGTATCCCTTGTGAGCCATCAACATTAGTACGTACGTCGCCTTTTCTTGGCACCCGGGAGAGTCGGTCCAGTTCAGTACATCGACCAAAACCGGGAATGCGTCGCAAACCGAACTGATTGATTTCCTTCCTTCCGGGACTGCCACTACATTGCTCAAGATGGCGAGAATCCTCTCGCTCACTTCCATATCTCCCAACGCGTTCAAGAGAAACGCGATTAAATCTGTCTCGAGGATGAACGAAACGTTTGGTTGATAGATCGAGAGGTTGTAGAGAGCTCTCAGGGCGTCTTCTCTCGCTTGTGAGCTGCTTGTTTCCTCCAGATTCTTGAGTGTTTTCACTAGGAAGATGATCGCACCCGAAGAACCGATGATCGGTTTGTTTGAATCCAAAGCGCTTAACCCGAGGAAGTTGGCGACCACGGCTTCTGCGATTGATTGATCAGGCGTGTTTGGAGACTCAATTAGCTTCAGCATTTTGTGAACAGCGCCTGCTTTTACAATGGCTGCTTTGTTCCTGCCAAATAAATAAAAATAGAGATTTCTTCAGAATCAGGGAAGGTCTAAAATGGAAAAAAAAAAAAGATTGATATAAATGCTTCAAGTTAGGTTTGCAATTGCACATTGTTCATATATTAAAAAAGGAAGCATGGAAAGTGACTTAACGGATGAAACCAATTCAATTTTGGCCGTCAACACACATAGATAATTTCTCAAAAACAAAAATATAATAAAAAATCAGTGAGTGTGATTGAGATTAGAGACTCACGCGTCGTTTCCGATTCCTAGGTTGAGCAGAGCGTAGAGCGAAGCGATCTGAGCGTCTGCGATTCGCGAGTCGTCGATCATACTGACAAGCGGCGGAATCGCGCCGAGCATCGCCAGCGTCACTCTCGCCTCCGAGTCCTCCTTCGCCAGCAACCGCACCTCACTCGCCGCCGCTAATTTCTTCCGACAGTATCCGTCGCAGTTATTTCCACCGTCCTCGTTCCCACGCGCCGCCACCGCCGCCTGTAACTCCCTAACCACGCGCTTCAGCAGCTCAAGCGCTTCCTCTTTCTTCTTCGTCTCCACGTCAGCTTCCACCTCCGCTAAGTTCAACAGATCGCAGAGCTTCTCCGATTTCTTCGCTTTCTCCTCGAACGCTGCGCCATTCAACGCCGCCCCAATCGTGTTGGCTTTCGCATTCCTCGATGAGACCGCTGACTTCTCCGTCACCGTCACGTAACTTCCCTCGTCTTCCTCTTTCCGGAGCTCGTGCCGGTAACGTGAGCTACCGCCGCAGCTAACGGCGTCGAAGATCTTCCTGCGGAATGCGGATCTAGAGAAGGTGCTCCAGAGCCGAAAATGGTTGCCGGAAGTAGAGGAAGAAGTGGTAGGAGCACGGTCAAGAATAAGAGATCCGATATTGTTCCGATGACACTTGGCCATTGTTATCTCCGATCAGTTCTCAAGCTCACCTACATTTGCACGAGCCCAGCAAAGAGTGCGGAAGAAGATTTTTCCTTTTTTTTTTTTCTGAGTAAGAGAATTTTCTTTGTTTGTTTATTTGGAAGCGAAAACAGAGGAGACGAAAAATGATTTTCGAGATTAGCGAAATGTTGACTGTTGATTTATTCCTTTTCCTTCTTGGTTTACTTTAACACTAGGAGTCTAGAGCCGTGTTTGGATACAGCCGTTAACTAGACCATGGATAGGATATTTTATAATTTTGGCGATTCTTGTGATTATTGTTTATAAACATGTGCATGAATTCTAAGCATTTTGTATATATATCTTGGATTTTTAAAAATAATTTACTTATGAAATTAATAAAAATATATTGAATTTTGTTTCAAATCATTTGTATATATAATGTTATGGGTGTTGGTCTTGTTGTACATCATCAATATGCAATAGCTTGTAATTTGTGTAAGTAAAATATAGGGGTGTTGTGTTGGTCTTATTGGAGTAGAAAAAAATATAACATATCATATAGATGCTTGGATACAATTTTGATTCGGTTTAGTTTGGTTCAAATTTTGTATTTAATGATATTAAAAATAACATATCATATAGAAGGTTGGATACAATTTTGATTCGATTTGGTTCTAATGAACATCGCTATATATAAGTATATATATAAAAGAAAAAATATAACTCGTTATGTGATGGATTATATGAGTTATGACAAATTTATTCGGCGAAGACATCACTTATTCACCGATTTCAAAAAGGCAGCACAATCAGTTGAGAGAAAGAAAGAAAAGGAAAGAGAAATGTGAGCGAGTTAAGAGTACAAGAGAAGGGTGAGGCCATTACTGATTTCAACCGTTCAGATTTATAAATGTGTCAGTGAAGCTTCTCTCATACAAGTCCCATCGTGTTATGTTGGATGATAAAGTGCTACAGTTGTGGTAATTTCTTTGTTTTTTTTTTTTAAAAATAATAGTTTAATTATAGACAACATTTTACGACTTGTTTTCTACAAATAACTAGTATAAAATTGAAAATTTCCAAAAAAATTGTTATATTTCAAATCGATATACAAAGGTCTCTATACTATTAAAGTATATAAAAATTTCACACTCATCTGACAGAGTGGACAACCACTGGTAGTATTCGAAAATGATTTATCTGTGTTGTTTGCTCTCACCACTATCTCAATTTCCAACCTTCTACTGGATCGCACTCAATCCCATTAGGCCATTAGAAGCACTTTTGGTTGATTTTTATAGCTTTTCAGGAGCAACACATCTCACTGTAAGTATCTTCGTTTTTTTTTTTAAGGTTTTCATCTTTTGATTTTATCTGGTGTTTAGTTTTCAATTTGATAAGTTTATTCATTAATACATCGTATGATCGTCTTATATATATACACACACACACAAAATATCAAACAAAACTCAATGGGAGGATGTACGGTGACGCGAAGTTATTGAAGGGAGTATTTAGAAAAGCATTAAAAAAAATGGCATTACGGAATTGCTTTCATTGAGAGTTGAACTCAAGAACTCCCGCTTACTAAACGGGTGCTCTAACCAACTGAGCTATGAAAGCTTTTGTTCTACTTATAATTTGTACGTATATAAAGTAGAAAAAGGGTATAAAAAGTTTAAGTTGGCAAAATCAAATATAATTATTTAAAAATTGAAAGTAATCAAATTAGGACAGATTTAATTACTTAATTTTAATTAAAGTAAGATGTAAAATTTTGTTATTCTTTTTTTTTTTCGTATTGAAATCTAATGAAATTAATTACACCAACCTCTTAAATCTAAAAGCCGCGAAAACATCCGCCAGTTGTCTTTACTGTATTCAAACCAAATTCATCACACTATTGAGCAATTGGTCATAAGCAAATATGCTAACTTCTTATATATTTGAACTGCATGCCTGTATTTACTTTATACTTCCTTTTATAACATTCATACAGTCCATTTCGTAATCTTCTTTACCACCTGTTGAAATGTTATCCTTTTCTAAATAAAATTAACATACAGCTTTTTTCCCTTTCAAATGTTTTTTTTTATTTGTTTCTATGTTTTAATTTCTAGCAAATCTTTTTAGATATTTACCATATAAATCTTTTTACACATCTTCTTGTTGGTCAACTAAAAAAGTTACCAAAATATATTGTATTATATTTTTACACTACGATGGGATTTTAAAGTTGATGATGATTTTGGAGACGATAACCTTTCTTGTTTGGTTTTCATAGGCTTACGGAATAATTGCCGTTGATCTTCCCGCTTACGTTTCTGAATTTCATCACAATCATTTTGTTTCCCCTCAAATTCACTGATCAGGATCTTAAACTTCTCTTCGTGGCGTAGATAATTTGGTATGTGGCGTGTTTTTTTTTACCAAATTATGTCAAATTGTAGCTAACAATATGAAAAGAATATCTTATTCTACTGTATAGTTGTTTTTTCTTATAGCTTGGATCGTAGTTTTGTTTTGTTTGTATTCAATCTCTAAGCTTGGTGATTGTTACGCTTTGCCTTTTGAATTTATTGACTGAGACATTGTTGTGGTTGTTCTCTTGCAGGCAAATGTCTAAATTGGTTGATAGGCTACGTGCACGACCAGATCGTGGACCAGCTTATATGGAAATTGATTCCGATGACGACGATGACTTTGTTCCTAACCATGGTCGGATAACTGATAGGCTGCGTGTACGACCAGACCATGGACCATCTTACATGGAATCTGATTCCGATGACGTTGTTCCAATGCAGTATCGGACAACTGAACAGGCCAAAGGGAAAGGCGAACGAGAATCGGTTAGTCTCTGATCTGATCGTGCAAACATTTACTGTTAATCGGATCCGTTGCTGCAGCGTTATATTCCTTTTTAGCTGTTCATCTGGAAATGCATACGTTTCCGTTGCTGCAGAACATTTATTACACATCGATAATTTGTGTATTAAGATTGCTATGTGTTAATTGATTTGCACGACAACTACTTTCAATTTTTGTAGGAAAGTTCTCTCACCAAGTTGGACAAGATTTTGGACTGCAAAATGCGTCTTACGGAGTCTAAAGAACCGAACCCCGATAACGTGGCACCAAAGGAAGTTTCTACGAAGCAGTATCTTGTGAAGTGGAAGGGGCAATCGTACCTGCACTGCTCTTGGTAGTTCCCGCATACTCTCATTGTGTTATGTTTGAACATGCGAATTATTGTCTGCTTATGTGATAACAGGTGGATTAATTTTTTAATTTTTTTTCTTTCGGTTTGTCAATCACAGGGTGCTCGAGCAGGACTTGCAGAAGGCTTACAAGTCCTCTCATCATTTAAAAACCAGAGTAAACAAATTTCATGAGAAAATGGACTCAATCATTAACAACGGAGAAGACTTTATTGCCATTCGACCTGAGTGGACCACTGTCGACCGGATCCTTGCTTCCCGGTCAGTTTCTTGTAACTCAAATTAGATTTCAGCTGTTTCTATATATGAAATAATTAACAAGGTTCCTACAATTCTGGCTTTATCTGTATATCAAGAACATGTTATTGATGATGCAGGGGAGAAGAAGATTGGAAGGAGTATCTCGTGAAGTACCAAAAACTTGGATATGACGAGTGTTATTGGGAGTATGAATCCGACATCTCAAAATTCGAGAAAGACATCCAGCGGTTTAAAGATATCAATTCTCGTCATCGCAGAGGCAAGTATGGTGATCCTGAGAGTAATCGTCAAGGTTTCCAGCAGTTCGACCAAACTCCTGAGTTTCTAACAGGTATATCTAGGCTACTTTGAACTATTACACTGTTGATATATTGCTCACGTTGGTTTGGTACTAAGTATGTTAATAATTTATTTCTTTTGTTTTGTATTATTAAAGGCTCGTTACATCAGTACCAACTCGAAGGATTGAATTTCTTGAGGTTCTCATGGGAGCGACGAACTCACGTGATTCTTGCCGACGAGACAGGGCTCGGTATGTGTTTCAACAACTTGATATCTCACCTTAGCTGCTGAAATATATATATATATATATATTTTAAGGTTAAAACTATTGAGTTTTTTTGTGTTGTTGCAGGCAAAACCATTCAAAGCATTGCGTTTTTAGCTTCTCTTTTCCAAGAGAACTTGGCTCCTTATTTGGTGGTGGCTCCGCTTTCGACTCTGCAGAATTGGGAGAGCGAATTTGCCACATGGGCTCCACATATGAACGTGGTATGTATGCACACATCATGTATATTTTGGTATTTTGTTTTATTAGGGTTCATAGAATTAATGTTTTTTTTTTCATTTTTGCGGTTTTAGGTTGTATACAGTGGTAATTCTCAAGCTCGTAGTGTTATTAGAGAACATGAGTTTTATTTGCCAAAAGGTCATAAAAGAACGAGTGGAGTCGGTGGAGAAATGAATGAAGACAGAATCAAGTTTGATGTCATTCTTACATCTTACGAAATGATCAACATGGACACTGCCTTCTTAATACCAATCAAGTGGGAATGCATGGTACTAATTAATTCTGTCTTTTTTTTTAAATTGCTACTCTACTTTTTTCTATCTTACTTTCTTTATATCTCTACTGATTTATGATTTTTCTTGGTTAGATTGTTGATGAAGGCCACCGGCTGAAAAATAAGGAGTCAAAGTTGTTCTCTTCACTGCAGCAGTATAGGAGTGAGCATCGGGTTCTTTTGACGGGAACACCACTTCAGGTTCGTTTGGTGATTTTGCTTCTTTAATTTCGCAATGAATGATCTTACATAAGGAGATTATACCTAATTAGCATCATATATTGTTTTATTGCCTGTCCTTGTAATTTGACCGTATATTAATTATGATTCTTTTGTATCACTATCATCTGGTGCTTTTGCAGAACAACTTGGATGAACTTTTCATGCTCATGCATTTTCTTGATGCGGGGAAGGTTAGTGAAATGATAGCACGTATTAAATAGGTAAAATTAACCCACTAAATATATAGCTAATAACTTCAATTGTTTTATTTTTAATGCTTGAAGTTTGGCAACTTGGAGGAGTTCCAAGAGCAACTCCAGCATATCAATCAAAAGGAACAGATATCAAGGCTCCAAGGAATGTTGGCTCCACATCTGCTCAGAAGTAATAATCAAAAACTTGATCTTATTAATATAAAACTATATATGCTTGAATGAAACTTCCAGGACCATTGGTGAATCTTGATTTGATTGCTGTACCAGGGGTAAAGAAAGACGTGATGAAGGACATGCCCCCTAAGAAGGAGCTCATTTTGCGGATTGATCTGAGCACCCAGCAGAAAGAAATTTACAAAGCTATTTTGATCCGCAGTTATAAAATCTTATCAAAGAAAGGAGCTCAGGTAAGTTTTTTTTTTATATCCGGCTGTGCTAATGCGGATTAATACATATACATTTTTTTTCTTTTTCTTTAGGAACCTTATAAACTGTTTAAATGTTTTCAGGTAAAGGACGTTTTAATGGAGCTAAAGAAAGTTTGCCAACATCCGTATATGGTGAAAGGTCAACATCCAGCATTTGGAGATGCAAATGGAGCTTTTAAGTAAAAATCTCATCATAAAACCTTGACAGATATTCCTTTATAGTATGTTGTGCTGACTCTTGATTGATCTTTTCTTGACTGTACTATAGATACCTCCTGGAATCATCCGGAAAGTTGCAACTTTTAGACAAAATGTTGGTCAAATTAAAAGAGCAAGGCCACAGAGTTCTCATCTACACGCAGTTTCAGCACATGTTAGACCTGCTTGGATACTACTGTGGTTCTAAGGTAGCTGAGTTTGCTATATCTATGTGTCAGTATTTTTCTTTTCTATGTTGCTTTATATGATACTGTAACGTACATGTTTCTTTTTCTTTTGTTTTCAGAATTGGTTTTACGAAAGAATCGATGGGAAGGTCAGTGGAGCTGAAAGACAACTTCGGATAGATCGGTTCAATGCGAAGAACTCTAAGCGTTTCTGCTTTTTGCTATTAACAAGAGCTGGAGGGTTGGGGATCAACCTTGCAACCGCTGATACGGTCTTCATTTATGACAGGTTTGAGCTCCTTACGTCTCTTAGATTTCATCATTTAAATTGTTCGAAAATGTAATTAATCATCAATTTGGAAATTTGTTTCCAAAAGAACGGAGTAGTTTCTTGGGATTTTCTAATTCTAAGACGGAAGAGAAATGTAATGTGGCATGTAATATATAATGCAATTATTAAAATGTTTTTCACTGCTTCTGTGTAGTGACTGGAATCCGCATGCCGATCTTCAGGCAATAGCTAGGGCTCATCGACTTGGCCAGAAAAATAAGGTTATCTTTGCATGGCATCAGTGTGGGCTGGACTTGCAATTTCATTAGGGTTTTTTGTATGTCACTGATTAAGCCTATTTGTCTTTAGGTGATGATTTACAGGCTCGTAAACCGAGGCACCGTTGAAGAAAGGATGGTGCAAATGAGTAAGAAGAAAATGCTTCTAGACCATGTTGTTGTGGGGAAACCGAAAGCACCAAACCTTAGTCAGGTATGCCTTTTGTTTTAATATAAAATTGGAATTAAAAGGTAGAAATACCCCCAAAAAAATCATTTTCTGTCATTTGGAGTTGAAGTAAAAATATAGAAATGTCAGATAAGAACTAGGGCCAATGTATTTGTTTATATGCTTAATGATTCTTCTTGCTACAGATATTTATTGACTGCTTTATTAACGTGACTTCAAAATAGGAAGAGCTAGATGACATCATCAGGTATGGTTCCAAGGACATTTTCACTGAAGAGAATGAGGAAGCAGGAAAGCTTGGAAAAATTCATTATGATGATGATGCTATAGAAAAGTAATATATTCTTCTTCTTTTTCCATTTTCCTATTGATTCCGTTTTAATAGTATAAAGCCACCATTGTTAATTACATGGAATATTAGTGATTTATCTCCACCTCTTCTTCTGCAGGTTGCTTGACCGTGACCATGTAAATGCTGAGGAGGTCTCAGTGGATGATGAAAAGGAAGATGGGTTTTTCGAGGTTTTCTTACTCTCTTCTTTTTCTTCCTCTTTTTACTAGATTTTGATATTTTTCTTGGATGAGTCGTTAAATGATCATTAATATTTGTCTTGTCTTCCTTGTTTTTCTTTTGGAAACGAGCCAAGTTCATAATGATGCATATAGAAACTGTCTATTGGTTGTTTCGTTACGGGTAAAAGTGATTGAGTTTCCAATGGCAATTAGTAGTGGTGCCAAAATTGGAACCAATACCATCGAGTCGAAATTGGTACCTTTGTTGGTGTTGATCGATACAATGACTTAATTTCCTTTGAAACCTGAAGTATATTTTCTGAAAATGACGTATGTGCCTACATTTTGTTAGGGTTTCATTTTTAATAAACCACAAGAAATAAATAGTACTGTTCATATGTCCATCAAAACGTTGACTACACCTCTCTGCATGTTAAATTTCTGTGTAAATATGAATAGGGGATGGAGTAGTGGACATTATGAATGAAAACTGGGCTCCTTAGTAACTGATTACATAAATGTCCTACAAAATTTATCTTGTGTGCATGCATATACATTTTTTTTTCTTCTGCAGTTGAGCTTTTGATATATATATAATTAATGGCATTAATTCTGAAAATACGAGCTCTTTGGTGTTCTTTCCTGTATATTAGGTGGCAAATTTTGAGTACATAGATGAAAATGAGACTGCCCCATTAGAGGAGGCACAAGCTATAGAAAACAAGTCTTCAGCATCCAGTTCTCGTAGATCGGCAAATTATTGGGAGGATTTGTTAAAAGATAAGTATGAAAAGCTCCAAGCTGAGGAGCTCAGTGCTCTTGGAAAGAGGAAGAGAAGCGGTAAGAAGGTAAGAACTATGTTTTTGTTGATGTCTCTGCTTCGTTTGTACATAGTTTTTCTGCCCAAAATCTTTTTCATATCTTTTAGCAAATGGTGTTCGATCTTATTCCACTTGTCGTTCATTTTACTAGATTATTGAAGAAGATGATCTCGCTTATTTAGAAGAGAGCTCTGATGATGAAACCAAAGCATCAGATGATGCTAAGGCATCTGCACAGGAAAATCAGATGGTTAAAAGACCTTACAATAAAAGAACTCGCGGTATAATACCTTTTTAAAAAATCTTTTCAAATAAGTTATTGAAGATGATATCAGTGGTCTAAGAGATTTCCGGTCAAATTTTTTTTTTTTTTTTTTTGCTATAAGATAACTCGGAGCCAATACCTTTAATAGAAGGCGAAGGACAATACCTTCAGGTGCTGGGTTTTAACTCGAGAGAAAGAGAGCTTTTCCGACGGACGTTGATGAGGTATTGAATATCTTTTTTTTCATAGTCTTTCAGTATCTTTGTGCGCAAGTTTGTTGTCTTCCTTAAGTCGATTATAGTTTGATTGAGTTGGTTATAGTCTGATAAACATTTTTCATCTGATAAAAAACAATTTGCAGATATGGAGTTGGCGACTGTGATTGGAAAATTTTTGTTCCTCACTTTAAGCATAAGACCCTTGATGAAATAAACAAGTACTGACTTAAGCTAATGATTACTTTTTTCACAAAAAAAAACTTAATCATTAATTATTTGCAAAGATGGATGTTTTTTTTTCATTGACGAGTTGTTTTTACTTCGCTTTTGCTTAGTTATGCAATACTCTTCTTGAAACACATCCATGAAGACGATCCTGAGGATAACGCTCAAACTTTTTCAGGTGATTGATAACTTATCTAGTTGATCATTTGTTTGTTACCATTTTCAGATATTTTTATTGCTTTTTTCTGCTATCCTAGTAACTATATATATTGACTTAATGATCTCTGTAGATGGAGTTCCCAAAGAAGGACTAAATAGTGTTAATGTATATGCAAAGCTTGCTCTGCATATACAAATAAAAGAGAAGGTAAGCCTACAGACTAAAATAATGTCCCTATCTTTTATAGAATTTTCAGTTTTGGTTGTGGTTTCTATATCTTAAGCTTCTTGTGTGATCAAATGTCTTAACTCTCAGCGTTTGGTTGACAGTTGAAATTTGTGGAAAATCCTCTTTTCCCCGACCGCATCATTGAAAGGTTCCCTTTACTAAGAAAAGATTTAAAGTTTTGGAATGAAGAACATGATAAGATACTGCTCGCTGCTGTTTCTAAGTAAGAAAGCGGATCCTTACATTTTTTAAAAAAGCATTTTTCTCTTGCTGCTTTCTCATATACATATATGTTTGTTTCTCTTCTCTTGAAACTTGATAAATGTAGGCATGGGTTTGGAAATTGGGTATCCATTGTTAAGGACAAAGAGTTTGGCATGGAAGAGTTCATCTGCAAAGAACTGAACACCCCTTACATAATTCCGACTACTGCTTCTGAACAAGCTGGCTTGCCAGAGAGTAGCTCGAACCAGAACAATGCTTCTGCTGCTGGAGGCCAGGAAAACCAGATTGATCTGGAGCGTGAGCTTATGCTAAAAAGATTTGTGAAAGGACGATTCAAGATTCTGGAATCAGTGATCAGATATGAGATTGCTGAAGAGATGGATGTATGTATCGTTCTGTGCTCCTTTTTTTTCTTTTTTTTGACATATAGCTGCAGCATTGTTCATCTGTATGTATTGACCTTCAGTTGCAGGAACAAAACGGTTCATATCCAACCTGTACTGAACAAGTGGAAAGTGAAACAATGGTGATGGATACAGTGGAAATGAGTGCTGTAGAGGCTGACAAAAATTTTACTGATGGACTTCCATCTCCGACCGGTGCTGAACAAGTGGAAAGTAAAACAACGGTGATGGATACAGTGGAAATGAATGTTGTAGAGGCTGACAAAGTTTTTACTGATGGACTGCCATCTCCAACCCGTGCTGAACAAGTGGAAAGCGAAACAAAGGTGATGGATACAGTGGAAGCGAGGGTTGTAGAGGCTGACAAATTTTTTACTGATGGACTACCATCTCCGATCCATGCTGAACAAGTGGAAAGTGAAACAAAGGTGGTGGATACAGTGGAAGCGAGTGTTGTCGAGGCTGACAAACTTTTTACTGATGGACTCCCATCTCCGATCGGTGCTGAAGAAGTGGAAAGTGAAACCAAGGTGATGGATACAGTGGAAGCGAGTGTTGTAGAGGCTGACAAAAAAATTACTGATGGACTCCCATCTATGACCAGTGCTGAACAAGTGGAAAGTGAAACAACGGTGGTGGATACAGTGGAAATGAGTGTTGTAGAGACTGACAAAGTTTTCACTGATGGACTGCCATCTCCAACCTGTGCGGAACAAGTGGAAAGCAAAACAAAGGTGATGGATACAGTGGAAGCGAGGGTTGTAGAGGCTGACAAATTTTTTACTGATGGACTACCATCTCCGATCCATGCTGAACAAGTAGAAAGTGAAACAAAGCTGGTGGATACAGTGGAAGCAAGTGTTGTCGAGGCTGACAAATTTTTTACTGATGGACTGTCATCTCCGACTTGTGCTGAACAAGTGGAAAATGAAGCAAAGGTGATAGATACAGTGGAAGCGAGTGTTGTAGAGGCGGACAAAAATTATACTGATCGACTGCCATCTCCGACCCGTGCTGAACAAGTAGAAAGTGAAACAAAGGTAATGGACACAGTGGAAGCGAGTGTTGTAGAAGCTGACAAAAATTTTATTAATGGACTGCCATCTCTGACCCGTGCTGAACAAGTGGGAAGTGAAACAAAGGTGATAGATACAGTGGAAGCGGGTGTTGTAGAGGCTGACACAAAAATTTCTGATGGACTGCCATCTCCAACCTGTGCTGAACAAGTGGAAAGTGAAGCAAAAGTGGTGGATACAGTGGAAGCGAGTGTCCTAGAGCCCGACGATGACTTTTTTGATGGACTACCTGATCCTCTCAGTATGTTTTGTGACAACTTTCTACATTTGTTAATAAATAAATTTCTTTAGTTTTTTTGTTTCTAACAGAGAAGTCTTTAATCTCGCAGCTGTAGAAGAATTAAAAGCAGGCAACTGGAAACAAAGGGCTAAACTTGCTCAACTTTATAACGAGGTAAATGCAAATGACTTTTTTTTAAGGTTAATAGTTACGTCAAGAACTAATCTTAACTTCTCTTTCTATCTCTCTCTCTCAACACATTTCCAGTTGTGTGGAAATCACGTTGGGAGCTCACGCGAGACATTCGAAATATCTATGAATGGACAACCTCTGAGTCCAGAACTGGATACCTTCAGAATAGATTATGATGCTGAGATGAAAGAACTAGAAGAAAAAGCTGTGGAAAATGTTGATGTGAAAATGGATGAAGCAGAAACTGATGTCATTGTGCACCAAGAGCAAGAACCCAAAATATAGGTGATGCATATAATAAGAACTATACTTACTTTCTATCATTTCTCAGTATTCAAAAGGGACATGGATTAAGAACTATTGTTACTTTTATTTATTATTGTTTTGGATTAGATTGAATTTTTACTATTCTCAATTTAGCAGAGATGGGTCTCGTTTTTTTTTTTTGCTTGTATTTATCTTCCAAACAATCGAAAAATTGCGACCGGGTTCTTGACCATGAGTAGTGGTACTTAACCCAATTAGGTTTAAAGCGTATAGTAAATAAATCAGAAACCAAATTTAGTTAGGATATGTTTAGTTAATACGTAGCTTCGATCTTTGTTTATGATCATAAATATTTTCTAAATTGAAGTTTTCCAAAATAAGAACATGTTCTTGATCAAATTAAATACGTCCGCTAACAAACCTTGAAGTTGAAGCAACTCCAAATTAAACGGTATTAAGCTCATGAGTGCAAAAGTTGTTTCACTAACCTCTTCCTTTATTCTTAGTTTAATCTTTACTTGTCTTTTCCCTTAAAAAAATTTTTTTATCTTTGTTGATCATCTTCTTTTAAGTGAACCAAAGAATTGCCTTTTGAGCCCTCTCAAAACACAAGACACATTAATTTATCTATTTGAACTATTGATTTAATTATTTTTATCTCTAATTGAGATTTGCATGGAGAGAACATTCCCTGACCATATCAATTAGGTTGGATTTGTTCGCATTCAATTTGATAGTATTTCACTTAGGAATCCTTGGATTGAGAAGGAAAGACAGGGTTATTAATTTATAACGCAATATACATACTACATACATGTATAATATATAGTATTATTGATCATATCAAGAAAATAAATAAATGAGAAAAAAGAGAAAAGAGGAAAAGAGAGGAGTAGCAGAAAACAGGGGAAAATGGTGGGAAAGAGGAGACAAAAGAGAAAGGCTTTAATTCCACGCTTACTCCAACTCCCAAACATATACCAACTTCCCCACGATACTTTCTCACTTTACACTCTTATACGCTATACACACACTACACCTATGAAATTAGTTGATTTTGGGAATTTTTTTTTTTTTTTTTTTTTAAGGATTTTGGAAATTAGTGTTTGAAAAAAAAATCAACAATTAAACGAGATTAATATATAGCAATTTTAAAACAGTGACTTATTAGAGCATAATTCTCAGTATCATACCAGGGATAACAAATGATTATCCTAGTGATGTGACGAGTTTTATCGTATAACAAAACTCCCGTCGGACCAAGACATCCACATATCGGCAATGATATATACCTGACTATATATCTCATATATATGCATGCATGATGCATACACGTTTGTACTTTGTACGCATTTAAGCCTGTACGTCACGTATACTGTAACGATAGTTGGGTGGATATATAAACATGTTTCAATGGTACATACAGCAAGGGACAAGCCAGGCTGTGATGTTCCTAATTCAAGATTCCTTCTTACGAATCAAGATTTTGATTTAATCTTCTTTATTTGGCCGAATAATCAAAGATAATAATACCAACTAGAGGCAATTATTGATTAGTCTCCCTTTTCTCCTTGAATTGCTTGGTTTTTGGTCGGTTGGTTAAGAGGCTATTTCCCCGTTGTAAAGGCGTGGAAAAGTTCAATCGAAAGATCCAAACGTGAATTGTGTAGGAACCACTTTTATCCTCAAAATTCTGATAGAGAAATGGAGAAAATGTCAGATTATTTTCCTTTCAAAACTGAATTACCACAACACTATTAGAGCTCTATGTATACGATATATAGAAATTCAAAACTAACTCAACTCCGAGATTTCTGAATTGATCAAAATATATAAACTAAAACCAACTGAAACAATTAATCATATTACAAACCAAATAGAAAAACCTTCAGAAGTTAAGGATATCCTTCATCGATCAGTTCACGTATGCATCATGCATGTATGCTTATGAACGTTTTTTGTTGGTAAAATATGCTTATGAACGTTTACATATAGTGTATACTTTTATAACTAAATCCATAAATTTAAGTATATATATTAAGTAAAATTTCGTCTGTTAATTGTATATGTGACGCCAGACACAAACGAAAAAAAGGTTTTCTTCCGTTTGACGTTTGCATTTGCATTTTGCAATATTTTTCTATGAATTTCAATTTTAAAGTTTTGGGTCTTTTGTTAAAGCCTTTAGTAAAAAAAAATATGCGGTTTTTTATTAAAATAAAATAAAATAAATGTCATCCTTTTTTTTTCATGTGAACCAAATCCAATCCCATCAATTGTGGTTGTAACGATGCTATAATGGGGACAATTATGTGGCTTTTTATCTGCAACAATAGTGTGTGCTTGGCCTTTTATGTAATAAGTTCATTATAAGGTCTTAGGGAAGGATAGCATCCCCGTGATGGAGGTCGTAGGGTTTGTATGATTCTGTACTGTCTTTTCATTTCACCTAACCCTATTGTGCGAGACAGATCATTCCTAGATTACTCTTCTATTTTATTTATACCAAGTTACTAACCAAATTATATGTGTATTACTGTTACAACTATAACTTCTTGCGTTAGTATATTTGAGGTGAATTAAGCAAAAAGTTTGTCTTGATGAACAAAAAAAAAAGAATTAGAAAATAAAACAAAAACTCTTCTTACGTGACGTTTTTTATTTGTATATATGCGAACCTAATTTAAAGCCTATAACAAAAAGAGCACATATCATAGGCTTTTGATTTCTGTATATCCCAATAGCATAAAATATACAAAATGGAATTATCTTTACAATCATTCGCATCTGAATTTAAATAACCTAATGATCATAAACACCACCAATAGTAAGATAAAGATATATCAGTGTTGAAACTTATCATCCGCATGCATAGAGCACTTAGAAGAAATTTACATTATTAATTATTAAAAACCCCTCGAAACTATCTAAAGAGACACATAGAATGGCTCCTTGGCATATGATTAAGCCCCTCTCATTTAACTTCTCATATATATATATAGGCATATGTTACACATCTTATTACATGCACAACCCAAAAATTGTTTTCAGATCACACATGCACCTATGTTAATGGCAACACATATCGATATAATCCAAAAGCTTAATGTATATCCACGATTTCAAAACCAAGACCAGAAGAAACTAATCACTCTCTCCAATTTGGACCGTCAATGTCCTTTACTCATGTACGTGGTTTTCTTCTACAAGAAAACCACAACTACTCGCGACTTTGATTCGTTTTTTTCAGACCTGAAACTCGGGCTGGAGGAGACTCTGTCTGTTTGGTATCCTGCCGCCGGTAGGTTGGGTTTGGACGGAGGTAGCTGCAAGCTCAACCTCCGGTGTAATGGGGGCGGCGCAGTCATGGTGGAGGCGGTGGCGACAGGTGTGAAGCTGTCAGAGCTTGGTGACTTGACTCAGTACAATGAGTTTCATGAAACTTTGGTTTACAAGCCTTCCTTTGATGGTGATTTCTCTGTGATGCCTCTTGTTGTTGCTCAGGTAAGTTTATCGTTACCTATACATTTGTACTTCTGCAAGAATTGTGATTAATTTAGGGTACCTAAAAAAAATGTTGGTACTTTTTGTTTTTTGCCAACATATTAGTGTTAGTATCTTATGTGTATTATCAATGTTTATATACGTACTTTCCTAGATGATCTAGAGATTTCATCTATATGATTCCTGCCCAATTAGAATAAACCTACACACAAACAATTTACTCGCTGAATTAGCTAGCTATGATAAAGAATTCTGAGATCAAATTCGAGTTAGAACGTACGTTCATGTTACGCAAGTTTATAAGCAAATGTCTTCGTCAAATCTAGTTGATACAAAATTTATGCTTTAGCTTTTGATGTTTTGTTGGTTCTGTGTAGGCCAAGCTAATATTCCATGTTTCACCATTAAGTAATGTTCTTTAAGGCAACTACGCAAGCATATTACAAAATTAAAAAGTTGTTGAACCCTTGATTATTTATTTATTATTAATAACCAACAAAACATATAAAAAGGTCTACTAAAAATGTGATTTCATGATATGAAAAAATGTGATCATTAATGATATGGAAAAAGAATCTAAAAATCTAAAATTTAAATTTGATTTGATGTTATATCGACGTATAATAAATCATAAATGTAGGTGACAAGATTTGCATGTGGAGGTTACTCAATTGGAATCGGTACAAGCCACTCACTATTTGATGGAATCTCAGCTTACGAATTCCTTCGTGCGTGGGCTTTCAACTCTCACATTCACAACAAATCCAATGGTGAGATTACTAATAAAAAGGATAATTTGGTCATCAAACCGGTTCATGACCGAGGAAATCTACTGTTTAACCGGGACGTGAACCAGAGCCGGGATGCTACCCGTGTAACCAAGGCTGCAGCCATTTATCATCTGTACCAGCTAATCAAACAAGCCATGATGACCCATCAGGGACAAAACCGTAATTTTGAGTTAACGGACTCTGGCTTTGTGATCAAAACCTTCGAGCTTATGGGCGAAGCGATAGAAAGCCTGAAAAAGAAATCACCAAAAGGGTTCTCGTGCACCTCCTTTGAGTTTCTTGCTGCTCATTTGTGGAAGGTAAAATGAAGAATTTTTTTTTAACTTATTGTTTTCACTAAATTTCCTTTTATTTGGTGGAGTAATGTGCTTTTCCAAATGAAACCATAATTAAAAAAAAATAACAAAAAATTGTAAACAAACGCAAACGGAATGAAAGAACTTCAGTTATGTTTTGCGTTTGGTCTAAAATTTCTCAAAACATTTTGTATAGAAAGAATATTTTACAAAATTGAAAATAATATTTTAGCATGTAAAAAAATTTGTACCTGAAATAATCAAAGCCATTATTATAAAGAATAATTTTAATCGTATATGCGTTTTTTGCAGGCAAGAACAAAAGCTTTAGGGTTGAGGAGAGACGCCATGGTGTGTTTACAATTCGCGGTGGACATAAGGAACAGGACGGAGCCGCAACTGCCCGAAGGGTTTTCCGGCAACGCCTACGTGCTTGCCTCGGTGGCATCAACCGCCGGAGAATTACTAGGAGAACTAACACTTGAGTCGATAGTGAACAAGATTCGAGAAGCAAAGAAGTCCATTGACCAAGACTACATCAGCGCTTACATGGAAGCACTTGGAGGAGGTGACCAAAGAAATGACGGAAATCTCCCTCCTCTCAAAGAGCTAACCCTAATCTCCGACTGGACAAAAATGCCATTTCACAATATTGGCTTTGCCATTGGAGGCGAGCCAGCGGATTACGTGGCGCCACTGTGTCCTCCGGTGCCACAAGTTGCTTATTTCATGAAGAACCCTAAAGATGCTAAAGGGGTTATTGTGAGGATTGGTTTGGACCCACGAGATGTTGATGATTTTTCAAATGATTTCCTTGGCTATTACTAGGCTGATGTGATATAATTAATCAGTAGAATCTTTGTTAATTACTTATCTATATGCATATTGTGATGATATTGATGGCTCCTTTATATGCATGCGTGTGCGCAAAAGGCACTTTATTGTAATTGGGTTATGATTGATTTATAATGACATCTATATTGCTTTGTGTATTTGTCGTTATCACTTTATTTTCCGAATAGACTTTATAGCCTTCCGGAATTTCTGGATATAAATATAAACATTTTAAAGTTATGTTATAAATAAATCTTTGTATATGTAGACTTTTTTTTTCCCTTAGGTCCCGAATGTTTGGTGGTTGACACTGGACACCTAAAGCCAGGTTTTGGGGCATATATGGGTTCAAGTTACAATGCCTCATGGCTGAGCTATATGCCTCATGCAAAAGAATGTTCATAATGAGTTATAAGATTGATGACCAAAATTATTCAAGATAAAATTCGTTTTCCATCATTATTGGTTCATGATGGGGTATTTTTTTTTAATATAAATTACACTGCAGAGGGCACGATATATGTGATAATACAGAGCATTTTACATAATTTTATGATTGTTTGCTATGTTGGAGAGGTCTTTCAAAGTCAAGTTTCAACGCATGAGTTTGGTTCTACTTGATGGATGTGTAAGACCACACACTCTTTAACCGCCAAACACATTTGACTCCTTTTTACATAGTTTCGCCGACACACAAGATTTGTAGGTAACACGAAGATTTTGCCCTCCTGATTCGAAACTTAAATAGCAAAGAGGGCATTTTGAATTTATTTATTTATTAAATTATTCTGCTTTTGGATCTAACTAAGTCGCTAAAACCAGTGGGTAAACTTGTAACAAGAACTTACAGTTTCCTTACAAAGAAGAGAGACAGAGAGAGACAGAACAAAAGATAATATTGTGCCTTAAAACACACACTTTCTCATGTTGACCACAAACAAAAGATAAAAAAAAAAAGACCGCTACTCAGATGCATGTTCTGAGTGAGTTAAACCATCCAAAACCCAAATCTCCTTCCGAGAAATCAGCTTGGCTCTGTTCCTGTTACATTCAAAGAAAATAAAATCTTCAAATCTACACACATCTACAAGTGACAAATGCGCAGATTAAATCCTTCATACCTGTGTCATAAGGGTGTTGACTAAATCATCTAAGGAACCAGCATCTGAAGCCAGGAAGTCGCTCTCTAGCTTATGTTGTCCCATGAATAAACCTTCCTTTGGATCGCTACTTCTCAACTGTTGAGCATCTGTCATTGGCCCTAAGTTGTATGCATTTGAGGATCCCAAACCCGTGTTTCTGCAGAAAGAAGACGGCTCTTTATCCAGCGGAGTGGCTGAGTCAGAGAACAGGTTCCATTCCAAGGCGTCTGGTTTTGAATGAACATCACTCTGTGGAACGTTGGGTGACAATACAGAGTTTGACCAATGATCCAAACGCTTGTTGACCTCGAAATGAGGTGAAAACCCAGGGTTTAAAGATGGAGATGATGACTGTGCGTGACCCTCAAGAACCATTGGAAAAGCCTTGTTGTTGTTGTTGTTGTTGTTGTTGTTTTCGATATGAAGCCCGTCTAGTGGCGGAATCGGCAACCCCTGAAGTATGTATCCTCCGTCGTTGTGGTTACGAGGACGCGATGATGAGACGTGTGGGAACATCCCTGAAACGGAATTTAGGCGACCAAAAGTCCTATTTGAAAGGTAATGTCTCATCGTTGCGGCTCCACCGTAGAACTGACCGGAACCTAGAGGTATTGCGCGGTGGTGGTTGTGGTGGCCGCCAAGTCCTTTGAGAGAACTCATTTGCATGAAATGTGAGTCAATGGCCGCCATGTTCGCTTGTTGATTCGCTTCATTGTTTATTTTCTTCAAGGCCGATCGGTATTTCTGCAACCAATAAGACATTTTTACAATTGTGTTAGTGGAAATCATATTAGTAACACAAGAATGGATCAAACAAATCAGATGATGAATCGTAGTAACCTGAAGGTGGCTAGCGACATTCTCTCTTGTGAGTTTGTCAACATTCATCAGATCAAGAATCTTTTTTGGTACAGCCTCTGCAACATTTTAACTTAAAAATCAGAAAAGAGTATGATTACGCAGAGAAGCTAATTAGGTAGAGTGATGAAGAAAGATATCTTACTCTCAACGCCCAAATGATCAACAGCTGCTAGGAATTTATTGTGCAGCTCGCGCGTCCATAGAACACGAGGCTTCTTCTGAGCCGTTGGATCATCGTTCTCATTCCCTCCTCTTTCTTCTTCGTCTTCTTCCTCTTGAAACTGATCTTTACGTTTTCTGTTTGCTTTCAGGCGGTTCTGATCAGGGTTTCCATCAGAGTCACCATTACTCAGACTGCTCTTCATCTTCTTGAGCTTGCTTTTTCTCACCACGTGCTGCCATATGTTCTTGAGCTCCTCAATTCGAACCGGTTTGAGCAGATAGTCGCAGGCTCCGTGCTTGACACCTTTCATCACAAACTTTGGATCGCTATGCGCAGACAACACTGCAAAAAGAAATCATTTCATCATGTTCAAAGATCAAAACTTTCTCTGTAGGAAACATGAAACAGGACACAGGGGATTGTTCCTACTTATGACAGGTAAGTCCATTTCAAGACCAACGAGCTCAAGCAGCTTGAAACCATCCATGTCTGGCATGTCAACATCGCTAATAACGAGATCAAACTTGTCCCTGTTCTCCCTCAACAACTCCAGTGCGGTCTCTGCCCGGTCCGTTGTTGTAACTGCACATATAATTATCCCCCAAAGTCTCAATTTTTACAGAGCAATAGATTCTTTTTTTTTCAATTGCAACGAACTCAAAATAAGTAAATTAAGAACCAATGAGCTTTGTGACTCATGTGGAGTAATAAAATTTAAAACTTTGGATTTTTATAGTAGCATATCGAATTTGCTCAAATGGTGAATCTAACTAAATCTTAATTCGATTCCTCAAACCTCTCTTTAAAAACATATAAATCTACAGAGGAACCGGATTATATTGTGTGACAAGAAACGAAATCTGAGGCTAAATTTTGTAGCTTAGTGGATAACCAAATCCAAATCTATAAATAAAATAAAAAACAATCCCAGAAACTTTATAAACAAAATTGCAGAAAAATAGAATGCTAAAGACAGAGGGGGAGAGAGAGAGAGAGAAGGAACCATGGTATTGGCAGCGATGAAGCAAAGTCTCGAGAATTCGAAGACAAGTTTGGTCATCGTCAACGGCGAGAACTCTCATCCCCACTGGAAACTGGTCCACTGCTCCAAAATCTTGTTTCACCGTCATCGTGAGAGATTTTTGACGAACCCCGGAGAAAGAAAACAAAGTTTAGGAATTGAAGTACAGAACAACAACGTTTGAAACATACAAGGATTTATTAGTAGATTATATAAAAATCCAATGAGTAGCCTGAGAGAGAGAGAGAGAGAGAGAGAGAGAGAGAGAGAGAGAGATTTTAGGAGTTTTAATATTGGGCTGAGAGAGATAGAGAGAGAAAGAGACAAAAGTATTATGAAAGAGTCATTTTTCTTTTTTTCCCCTAGCAGAAGAGAATCTAAAGCTATATATGGTTACTGAAAACTCTGTGATGATCTTCAAGACTGGCCAATTAGCTCATTTATGGAATTTTCTTTTATTTTTTAATCCAATTCTGAATTTTTAGAGTGGCTACAAAAAATAAAGAATAATTTCGAACGAGAATCTGTTGGAAAATTCAGTGGAACGATCGATCATTCGTGCGTGGGATTCACGCGCCTCATGGAGCGGAGTTTTGTCATTGGTTTGGCTTCTTTTGACTGTCTGGGAATATTATTTATTTCCGTTGGGAATCCAAAAAAAAATACTTATTAACTTGTCCGGTTCGGTTTCAACCAAGAGCCGATTCGGTTTATATACTTTTCTACATCGGTTCGGTATGTATATTATCATAGGAAAAATCTTTGGTTAGAATTTTATTATATAATGGGCCATTTAGATTTACATTTTTTTGGTATACTTCTCATTTTTTGTGCTTATGGTGTAGAAAAGTTGAGGAGGACTGGTAAACCGATGTGTCTCTAACCAGAATCATAAGCGGGATATTTCGGTTTTGTTACTTACCGGATTCACTACATGCCCCTTGGAATAAAAATATCAAATTTTGTTCTTTGGATTATAAAGGTAATTGAAAAGGAAAGAAGATTAAAATTAACCTAACGAATATGGGAAACCTTTTTATGTGGATGATTCTGTATATCATGTAATTAAGTTTTGAGATATGTCTGAGATCTTGTACCAAGTATTCAAGGCAGAAAATATAATTCTAGTTATTACCATAATTTGAAACAGAATTAAATACTTTCCTAAATTAATGCCCTGCGATTTAATTGACTCTCAAAATCGAGTGTATGGCAAAACATTACAATGTAAATTATAGTAGTGTAAGTTTTAAAAAATTGGAAAGAATTGAGAAATGGACAGGCTTTTATAAAGAGAGACCGTGGTGAAAGCTGGGAAGTGCGAGACACGCGTGAGCGTGCTTCATGGCTTTTTCTTCTTTCGTACAGTTTCAGAAAGATTTAGGAAAGATAAGCATCCCATAATAAACAACTAATAATGGCTATTGCCGATGTTATCAACCTAAGACAAGAAGACTCTTTTAAAAATAATAACCAAAGACTTTCATTACTTGGATGATTTACTCTCTTACCATATGAGATTGTAGAAAAAGAACAAAAAAACGAAGAGAAAGATGATGTTACTGCTGTATGGTTCAGCATGTTTACAACTTAGCAGGTTCCGTATAAATAATGATAAATGATTTGAAGTCAGCATTAAGCACGGTATTATCAATCACCGACCAGTGTATTGTATTCGTTTATTAAATATTTGAAGTCAACAAAGAAATTTGCTGTCGCGAGTTTTGTTTATATAATCAGTAAAAGGTGGAGTATCATTTACTGGTCAGATAGTGCATTAAGCTACACTTCGTGTTGTAATTGTTATCTAAATTTCGTGAATCATGCTTGTTTAAACTAAAGTAAACTATTTCAATAGACAAGAATTATATAAGTTGGATAACGAGGAAAATAAAGATAAAAAGTATAAAATAAACATAAGAATTTCTTGAAGTTGGGTCCCATCCACATTCTCAACCTACACAAGCTTAGTGGATGCAAAATAAGATCCCAATGATTTTAATATACTTTATGTATTAATTTGGTAACAATCATATTGTAATGCTTTTTCTTGGATTGACCACCTAGCGTGTTCATTTTTGTGCCTTTCATTTCATTTTATATAAGTAGCTCTCTAGAGATGTTATTGAAAAATGGAAACATCTTAAGAAAATACAACCACATAATCTACACACAAAGAAAAAACGAGTTTTAACTTAACACTGAAATCAGATTTTAGAAAATAAAGGATGACGTAATGTAAACAAGATCAAGATTTTACTTTTTGAAAAGAACATCAACATATGTTCGATGCAATGCATTGGAGAAAAAAAAAAAAAACAACTTTCTAATACAAAATGCTATCATGAATCCCCCAGTTTTTTTATATTTTAAGTTGCAGATGACTTCAGTGATATTAAAGAAATGGGTTTTCTAGAAGCTCCATGTTATGCACCAAATCTGTTAAGATCCTACATCTTAGTTATTGGAAGTCACTTGTCATTAGCTACTGTCATTGGCTCCCATAGATATATATATATATATATATATTATAAACACATATGTTTACATTTTAATATGAGAAAGAAGATGTCATAACAGCAACACTTTAGGTTGTAATGTTTAAGAAAAAAATATGCAGAGGAAAAGATGCTGATACAATTTAATTATAGAATAAAGAAAATAATAATAAATGGTGGAAAATCAAAATGAACCAAAGTTGAGGTAATCTTGTCTCCCATAAGGGCTAACCCCAATAGTCATTAATATGCTTCATGTTCGGTTGCTTCCTAATCATTTCCTACTCTATTACTCTCACTTATTTATATTTTCCAAAATCAAGAAAAGCTATGAATATCATCATGAACCCTTTGTTCGTTCACTGATCGTAAATGTACTTGATATGTTTGTCGTTGACTTGTAGGTCGTCCGTTGTCGTGTTGATAAGAACATGGATTACTTGATTCTAACTGAGTAATACACAAAGTATTTTTTGGTTTTTTTTTAAAAAAACTTGGTTTTCTTTTCAAGATTATTCTGAAATAAATTCACCATTTTAAAAATTGAAAGTTTTAGTCAAAGTGAAACCCATATTGTATAAGTTAGAACTCTTTGACTCTATACTAACGTTAGTGGAAAACGGCTGCAAATCCTAGAAGTCCAAAGTCTTTCCACTCCATCTTCCAAAATTCCATATCTATACCTAATAATATTCCCATGATCACTTTACAAATCTCATTTCTACAAAGACTTTCAGTATGTATATATGATTTTCCCATTTGAAATTTATCTTTCACCAAATGTTATTCATGTATATATATAGTTTTTTTGTAATGAAATAGTTACAAACGTATACATACTAAATAAATATCAAGCTTAAGATTTGAACTAAAAACATATATAGACTAACAAAATTACTGATTCTTGAACTGAGATTTGATTATTTGAGAGTGTTTTAACATGTCGAGTGGCTCCAAAGTTAATTTTACTGGAAGAAAAAAAATTTATTTAACAGTTCAACAATCCATCCTAAAGGAGAATGGGCCCAAGTTTTCTTGTTTATTCATCTAAGGCCGTTTTGTTTCAGAGAAGCAGTCAAAAAGGCCGCACCAGTCTTTGACTCTAAGTAAGTATTATGCACCTAAAGACAAAAGTAGTCAAGACAAAAACAACAAAAAAGATTCGTGTTTACTTGGCGATGAATGAATTTAGCTTTCTCAACCATTGAATGAGCTCAATCCTATCCTTATTCATCATATATTCATGCAAGAAAAAACAAAGCTCCCCGTCGATTCCTCTTACTCGCAAAAACTCCTTAATCGCTGTCTGAAAATCATACTTCAAACTCCTGCGACGAAACAAAGAAGACAAGTTTCAGTATAAGATACTAAAATGCCTCGCTCTACATATATATAAGTGATTCAAAGAAAGGAAACAGATGCGTACTCGAATTTGGGTCCCATGTAAGGCTGACCAGTGACTTGGTTGCGTCTAAGCATGTAAAGCTTTTGAATTTCAATACGGTTAGGCCAGACGGAACAGAGGAACTCGATCTCTTCACTTCCATCAGCCTTGGAAATGTCGACAAGCAAGCTGATGTGGAGACGGAGATCGCGCCCTGAAGCATCTAAACCGGTTCTTGGCACAGTCATAAACCCATCAAACATAGTTGCTTCCATTTTGATTGTCTCGTCTCTTCCAAAATTTCCCTTCATCACGATGCATTGCTCGCCGGGACAATCTTGGACGGAGTATGATTTGAACTCAGTCGCTGGCTGCATTAGTTTTAAGTTGGAAAATGTATCATCACAAGGAAAGGAATCAGAATCAGCATCTCTTCTCTTCCCATTTGCTTGGATCTTAAAGCAAAACTCTAGTTCTTTGATTCAAATACAGTGACTCTTGTGTAATTTATCAATGTCTCCCTCATCAATCTACTTCACTAGAAGAACAACAGAATTGTCGAAACTAAGTACGCATTATAAACCTAACACAAGTGTAATTGACGGAAACTAATTCTCTAGACACTTGAATTCATTTCCCAGAGACGAATCACTCAGAACCGAAATCTAAGATTAGTTACAGAAAATTCGGGTTTCCAGCTGAAAATCGAGCTCTATGTTCCGGGTAATGGTTATAAGAAGACATCAGATGATACCTGATGCGGAGGAGCATAATCCGATTGATACTGGATCTCATTTCTTAAAATTCGCAGGATGTTGGATCGGAAGGGGGAATTAGCCGTCGCGATCGCGGCGTAGGATCGCCGCGAAGGGAGAACTGAAGTCGAGGTGGTGATGTCTTGTGACGACTGGTGAGTTTGTAACAGAGATTTACATCGAGCCGAAGAAAATAGGGTTCTTCTGGGATGAAATGGAGAATGAGAAGGAGAAATGCGAGCTTTCTGAAGAGTACGGAGCAGAAGAAGAGCCATGGAGGTTTTCAGGTTCGCCCACAATTAGGGCTCTTGAGTGGTTTTCATCTAATTGAACTGAACCAAATTAAACCGAATCGAAATAGCAGAGCTGATTGTGGGCTTTTTGGATGTCCATATGTAAGCATTGTTTTGTTTTTATGCGATACAAACAATTTAATGGGCTTTCCATATGCAAGCATTGTTTTGTTTTATATATCTTTTCATTGCGATGGACTTTTATTTAGTTGGCCCAATGGCATTTTAGACTAGACCAAGACTCATTCGCAAAGAGGATGCCGCGAATAACAAATGGAAATCAAACTCAACAAGCTACACATATGCAATCAATAAACGTGACAAGCAATTGATAAAGTTATGCAGTAATAACTAAGTAGTTCGATGCATGACATCATGAGTATGAAACTAGACTAGTTTATAAACACTAACTTCGGCCACACACCAAATATTAGGTGGACCAGAAAACTTTGATCGTTTCGTAGGTTATGATCATAAACTATATAAAAACAATTGTCTAGGTTAAAAATAACAAAGAAGACAAGTTTCAGTAGTATAAAAGTTTAAAAATAATTGTTTTACAAAAATTGTAAGAACATAAAGCAAACGTAGATGTTTAATACATGCCATAAGTGTTGTTGGCTTATCAAAAAATAAACTACATTTTCAACATTACACGGTTCCAACTAATACAGACACAAACACATCATTTACTACTTTACAATTTTCTACCAAAAAAAAAACATAGTACAGCGAAATTTTGTTCGATCATTTTTTTTTATATACTGCATAAATTGTTTGCTCCAAGCACGAAGGACTCCGAATCCGACCCGTCTAAGTTATCATTACAACATACCTTGCAATATTTTTTTTCTTTCTGTTTGTTGTATTTATAAAACTATACTTTGCAAGTTGAAGTCACTAGCAGGCGAAGTCCAAGGTAGGTGCGACCAACGCATAGATCTGAAAAATTCATGAATCAATATAAAACTGAGTTCTAGATTTTATACAAAACTATACGTTGACTTAACTCTTAAAGTCTAATTTTGGTGACGAGGGCCACGCATGCACTTCACTAGTGAAACAACAAACAATGCATTAATTATTTAACTAATCACTCGAAATCTATTGCGTGTAACAGATATATGATGATACAATAAGCAGCTCATGCATGGATCTTGCAAGGCTATAATCAACACTTCATTCGATGTCTCATGCTTGTATGGCGTTGAACCGATCATCTATATATACAGCTAGAGACGATTCTCTTCAATCATTCAAAACAAGAAATCTCCATAACATTCTCTTGTCACTACAAAAACATTATGGATACTTATCTCTTTTCTTTATTTGCCCCAATCCTCGTTTTCGTTTTAATCGCTCTTTTTAAGAAACCAAAGAAGCCAAAAGCTCCCGAACCGAGCGGTGCATGGCCCATAATCGGCCACCTTCACCTTCTCGGTGGAAAGGACCAACTTCTCTACCGAACCTTAGGGGAAATGGCTAATCGTTACGGTCCAGCCATGTCGCTACGACTTGGGAGCAGTGAAGCATTTGTTGTGAGCAGTTTCGAGGTGGCTAAAGAGTGTTTTACTGTGAACGACAAAGCCTTGGCTTCACGTCCTATGACTGCAGCCGCAAAGCACATGGGTTACAATTTTGCTGTCTTCGGGTTTGCGCCTTACAGCTCCTTCTGGCGCGAGATGCGTAAGATCGCAACCGTCGAGCTTCTTTCTAACCGGCGGCTTCAGATGCTCAAGCACGTCCGTGTTTCTGAGATCTCAATGGGTAAATTAAAAAACCACTGTTTCAAAAAACCTTTAGCTTATTCGGATGCTCATCACGTCTATGGTTTAGCGCCTGAAGTGGCCATTCCATTTCCCATTAGTTTTAGAGCATTTATATGTTTTTGAATGATCGTCAAAACTACCACGTTTTTTTATGTTTTGTTTTCTAAAATTCCAATATACCAAAATCACCCCAATTTTTTGATTTAAGAACGGTTCTTAGAAAATTGAAGTTTCTATTCAACTTTGTCAAAATCAAGAAATCCTATAGTTTTTTTTCGTACTATATATATGCCGATTGCTAAAACCTTGTTGTTTGAATATAACAATAATTATTGAATACGGTTAAGTAATTTTAACACCATCACATCACATGCAGGTGTGAAAGATTTGTATTCCTTGTGGGCAAAGAAAGGTGGTTCAGAACCAGTAATGGTCGATCTAAAGAGGTGGTTAGAGGACATGACACTGAACATGATCGTAAGAATGGTGGCCGGAAAACGATACTTTGGCGGCAGCTCAGCATCTTCCGAGGACACCGAAGAGGCGATGCAATGCAAAAAGGCCATCGCAAAGTTCTTTCACCTCATCGGTATATTCACGATGTCCGATGCTTTTCCGACACTAGGGTGGTTTGATCCGCAAGGACATGAGAAGGAGATGAAGAAAACGGGTAGAGAACTAGATGTGATTCTCGAAAGATGGATCGAAACCCATCGACAACAACGAAAAGTTTCAGGAAAGAAAGAGAATGATTCAGACTTCATTGATGTTATGCTGTCGCTTGCGGAACAAGGCAAACTCTCGCATCTTCAATATGATGCAAATACTAGCATCAAATCCACCTGCCTGGTATACCTTCAACTACCCATATCTTAAATTTTATAGTTATTATATGGATCTTAAACTAATTACCTAACTGGTTTAGATAAGTCTAGATGTAAATACACAATACAACTTGATAGATGATATTTATGATTTCTGTCTCTTTTAAGTTTTAATAATGATACAAATTTGAATAATCAGGCACTGATTCTTGGGGGAAGTGATACTACAGCGTCAACCCTGACATGGGCCATTGCTCTTCTTCTAAACAACAAAGAAATGTTAAAGAAAGCGCAAGATGAGATAGACCTCCACGTTGGCACAGACAGGAATGTTGAGGACTCGGACATAGAAAACCTGGTGTATCTTCAAGCGATCATCAAAGAAACATTGAGATTGTATCCAGCTGGACCTCTCTTAGGACCTCGAGAGGCGATGGAAGATTGCACAGTCGCCAGTTACCACGTTTCTTGCGGCACAAGATTGATAGTGAACGTATGGAAAATCCAAAGAGATCCCAAAGTTTGGATGGAACCAAACGAGTTTAGACCGGAGAGGTTTCTAACAGGAGAAGGAAAAGAGTTTGATGTGAGAGGACAGAACTTTGAGCTGATTCCATTTGGTTCGGGAAGAAGATCATGTCCAGGGTCTTCTTTAGCTATGCAGGTGCTTCATCTTGGTCTTGCTAGTTTTCTTCAATCGTTTGAAGTGAAAACTGTGTTGAATCTGCCTGTTGATATGAGTGAGAGCCCTGGCCTGACCATTCCTAAAGCCACGCCTCTTGAGGTTCTAATCAGTCCACGTCTTGACAAACAGCTCTTTGTGTGATATATAAGATGACTATTTGCGAAACATATATATCGCTTCAATAAGATTATTGAAGGTGCTTATGTTGTTTTTCCGTTTTAATAAAACCTACATAGGTTAGTTTTTTTAATTTTCAATATATATATGTGTTAATTTTCTTTTCTTGGTTGTATATATACGGAATCCATATTGTCTTTGTGTGTGAACTGGTCATACATCAAACCCATAATCCTCTTCTTTTTTTTTTGGGTTCGTCTGTCACAATCCTTAATTTGGTAGAAATGCTAATTACCAGAATAATTTAATGCATTAAAATTAAAAATCTATAAACAAATAATCAGTTACACAGTAAATTAACAGAAACGAAAAGAAAAATAGATTTTTTTTGGCATCGAATTTCCCAGGGAAACAAACCACGAGAGGGGTAAGAAACTGACGAAGACGAATCAGGATCTGATCCCTCTAATTTCACGTCAAACACCCGATTCTCCGTTTCTCAAAGCTCTCGATTCTCCGTTTTGCGATGCATTGAGGCGGAAAAAGAGATGTTTTGCAGAAACGTCTCGGTGAGGCGGAAGAAGAAACCTGGTTCGGTCCCTGTTCATCTCAATGTTTACGATCTAACCCAAATGAATATGTACGGTTACTGGCTCGGGATCGGGATCTATCACTCTGGTCTTGAAGGTAAATATCTCCTTTTTTTTTATAATGACTTTGTGTTTTTCCCCAAATTCTGGGTTTGATTGTTCCTGTGTTGCCGAGAAACATGGGAGAAATTCGGAACAGAAAAAGAAATCCTTTATCAATTTGGGTTGGATTGTAATATTGAATTGGGGAACAACAGCTGAGAAAGATGATTATACCCTTTTTTTATATTTTGCTGCTTGGTCTCTAGGAAAGTGATGAAGGATCGGATAAATTTGGATCAGAAATGAGATTAAGTGGCTAAGTTTGCTTCGAATGATGAAAATTGATACGGTAAAAATTGACTTATGATCCTCCTGGAAATTGACTTCTAGAAAGTGTGTGAGGATATCTCAATCTGTGTTTGATGATAAGAACATAGTGTAGAGTTTATTATTTTGCTGTTTGCTTGGCTTGTATTAATGAATCAAACCGGGTATTGAGGTGTTTCTATTACTTCCATAGATCAAGGGGTCAAGAACTCATTGTTCTTCTGTTGTTTTGTAGTTCATGGGGTTGAATATGGATACGGGGCACACGAGAAATCGAGCACCGGAATATTCGAAGTGGAGCCAAGGAAATGTCCAGGTTTCACCTTCAGGAAATCGATTCTGGTTGGTGAAACAGAGATGAAGGCGAAAGAAGTTCGAAGCTTTATGGAGAAACTAGGGGAAGAGTATCAGGGAAACAAGTACCACCTCATCACAAGGAACTGCAACCATTTCTGCAACCAAGCTTGTCTAAAACTTACTCAGAAGGCAATCCCTAGCTGGGTCAACCGTCTTGCTCGCTTAGGTAACCGAAAGTCCGAAACTTCATCACCATTTCAGAATGTTTCAGGGGCTTGAAGTAATAATCTCTGCGTTTGGTTTTTATTTTATTATGAACTGTAAGGTTTCCTCTGCAACTGTGTGTTGCCGGCTAGCTTGAACGAGACTAAAGTGAAGCGGGTAGGAAAAGATGGGAAGCTCTTGGAAGGAGAAAGTAAGAAGAAGAGGAAGAAGAAGAAGAAGGCAAGAAGCCGATCAGGTCCTTTAGCTCCATCTTCGTCTTGTTCTAATTCAAAAGTAGATAATAAGCCTTCACATATCAGATCAAGATCAACGGGTGATCCTCTTCCTCCTCCTCCTCCTGTTTGTTCTGTGGAAAAACTAAGACATCAAGTTCCTCGTGTTGCATCTGGAGCTCAAGTCCAGAAGACTCCAAGAGCAAACGCCAAGATATGATTCTTTTTTCATTATTCGAACGGCTAATTATAATTGTATATGAATGTGTGAGGTTACTTGCTTGTGCTTTATTACAAGTTATTTATCCTCCATTTTTAATCCGTTTGGTTTTTTTACTTAAGAAAAAGTGCTTATAGGGGAGAATCATGAATAAAAGAGTGTGTATTCTACGTTTTCTTTTGTATGGTTTGATGTAATTTTTGAAAAGTGTACATATTATTTGTTTGAATGTCATACGATTAAAGAAGATTAGTTATGTGTGCTTAATCTGAAAATTTGGATACAATACTAGCTAAACACTTAAACAACAGATGTTGATTTTGTAACTTTTGTTGCATTGGCAGCTTAGTTAATAGAATGTTTTAAATCTCTGTTCCAATTTGTTTACAGATGATGATGAAGAATGAATTTTCTTATTAGAGAACAAAAAGAGAAACTTGAAATTTAAAATGGGTTTTTGCCAAAAAAAAAAAAAAAAAAATTTATAATGGGCCTTATAGCCCTAGGCTTTACTGTTTCAAAACGACATGACCCACTATAAAAATACACTCTTTCGCTGTTCTGCAGCTACAACAAAATCCGTAAAACCCTACTTTCCCAGTTTCTCGAAAGCGCACATTCATCGCTCTGTTTATAGATTCCTTTCTCTTTAGCCTTCAACGAGGCCAAAAGTTTTGATTTTTGTTTTGTTCATTCTTGTTCTGGTATTTCTATTTGGTGGAATCAAATTGCATATTAGAGTAATAAAACTACTGTTTCTGTCATTTTGGTTCTGTTCTACTTGCCACTCGTCTTATGTCTAATAGGTGTCATTACTTGCATAGATCTGACTTGTTTGGTCATCTAAACAATTTGAATCTTATGATACAATTGTGTGGATGCTTCTTAGTCCTTAGACTCTGGTATTGGCTTTATGACGGTATTAGTTTTTTAATGTTTTTTTTTAATTTGAAGCGTTACGAAAATCCCTATGATGACTGATTAAGATAAAATGTTAAAAGTAGTGACTGATCTTGTTGACGAAACTTTCAGATCTGAGGGATTTTTATCTGCTTCGTTGTTTGTTCTTATGATTATGATTAATTTTCTTGGTTTTTAGTTTTTGAGATTGAAGCATACGATATGCGTCTGTGTGCCCTTTAGTTGTATCCCAATGATGATGAATAATTAAAAAAAAATGTTAAAAGTAGTGACTGATTATATTGATGAAAAATCAATTCTGAGGGATTCAACTAAGATTTTTCGATCGTTTCTTTTGAATATTACGTCTTTTAGTATTCAGACAGACAACTTCTTTGTTGCTTTCCAGCTTCCACTGATGACTGATATAATAAGAATAGTTAAAAAGTAGTGTGGCTGATATTTTCTTGTTGAAATCTTCAGTTCTGAAGGGGGTTTTTTTCTTCAGAGTTTATGTCTTAATATTTCATATTGATCGTGTTTTCACTTTTGTTTCCTACATGATTTGTTTTCATTTCTTGTGATCATATTGTATAACACAAGATATTTTCTCTTTTGCGTGAACAAGATGATGCTCTCTCCTGGTCTATAGTTTTCAAAAAGTGATATAGCCAATTTGTTCCACAATAATGAATTGAAGATAAAATTGAATTTGCAGACTTAGTTGTTACCATAGAAGCATATCAGTGAAGATCAGACAATGTTTTTGAATATAACAAAGGGTTTCGGTGTCATATGTAGACGCATGACTCAAGTCGATGGAAAAAAATCACACTTCGGAAAACTCACTACCGTCCGAGGCTACGCTCTGCAGAACCATGATTTATTGTAAATGCTCGTCCTAGAATGTTACCCTTTGAAAATTCAAAACTTCTGTGATAATGTGTTGTATAATCGGATAAACGATAGTCTCCTTTACATCAATGAGCCTTGGAGTTAGGGAAATTGCTCATTTAATTCCTGAACTATTTGCAATTGGCAAATTTATTTTCCAATTATCATGTGTGCAGATTATATTATGTTATGTTTTCTATTGTTATGAATGAAATTACGTGTATTTAATTTTGGTGATTTTTTTTTATTAGCAAATTTTTTGGTTATCAACCGGTGATTATTCTTCTATCATACGGTCATTGGTATGGTTAATCTATTAGAAGAAATAATTTTTATCAAATTTACTTATTTTTATCTATCTTTCTCAGTATATGGTAGTATTTGGTTAGGAACCGATGATTATTCTCCTGTCAATCGAAACTATTTGTTTTATTCAAACAGGTACGGAAAAAGAAAGGGTATAAGATCATATACCTTAATTATCTGTTCAAAAAAATATATATATATATATATATATTAATTTTTCCAAAATTTTCCGAATTTTCCTAAAATTATCCAAAATATATGTCTTGAAGTTGATCTTTACCCAAATTAGCGTGAGTTTGATAAGAGATTTTAAGTAAGAGAATTTTCCAAATCCGTTTCGTTCTTATCGGATTCCCATATTTCCAATTTCTATCCCTAGTCCTAAAATTTTTAAAGACACTTTTTTTAAAAAAAATATTGATGGTATTCTACAAATAATTATGATTTATGATTATTAGAAAGCATAATATAATAAAAAAATTAAAAAGTATTTGATGGTATTCTACAAATAATTATGATTCATGAAAATAATCATAATTTTATAAATAAAAAATAATCATTTAATTCTCCAAGTTTTTGAATTGTACGGATTAATTCCCCAACTTTTAGTTACTCAAATTAATTCCTCTAGTTTATGTTGACCTTGCAAAATTAGACCGAGAGAAGTCAACGCTAACGTTTCCGTTTTCTTCATTAACGTTGACTTTTCTCATGCCTAAATTTGCGAAGTCAATACTAAGTTGAAAATTTAATCTGCACACATAATAGTTGGGGAATAAATTTACTAATTGCAAATACTTCAGGAATTAAATGAGCAATTTCTCCTTGGAGTTATGTGATATCGTTATAACCGATATTATTATATAAAAATACATTTTTACTCTCCTTAACAATGTTTTGAAATCTATGTGTAATGTAGTAAACCGCAAGAGTTGTTTTCAAACCAACGTATAAGTGACTTGTTTTTCAAGAACATAAACTTTGCCATATTTTTTCCAACTTTATATCATGATATGCAATAGTAAGGATGTGTTAATTTGGATCAGAGATTTCAGGTTGTGTTTTGTCAAAAGTTGCTAGCTAGGGTCATCTTGTTCTATCGGAAAACCTTTAAACAAAACAGAGTTCACACACATGATGATAGTAGATATCAAAGTCAGATTCGTTACAACTGAATCACATAAAAACAAAGAAGAGAATACCTCACATCAATGAATTTTTGCCATAGATTTTATTTGATGTGTGTAATTCAAAAGTACGAAGTGGACAGATATGCCAAATGAATTAGAGGAGAACAAACAAGTGTAAACATGTACAGTATAAAAATAGGCCTTTAAATGGTTTTTGTTCGACTATATAATAATAACTATTGGGCCAAAACAAAATACTATTTTGAAGCCCTAAAAGTTATTAGTCATATAATAAAGCCCAGCAGTTATTTGGCTAGGGTTTCCTCTTATAAGTTAAAAAGGTTTAGTCGCCACTTCTCCTCGTTTAGCTTTGCTCCCCAGCTGCAAATCCCCCGACTTCAAGATGGTAAGCCTCTCTCCCTTTCTAGATTTCAAATATTCATTTCAATCAATCGTTAGTTTCTCCTGTTAGGATTGAATTAAAAGGTTGATGTTAGTTAAGAAATCGAACCAAATTAGTGATTTTGATCTCTGCTTTTGCGTAAAAAATGAAATGTTTCAGCCGTCGCACAAGTCGTTTATGATCAAGAAGAAACTGGGCAAGAAGATGAGGCAAAACAGGCCTATTCCTCACTGGATTCGTCTTCGTACCGACAACACAATCAGGTTCGAGAGAGTTTGTTTTTTTTTTCTTCATTTCCTTCTCGATTTTTATCAAATAGAAAGTATGTAGTCGTCTTGGTGTGTCGATTGAGCTCATAGACAATATGTGAGTTCTGAAACTAGAAATGCTTTGTGTTCTAATGGTTTCGTGTCTGTTTTTCAGGTACAATGCCAAGCGCAGGCACTGGCGTAGAACCAAGCTCGGATTCTAAGTGATCTCTTCTTCTAAAAGAATGTTATTTTCTGATGGGTTTAGCATTTCCAGTTTTTGGTTTCATGTTATGACATTTTCACTTTTCTGTAAGACCTATCGCTCTTATGATTGATGTTACCAAATTTTCTATCGATAAGAGTGAGTTACTTTATATCGATTTTGTTACTTGACTACTAAAGTATCTTGTTTTGTTCTGGCAATTTAAAACTTGGATTATGGTTTATTCATCTCTCATATGCTCGTGTCTGAAAAAAGTTTGTAAATTGCTTTTGCGTTCACTTACTGATTGGTTCTGATATTGTATGAGTACTTGGTCTTTGTTTATTTATGTAGCCGACTTTGTAGATGGTAATAGGAATATAACACATCATCAATCACAATCCGAGTTCTCTTATATCTATCTCTGAGCAATTCTCATTGTTAAAATATGCAAATACAATGGTCGCGTTAGGCCAAGTAACAAGGGAAAAAAAAAAAGGTTCTTCTATAACTCGATGGGGGTCTCCCAATACAACAAGGCCTGTGAAACAACACAGTCAAGTAAAAAGATTCCTCGGTAAAATGTCATTACAATGTATGAGCTACTTTATTAATTTAGCCATTTTGTTTCAAATAAGATGAAGAAGAAGAAGCTAAAAGGGTATATAAAACTTTTGCTTGTTATTGTCTGTCATAATACTGAGATGGAGACTCAGCTTACGTTGTGGTATGAGTCGATGATGGCATCAGCAAGGTACTCGCATTTCGCAAGAGACAACCCGGCCAACGATATCCTCCCGTCTTTAGTCATGTACACATGCCACTTGTTCGTCATATTATCACTCTGCTCGTTTCCCAAATAAAAAAACGAAATTCAAACTTCAAGATTTGAACAAAGCCAAAGATATGATGAAATCCAAGGAGAATCACAATTTGAGCATACCTGCGCTTTGTTGAGACCGGTGAAGGAGAACATCCCAATCTGTTTGAGAATGAAGGACCAGTCCTTGCCGCTTTTGTCTTTCGAAACGAGGCTATCGTACAACTTCTGTCTCACCGTCTTTATTCTTCCCGCCATCATTTCCATCTCTGCTTTCCATTCACCAAACATAGTTGCATCCCCCACGACATTGGCCACGATCCTCGCTCCATGAACTGGAGGGTTCGAGTACATAGGACGAGCAATCCTTTTCAATTGACTCTTTACCCTGAAAAAAATGTAAACCGTGGCCGTTGAATTGTCAGAAGACTTGAGAGTTGAGGCCTCATCACACTCACAGGTAAAGAAGAAATACGAAATGAGTTTATACCTAGTAGCAGCATCGGCTGATGAGCAGACGACATTGATTGCCCCAATCCTCTCTGCGTAAAGACCTAAGTTTTTACTATACGACTGAGCAACGAAAAACTCCATTCCGCGCTCAGCAAATAATCTCACAGATGCTGCATCTTCATCAAGGCTTCCACTAGCAAATCCCTGGAAAAACAAATAAGTTGATACGAATACTCGTCTTGGTAACACGATACTCGGAACGATAGTGGTTACATACCTGGTATGCAACATCGAAAAATGGGATATGGTTCTTTTCCTGAATGACATCAGCAATTTTCACCCACTGCTCTGGGGTTGGGTCAATTCCAGTTGGGTTGTGAGCACATCCGTGAAGCAAAATGAAAGATCCTTCTGGTGCTTCCTGTACAATTCACGTAACAGAACTCGTTATCATTGCAAACAAGTACTCATTTTAGATTACTCATCATATAAATGAAACTGTTGTAGATCAAGAAGAAACAGACCTTTATATCTGCAATCATCCCCTCAAAATCCAAACCAATGGTTTTGGGATCATAGTAACGGTACTCAGACCACGGAACTTTGGCATCGTTGAAGATGTTCTTGTGATTACCTGAAGTAGTAGTTTGTCAGTGGATAAAGGCTATTACATATGGAAAGCGAATTAGACAAATATTAATGGTCAAGGGAATGTACCCCATGTTGGTGCTGATATCAGAACTTTTGCTCCAGGAAAGTATCGCTCAATAAGAGCCGCTGCTAATCGCAATGATCCTGTTCCCGAAAGACCTTGGATCGTTGCTACCTGGTAAATCAAGAGAGGCAGTTGAAAATGAATTAGCTAGGAAAGAGAGAGAATTATGATCAGTGAAGCCATAGCTCAGCGAAAAGGGAACATAAGGAGAAAACAAGAACACAAGATCCGAACATACCTTTTGTTCCTTAATAACAGGGTGACCAGCTCCAAACAGCAACTCAGCAGTGGCTTTGTTAAATGCCGCCAATCCCTCGATTGGGAGATACTGCAGTTTTCATCAAAGTAGGGTTAATTTTAAGCATATATACTGCAGGGTGATGTGATTTCTTGTAGACGTTTTCAGGTAAAGTAAGTTACCTCTTTGTTATCTCCTCTCTCCAACATCAAATTCTCGGCCTGTAAAGAGAGAGAAAAAAAAGTAAGGAGATCAACTATCACTTAATCTCACAAAAACTAAGGAGCCATGCGGGATTATGAATAAGGAGGTAACTAAAAATCCAACCTTTTTAACAACGTTGAGCACATAAGGCTGGAGTTCCTCAGTTCGATACGCACCGACACCAAGATTGAGTTTCAGCTCGTTGGTGTCTGCTTTGAATGCTTCGCTGACTCCAAGAATAGGGTCTGGTGGAGCCATAGTTATACCCTCAAAACGAGAAGGCTGGACCGCAACCGTCATAGTCACCCGGCTAATGGACTGAAACCAAACCCCAAACTCTCAGATACGCTAATACAGATTACATACTACACTTATCATACTCTTAACAACATCTGAATAAATTATCTAACTCTACAGGAGTTCTGGATTCTAAATGTCATTAAGATTGTTCGTACGGTTCATATGGTTCGAGCAATAACAGAGTAAAGAGACAGTACCTTTGCTTTCAGGAACGGGTTCGATCCAGAATTTCCAAGCTTTAGCTTATCCTGTTCAAGTTCATTCGAAAACAAAAATCATTATCGCCAGTTTTATTCATTCTGCTCAAAAGGAAAATTGGTAATATGAACAAATTAATTTCTTTGCCAAACAAATTTCTACCATTTACTCGACAAAGCAGGAACAGAAGAAAGAAGTACCTTGTTAATCTCGCGCGGTAACAGAGAAGTAGAACCGAGAGACAGCATTGAGGAAGCCATGGATACGCTACGGAAAACACACAAAAAAGATGCACAGATCTCAAAATCAGTGAATTAGTACGAGGACGAGCAATTCCGACAGATGACGATCATCCACAGAAGATAGCCACACACACACAACAAAAGTGTTCAGGTTACAAAGATATGCGGGTTTATACAGAGCTGATTTATCACCTGGGCTTCGTTAGAATCGCGCGATTTCGAGAAGATCAGATCGAGATTGAAGAAAGGATACGGATCACCTAGAGAGAGTGTGACGATATGTACGAAGGAAATGTTCTACACTAGGCTTGTCTTGAGAGGGGTAAAATGGTCATTGATTAGTGTTCAAAAATCTACAAACTACAAAGAGTGGATTTGGATTCTGGATAGTCGTCGATGACTCACCAACACTTCAAAGCTATTGTCGAATGTAAAGATGCAACAATTCAAAGAGATAAGATTTTTGTTGAAACAATCCATAAATATTGAATATTTACTTATAAAAAATGTGACAACAGAAATTCTATATATAATAAGCAATTTACAGATACAAATACACTAGAAGTGAATACACACCTTCTTTCCTCAGCCCAAGAGTTCTTAAGCAAATCAGATCAAACTCTATGTATATAAAAGAGAAACAAAACAACAAAACAACAATTATTTTCTTTAAGATGATGACCGTAGAGTCCCTCCTAGCTCTACCGGAACTAATGGAACAAGTGAATGAAGAACATCGGTTATTAACGGTCGGTAACTCGGTTCTGGCTGTACACAAAGCACTGCCACAGCTGCTACCTGAGGAAATTGTTTCCGAATTTCGATTGGTTTTACATTTTGATTCCTAAAACTTAGAAAAAGAGAAAAAAGATGATTCAAACCTGGTATAAATGCTTATGATCCATTGTATCTTTGATAACCGGATCCACGATTTTGGGAAGCTTCGATCTATCCGTGAGCTGAGGCATTGCCTGAAGAGTTTACAAATCGGTACACTCATTAACCTATGGCATCTTGTTAGTGTACTTCATGGCATTAACATTGATCCAAAACCGGACTTACCCAAGTGACAAGAGATTGACATTGAACCGAGCTCAGTTTCTCAACCGGCCGTCTTCCTAGCAAGAGTTCAAGTAGAACCACCCCGAATGCATACACATCACTTTTATCCGTTAATTTTCCTGAGCAACACAACAGACGAGGAGAGATATAAACAGGTTTCAATTAAACAAACTCGGTACATCAGTAATTAAACCGATAGAGACGTCCCAGCAACCGCCATCTCTTGTAGTTTATATAATGATTCCATGTGATTAGTTGAGATAAAACATCAAAATGATTTGATTTACAATGATGATTTCAGACGTAATAAAAGAGGAATTTAATGTTATGGGGGTCACATGTAAACACATTATGATAACTATGGGCTACAAATCAAAGTCATGATAACGAGTAAAGTCACCAAAAATAGATGGAAATGTGAATGTTTTTACCATCTAGGAGATATTCTGGAGCAACATAACCAACTGTCCCGGATAGTTTAATGTTGTTCTTCCCGTGCACCCCGACCGTTACCGCAAGACCGAAATCCGAAATCTGAATGATCAAAAAAAAAATCATGTTTTGGATTGTCTGATGAAGCAAAGACAAAAGTTTCTTGAATTCCACGAAACAAGAAATGATTAAATACCTTGGCGTTGAAGGAAGAGTCAATGAGAATATTTGACGATTTAATATCTCTGTGGATAACCGGAGGGCGACAACGTTCGTGGAGATACTCTACACCTCTGTTTCCAAACCAACAAAAAGACGGTTTACTTAAACCGAGATGAATTAACTAATTGTGAAACCCGGTAGAGGGGGATTGATAAATGTGGGCTCTTGATTGTACCTTGCTGTATCAAGAGCAATCTTCATCCGCATGTGCCATGTTAAAGCCGATCCTCGAGAAGGTCCTTAACCATTAAATGATAAAAAAAACAAATAAATTTTATGATTGTATATAGAACAAAATTTATTTATTTCATGTCATCACATGATTTGTTTTATTATCTCATCACAATACAAGATCTATGCAATTAATTCTAAGCTTTTAAGTTGCATAAAACAAGATCGATCATGAGAAGGTAAAAAGACCATGTTATTAGCTTTTTACCGTGTAACTGTGAATCCAGAGATCCGTTTTCCATCAGCTCGTAGACGATAAAACTTGAGCTGATCTCGCTTCCATATCCCAACAGTGAGATGATGTTGGGATGGTGAATCTTGCTCAGCAAATCAACTTCGTTCTGAGATTTCCAGATGGTAGATTCGGATTCGGATTCAGATTCAGATTCTTGAAGTAAAACACTGATTACTTGAACTACTAGGGACTTACCTGAAACTCTCGTTTTGCTTCCTGGCTAACGTTTTCAATCTTTTTGACCGCTGCTAGAGTGTGATTGTCTAAAGAGGCCTTGTATACAAATCCGAATCCGCCTCGTCCTACAAGATTGCTGTCTTTGAAACCGCCTGTCGCTTTCTCTAGTGTCTTGTAATCGAAGGACTGCACAAAACCCTTCTTGGATATTGAAATCCCACTCTCTTCCACATATACAAAACCATTTTACATATCAAAATATAGAAACACAGAGAGAAACAAGGTTGAAACTTTGATACCATTAGGATCAATGAGTTTCCCATCCAAACACAGAATCTTGTTACACATGTAAATTAAAATATTTTTTAATCTTGGTTTTACTACGGTGGAAAAAAATGATTTACCTGAGTTCTTGGTGGTTTTGGGAGATTTCTTAGACAGATGATAAATCCAAAAGCATAAACAACAAAGAATTATAAGTCCTAGAGAAGAGGAGCTGATTATGAGGGCGATCAGAAGTTTCTTGTGTGCATCTAACTTGTGTTCTTGGCCTCTACCCATCTGGATTCCTGAGATGAGAAAATAAACAAAGAAACCCAGATAAGGTTCTTGAGATTTTCCATCAAATTTCTAAATTTGGATTCTGTATGGAGAGAAAGAGACCTGGAGAGAAGGAAGCCATGGATGTGTAAACGGGGGAGAGAGAAGGCTGTGAAGCAGGTGGATGAAGTGCACTCGAAGCAGAAACACTACAGAGGAATTCGATAACAGAGACCTTGAGAAGAAAATGAAGTATCTTTCTCATTTGCCTAACAAAATCAGATTCACTCTCCAGACTTTTTGGATTTTTAAAGTTGAAGGGAGAGAGATCTTAGATATTTACGAAGAACGTTTGAGATTTCTCTTCGAATCTTTATCTCTATCTCTCTCTTTCTCTCTCTAATGGAGATCTCTTTAATTTCGTTTCCTTTTTTCTGTCTGCATAAAGGAGGGAAAGAGAAAGTGGTTTTTCAAAAGTCGAAATCATTCGCCAAGTTCTTTCTTCCTTTATCATCAAATCAGCATGTGGTTTGAATGTGATACTTCTTAATTAGAACAACAAAATTTTAGATTCTTATACTAACCAAAACACTTCATATTAATCGCTGCAAGAATTCTTATATTGTCAATTATATCAATTACGAAAAAATACGAATTAAGAATAAACTTTAGAATGTTCAAATGCTCATATTATCTTTTTAGTATACATAACCTGAAGAGTTTACTACTGACCAGACAACAGCAAAAGTTGACCAGTTTTGTCAAACCGACAAAAATAAGATAACTTTGTTCCGTCCCCTTTTTCTAACTGTTTGTATTTTTCTTTCCAGACAAATTATAGATGAAACTCATTTTTTCCTTTTGTTTTTGTTTTTGTAGAAATAACATATTTCGGGAAATGCATATATACACACTTTTACACTATTATGAAAGTCAACGGCAGTAAACATAAAAGTAAACTACAGTGATTGAAGTGTATAAACTTCAGTTGCATCGGATAGTCCTTATTTTATACTCACTCCATTCTTAAATGTATGATGTTTTAGATTTTTTATTTGTTTTATTAACATTGATGTTTTAGAGTATTAAATACATATTTTGCATATTTCAAAAAAAATAACTAAAATTATTTAAATCCTTAAATCACTATTAGTTAATAAATAATGATTGTAAAAAAGTAATGTACTAATAACTAAAAAATAACTCTGTAAACAAGCTAAAACATCATATTTTTTGGAACGGAGGAAGTACTTGATAGCTAGACATAGCAGAACAACGAACGAGGAGTACTTTCACATGCGACCCAAAAGCAACAAGTAGACTAATTTGGCAAATAACATGATGCAACATATATGGGAGTGTAATTGTAAATGTCTGAATATACCATTTGAGTAATATCCGCACATGTGACACAATTTCAGCTGGCTAATGATCAAGTTGACCTAGAAGAAGGACATGTGAAAAGAACAGACAACTTAAAAAAAAAGAATGAGAAGTTGAAACCTTTTTGGATCTAATTAAATTGAATTCGATGTAAGATCCAAAATGTTAGTTCCTGGAGTTCCAGTCATAATCAAATGAAGAATTTTTGAAGTTATAACGCACTATCTGGAATTATTAATAATGCTATGAAATCATTTTATTTCATCAAGAACATAATTTTACGTACGTAAGGATGCATGTACATGCATTTATGCACAGAATTGACGGGATAAGAGAGGAATGGGGGTAAGTTATTAAAGAAACCGATCATTGATTAATGGACCAACCTATGCATTGTAGTATCAATGAACCGATCATTGATTAAAAGGAGCTAGCTACCGTATAGACTTTTTCTGATTAACGCTCCAAAATCTTATGCAATTATTTCCATTTGACAACAAACTTGTGTGTATAGCTGAGTTATATCAGTTGAAAGTACTAATTGTGACTGCTGTTTTAAAAAAGGCCCCTAATCAACAAATCTTCCGTTCATTATCCTGATCCTTTGGGCTACACATATAGCTGCAAGCCCATTTAATAAAAACAAAACCAAAACGTTGATTTTGGCAATTCGGAGAACATGCACACGTTGCGGTTTAGAAACCGTGAACCACATATTCTTCATGTTAATGATGAGTTAGGTTGCTCCAAATCCAATACAACATTTTGGGTGAGTTTTAATGGTCTTGGGGCAATAGAGTAAATAGGTTGAAATATGAAGGGACGTGTACGTGTTAATGATGAGGTAGGGACCCACACCACCACACGCAAGAGAAAGCACGCAGCTGTCTGAAATGAGAGACGCACATTCTTAAATAAGAGTCGTCGTGGGTTCCTCTCTCAGCCCTAGAAACCACTTCATTTTCATGCGCCTCTTTCACGTTAAAGCTGATTATATATATATATATATATATATACTTTAAATCTAAGTAAATATTTTGGTCGACCACTTCTTTCATTTCAAACGTTGTTGTCTTTTACCTATTCCCAATACATATATTCTACTTGACTTTTTTTTTAATTAATTTGAACGTATACAAATTCATCTATCCACCTAAAAATATCTAAATTTTAATGGGAAGTAATCGACATTAAAATAGATCAATGTTTCTTGTTTATCTAGTAGTACAACATTTTGATCGTTATTTATTATCACGTGTTATCGTTTTATTCGCTTTAGTTTCTTACTGGGACATATATACAGAACATGCATAACATTATTTATTTATGGATAAGTAGTGTATGAGTAAAGCTTACTCAAAGGTCGTCGCGAAGTTTGCTTCCAGATTTATTTATACGTCTTCTTCATCCAACGATTCTTATTTCTTAATTTGGTTTCAGGATAATGGTAAATTTTTTAAAAACCGGCTGCATTTCTCAAGTCTGCTGACGCCATCAGTTTTCATAAGATACATCAGCGGGTTTTATAAAAATAAAAAAGTTCCTTCTTTGTTTTCATCAAAAAGTCGCATCTAACGGTTCAGAATTGTTTTCATATTAATCCGAAGGTGTCTTGACAAGCCTGTGTTGTTCAGTGGAGATTCCTCTCATACACCAACTTCTTCATTCCATTTATATGATTATAATTCTCATTTCTCGTAAATCCTCTGGCACTTCTTCGTATTGCCCCTTTTTTCCGTTGTCTCTCTCGATTTAATCTTCACTTGGTCGACTTTGACTTTGACTTGTTCGAACTTCAATTCTCCGTCGCAAGTATCCGTTGTTTCCATCGAATCCGCTCTCTGTTCCAAGGTAAGGAAGGATTAACTCTCCGGTGACTATGCTCTCATAAGTCTTACTTCTTCGTCTGGTGATTAAGTTCGAGATTGTATTGTCCGGAAGATTAATTTTTCGGTTATGTTCAAAAGGCCGTAGATTTTGGAATTAGGATTCTGGGAATCGCAGAAGATAAGCTGTAGAGTCTTGAGTTTGACTTGGAATTTCTCTCCTCATCTCACAGATTGACTACGCAGCGCCGTCTCCGTTCTCTGTAGCCACTCATCTTCTATTCTGCGCCGCCGTATGCATTCTCTGTTTCGGTGTCGAGGGGGCCATTAATGTAGATTTGCCGCGCCATCTCCGAAAATATGAATTTGGGTTTCTTCAAAATTGATCATCTTTGGGGTCAACGAGCTCGGTTTCTTCTTCGTCATATCTAATTGAATCGGGTTTTCTTCAAAACTGAAAAACCCGCTTTGAAGAATAGGACAAGGCTCTTCCTTTATCTGATTCGACTGACAGTTAAATCGGCTCACTTGGTCAACCATGGAGTCAACAAAGGTTTGCATGAACGCGCAGTGTGGAGCGGCCTCGACGTCCGGCGAGTGGAAGAGAGGCTGGCCGATGCGATCCGGCGAGTTAGCCTCTCTCTGCGACAAGTGTGGGTAAGCACAACCTCACTCTCAATTACAGCACGAGATAATTAATGCTTGAGATGGATCCATGTCTATTTCATTAAAGTTGATAACTTTTTCAATTTTTTTTTGTTGTTGGTGAATGTTTGGTTTTCGAATAGGTCTGCATACGAGCAATCCATTTTCTGCCAAGTGTTCCACGCCGAGGAATCTGGTTGGAGAGAGTGTAATTCTTGTGACAAGGTGAAGATAATCCATGGCTTACATACTCAACACATTCCGATTGTTTTTCTCAATACCTTACTTGTTTGTGCGTTTCTCAGCGTCTTCACTGTGGATGCATCGCTTCCAGATTCATGATGGAGCTTCTAGATAATGGCGGCGTTACCTGTATAAGCTGTGCCAAAAAATCCGGACTATTTTCTGTAAGTCTATTTCTCTTCCCTATGATCAAACCTTCTTGGTCTTGGATTCTCTGTAATGTAATGATACTCATGCAATCTCTCTTCACAGATGAATGTCAGCCACGAAGCCAACGGTAGGGACTTCCCTTCATTTGCTTCACCGGAGCATGTAGGCAGCGTTCTCGAGAGGACCAATCTCAAGCACTTGCTTCACTTTCAAAGAATCGGCACCACTCAGTCTTTGCTCCAAATGAAACAAGAAGAACCTCTGCTTCCCGCCAGACTAGAGGCTCTTAGACACAAAACCGAAAACAAAGAATTCTTGGAGTTGTCTGCGCAGCCAAACTTGAGCATTTCGCTTGGACCTACGACGCTTATGACAAGTCCGTTTCACGATGCTGATGACAGAAGTAAGAACGCTCCGATTTTCCAACTGGCCCCTCGGTCCAGGCAACTGCTTCCAAAGCCCGCGAATTCAGCTCCCACTGCTGCTGGTGTGGAGCCTAATGGGAGCATGGTGTCACAGATTCATATCGCTCGGCCTCCTCCAGAAGGTCGCGGGAAGACACAGCTGCTTCCTCGTTATTGGCCTAGGATTACTGACCAGGAGCTGCAGCAGTTATCCGGACAGTATCCTCATCTGTATGTTCATTATATCGTCTTTCTCTTTCTTACTCTTACGTTTTATGCACTATTGTTCTTTTGCTAAAGAGTCCTTTAACTCTTTTATTGTCCAAGCTCAAATTCCAAAATTATACCACTCTTTGAGAAAGTCCTGAGTGCAAGCGATGCGGGTCGTATCGGTCGACTGGTTCTTCCGAAAGCATGTGCAGAGGTAACTTGTTCATTATTTACGCTTGTTGTTTACAGTGCCGTGTATCAGCTATAACCTTTTGTGGTGGTATGTATAGGCATATTTCCCACCAATCTCTCAGCCCGAGGGCCTCCCGTTAAAGATACAAGACATAAAAGGGAAAGAGTGGGTGTTCCAGTTCAGGTTTTGGCCTAATAATAACAGCAGGATGTACGTTTTGGAAGGTGTGACTCCTTGCATACAGTCCATGCAGTTGCAAGCTGGTGATACTGGTACTTTTCAAACCCTCTTTTGTTTCGTTACTACACTCAAAATCATGTTGATGGAGCCCTGATATGCTTAAATCAAACATTGGCATTATCTCAATCATGTGTTGTGTTCGACGAGGACAGTGAAATACATTCTAACAACGGTTCTTTTTCATGTTCTTTTCAGTAACGTTCAGCCGCACGGAACCTGAAGGAAAACTTGTAATGGGATACCGTAAAGCGACAAACTCAACTGCAGCACAGGTAAAAAAAACATGCCAGTTTCATGTTGAGATGATCAAAGTAGACCAGAAATGAGTTGTTAGGAGAGATGTTGTCCTTTCTGGTGCTCTCACAATTATGCTTTTTAGTGAAGTATTTGTCTGTGGTTTATTCAGATGTTCAAGGGAAGCAGTGAACCCAACCTGAACATGTTTACCAACAACTTGAGTCCGGGATGTGGTGACATCAACTGGTCTAAACTTGAGAAGTCTGAGGACATGGCAAAGGATATCTTATTGCATCAGCCGTCGCTAACGTCTGCTAGGAAACGCGTTCGGAACATTGGCACTAAGAGCAAGCGACTGCTCATCGACAGCGTAGATGTTCTAGAACTGAGACTAACTTGGGAGGAGGCACAGGAGCTGCTTCGGCCGCCCCAGTCCGTCAAACCGAGCATCTGTGTAGTGGAAGATCACGATTTTGAAGAATATGATGTGAGTTGCTCTTTACATTTTTACTTCTCAAAACCAGCTGGACCTTTTACATTGTATTTTCTGAAATCATGTACTTGGTGCTACGCAGGAACCACCAGTTTTCGGGAAGAGGACCGTTTTTGTGTCACGTCAAACAGGGTGAGGCCCCATGTACTATATGTAATGATAGGATCAGAAGAAGTAGACACGCTTGGAATGATCAAAGAATCGAAGTAATGAACATCTGATTGTATGGTTCTGATATGTGAGACTTGAATTCTCAGGGAACAAGAGCAATGGGTTCAGTGTGATGCTTGTGGGAAATGGCGACGGCTGCCTGTGGATACTCTTCTTCCACCAAAGTGGTTGTGCTCTGATAATCTCTTGGATCCTGGCAGGTAAAAGAGATTGTATGTTCATATGCTTAACATTGCACACTTTTCTTCGGAAATAATTGATATACATCTATTTCGACTACACTAGACACACTTATGGGGTGTTGATATTATAAATTTTTAAATCCTCATTGAGACGGGCCACCTGAATAATTTGAGTTTTTTTAATCATTAGGTCTTCATGTTCTGCACCTGATGAACTATCCCCAAGAGAACAGGATACGCTTGTCCGGCTGAACAAAGGTATGATCCTACAATATCATCGAAACTTCTTTACGTAGAAACTAAAGTTTTGTTTTCCACAGAGTTCAAAAGGAGGAGACTGGCATCATCAAACGAAAAGCTAAACCAGGATCAGGAGGGATCTGCTCTGGATACCTTAGCAAATGCAGCCGTCACCACGACAGGTGGACAAGGGGATAACGCTGTTGCAGCCACGACCAAGCACCCAAGACACCGGGCAGGGTGTTCGTGCATCGTCTGTAGCCAGCCGCCGAGCGGGAAAGGCAAACACAAGCCGTCATGCACATGCACTGTGTGCGAGGCAGTGAAGAGGCGGTTCAAGACGCTGATGATGCGGAAGAGGAACAGGGGTGAGGCAGGGCAGGCAAGCCAGCAGGCGCAGTCGGAGAGCAGGGACGAGACGGAAGTGGAGAGCATTCCGGCGGTTGAACCAGCGGCAGGGGGAAACATCGACTTAAACACAGACCCGGGTGCTTCTCGAGTGAGCATGATGAGCCTTCTCCAAGCTGCAACCTTTCCTCTAGAGGCATATCTGAAACAAAAGGCTATTGTTCCCAATACAGCAGCAGCGGAACAGCAAAGCAGTGATATGGTAAGCACAGAGCATGGTTCATCCTCAGCCGCACAAGAACATGACAGAGACACAACCGGAGCTCCTGAGCCCCCGAGCTAACCCCAAACCCACTTTGAAGACCTCCATGAGAGTAATTTATTTTTCCAGAGGTATGTTTATTATGTATACAACAACCTTCTTCGGTTTCGTCTCAAATTGGTGGTGTGGTGTGGTTACGACCATTCTGCTAATTGTCGATCGAAGAAAGGAGGACTTTATCGTTTCCTTTTTTTGTTGTCTTCGTGTTTTGGTTTTGGTGTGGGTGAGGCTTGAGAGAGACAAAAAGATAGGAATCTATGAGGTTTTGGAAAATACATAGGACAAACCAACATAATCCTTGACGACTGTAATATGTATATATAAGGGTCAAAAATGAAAACAAACAGAATGCTTCTAAGTCACAAAAGTTTATTTTATGAGCTCTTCTTCACAACACCTGCCCGTTTTCGATTTGGTCTATCGAATCCGTACTTAATGATGTAAAAAACAGTAATCCAACACTTCACAGTTTTTGTGTTTCTTGTTTTCTTTTTTTTTTGTCATTGTTAATCTGTGAAAACATAAACAGTTGGATTCTACTCACAAGGCCCCAAAGGCCCAAACTGTAGTTTGTTCGGTTCTGAACTTAACCGAAACTCACCAATCCCCCCCCCCCCCCCCCCATCTTTTAAAAAAGCAATGATATAGACCCTAAATAAGTAAATAATTAAATAAGAGCAATAATACTACTTTGAAAACTATTATATTTGAGCCGGCCAAAGTTGAGTCGGCTCGATTGACTGATTCCCAAAACCACTCGCACAACTTCACGCCATTTCTATCCTCAAGTTACACGTGTCATTTTCCAATTGATTAAGCACGTCTTCCAACACGTGGACTCTGCCCTCTTTCTCCTCTAACTGAAAAAATCTAATTTAAATATTAATTACCTTCTTCACTCCCACTTCCTCCTCGATAGAAGAAAACTTCTCCTAATTTGTGAGATTTATAATGATCTAATTTTCAGTTCTTTCTTTCTTTAATTTATGAACCCAAAACAGTTTGCAAAACACAATTAAGTCACGAATTAGACCCAAAGTTAATTACAAAAAAAAACAATTAATGGGCGTGGTCAAAGAAGTTGGACGGGTGGAGTGGCAGTATAGTAAATAGAAATGAATATGAAGGGGTAAGTCAAAAGGTATATTATGATAATAATGGAGGGGCGAGGAAAGAGATGAGATAGAGAGGTGGGGAGCCTGAGAGTGGGTCCCACAAACGCGCAAGAGTAACAGCTTAGGTTTTGGTAAGTCGGGTCGGGTCGTCTCGTCGTGGGTTCCTCTCTCAACCCTAGAAAAGCAACAACTTCATATTCTCACGCGCCTCTTTCGCATTTATAAATATTGGAATAAGAAAATACAAATTAATTCTTTTGGTCGACCACTTCTTTCAAATGTTGTTGTCTTTCACCTATTCCCTAACACAAATATTTATAATTGGTTTTTAGTTTTTAATATATTAATTTCTCCCTCCACCTAATAATATCTACGTTTTAATATAGAATAATCTCGATGTATATATATGTCTATGTCATTCAAATAGATCGACCAATTTAAGATGTGCGAAATATAGGATGTCTGACTAAATACTTTATTAGTAAGATTTTAAAATGTGGCGTTAAATCGAACAATACGTAGAGAATAAAATAAAGTTTACTTAAAGGGATATATATTACTATTTGTTTAGTGTGTGATAATGAAAACGACAAATTCGCACTAAAAGAGTTTTTTGCTTTGATACGGTCGGGCAAAGCTACTTTAAAAAAATCAATCATTTCGTATTGTTGATAACTTCGTTTGATTATATAAACAATTACTATTAATTGCATAATAACTTTCATAATAAAAATACTCCATCTCCATGATAAATAAGTTATATTGTATTTACATGAAGAGAAACACATTATTCCCGTACTCGTTTAACATATATATAAAAGGAAGGGGAATTCAAAAATATAATTACGCTATTCAAAAAATATGGAAAGTAACTATGGTCTACAGAGAAAAGATTAAAAAATTCTTCTGTTTTAAATAAAAATGCATTGATTGATTGATCATTAAGCTAAAAAAAAAAATAGTATAGTAGTGTATTATAAATATTACTTAATAACATACTACACTAATTGAGTATAATATAGTAGTGTACTCCATTTGAAATACTGTGACCAATTTACTTTTCGGATATCTATAGATATAGAATTTGCATTGGAAGATGTCTTATATGAAAGTGAATTCAGGAGACGATAATATTGATAAGGATGAAGAGCTAGTAGATACTCATATAATATGAAGTCAATTCTTATAATGATAGTATAATACGATATAAAATAATATATTTGTACAACTATTAATAATTTACTTTTCGGATATCTATAGATATAGAATTTGCATTGGAAGATGTCTTATATGAAAGTGAATTCAGGAGACGATAATATTGATAAGGATGAAGAACTAGTAGATACTCATATAATATGAAGTCAATTCTTATAATGATAGTATAGTACAGTATAAAATAATATATTTGTACAACTATTAATAATATATTACACTAACTCAGTACAGTTTGATAATGCAATCTATTTATTGATTTAAACGAAGGAGTTTTTGGTATATATTGTAGAATATATGAAGAATATAATAACACCTACTTTAGTATAGTTACTTTCTAAATTTTAGGTATTTATATCAACCAATTTCCCTAAAAGGAAATATTCTTTAACCAACCAAAAAGAAAATGTAAAGTAAAAAATGAGGAATATTTAAGAAAATGGAAAAGAAAAGAAAAAAAGAAAAAAGAAACAATATAGCGCGTGTACAGACGGACGAGAAGCGAGAGTAGGTTAAGAAACGTCCTCTAGGCTGTTGTGGACACGCTGGGCATTCTGTATAAAAACACCGTTCGTCGTCTTCATCCTCCACCACATGTATCCATCTTCTTCTAAATTATCTCTCTTCTCTCCTTCTAGCTTTCTCAAATTTTCTCACCTTCTTCCCCTCTTCTATCAGCGATTAATTGTGAATCCACCTGCCCTTCCTCTGTAAGCCATGGGCGTCGCTGTTCTACATCCTCAGGACTGTTTGAAGCAACCTTTCTCCCACATGAAATATCCTCGTAACCCTAGCACATGCCCCAACAGGCAGAAAAAGCCGGTTGCCAACCGCACGCGACGGAGCCCTCCTCGCAATCAAGCCACCAGATCTCCTCCTATAGCGCCGCCGCTTCCTCCACCTCGCGTGACCATCGTTCCGAAGGGAACGGCGAAGAAGATCACCAACAACAACCCCCTCGTTGGACATGTCAGAATCCTGAAACGCGGTGAGGAAATCCCTAAGATTGCCGCGGATCAGGTTGCGGAAATCCCTAAGACGGTCGCGGATCCGGCCGCGGAAATCCCTAAGGCGGTCGCGGATCCGTCTGTGGAAATCCCTAAGAAGACCGCCGATCTGGCTGTGGAAAAGCCAGATCTGGGATCTACTCGTCGGATTGGCCCAGATCCAGGCCTGATTCCGAGTCAGATCCGTCTCTCTGGCCGTAAATACAAGGCCGCCCCATTTTACGCCGGCCCTGTGACCATGACCTCGCCGCCTCCGAGCGACGTTCCGCTTCCAGCCTTTTTCACCACGAAGAAGAGTGTCTCTTTGTTCCAAGCCGCCGACGCAACCAACGATCTGATCAGGATCCTCCGCCTAGACATCGCGTGACCGCGTATATCTTCGTTCATCTCAGATTTTTTATAATCTCTCTGATGATCCAACGTATATCACTGTTACAAATTCCATTTCTCAATCGTCCGAGTCCGACTTAAAAGCGGGAGATCTACAACAAAATATCTCCAGACGACGAATCTAGAAGATGAAGAAACATCTTCGTTATGAATCATTTCGAATCTTCCCTTATTTTTTCAAGGGGCAAGGTCGAAATATCTTCTTAACAGGTTTTAGTTTCTCTTCTTAGGTTTTAGTGTTTGTGTAAGAGTATTATGTGCATAGGATTTTACTTTTCGTTGTGTCTTAATTTCTGTTTAATTATCGGTTCTTCTGGGTAAATTATAGGTTCGCTCTGGGTTTTCTTCCTCTGTTGAGTCTCTTGTTATTCCCTAGTGTTCTTCGTTTGTGTCCTTTTTTCTTTTTTCTTATCGTTCGGTTAAGTATAGAGATGTAGTTACTGGTGAGATGAATCTTTAGGTTTCGTTGTATGCTCAGTATTACAATCCTCTGTACTTTTATCTTTGTATTTCATCTAATCTAAGTTTTTATTTGGTTTTCATTCTATGGTTGATTAAGCATTTTCTTTCCTAATTGATCTTCCAATTCCATTAATCCTGAGTTCAAATAAGACTCGCATATCTGAGTTTATACAGAAGATGCTTAAAACTGGAGAATTATTTCGACTCAATCCTTTTAAGTTTGCTACAAGTTAGAAACAACAACGAAATCTTGAATTCTTGATGTTTGTTATTGTTGTACCTCAATTATTAACTAGCTGGAACTCTGTGGCACTTCCAAGTTCATAATCAAATTAAGTTTGAGGGAAGATGATATATGTTATTCTCCATCAGGGAAGATATATACAGTGTTGTTAGGTCTATCACACGCTAAGACATTGTCACGAATTGGTAAATGATTTGAAGACTTGTACAATATATAAAAGAACGCCACTTGATCCATTTGGACTTTCTCACCGAGTTGTTCTTGATTTTTATAGGAGATAGTTTTCAACGAACTTGATTTATCTCAATTTTTGAGCAAATGGATGTCGTCGTCAGTATTTCATTTTTCACATGTTTGCCACTTGGGTAGTCCGCGTTTAAAGTTATCTGCTCTTAATGTTGAGCAGCCCGATTTAAGGCCCATAAGTTTACGCTGTAAAACTTGCGTTTTGTCATAAGCTTCCGCTTAATCAAAGTGAAATTACTCTAGTCACAGTTTGAAGTTTTATAGGTTTAGGGTTAATTCGTCGGAATAATTAAGAGAATCTGCGTTCAAATTGCATGAAAAGATAGGGTAACATATTTCATATTATTAGTTATGATAGAAACTATAATATTTGTTCACCTTTAATTTTAACAACTTGCCTTGGCTTTTACATCGGATCAAAAAATTATTTACGATGGGTGACGGAGCTCGTTAACAGTTGTCATTTATTCATTGGTTGAAGATGACGCGTCAAAGCTGAATCGATTATGTAAGGGCACGTCATCCTTTATTTTTCTTCCTATGCAATTGAGAATAAAAAAATCAATAAAAATAATAACAATTGATGGTGCCCTAATAAGCAAACGTTGATTTTCTACCTTAATCGGAGAGAGTAGCAAGAAGACGAACCCAAAATTAATTTTCCCAATTTTATAATTGCAGAGCAGTTTCTATTGGGGAATCTTTACATATAATTTTACATACACTTTTCTCACACAACTCAATTTTTGGGTCCCACATTATTTATTTATTTACTCGAAAATTAAATCCAAATCTGCAATCCATCCAGCGATGGACCCGATCTTGCATTTTCGCATCGACATTAAAATGGGAAAAAAAAAAATCAATTTTATTTTTCCAAATAAAAAAGGAAGGAAAATGAAAATGGGAAACAAAAAGAGAGAATAATTTAGCGAGCTTCGTATATAACACCATCCATCTATCTTTTTCTCCTCTATTTCGATATTTCAACTTACTCTGTCTCTCTTTCTTCGCCATTCTCTCTCCTCTGTAACTTCTCTTCTTTCTTCTCTCTCGCTGCTTCTGCTCCGTATCTGATTCCCTTTTTCTACGGGAGCTGAAGATTTGATTAGTGTAGCGTCGATGAAGAAAATCACATCGGCAGCGGCTAAGATGGCAGTCAAGGATGAGTGGGTGGCGGCGGCGATGACGGACGACCAGATAGTGGTGGAGCTTCTTATACGTCTGAAGCACGCGGGGACGGTTGTTGCAGAGAATCCGGCGGTGAATCTGCCCCCGTTGCGGTGGGGAATCCGTCAACGACGGTCACGGTCCTCAAGATTTGATGGCGGAGGTCTCCTCGTTTCTTCGAAGAAGGATGTGGATTCCGCTAGAGCCAGTCCAAAGACTCCGCTCTCCTGGAGCGGCGGATCTGGAAGCGGTGGCAGCTCGGCATCTCCATCCGCCGCAACCGCCGATGGATTCGAGGACACCAGTCGCCAAGCTAGCTGCTCCACATCTACAGGATCTGGATCTAAGGTACCTTATCTCTCTCTCAAAACCTCAACTCGATTTAGTCTTCTCTCCATCTCCCTTTCTCTCGATTGCGAATTAGGCTGCCGTTGGACAGCTGCATATCCGTCATCTCAATGGATTTTCCGTTCCGATCTGGCCGGTAATCCGGATTTCCAGTCCGTCGCGTGTTCGTAATTGAGAGGATCCTTCTCGTCGTCTATGATTTTATATTTTTTTTCTCCACAATCCTCTTAACCACCTTTCTTCATACACGATTCTCACCCTTCTACCCATCTTCCACCCGTCTTTGGTTAAGCGAATTTTCACTACAGATTCCACCGGAATTTATCCTCCGCCGTGTTTCGCTGCTCTGACCTCCCATGGTGATTACGCCGGCGCCATCTTCTTTTTTCCATCTCCAAAAAGTCAAAGCCTATTTAACTTTATTCTCCTTGTTTTTCTCACTTTCTATTTCAATGGTGTTTTAGTAATTTTCAACTTTGTCAAATTTTTCTATCGCAAGCTTTAAGAGAGGTTTCTTTTAAATAAATCTGGAGGTTGATGGTTAACCGGTAAGATAAACCTGATTCTCCGGTTTGAACCGGGGATTTAACCAGATCTTGCGTGGGGGAGCGAGGGGTGAGGGAATATTAGGAACCGTTCAAATTTCAGTTGTCTCGAGGAATAAATAAAAAAGCTCCTTTAGATTATGGGGGTGGTACAGCTAAGTTGGTCAAACGTGCGCGTTTGCTAGGCACAAAACGCTACCGTTTTTCGGGGGGAAAGGTGGGAGAAGCGAGTAAAATCTTGTCGGAGAGAATGGGATCACGTGATGTTAAAGACTGATGACGATTGCTGACCCATTTACACGGGATGTTCATGATGTGGCATGGCGCATCCTCCTCCTTCATCCCTTCTTCATAATTCTTTCCTGTTGTTTTTGTGTTTCAAAAAAGGTTTAAGTTTTTTATTTTATCTTTCTCTCTTTGGGGATTTTTGACCTTTTGTTTGAAATTTCTATTGAGGGAAATGAAACTTCACGTATGTCTAAATTAGATCTTTGGTTTGATTATAAAAAGTAAAAGATCTAAACCAGTTGTCGTTACTCGTCAGCATTTAATATTTTCCAAATTGGCAGATTTGGCATCTTCATTTACTTTTGCTTATCTTATCAAATGCGTTTTTTTTTTTTTTTGCAGGCTTTTCCCACAAACGAAATCACTAGTTCCTTTTCCAAGAGATTGAGAAAAAAGAAGGTATAAAAACTCTCTTTCACATCTATATGAAAATCCTAAAATGGAATCGAAATTCTTGAATTTCAAGTCTGCTCTAAGATCTGAGATTTTTACTGAGCTGATGTTTCCTTTTAAATATTTGACAGTCTTCTTCTGAGCTTAAAGAGGAAGAGAACTTGAAGTTGAAGGAAAGACGTAACCTTGAAAGGGTAATTTTTTTTTTCTTCTAAGTTTTGTTTAGCATAGTAGGATCTCTCACTCATTTCCATCATCTTATAACAAACCCGGTCTTTTCCGCAGGAGATGGAAAGTCTCCGAGCAACGTTCAACGAACAAAACGTAAGGAACCAAAGGTTGAAGAGGATTAAGGTAAAGAAAATTGAACATTTTGACAGTCTTTCGATCTTCTGGATTCTCTCTCTTTGCTGAATCTAAATCTGCTCTTCTGTTTTCAGCTTGACTATAACTCAGGCCGTGTCAAGAACGAGACTCAGGTTCATAAATCCCAACCCGAATCAAAAGCTTGCAGAGTAAAGGGCAAAACCGCTAGCTCGGAAAACCAGGAGAGCTTCTTCTTCCTCCCTGATTTAAACATGGTACCATCCGAGGACGAGATATTGTACGGAACTAGCTAAGTGCCTAATCTCAAGAATATCGATCTCCATCTTATTACAATCAAGAAGGGAGCCAGAGATTTTAACAAAGAAAAGTGAATGCAATAAGAGATTTAATGTCTCCCATCATTCTTGTTCTCTGTTTCCTTCCTTTTTTTGGGGGTAAAATGCTCATTACTTCTTGGTTTTTTAGAAGAAGGTAGAAATTAGGTTCTTTAATTTTTTTTTTTTTTTTGGTTTTTCTCTCTTTGTACCGATTCGTTGTAGTTAAAGCTTTGTTGGAAAATGTTGTTAAAGGAAAAAGTAGGACAACTAATATACTTTAATGTTTCGAACTTTTCCTTTTTCCTAGTAAAACACTAATTTCCGCTCAACTAACCCAAGACAAACTGACAAAGATTTTAATTTAAACTTAAGAAGTGTAGTGCTATTGGTGGATCGTCGGCGCCTTCTGGATAAAAAAAGATTCTCTAAAAAAATGCCAACTTGTATTCACCTAATTTCTCTGTCTTTAGTGTTTTTTTTTATGGATCCAAGCTTTTATATTGTCCACACTGATACAAAAATAACTTTACTTCTTTGAAAAAAAAAAACCCTTCGCCTCCAAAAATATCGGTTTGATGGTAGTTAATAATTATACTTAAAAATAATAATTTTTTCTTGATAGGCATAGATGTAAATGAAAAATGAAGTACTGAATTTTATTTTTAAAACAAAAGACTAACAACTGACAAAGTAAAATATCACAAAAAATATCCTGCAGTTGACAATATTCATGGTTACTTGAAAAAAAAATACTTGGTCCTTCTCAGGAATAATAGGGGAAAGAGAAAGGGGTTGTTTCTCTCCGATCCCCAAAACGCAGGTAAACAATGTCGTTTGATAGCTCCCACCTCCTTCCTCCGCAAGAAGACCTTCCTCTCCGACACTTCCCCGATCAATCTCAGCAGCAGCAGGAGCCACAGCGTCACTTTTCTCAAACACCGTCGCTTCTCACCGCCAGTTTCCTCAACCTTCCTTCCACCGCAGCCACGACGGAACCCGATTTTGCGCCTCCGCATCGGAACAGAGACAGCTCCGCTGCTGCTACAAACCGACGGTGGCTCTCCTTCCACACAGAGATCGAAAATACCGGAGAAGGCCGTCCTGAAGTCATCGACGGAGTCAACGCCGATGGCGAAACGATACACGGCGTTGATGGTGGTGATGGAGGCGAAGATTGGAGGAGCGCTAGCTACAAGGCTGCGATTCTGAGACATCCGGTGTACGAGCAGCTTCTGGCAGCTCACGTGGCTTGCCTTAGGGTTGCGACTCCCGTTGACCAGATTCCGAGGATCGATGCGCAGCTCAGTCAGTTGCACACCGTCGCTGCAAAGTACTCAACTCTTGGTGTGGCTATGGACAACAAGGAACTTGATCATTTCATGGTAAGTTTGGGAATTTCCAGTTTCAAAATTTTACTGAGTTTCAAAATTTTCGATTTGCAATTATTAATCGTTGCGTTTAACATTATCTGTTAGTATGCAGAAACCAACGTTGATTCTATGGTAGTGTGTTCTTTGGAGACTGTCTTCTTTCATTAGTAATTTTTTTTTCATCTTGGGAATTTCATTATCTGTAAAAGTGTATATTGTGTTCTCCTTCATAGGGTTTATGCAACATATTTCACTGAGAACGATTTAACTATTGATTTCTATTTACTGAGAGATGCACCTTTTTGTGGTTCATTGTTTCTGCTTCTCGAGTCTTGAAATTGATACGATTTTTTCTCCTCCTTTTTGGCTAACTAATTCGAATTATTGACTTTGTTTGACTCGAATAAGTTGTACTTGTTGGATAAAGCTTCTTTCTTGATTCCTAGTAGTTTGTCTGCTTCTTAGTAAAAAGCGGGTTTGTATGTCCTCTGAGTTTTTTTTCGCCCACGAGAAAGAAAACATAATCTGTTTTGTAAGGTTCTGTTTGTATGTCTTATGGGTCAGAATCTTACACTTCTTTATGATGGTGCAGTCACAATATGTTGTGCTGTTATGTTCATTCAAAGAACAACTCCAACACCACGTTTGTGTCCATGCAATGGAAGCCATTACGGCTTGTTGGGAAATCGAGCAATCACTGCAATCCATAACGGGTAAATGTCTCAATCCAAAATCAATTGTTATCTTGTCATTTTAGGGGGGTCCTGATTCTATCTATTCGTCTTTTTTCCGATTTTGTATTGTGTGTGGTTGTAGGAGTTTCTCCCAGTGAAAGTAACGGCAAGACAATGTCGGATGATGAAGATGATAACCAAGTGGAGAGCGAGGTGAACATGTTTGATGCAAGTTTGGACGGCTCAGATTGCTTGATGGGATTTGGTCCTCTTGTTCCAACCGAGCGCGAGAGATCCTTGATGGAACGTGTGAAGAAAGAACTGAAGCATGAGCTTAAACAGGTAACTGTTTAATAATAAACGTGCGAAGTTACATCAAACAGCACTAAACACGTTTTGTTATCATGTTGCTCCTATAGGGTTTCAAAGAGAAGATTGTGGACATAAGAGAAGAGATCATGAGGAAGAGAAGGGCGGGAAAGTTGCCGGGAGATACAACTTCTGTACTCAAAGAGTGGTGGCGAACTCACTCCAAATGGCCATACCCAACTGTAAAAACCTCAGGCCAAGAAGTTTGTTTCGACAATTCTCAAAATGGGTGGCTTTTGATTTCTTGATTGGGTTTTGAATTGTAGGAGGAGGATAAGGCAAAACTGGTTCAAGATACGGGTTTGCAGTTGAAACAGATTAACAATTGGTTCATCAACCAGAGGAAAAGAAACTGGAACAGCAACTCTTCCACATCATCTACTCTCTCCAAGAACAAACGTAAACGGTAAAACAAGATCTGTCTTTCCTTAGAATATACTCATTTTGTTTTTTCCTTTGGTGTAATTTCATCAGAACCGATCACTATATTATCTCTGAACCAAACTCAGGACCGGGAAGCCGTAGGTGACATTCCTGTTGACGAGAGAGGACGATGTGAATTCAAGGGAACTGGATATGAAAGACACGGTTTCTCCTCCGGTTCTACGGTCGTACAGATTGCAATATGTATAGGTGTTACCGGCTTGACTATAGAACCGGATTCGCTGTATTCCTGTTTGTATCGGCATGTGTTTATGTATGTGTATATAAAGTAGTTCTTGGAAGTAATCTGTTTCGTTGGTTTGCGTCTTGTAACGAACGCTTGGTCGGGTCACGGGTGTGGGCTTTTTTTTTTTTTTTTTTTTTTTTGTAAATTACGCGAATATAGTTCCGTTACTAGTATCAAGCAGCAATATTCGTCTCAAGCAACGGTAGTTTGACATTTTCGTATCATCCGGACGACGACATTTGTTCTCAATTCTGATAGTTTTAGTTATCAAGGGGTATATATGTAATATTGAATAATCTAAGGTTCAAAACGAGAAATTATAAAAATTGGATTTGGGGGAAATAATACTAGTTCATTGTCTCGTCCAGCGCCTTCTTCTCGTTTTCTAGAAATTCCGTCGCCTTTGATTCTTACTCCGACGTAGTTTAAACCCTAACTTGCAGGTGTGTAGACGAAATTCAGTTTTTTTACTCTTTCTCTTGATTGCTGTCTTAGTCACTCTTTGGTCGCACTGAGCTATTGCATACGTTGTTTCCAGATTTCTGCTCTATTTAAAACACTGAAGAGTAGAGAGCAACGAGGCGTTGTTTTTATTTTTGCATTCAATCGATTTTGTTACTCACTGTGAGCTTGTTTTTAGCTAGGTGATTAATGGCGGAACCACAGGCGGAACGATCTCCGTCGCTTGACGATTGCCTTAATCTGTTGAAAGGGGAGAGGGACGAGCAGAGGCTCGCCGGTCTTCTTCTCATCACCAAATTCTGCAGGAGCGATGACTTCGTTTCCCTCAAGAAGGTGTACGAAGCTGTCGGTACTCACTTTCTCGACCGTCTTCTCCGGACCGGTAAACAAAAATCCCGTCTTATTGGTCTATGTCTACTTTCCTAGCAAACTTGATGGAGAATTTGTACATATACGTGTTTGTGGGTTTCTAAAGAAATTGTGATGTGTTTGGTTTCGAGATTTTTGCAGGTAGTGGCGATGGAGGTGATAGTGATATGTATCTGCAGCTATCTCTTAGTGTTCTTGCTACATTCTGCCGTGTCCCGGAGATAGCTTCTTCAATAGTGATGGTCTCCCGAGTTCCCCTTATTCTCGAAATAATGTCGAAACGGTATGTTAGATCGCCTGATTCTTCCATCTGTGATTTTCCATCAAGTTTTCTCAGTTTTGTTTTGCTTCCGCGTTTTTCGATTTTGCACAGTACGACTTCTTAAAGTTAGGAAATTGGCTTTTGCAATTTCAGACCAGATGCAGACGTTATCGAAGAATGCTATGAGCTTCTGTATTTGGTGTCCACGGCTTCCGAAGATGGCGTCATGGCTTTGATAAAATCTGGAGGCTTGAGAGTGATAGCCCCCCAGATGTCTGATCTGCCTGATGGTAATTAGTCATTTCTTAGTTTTACATAGCTTTTTTTATGTGTACATTGGATACTAGTGAATGCTCTTTGGATTAACCAGTGTCAAAAAAATATGCCATGTTTTGAGGGTAGATGAATGTGAGAATAATTTCTTCCTGAAAGCTAATGCAAGACATGTTGTTCAGGCTCACATGCTATGGAGGTTGCTATCATGATTCTGCAGTTATTGGTTAGTAAGCTTTCCAGCGAGAGCATGAATATTGAACACTTCTTAGAACTGTCGTTGGTGGTAAGTCCACTTACTTGATTATAATTCCTCTTCTTTTTTTCAATAATTACTAAAGCTCTCTCTTGCTTAAGTTGGAGTTCAAACATCATGTTATCTGTTATTCAGGTTGCTGCTGTTGCACGTCAGTTTGCAGTGTTGCATAATGCCCTGAAGTTTGAAGCACTCCATCTTCTGTCTGCAGTCTTCTGTTCAGAGTATTCTGTGAGTATTTAGTCCTTAACCTTCTGTGGAAAGTTAGCTGTGGTTGAGCGGAGTCATGTTTTTAACTAGAGTTACTAGCATGCTGAATGTAAATTTAGTAGCAGCTTAACTTTGTGTTTTAGTGTTACTTTTTTTCTGCTTGGATCATAGAGTTGTCACCCTAATAATGGGGGCTTAATTGTCTTGATGTTCCTTCGTATTCATGTCGTCTTTCCTTGGTAGAAGCTCTACATCTTTCTTTTTTTCGTTTTTTGCATGCGAATCTGTTTATATGTTTCTCACAGAACTCCTTTATGTGTAGGCACTTCTTCATGAACCTCTTCGTTCCATGCCAGACAACAATTGGGCAGACTATATGCGC